GTTCTTAGACATATTCTGCACCGCTTACCTCAACAATATCCTAATCTATAGCGAGACCCTCTACGAACACAAGGAGTACGTTAGATCTGTTTTAAACGCTCTTAAGGAAGCTGGGCTCCAACTAGACGTAGACAAGTGCGAGTTCTACTAAACTGAAGTTACTTACCTTAGCTACGTAGTTAGAGTAGATGGAATACGAATAGACCTAAAGAAGGTTCAAGCTATCGTAGATTAGGAATACCTAAACAACGTTAAGGACGTTAGAGCCTTTCTAGGATTTGCGAACTTCTATCGACGGTTTATAGATAGCTTCTCCTACCTAGCCGCTCCGCTTGTAGCATTAACTAAGAAGGACGCTAAGTTTCTCTTTAACGACGACTGCTAGAAGGCCTTTAATGCCTTAAAACGCGCCTTTACTACTGCACTAATACTGCGACACTTTAATCCTAACCTCCTAATTATCGTAGAAGCAGACGCTTCTGACTACGTTACGGCAGGTGTCCTCTCCCAGACAGAACCCGACGGTACGCTTTGCCCTGTAGCCTACTACTCGAAAAGGATAAACCCTGCAGAAAACAACTACGAAATCTACGATAAGGAACTACTCGCTATCGTCCGTTGCTTTAAACAGTAGAGACCTAAGCTAGAGGGCGCGTCCTTCCCAATTGCTGTACTTAGCGATTACAAGAACCTACAGTACTTCGCAACTACGAAGCAACTAAGCCACCGTCAGGCTCGATAGTCCGAATACCTCTCCCGATTCTAGTTTACGATTACGTACTAACCAGGCAAGCATGGCGAGAAGCCTAATGCCTTAACCCAACGTTCGCAAGACTAGCTTGCACAAGAGGAAGCCTAAGAAGCTCGTAAGCAAACGTTGCTGCGCCCAGAACTCTTTCAGAATCCTCCTATAATTAGGTTAGTAGAGACTAATAGATCTATCCAACAGATTATCGAAGAAGGATACTAGTTAGCACCTAACGGTTACCCTAAGGACCCGTTTATACAAGAAACTCTGCAACTGCTGTACGACAGTAGACGACAGTCAAAGACTGTCACCCTAAGCGACTGTAAGAACCGCGACGGCCGTCTATACTACTAGAATAAGCTCGTTATTCCTAACGACGACGAACTAAAAATCAAGATCCTCCGTGCAGTCCATGATGCTCCCTCTAGCGGCCACCCAGGCCGAGGAAAGACACTTGAACTTATCCAACGGGAATACTACTAGCCTCAGCTGTTCGAGACCGTCTAACGATACGTATCCTGCTGCCACACCTACTGCCGCTCTAAAGCGTCGCGAGAGAAGTACCACAGGTTATTAAAGCCATTGCCTGTTCCTGAACGACGTTAGGCAGATATCTCCGTCGACTTCGTGGTCGACCTACCTAAGTCAGAAGGATACAAGAACGTGATAGTAGTAGTGGACCGTTTGTCCAAATACCGCTACCTAATACCATGTAGCAAGATAGAAGCACCCAACGTAGCGCGTATGTTTCTTCGCCACGTCTGGTGCAACCACGGCCTTCCCAACACGATTGTCTCCGATAGAGGCAGACAGTTCGTCTCTGCCTTCTATAACGAACTATGTAGCCAGCTAAAGATTGACCTACGCTTTTCAACTAGCTATCATCCCAAGACTAACGGGCAAACCAAGAACGCTAACGCTGCGATAGAACAAGTCCTACGCGCGTACACGAACTACCAGCAAGACGACTAGGTCTAGTAGCTCCCTATCGCTCAATTCGAAGCTAACAACACCGTTTCGGAATCCACAGGAGTATCTCCGATAATAGCCTGCTACGGCTAGAACCCCCGAATAGGTTTTGAACCGCCCACGAACAAGACACGTCCCGCCTACTAGGCCCTACAAGCCTAGGATGTGAATGTAATAATTAATAAGATGCGTAATATTACTGAGTTTATCCGCGAAGAAATGACATGGGCGCAAGCCCTGCAGCAAGAATACGCGAACCGCAAACGCCTACCTGCACTAGCTTACGAAGCTGGCGACGAGGTATAGCTAGATGCGCGTAACATCTAAACACAACGACTATCAAAGAAGCTCGACTGGAAGAACCTGGGACCCTACCGAATAACTAAGAAGGTCTCCTCCTATGCGTACTGCCTCTATCTACCTGAATCCATAAAGATACACCCTGTATTTCATGTATCCCTCCTTCGTCTAGCAGCTAAAGAAGACGATCACATACCTGGCCAGAATGCACCACTACCCGAACCTGTCGTTGTAGATAACGAAGAAGAATACTTTGTTGATAGCGTCGAAGGTCTCCGCTTTAACAAGCGTAGAAAGAGACACGAGTACTATGTAAAATGGACTGGTTATAATGAGTTGACCTGGGAACCCGCCTTGAACCTGAAGGATAACGCGGCTGTGGCTGCTTTCCACGAAAGATTTCCTGATATCCCTGAACCTTTATCGTTATGATTGACGCTCGCAGGAGCTCGAGAATAAGAGGGGGGTACTGTTACGGTAACTACCGTGGTTCCCTTGACACTGAACGCGCTACAGAATCTGAGTGCTTTGCTAAGCACCCGAATTCTGCTGATTGGCCGGCCGGGCCTAGCGCCATGCGCACGGCCCCTATCGATAACTTCTTACCGCCTGTACATGCTGATTCTGTTTTCTTACGTAACGTCTTGTATTACACTAGATATCGTACGTAGCCACAATTAACGCTTCTAGTAAGCTCTTAAACACGTGCTCGTAGCATCTCGTGACACCTTATGTATTACGTAAAGAGCTTATCTTTTCGCGGCTTTAATAGGAATACTTATAGCAAAGTGTTTAAAATAGAGTAAAAAGGATATCTTAATGTAAGGACATAGCCTCTCCTCAGCTACTACTTACTACGAGGTTTAGAGCTAAGGAGTAAAAGGCTACGTCTTACTACGAAGACGCAAACTACTAGACCTTCTACGGTCTAGTACGCCTTCGCTTCGCTTCTCTCTCTAGGCTATATAAGTACGCGTACGCTCTGCCTCTTCTAGGCTCTGCGTCTGCTATTTTCTCTACTCCGAATACAAGCTTCTACTCAACCAGTTCGCTCTTCTGCGCGTAAAGTCTGCCTTACACTTAACGACTGTCCGTCTAATAAGGAGTAAGAAGGATTTAAATTGTAAGGAGTAGTTAGGCAGGCACTAAGATATTAGTATAGGCTTGTATTAAGACGAATCCTTAAGGAGCTATCAAGCCTCTTAGAGGGATAATATATACCTACGTCACGTAATTGTGGCTAGTGTGAGCTGACAGTGCCCCGAAGGGTTCCTAGTAGCTCACTAGTCTGTGGCTGGAATCCTGTGGTAATAGAGCATCGTGACAGCGCTATAGTAAGTACACGGAGAAGTTAGGACTGTAGAGGGAGTAGCACTATAGTAGAGACAATATAAAGAGGACAGGAAGTGTCAAGCAATAGAGTCTTTATAGATACGAGATGCACCGCGATAGTGGAAGTAGAGGTATATTGCCTTGTAAGACTAGAGACGAACCGCTGTCGAGCCACAACAGCGGTAAGGTAGGCTAATATACTGCGATTGCTTGGCATACCGGCCCGAACGGGCCCGGAGTAACCTGGTGCCTGACAGGAAGGTTGTGAGCCTAATTCTAGCGGCAACTTATCCTTAAACTAGTGTACTGCTATTGCAGTAAGTACTATTAGACCTTTACAGGAATAGTAAACGACTGTTAATAGTTATTTAGGGCTATAGTAGTAGGGGCTGTAAACGGAGTCGCGATTCCTGAAACAGGTAACCGAGGACGAACCTTAGTTAATTGACCTCAACACGGCACCGCGAGTTTTGACGGATGGCGAGGGAGAAATGATTTTCAGTGTCCTATGGTCGTATGTATCAGATTGGTCCGGTCCATCAAATATATCCTCACGTCAATTTCGTGGCGATTTCACTACCAATCCGCAACGTCGCAAACAGTCTCGAGTTAATCAGTCCTGAGCGCGGCTCGTGTTCTGGTTAACCAATTCCGTATCAGGGGTTACATGCATGGTGCATTTGTTTTGATCTCCAAGACTCGGAGTGGACTTATTCCTATGTAGTCAGCTCGTCTTCGAAACTTGCAAACCGAAAGGTTCTTCCTATCATTTCCATTCCATCCACGATCAATCTCGCAGTAACAACCTCATAGGTATCCCCCTCATATACCCTTAGTTTGTCAGCCTAGTCGACCGACTTGCAAACATGTGCGAAGGTATTCGGCATAGCCCCAGTTCATCAACCAACGCTCTGTGTTTGCCCGCCCAGGTTCTAATGCGCCAGTCCAACAAGGCGGCGGGTTATAAGGGTGGCAGTTTAGGGTCATGAACATCGAAAAACCGTTCAAGCCGCGCCGAATCCGCTGGTGTACCATAAAAGAAGTTGAGAACAGGGTATTTGAGCGGAGGCTGTTCATCGGGGTTGACTGAGAAATAAGGACGAGTGGTGAGGAAGAGTTACATCGCGTATCTAAGATTCTTGCGTGTGCAGTAATACGGATACGACTTGCATTACTCGGAAGTCGGAAAGTCGGATTGCAGCCGCCCGCTAGTCGCAGACAAGATCGTAAAGACATGATGTTCGGGTTGTCGTAAAGTCTAGCCCGGAGTCCTCGAGTTGCACTTTAGCTCCACACTAGAGCGAAAAAGGCCTAGTCACCCAACTCCACTCCCGTCATCGATTGCCTTCTCGCCAGCGTTGAGAAAATCAAACATCGTCCCCAACAACAACTATCCATATCCTGCGCGTGTGGGCAATCACTCGCAATTCGAATGCGATCCTGATTGGCAGCGCAAAGTTGTCATGACGTTCTGTTGTTCTAGCGGGCAATCAATGCGCCGCCTTGGTACCTAATACCGGGACCCTCGCCCTCCGTCTTGCGAGCCGCACCAGAAGCCATAGACTCGCGTTATGCATGCTTATCACATTCGACAAACAACACGCCCTCTCTGTTACACCGATGCACGTATACTGTTCACGCATCGCCAACGATGGCGGGCAACCACAATACACCCTCGATCACTCGCCATAGCTCCGACACCATGGAGGAGACAGTAGAAAGACCGTTGGCTACAATCTGCATCCCAGACCAGGTGGACGCAGAAAAGCCTGCTGCTGTTGACGACGGAGAATCAAACAAGGATCCGAAAGAGAAAAGGAAAAAAGAAGAGAGAGAGGGGAGCCTGAAAGATTACTTTGTAAGTCATAGATCGGGTCGAATCTAAGGGGTGCAAGCTGATTTGTCTGTTCTCACAGCGCATCTTCACGTATGCTAGTACGGCGGATCGCATACTTTATTCTCTCGGGCTCACAGGTGCCGTCGTCGTTGGTGCTGCTCTCCCTTTGATGACTCTTGTTTTCGGCAAATCAACCGCAGAATTCAATCAACAAGCAACAGGCCAGGACAGCTCGACCTTTACTAGTACCATTAACAGCTTGGTACTCTACTTCTTGTACATATTCGCCGCCCGTTTCGTTATTGGGTATCTGGGTACTCTTTGCATCTGTATCGCCGCAGCTAGGACGACATGCGCCTTGCGAGAGGACTTTCTTGACAAGTTGCTCCGTCAAGACGTGGCGCATTTCGACAAGGACGGCAGTGGATCTGCCGCAACTCAAGTAACTACAAGTAAAAAACCCGATCTGAAAGCCATGATCATATTGCTGACGGCGTGGCCTAGATGGCAACAGGATCAACCAAGGCATAGCGGAAAAGCTGTATACCTGCGTCCAAGGCATCTCACTCTTTTTCTCTGGTTTCATTGTAGCACTCGCCGTTCAATGGAAGCTTGCTCTGATAGTGATGAGCATAATACCTGCCATCTTCCTAGTCACCGGGGTATGCATAGGCCTGGATGTGCCTATCGAAGCTAGAGTGGTGAGTATACATGTCTCTTTCCATTCGACGCCTTCAAGTAACGACTGCTGCACAGACGAAAATTTACTCACAAGCTGGTACTCTGGCGCAAGATGCAATCAGTTCGATCAGAACTATTCACGCCTTCGGAGCTCACCAGAAGATTGTTGACGGCTACGAGACTTACCTGCAGAATGCGCACAAGGAAGGTAACAAGAAGTCCGTCATTTATGGTGTACTCTTTTCCGGTCAAACTTTTCTGGTTATGTCAGGTACTTCGCTGGCCTTCTGGCAAGGTTTTCGCATGTTCCAAAGTGGGGAGATCGGTGATGTGGGCAAAGTCTTCACCGTCGTCCTGAGTGTTGTGCTCGGTGCTACTGCAACATTACTCATCTTCCCGCAGCTTCAAGCTTTCACCAACGCTTCGTCAGCGGCAGGCGAGTTGTTCTTTATCATCGACAGTCCATTGACGCTCGATCCGCTCTCGACCGAAGGTATGCAGCCATCCAGCTGTAACGGGGAAATCATTGTCGACGATCTAAATTTTGCGTACCCTGCCCGATCGAGCGCCCAAGTTCTGCGGGGTCTGAGCCTCTCGATTCCAGCTGGAAAGACAACGGCCCTAGTTGGACCTAGTGGGTGCGGTAAATCGACCCTGGTCGGTCTACTCGAACGATGGTATCAGCCCACTTCCGGTCGAATCCTGCTTGATGGTCGAGATGTTTCTGAATACAACACAAAGTGGTTGCGGTCGAACATCCGCCTCATTCAGCAAGAGCCGACCTTGTTCCAAGGCACGATCTTCGAGAATATCGTCAAGGGCCTGATAGGAGATCAAAAAGATCTACCAGCGGAAAAGCAGATGGAACTCGTGCAGGAAGCGTGTAAAAACAGCAATGCGCATGACTTCATCGAGACGCTACCACAAGGCTATCATACCCAAGTCGGAGAGCGAGCAAGCATGTTGAGCGGTGGTCAACGACAGCGCATTGCCATCGCTCGCAGTATCATTTCGAACCCTAAGATCTTGTTATTTGACGAAGCGACCAGTGCCTTAGACCCTCGCGCTGAAAAGGTTGTGCAGAGCGCACTCAACCGCGTTTCGATCAACAAGACCACGTTGGTTATCGCTCATAAACTTGCTACTGTGATGGCGGCAGACAACATTATCGTCATGAAAGATGGTCAGATCTACGAGCAGGGAACACACCATGAACTCGTCGAGAGCGATGGTCTCTATGCGGCAATGGTGCGCGCCCAAGATCTTGGTACGAAGGTCAACGATGAAGACGTTCAAAGAGAGTTGCTCGAAACAGAGGGTGTCGAAGACAGCCTACATCGCAAAGCCACCTTGCAGCGAACGCAATCACAGTACAACACGATAGAGCTCGAGCGCGAAGTCGAGCAACTTGCAGCTGGAACTCTGGGTTACTCTCTCATCAAGTGCATTTGGATCATGCTGAAAGAGAACGTTGATCTTTACTACTGGTATGCCGCCACGATTGTTGGGGGAATCATCGGCGGTGGTACCTACCCAGCACAAGCTATCATCTTCTCCCATCTCGTTCGAGTGTTCACACTGCAAGGATCTGAAGCACAAGAGCAAGCAAACTTCTGGGCGCTCATGTTCTTCGTGCTGGCTCTCGCTAATCTCTTCGCATACTTCACCATTGGTCTTGCATGCAACAGCATTGGACAGACTTTGACTCACCGATATCGCAGAGAGATGATCGAGCGCATTGTCAGTTTCGATCAGGACTTTTTTGATCGCCCAGAGAACTCGTCTGGTGCATTAACCTCAAAGCTATCATCTGCGCCTACAGCGCTGCAAGAATTGATGTCTGCGAATCTAGGTCTCATGTTCAACATCTTGGTCAACATCACTGCCAGCAGTGCGCTTGGAATAGCTTATGGCTGGAAGCTTGGACTCACACTGGTATTCGGCGGACTGACCATCATTGTAGCTGCCGGCTACTATCGCATACGAATCGACCAGAAGCTCGAGGCCGCTACAGAAGAACAATTTTCCGGCAGTGCCGGCCTGGCAACAGAGGCTGTCACATCCATTCGAACGGTCAGCATGCTAACTCTCGAAACCTCAATCATGCGCCAATATAGCGACACACTCCAGGCTATCACAGGAAAAGTTATTAAGAGCCTAGTCTTCGCGCTTATCCCGTACGCGCTCTCCCAATCAGCCGACTTTCTAGTCATGGCTCTAGGCTTCTGGTACGGATCGCGGCTGATCGCGAGAGGCGAGTACGATACATCGCAGTTCTTCGTAATCTTTATTGCCATTGTCTTTGGTGGGCAGGGTGTGGCGCAGTTCTTCATGTACAGCACCTCCATCACAAAGGCGAAAGGGGCCGCGAACTACATCTTATGGCTGCGGACTGTCAAGCCTAACATCCGCGAATCAGACGAGACCAAAGGCAAAGGGCCATCAACGGACGGAGCCATTGCCATGGAAGGCGTTGAGTTCAGATATAAGCAGCGTAACGCGTCCAGGGTGTTGAGAGGTATCTCCATGAAGATTAAGCCTGGCATATTTGCCGCCTTCGTTGGCCCCTCAGGCTGTGGCAAGAGTACGGTTGTTTCTCTGCTGCTCCGGTTTTACGACCCGATATCTGGACGCATCACGTTAGATGACCAGGACATCTCGCTCATGTCTCCCCATCTTTATCGCCGTTACATGTCGCTCGTCCAACAGGAGCCACCACTCTACCTTGGCTCAGTGCGCGAGAACATTGCCCTCGGTCTCGAGCATGAGCCTTCTGATGCAGAAATCCAGGAAGCCTGTCGCCAAGCCAACGTTCTGGAGTTTGTTGCTTCGTTACCTGAAGGTCTCCAAACCCCTTGTGGATCCAAGGGCTTGCAGTTCTCTGGCGGACAAAGGCAGCGCATTGCGATTGCTAGAGCGTTGATTCGCCAGCCACAACTGTTGTTGTTGGACGAAGCAACGTCGGCTTTGGACACTCAGAGCGAAAGGGTCGTTCAGCAGGCGCTAGATGAGGCTGCGATGACGAGGACAACCATTGCTGTTGCGCATAGGCTGTGAGTACCTCCTAACCAGATTTTGAGATAATAGTTCACTGACATTATGTATAGAAGCACAATTCGACATGCAGACATTATCTTCGTCATGGAAGATGGCACGATCGCTGAGATGGGTACCCACGAGGAACTGCAAAGATTGAGAGGCAGATATTTCGCCACGTGTTTGGCGCAGTCGCTTGACCAGGCATGATTGTGTGCATAGAACACGAGATTTCTCGGCCTTTGCGAATCTCTAGTCGCGATACATGTGAAGTTGGCCGGGTGAAAGCGATAATTAGTTGCTGGTACTTGGAGAAGGGTTAATCCGCATGCTCAAGCCTAGCGGGCAGCTTAGAACCCCGAAGGAGAATCCCGCTCGCTACTCCCCGTCGTCTTCTTCCCCATACACATGAGTGCGTATTCGACGCCATATGGGGAATATTTGGAAACTTCCTTATGGATGGGGTGAAATGCGGCAGAATGTAGGCACAAGCAATCTTTATGGCATTTGCGAAAAGTTGAACCTCGGTTGATAGCTAGTTACTCTCGAATGAGAAGTATCGCAGATAAGGATATCGCTTTGTTATGAGAACTGTGAGTTGCGGAGGGTGTGGGTGGCTCGCCTGCTCTGCGTTGTCGCAGTGCTAGTGGATGTAGTGGATGATAAATAACCAAAGTATGGCATCGCTGACCGATCTATGAGTCGTGGAAAACGAGAATCATGGCCATGCACGCACGACTTCTATAATCGATACTATGCTCACACTGAAACTCACTATTGAACAAAAAAGATCGGACATGCACAATAATGGCAAATGATGACATGATGCTTGTAAATGAAGTGTGAGTGAATGCAATTACAGTCTAAATACTTATGCTACATGAAGACGGGTATACAGGCGGAGGCCTAAATGAGAAGAAAGAGTGACATGCGAAGCGACCAGGCAAAACTAAGCCTTGAGCTCAGTGGTGCCAGCCTCGTCGCTGCTGCGGTTGTCTTTGCGCACGGCGTGCTCCGCACCAGTGATAGACTCATCGCCCATATCCCAATCTTGAGCAAGGTCTTCTAGAGTTCTGCGCTTTGTCTCTGGAATCAACAGAGTAGTGAAGATACCCGCGAACATGAAAGCAGAGAAGATCTGCATGACGTGGTTCAACCAAGGGTTGGCGTTCTCCTTGGTAACATGGCCTCGGGTTCGGAGAGGAGCAATAGCTCCTTGAGCGATGATGGAGCCAATCTTTCCTGAACCAGCAGAGATACCGTGAGATGTGGAACGGTAGCGGGTAGGGAAGCACTCTCCAGGAACAATGAAGGTGGTGGTGTTGGGACCCCAGTTGAAGAAGAGTTGGATCAGGACATAGATGGCCAACATGGCGTGGTGGCTAAGGTGACTGTAGGCGAATCCCCATACGATGAAAAGAATGGTGAGTATCGTGAAACCAGCCAGTTGCAGGGTCTTGCGTCCAACAGTGTCAATGGTTGCGACTGCCAACCAGTATCCGGGGATAGCGCCAGCACAGACCAGGATAGCATTACCAGCAGCAAGGTTGTAAAGCTTCTCGTAGAGAGTTGTACCACTAGCGTAGCCAATAGCCTGTAGCACAGTAGACGAGTTCAGACCCAGTCCGTAGAATGCGACGTCAAGGAGTAGCCATGACATGGCAGTACCGAAAAGAATCTTGCCGTTACGGAGCTTGCCATAAAATCTGAAGAAGTCGCCGAAAGACGCCTTGGGAACTTCAAGCTGAGCAGTAGACTGGAGCTGGGCGGCCTGGGTGATTGCGTCAGGGCTACCGTTGCCGTGCTTGCCGGAGAGATACTGCTTGGTGTCTTCGTTGGCCTTCTCGACGTCACGGGCGACATCAAAAGTGTAGCGGGGCGTCTCGGGGATAGTAAGGCGGTAGTAAAGCGCAATGCAAGCTGGGACGACACCAATCCCGATGAGGGCGCGCCACATCTTGTCGACAGCTACAGCGCATTGACCGTCGCAGTCCGCGTAGCCAGCAACTCCTTTGAGGGTATCCTTGAAGCCAGCGACTAAGCAAAGCATGACAAGGGCACCACCAAGCTGACCAAAACCTTGCATAGCAAAGACAGCACCCATCATAGCACCGCGCCACTTGGTGGTGGCGAACTCCGAGGTGATGATAGAGGATAGCGGGTAGTCTCCACCAATACCTGATAGCCATTAGCAAGGCTTCTTTGTGTATTCTCAAACAACCAACTCACCAATTCCCATCAGTACACGCCAGAAGATGATCAGACCAACGATCGAAGTTCCGGGACCGGGGCCAGTGAGGGACTGAGCAAGTGTGGCGACGATGATGAGGATCAACTCAAGACCGTACATCTTCTTGCGACCGACGATATCGGCAAGGGTACCGAAGCCAACTTGTCCAAGAACAGTACCAGCTGAGGTCGCAAGCTTGATAGCTGTGTCCTGTTGGGTGAGGAGAACACCTTTGTTATCATGCTTGTAGACGATACCCAGCATGATCGTCAAGAGAGAGACGCAAAAGATGTCGTAGCTGTCTGTGAAGAAACCAGTACCAGCGACAAGAATGGCGCGCACATGGTACCAGCCGAAGGGCGCCTTGTCGATCTCAGCGAGGGCAAGTCGGCGTCGCTCATTGGGGTCTTCAATATGCTAGGACCAGTCAGTACGTGTGAGTTTCGCAGTCTCGTCGGTGTCACCCTACCGCAAAGTCATTGTTGAAGTTGTGGAAAGCGGCGTTACCGCCGGCTGTCTTGTGAGCCATTGCGAAGCTTTGCCGAGACGTATCAAGAGATTGGACGAAGCTTGAGTCCGGGAAAGACGGCTGTGCGAGCTGGAGATCAGTTGTGAAGGGTGCAGGGCCAAGCTATATACCTGCCATCAAGCTTACTTCAAAGGCTGAGCGACATGCTTGTATGCCAAACAGGCCATTCGACAGACCAATGGGATCACCGCATTCTTGCACGCCCGTAGCTTTGCAATATTCACTTTCGGCCTTTCCGCTATAACAGGTAGACTCACGCGTGGGATTGCGCCTTTGCAAGCCCAGGCCGCCACAAGGCTTGACAGGTCTTGACGGTTATCCCTGATGCGCATCTGGTGTGGTGAAAGTACGCGTTGGGCGAACCTGAGGAGAAGACATTCAACCCAATCATATGCCCCACGTGCAACGCCAAGACGCCAACCTCTCCCAACATCGCCCCGATTTACATCTGGAGGATCGAAGCTTCTTCACGCCCAACGCACTCTTGGTATGCTTGTGTGTATTCCTAGGATTCTGTGGCGTGTTCATCAGATGCTGGATCAGCATTGGCAATGACATCAAACGCTTGCATCGCCGTCCGGCTTCATCAATCTTGTGTCGTCTTCGCCCTACACGTGCAACACGCTGGAGCCGAACATGGTCCTGCACCCCACGTCGAAAGCGCCTAGCCCAGGACCCCGTCGGCTGGGGTTACGTGCATCAAGTTACTGTCTCCACTAGCGTGCTATGCGAAACCCGTCTTCTGGACTGTCGGTTGGTCCCGATACCACTCTGCTTACCAGCACACTGGCAAGTCAGCCTCCCCGCTAACATCCAACTGGGTATCAGCGAGCAAACTCTGACCTAGCAAGGTGCAAGGCTTCGGAGGGTACCTCGTCTAAGGATGCTGCAATGACCGACCCATGGCCCTATTGGTCTTTCACTGATGTCGATGTTCCACAGCTGGGCAGTTCGAACCCAAATCTATCGTCGCACGTGGGAGAATACCGCAGTCGTTGTGTTTGTCGGTATTATAAGCGTTTCAGTCGCTGGATCTGAGCGGCAACCCGTACCACCATCTCGAGCATCAGACGGAAAGCCTCCACGTCGTGAGCTATACGCTCTAGCAGTGCCCAAAGGCCTCGGGGCTCTAGAATGAGGCATCGTTATTCACTGCGGTCGCATATGAGATTTTACCCACACCGTCCACCGTCTTCAGATCGAACCACCCAGGGGAGAGGTCTCAGAGGTGGGGCACTGCACAACATGCAGGGCGAGGTGCATTTGGATCCAGGGGCTTTGCTGTACGTTCTGGCAGTACTTCAAAACGATTCTCCACTCAGCATCCTCGTCGCTGACGAAGGTGCATCACGGCCTCGCCGAAATCGAGGAACCTTGTATCAAACAGACGACCTCGCCTCTCGCAGCTTGTTAGTCCGAATCTTAGTTCTTTCTCATCATTCCATCTGCCGGCACCCGGTCCCCGGATCCCATACGATCAGGTTGTCTACAAGTTCGTACCACTCAGCTCGTCGGACCACTGCACGTTCGACTCACATGCTATGGCACTACGTGCCGTCTGCCTAGCTAGAGGCGCGCCACGCAACATCATATTGATCCATAGCACTAGATTTAAGATCTACTGCGCATGCAGCCATCTTGGGTGACGATCCCTCCACGGTTATATCACATTTTGACACTCAATCCCCACTTCTCAATCGATGTAACCGCGATTGCAATCGATCAGGCGTCTCCGTGGTCGTTTTGAGGGCCAGGCCGTTGATGTGTGTCGGGTACACCATCTAAGAGACCTTCTTTTCTTTCGAACCGTGTATCCTTATACAGCCATCAAAGTGCATCTTCATAACGCCAATAGACCTGGCTAGCTAACAAAGAGTGCGAGGAAAACGAATCAACAGCCTCGACCGCGACCAACCCAACTCAAATTTGTGCTCATCGATAAGCCATAGCAGCAAGGCGGTGCCACCGAATCCCCGCAACGTCGTCTTCGCAAGCAAACTTCCCATGCTTCACCAGATCCGCGAAAGTCGTCTTCTCGTTCCCATCGTCCAGGTCATCCCACAACTCTTCCAATTGCATCACCCGGATGCCTGGGCTCGCTCCATATCTCAGTTCGTCACGAGCAAACATAAAGTGGTTTGCGGCGTAAGTCGTAGACTCAAGTGCTGCAACAGTTTTCCCCAGGTCGATCGACAACAAGTACGATATCTCGTCGAAGAGAATATCCTGGTCTCTATGCCAGCGTCAGAATGAGTGTCTTGCATCCATCTCCGTCGTCAGGGAGGGGTTTTCCATCCGTTGATCAGTGTGTCAATGCTACACAAGTCATAATCTGGTGTCCCTAAGACGCGAATGAGGAGGTCATTTCCTGGGACACTAGCAGTCAAATCTGCTTCCCAATCGAGGTTTCCCTCCAGTACAGAGGAGGAAGTAACGTTATACTGCGCACCTTCGGGGACATGATACCCATCGTGACAGGAGTGGATCTGAACTGCAGAACGTATGTTATACTTGAACGACGTTAAGACACTGAAGTGCCAGTCACCATCATGGATGAAGACAGCGCCTCTCGTTATATCGTGTTTTGTCTTTACATCAAGTGGCCAGCTTGTTTTCTGTCTCTCATTTCCTCTGAACGACGAAGTGGGTGTTGGTGGTGGAGTGAGGCTTCTTCCAACCGGCTGTCGAGGAGGCGAAGTTTGCTTAGATGCAGCAGGTGGCGAGTTGAGAGGCTCAGCCTGGAGTGCGGTACGTTATGTTTCCAATTCCTCTGATACTCCTTCTAGCGGCAATCGGTGCTCTCGTCCTGACTCTCTTGCTATTCGTCCCGCTCAGCAGGTTGGAAAGTGCGATATTCGCGCGTCCTTTGCCGGCACCGATACTCTTCCATCGGCGCGTAATGTTATCTTCGTGGTGCCCTCTTCGTTCTCCTTTCTCAACTCTCAAAGGCATTGATGTTGCCTGCTTACCTCGGCAGAGACGCCGCCTGCTGTCATCCAGGAGTCGGCTCCGTCATGTATCTAGGACGCTTCTTGAAATCCGCATTCCAAGTCTTCCTTCGGTTTTCTCCACAAACATCTTTCAACACCTCTTCAACTGGTTTTCACTTTTGCGGCGGCTGCTTTAGCCAAGGCCATGGTCGCTCAAATCCATTGGTGGAGTATGCCGCTCGATTGTCTTGGCACCTTTGCTCCCGAATGTTTACCTCAGAGATTGCGTTTTCTTGAGCTTTCGTCCGCCTTGGATGGGGAACCAGTAGTCGCGTTTCATACATCATACAAGGCAATTTCTCAGACTCACATACTTCATGTTCTCGTTTACGAGGCTTCCCCTCCGATTGAGGTGTTTTGGGAGCCCAATTCCCTCGTGACTCGTGACCACGTGGACATTCTTGCATCGGAGGTTTTTCTAGAGGCGCACCGCGTTCTAGCCTTGAAGGCCATGCTCCTGTTGGCGAGGGCCTCCATTGTCGGAAGAAGGTGCCTCCGGGCCATCCTGTCCATGGAGTATTCCTCTGCGGTAAGAAATGTTCTACCTGCAAACTACAGGGTGCGTCACGATAATTTCGATCATATTGCGACAACAAGACTGGGTCGTTCAGCATCTCGTGCGCACGCCTGATCTTCTTCCTGTTCTTTTCTCCAGCCGTTGGTTTGTCTGTTACTCGTAGTGACCAAAGTGAGTTTCCAAGAATGGTATCAATCTCCTAGCGACGTTATGCTGTCACCCCCGGCCCCAGAAGGCGTATAGTCGTTCTGGTTGGGAATGTCTATCGGTCTTTCCAAGAAGGAAATGTGAAGGCATATGAGATGGGAACACTATATGCTGAGCTCACGAAGATCTATCTGGTCCATCACTTTCTGTAGAGTGGCCTCCGCACTCTGCCTTCGTGGATGAGTGAAAGGCACCAGGACAAAGGATGGTATGTACACTCCTTAGCCCAAGCAACATTGTAGTTTGTCGCACTGTTGCTCATGTTGAGAACGCCAGATTTCAACGACCATTATCACACACTATTGGAAGAATATGGGATACTAAGCAGCCGACGCGTAGATGCGCAATAATTGCGCGAAGCTTTCCTGGGTGGCATTCCAGGAGCGTAGCGATAGCATATGAAGGAAACTCAGGATAGTCAGAATACCGTCACATGTATTCAACGCATGTTCACTCTCTGTCGGTAGAAAAGTCGCTTGAATATGCGAGTGCGTTATCATCACGGATTTGATGCGATGTTTGCTTCGACATGTGAGGCAGGCGCCAGCCTCGGTAGCTCGAGGAAGGAACATGAGGAAGACCAACAGGGCAATATCTGATATGGCTCATTTCGCTTCCAGAATATTAAGATATGCGGTCGTAGCATAGCGTCAAGGCGGATGGAATAAGAAAACAAGGAGCCGCGGCCTGTACTGGTGGAAGTTGGCGCCAAGCTGAATCCCCCGTATTTTCCCCGCTGTCCGAGTAGGCGATCTTGCCATTCAGCCACGGGAAAATCTGGGGACGCATACTTCCACCACTCAACACCACAACATCAAGCCACCATCCTAACGTTGCGCACTATTCTCTGCCGTTCCTGAGGCGGAACGCACACCCGCCAAGATGGGCCAAGATGAAGTACAGCATCACGACGAGAGATGCTGCATGCACTTGCGCGATTGGGAGTTGTTCGAGCCTGTGTGACAGTGCGCCATCAGCCATTCTACCGGAAGAATTGCTGAGGCTTGTGCCTGGAAGCCGATTGTATGGCTACAGTCTGATTTCTTGGTTGCCGACATTCAAGAACGGTAGGATATAAAATGTGAGTGACATCGCTGGTTGATCGGCATCAGATCACTCAATCTCATCTGCATCTTCACCTGCTCTTCAAAATGAAGCTCTCAATCCTATCCCTCCTGTCTCTCACCTTGTCTGCGACTGCAGCTCCCGCCGGCTGCGACTTTAGCCTGGTCGGATTCGCAAAGGACAACCCAATTGGACCTACCACTGGCGGTGCTGGCAGGCATGGCAAGAGTGTCACCGTTAGAACTGTGGCCGAGTTCATCAAAGCTGTCAATGGCAGCGAACCAACGGTTGTATACGCCAAGGGAAGCTTCAACCTCACATCGCGAGTCCAAGTGGGCTCCAACAAGTCCGTCATTGGAGTCGGCAAGGGAGCTCAGATCACTGGTTCGGGTCTGAACATCTTCAACAAGACCAATGTCATCATCCGCAACATTGGTTTCACAGCCATTGCCGACGACGCCATGACTATCCGTAACAGCACCCGCGTCTGGATCGACCACAACGAGTTTACCACTGGCAACTTCCCTGCTTTAGGCCCTGATGCTTATGACGGTCAAGTAGACATCATTCGCGCGGCCGATTGGATCACAGTTTCATGGAACTACTTTCACGACCACTGGAAGAGTTCTCTCGTTGGTAACAGCGATGCGCTTAGGGATGTCGACCTGGGTCACCTACACGTCACCTACCACCACAACTACTGGAAGAACGAGGGTACCCGTGGCCCTGCTGGCCGTTTCGGTCACCAGCACATCTTCAACAACCTCTATGTTGACTTCTTGTACCAAGCCATCCACTCGCGCAGCGACAACCAAGTTCTCGTTGAAGGTAATGTCTTCAAGGGCAAGACGCGCGAGGCTCTCAGCACATACGGACTTGTCATTCCAGAGGATAGCCCCAACACTAGCCCCGACGGCGACTACGAATTGGACGGCTTCGCGAACCTTGGTGCAAAGAACGACTTCGGAAAGGCTGGTGTCAACATTACTCAAGTCGGCAACTTCACTAAGGCGCCTTACAAGTACAAGCTTACTCCACTCAAGCAAGTTGAGAAGATTGTGAAGAGCGGCGCTGGTCTTGGCAAGATCTAAGAGAGTTTTTGACGGCCAGAAATTTGTGTAGAGCAGCCATATACGGATAATTAATGAGAGAATGTTTAGTTTTCACCATCCACGCCTTCTTTGGTTTCTTATAATAACTCCATCAATCCATCTCAGCTTCCCCCTCCCTTCCTCCCGTATGCCTTTCAGCAGCAGACGCGGTTCTTCTCCGTCCCCTCATCTTCCGAAAATATCTTTGATCAAGTCTTGCAAGTTATTCGTCATTGGAAAAACAGAAAACATATCTCCAGGCCTACAATCGCCCACCTCCGCTTCCACAGCCAGATGCTTGATCTGCCCCAGACCACTTGAGCCCAGGGCCGCGATCCAGTGGGACGCCACACCATCGTAGTGTCGATCTAACATGTTTCTCAGGCCTTTGATTTTGTGTTCCTGGAAATCTGATTCACCGAGATATCTTCTTTGCTCGCTCGGTATTCTCTGCCTCGATTTGTTCTTGGAAAGCAAGGAGCAGTCCCGGATAATCAAACCTGAACAAGTTCTTCCCGTATAATATGTTTTAGTACGCTCGACAAGTACAAACATTCAGAAAAAGAATTGGGATATAATTCTTTCCCCAGTTCTCGAAGATTCTTACCACAACTAGTATGATTGTGAGCCACCCAAACAGCGCGGACGTCTCGTCAGGTGGAAGAGACGATCGCAGAGGTTGTAGCCAATATTAGCCATACGAGGTGTGCTGACGAAAGCATGGGATAACAAACATTTCTAGCGTGCTTCAGCTCCCAGGATGTTTCAAAACGAGACGACACCTTATCATATGCCGTGGTGCAGTACCGGCGACCGAAAATGGGATGCGCAAGACAAACATCATTGAGGACCTCACAAGAAATCCAGATTATTCGCCTAGCTTATCTTCAATGGGTATTAATACCTCGAAGTTCCTGCTGTTCCTTCATCACACACACGCTCTGAGTTCCGGATCTGAAAACCAAATAAGATCTCAGCACATGTTGTTCTTGCCGGCTTCCAAAAAGCAGTCCTCGTCAGCTAATATTTACGTCATCCAAAACTTCCATCGATAGCCTTATTAAATCAGCTGTAGAAAAAGGTTCCAAAACAAGCGTCGGTAGTCTCGATGGAGTACCTCGAATTTTGCGCTTCTTCCAAATGTGTCCAGCAGTCGTTAAAAAAAAAGGATTACAACAACGACTCATGGCTAGACGAAAGACACTAGATATAGGGCGTGGCATCAATTCGAGAATGCTTGTTGTTAAAGTCCATATCGTCTTCAGGAGGCTGTCCAAAACAAAATCGGAAGAGTCAAATCACTCGTTCCTCCAGGGCCCGCTGAAAATGATATGCCAAATCTGAAGAATGATCGTGGATGGCAACGAAAACAAAGATGACGACAACCCTTGAAAAAGGTTGGCTCGTAGATACTGGTAGTCCTGATACTGCTGAGTGCGCCGGCTATTGGATGATGACCAGCGCCATCGTGACGCCCTTGATGCTCGCCATATGAGCCTCAAATCCACACATTTCATGTAGGACGCCATACAGGGTCGTTGAATTGAATGAATCATAATCGTATATCTACACGAAATGTACAGTATCAGTACACATACCTCCACATGTTCATATTTATGCATGCGCCGCCACGCCACCCATCGGCCGTTGTCCCTGCGGATTATTCGGCGCAGCAGGCTGCAGCTCCTCAACAGCCTGATCGTACTCGGCATTGCTCATATCAGCACCCGCACCCAAACCCTCATCCTGCTGCCCACTGAACATCTGTGCGCGCATCGACTGCTCATCCTCAATCTGCTTGGCGGCCCAAGACTTCCAGTTCTCCCAGGTGCGGTCTTCAAGCTCCATTCCAATCTCGAGGGGACCCTTACCGAAGTAGGCGCCGACGTGTAGGGCTTCTTCTTTGGCAATGCGTTGGCGGATCTCGGAGAGGTGGCGGTGTTGGTAGAACTCGCGGCGGGCGAGATCGTAGGCGGAGGATTTGGAAAGGGAGGCGTGCTTCATTAGCCACATTTGGCGTTGGACAACACTGGATATGTTAGTATTAGTGTGTATGGTATGATAGCGTTGGTTGGACGTGCCTTTCACCATCTAATTGCTTTCCTGGCTGAACAATCTTACTCCAGTCGTAGTTCTTTGAGTCGTTTCCGCTGTTTTCTACTACCAGCCTCGGTCGTGCCAGTTCCCATGGGTGGTCGCCGAAGAATTCTGAGCGCAGCTTGTCTTCTGGGTATGCGATGGGTAGTGGCTTGAATAGTTTGCTGGCTTTCCGTGCCTTCCTCATCTTTGGTATGCGCAATACTGGCCGCGCGAGGGTCTCGCCTGGTGGTATGTTTCCTACTACATCGTACCATTGCGGTAAGTTAGGGTCTCGTTTTGAGTCGAAGAGGGCTTTCGCGGTTTGGCGCACCCGTAGAGGGCGGAAGTCGTAGCGGCCCATGGCGGGCAATCTCTATTAATATATTCCGAGGTATCCTATGGCATCGGCGTAGGTTTCAAAGGAAGGCCGAGGGCGTAGCGACAGATGGGGCGGCGCAATTCGTCGTGTCGTAGATGATGGGGTTCTTGCCCGCAAAGTCCGCAACTTCGCCAAGACTTCGCGACGCCGAAATCTTTGGATTAGATGCAGGCAACTCGCCGCAACACCAACCATACCCTCACACGTAGGTAGCTCTTCAATGAGCTCCTTGTAACCAATTACGGCCGAATTCACAAATGGACAACGTCTGAACTGGCTCCCTCTGACACAATGCTCGACCTCTCATGTCCCTCTTCCGCACCCTCGACCGGACCTCTGCTGTCTCGAATACCGCCCATGCACGACCATTCCTCGCCTTCCTATACCCGAGTCCTGAGAAGAATACGTCAAAGAGAAGATTCAGCAAGAAGGCGATAGACAATGCTCGGCTACCCGAAAGGACAACTGCTCGCATGGACACTTTCTTCATCCAAGCATTGGTGCGGGCGGGATCGTGCCCAAAGCATGCAAAGCACATACACACTGTACGCGAGGTAGCATCGGCGCCGCCAAAACATCACGCAACGCGGAGAAAGAGCACGTGGATGAAGCCTGAGAAGAATGAGTTTGGCTCACATCTAGAGCGCAAAGGCCCGCTCAAGAAAGTTCAAAGCTTCGCCGAGAAGGAACTTCAAGCCCTGATAGACTACTACGGCATGGAGATTGACACCCGGCCTGAGGCAGCTGTTCCAGATGACGGGAAGCTCGTCTGGAATGTTGGTGATAACCATGAGCCTTGGCCCCTCCGCGATCCAGCAGATGCTGTGCACATTGACAAACTGGAGACTCTGCTGAAGGACGAGGAGGCACCTCACGAAGAGGTATTCGATACCTATAGGAAGCTGCAGTCGCCGGGCGTTGTGTATCTCAATACTGTCACTATTCGAGCGCTGCTGCACCATCTCGCTGTCGTCGAACGCCCCACACCTATCGCAGCGCAACGCTTCCTCTCCATCCTAGACGATATGAAGACCGCGCACATACATATAATTCGCGCGGAATGGACATCAGCTATTCATCTGACGGGACGCGCCATGGGAGCCGTATCCGAAGAGGACCTGCAATCAACCCTTCGTATTTGGCAAGACATGGAGCACCGAGCTGGTCTAAAGGGTGGTTATGTCACGTTCAACGTGCTCTTCAATATCGCTGTTAAAGCGGGGAAATACTCGCTGGCCGAGACCTTCATGAAAGAGATGCAGGCTCGAAACCTGCCCATGCATCGACATTACCGTGTAGCACTTCTCTACTACCACGGCGTTTTGCAAAACGGGAATGCCGTTAGGAGGGCATATCTGGACCTTGTTTCGGCGGGAGACATTGTAGACACTGTTGTCATGAACGCGGTCATAGCATCTCTGATGCGGGCTGGTGAGCCTTCAGCCGCTGAACATGTCTTCGAGCGCATGAAGCGTCTGCACGCCATGAGGACCACCACCGCACCCGGTCACGCATTTTTCAACCGCAACTGGCGCGATCGTCGCTTCCTGGGCATGCGATTCAGAGACGAGTCGCGAAGACTGAAGAAACAGGGCAAAGACGAAGAATTGAAGCAATTACAAGACTTTGCGCCTATCGGTCCTGATTCTAGGACATATGGCATCTTAATTCGGCACCATGCAGCAGTAGCCGGCAACATTGACCGCGTGAACGAACTATTACAAGAGATGAAGTGGAACTCCGTCCCATTCGATGGCACCATCTTCATCGTCATCTTCCACGGCTTCAACGCTTTCGGCGGCGTCCGCTATACCTCGTGGACCGCCTCCCGACTCGAGAAGATATGGCAACAATACCTAAAATCTCTGAACGAAGACTTGGAGAGAACCTGGCTCTCCCGGCTCGCTGTCATCGCAGCGCTCAGGGCTTTCGGCCGATGTGCAACTCCAGAGAGGATACTGAAGGCATGGGAGGAGATCCGCGAGTTATGGCACCCAAACGAACAGGAGCTTGAGGCCGCGCTGATGGTACTGCGTAAGCTAGTACCGAGTCAACTGGATACGACACCCAGACCAGGGTTCTTCGATGGAAGAAGACCATCGTGAGCAAGCACTATCAACAGTGCCACGCGGCATTGCGTGTCAATGTACACGCGTTTTTGTATCGTCTTCCTGTAAAAGTAATCTGTGCAACTAGCCCGTGGGCACATTTGTGTATTTCCAGTATTCGGGGATATTGTGTACCGTAGAAAAGGCCGAGGTCTTATAGTACATTACACTAGATGGAGAAAGAGAAAAGAGAAACAAGGGGTCCAGGGCCGTCTCTTCTGCCATGATTCATGAATGTAATGTATACAAGGATGTACCTTTTTTAGTGAGGGCCGTTATCTCCGATTTGTTGGTCGGTGTACCCGTTTGATGACTTTGACCCTGTTACATAGATTTACTACGCACGCAATCTCTCGCTCATTTCAGTTCGAAGGATGCAAACATGGAATTTTGTGAAAGTCGGTTTTTTTGTGGAATGGCGTTGTTGTAGTTGGGCTTGGTCAATGCATGTGCCCGGCTGGCATTGGCGAGTTGCGTCAGTAGAATCCTAGTCAGATGCGTTACGATGTCTGAGTAACGACAGCAATGTAGACAACTCGCGGAAGCTGGAAGATCAAGATTGGAACCTCTATACACGGGCTACATCTCTGCTTCTTTGAGTACGGCATCCCTTCTGCTCCTTGCGCGCTCGGTGAGCTTACAGACCTTATTACACTCGTCAGTTATTCGTGCAGAGTCCTCAATCTGATGATCAGAGGAACATCTGGGAAGTACGGATTTGAATGCCAAACCTAGTCAGAGAAGACACCCGTAGGATGTCCTGACGCAAGTCAATCCACACATTCAAGGTCAGTTACGAAGATTGGAATGGTTGCTGTTACGCTTCCAATACACCCTGTCTTTCAAGGCCAGGTTGTCGGTGTTGCGCCCGGCGGGGCATCTTCAAAGGTCTTGGTTAAGGGCGTCAGGTCCTTCATGATAAGTAAGAAGCTTCTGCTTGAGCAACTGCCCGCACCTGACACTAGGAAGGTTGTTATTGCTTTGCAAATGTCCCTCAAACGGCCTTCGAAAGTCGAAAAATAGTTCACGACCTGCACATCCAGTCGAAGGGTACATCAATATAACAGCGAAAGCGTTTGTCTGAAGAATTCAGCTGGCGGAGAAAAGATCCGTCGATGCGGGTTATACAGGAATGCGAGCAATTGGCACGTGTCGCTGGAAGATGCACTCAGACGACCCAAACTAAACACATCCGCCGGATGACCACGCAGAGACTTGGGTAAGCTAAAAAAGATAGCAAGAAGGGTTGAGCAACCTTGTGTTTTTCCGCGACCGCAAATCAGTGCCATGCCTCTAAGATTCCTCAGACCGCGACAATGTCCAGGTGGAGGGCTCCCGCAAACGTTTTCGGGCCGCAGGTAACGGCCTGCTTATGCATAACAGCGGCGAAGGGTTAAATGGACTTGTGCTCTAACGTCTAGACGCGTCCCGGGTCAGTGCTAGCATTCAGACCGACCGCAACGATAGGAGTAGTCAAGAGCCGATGCTCGCCGGTCGCATTCCATCTCTCAGCGATTAAACCATCTTACCATTACAGTGCAGCTACTTCTGATGTCTCCAGGTCGCTCTCCAAAACGGAACGTTACTTTCTACCTGTTAAATGTTACTAGATTGCGTAAAGGAATGTGATGTGCTAGGTTGAAGATGCGAAATCGGTGCCTCGACGTGCCGCATCTCCGATGGCACATCCGTCTTTGAGCTCTTCAATCTCTTCAACCTCAGTGAATCAACTGCGTTCGGGTAACAGATTTCCCTATGAACATTATTTCGCCACTCCTTCTCTTTAGAGCTACGCAAGATCTCTTCGCGTATCGTCATGACGCGTGTTGATACAAGATTCGGCAATCTTGCCCGACAATCGTCCCTATGATCTCGCCGTAGGAATGAAACTGTGCGTCGGAGGATCCATTGAAGGAACATGATGCAAGCGTATCGCTTGGCGAACCCGAGCGTTGGTACCTTATAGCATTGTTCTTACCCTTGCCAAGTGGTCGGGATCCCAGTACAGGAGATGAAACGGGATCCTGTGCCGATGAATTGCGATTAGCGCGAATCCCAAAGAAGAAAGACAAGATTAATCGACGAGTCATATGGCGTCAGACATCAACAATTGGCCCGGAAATTTCGACCGTTCCTTGTCTGAGGATCCGTGGCGGCTTGCATTGCAGAATAAATCTGATGATGGTATCAATGGCCAGTGCTCCTTGTGTAGGAGAACGCGAAGGATACAAACTCCAGCCAATCCTTTTGTTTTCTACACAATATTGCGGCTGTCTACTTGCGATGTACCAGGTTCCCGAACCAGCATTCGTCGAAGACGGCGTGCTTTGAATGTCACTCCTTGTACCCTTGTACGTAAGTTGGAGTCAGGGGATGCGGCGTGACACCTCGGAACGAAGCCACACAAGAACGGCGTGGCCGAGCGTGCCTCGGAGCAAAGAAGAACATCAACCTCAGTTCTTTTGAATCATCAAATACAGCAAGCAGAGACTGGGGGATGCATGCGAGCAGGTTACCGGATCCGTGGGAGGTTCAAAAGCAATCCCTTGCGCAACGTCCTCACCACCGTAGTGGAACTTACAATCGTGGCACGCACGAGCAGCATGTGGAGCGGATCCTAAAGGTCGGAAATCGTGCGTTCAGGATGCCTTTCCCCAACGATACCCCTGCATAGAGTTTGGGCGAGGACCTGTCAAATGCAACCATCCGCGGATTCAAGTTCGCTTATCATGTAGCGCGAAGCCTCCACCTGCGTTAGCCCTGCGCGGACGGCATGAAGCTTACTTGGCAACGGCCATGAATCGTCAACCGTAGCTTCGTGGGAGAAGGCGGCAGACGGCATCCTGTCAGTCATTAGGGCTTTCGGTCCCGCTGTGTAGCGTGGGTCGCAGCCCTTATAACAATTCTGCATCTTCCATAGCAGCGCCGGCGCTGGTGTTCACACCAAGACGTTCATCAAGATGGGCCTAACATGGGAGGAAATATATACGCAGATGCTGCTAGACGCTCCGGACCCAGATGAGCCGCTGCCTTTATCAAATCGCAGGGCGACCATGTTCGGCACTGCGCTCACTTTCTTGGTACGATGATATGATGTCCCTCAATGCTTCATCTACTAACCCCGCACATAGATCGTGGCATGGTTCGCAGTCTTCTTTCGTCTCTGGGTCCGCATCAAGATTGTGAAGGAAGTGGGTTGGGATGATGGCTTTGTGTTTCTTGCTCAGGTACGTTCACCGTCATGGTTCTATACATACGGCATGAAGCTAACTATGTTCCAGTCCTTGAACACTGCAGCGACAGTTGTCATGTGTCTTTCGGTCAAAACTGGCCTTGGTCAGCACATGCTCTATATTGGTTACAACCGTCTAGTAGAGTACTTGAGAGTATGTATGTTCCTCGACTCGGATGTGTATGGTTCATTAACTAAGCTAGCTGTACTACATTGAATTAGCCATATACATCACCAACTGCGCCGTCATCAAGATCGCTCTTCTCCTCCAATACCTCCGCATCTTCAAGGCCGGACACATGCGATGGATTTGTATCGGTCTTCTCGTCGCCGTAACTCTCTGGGGTATCGCATTCTCCTTCGCTGGCTGGTTCCCCTGCTTCCCTGTTCGCGGCTACTGGAACCGTGTTGTCGCCGCAAAATGCTACGGTTTCGGTTTCGGAGATCTCGATAGCTTTATCGCGACGTACAAGGCGCATTCGGCCACCAACATGATGTTCGACATCTTTATCTTCCTTGCACCGATGGTGTTGTTCCGAACAACAAACCTGCGCTCCAAGAATGTGTTGGCAATGGCTGGCGTATTCACCTTTGGTGCTGTGTAAGTGGCTCATCCCTTTCAGGCAAGGCTTCTTATGCTAACACTCCCATAGTGTTGTCGGAACATCAGTGTGGCGTCTCCACGGCATCGTCGAAACCAAAGGCGCGACTTACCCCTACGTCGACTACACCTGGTGGTCACCAACTCTCATCGTACTCTCCTGTCTCGAAATTGACCTCGCCATCATCTGCGCCTCAATGCCCATCTTCTGGCCCATAATCGAAAAGTCACTTAGCGCCATCTTTGTCAGTTACGAAGTCCAAGTCGTGGAGGAGCGCGTCGACGACTACGGTCTTACATACGAACTCGAGCACATGAAGGGGGAAGACAGGGCATGCAGTATTAAGAGTAGTGGAACGAGTACACAGGAGCTAACCAACGATGATGAGGAGGCAAATCTGAGGAGGCAAGCCTTCACCGTTGGCGTTGATCCGCTAAGTGAGGAGCAGAAGAGTGGTGGATTGAGTACAAATGTCCATTCGAATGCGCAGCCGAAATGGCAGTTATAGATGATGCATATACATATCAGAATTGCACACATCAGATACATACACTCGTACTACGTACACGTTACTCGTTGTGGCTATCGACAATAGTAATGTCTTCTCAGTACTTCACTTTCCTACTCCCCACCGCTAGCAACTAACCATCGACACACTCTAAGCACCACGATACGTCACTCTACGATACGACTCGGGCCGTCACGAAACCTCATGTCACACCCCACACTTGCATAGGCATATCGTAACCCTGATAACAACGCCCCGCCAACGTGAAACACAAAACCACCGAAACCCCTGTCGGCACATGCGCAAAACTACCTTGTTCTCCCATGCACATGTACCTTACCTAGGTACGGCCGAACAGCATATGTCGGATCAAGTTACAATTTTGCAATACCAGTGCATATCATGGACCGCCTAGATCTATTAAGTCTGTCTCACGCTATTACTATACTAGGGATCTACTCCGCGCGGGCATATTTCTCCGGGCCTTTAGTGGGGTGCGCGTTCTGATTGCCACGGAGGAGACGCGTGGTGATGCCATGAAGATTTGTTGCAGTTTGCATGTGAAGGGCTGGGTGTGTGAGTACCTGGACGGGAGGGGAAGGGTGGAAGGTGGAAAATAGGGCAGTATGGTGGTAGTCGTGCAGCTGCATAGTCGGTCCGATTAAAGGCATATCGATAATGAGGCTGGCTAAGAAAGACCATCTGGCGTTGCGCGAAAAGTTTCATCCAAGAAGGTGTAAGAAACTTGAGCGAAGATGGTGTCTGTATGGTAGAAGGGTGTGTAGGCTGGTGGTGTGTAAGCTTGTCCGACAACTATACTTTTTGCACTGGTGCTCTCGCCATTATTGTCAGCCCTTCACTACCCATTATTGTTTTTGCCGCAGTCTCCATACTCAGACAGCTCTCGTGTCATTAACTCGTCTATATTCATTCTTCATTCGTCGAGTTTCTGTTTACGCAATCGGAACATCTTGACCATCATGCTTCTCGAGACATGTCGGTCTGTTATTGCCGTATACCTAGGCTACTTTTCTACGCGAACGCGAAGCCACCGATGTTCCAAAGACCTTTAAAACCCCCGCACCCTGGTTTCAAGGCAGGTTGCCTTACTCCGGCACTTTCTGGTGGGATGATCGCCGCACCGGTCTAGTTAGACTTGGATGAACACCGCTGTTGAGGAGCTAGCGGTTAAATGTGTGTGTAGTGGTTTGAGAAGACGACGGTTTTAGCTTTCGATGCTTTTCCAGCGTGCACTTGCTTTTGCAGATCTAGGTGCACATCACCCGCTTGACCGATCAAGGTACGTATCAAAGCTTGTGTTCCCGGATGGCGCGTCGTGGCGTTCGCACCTGAGCTGTAGGGTAAATAGCACGCTCTTATGAGGAGGGTTATCGGTAGGGTTCCGAGTGCCGGTGCATTCTGGTAGCGCATGCACCGGCGCATCGAGTGACTTCTCTTCGCACTCTCGTGGAAAGTATATTCATCTAGAAAACCCAGGCTGTATCAAGGTGACGTAGAAGTGGTAACGCTTTCCATGAATGTGGCAGGGCGCGTTGATGGGGACGCGACTTAGCGTGAACGAGCTGCATGTGGAAAGCGGGGATGGACACTTTCCACGTTTCCACACCTTACTCAGGCACACAACACATCGCGGACACCACAACACATTTCGAGAGTTGTTCTCCTGGATTGATTGTTCAAACAAATCACGAAAATAACATTACAAACAGAATTATTGTACAATGGGGGTGGGTGAAAGGAAACGAGGGCGGCTGGTCGAACATGTTTTCGCACGAGCGAAATCCGTTCTCCCCAGGTTTGACCACAACGCGCCTAACCTGCGCCTCATAAGTCAGGAGAACGCCGAACTTCGGGACCTTCAAAGCCCCGAGGCTCAGACCTGCACAAGTATTATACAATCCTCAACTTACCCATGACATTGCCCCATAACGAACGTAACATTATAGCTGAAACCGGAGATGTCTTTTTAACACTATGCAATCCTTGCGCAGCCTTTGCTGTCTGGGAACAAGCTGTCGAGGAGAATAATGGGATTGAACACACGGCAGGAGAACGAGATGAACAGCAAGACGAACCACTACATGATTCGACTTCCGATGCATTGACTGACGACTCAAGCCGACCTGCGCCAAGCGAGGCCACCCGCCCTGCTGTAGTCTACCAAGTCTCATCGCAGCACCTAATCTCTGCTTCACCAAAGTTCAAGAGCGAATTCACATCATGGAATGAGAGTCTCTAAGGGGACGATGGTTTTTATCATGTAAACACCACGGACTGGGATCCGAAAGCCTTCGGCATGTTATTGAACATCTTGCATCTCCGCTTTCGTCAAGTGCCGAGGTCACTAAGTCTCGAATTCCTTGCCAAATTAGCTATGCTAGTGGATTATTACAGGTGCTGGGAGGCTTTCGACTTGATTGCCGAGGTATGGATAACTGATCTTCGGGCAAGGTACGCTGGTCCGACAACTTATGGCCGGGAACTGATGTTATGGATGCTCGTTTCCTGGGTTTCCAAGCTGGAAACGGAGTTCAACCTGTCCACTTTGATGGCTTTACGACAGAGCGATGAGACAGTTTTACGGGACATGGAATTGGGCACTCCACCAGCTATACTTCGTAAGTAATACGTAGCCAGATTGTGATAGCGTGTTATTGACTTTAGTAGAAACATTGGAGGCTCGTCGGTCAGAACTGATTCAAGAAGCAATAGGTGTCTGTCAGGGATGGTTCGACAAGTTCTGCGGTACCTATACGTGTATTGAGGACAAAAACCAGTCCTTCGAATGTGGCTCCGTGCTTCTCGGCACACTCACGAAACCAATGAATAGCATGGGCATATTGTCCCCGAAACCAGCTGCACCTTACAGTGGCTTCGGTTTGGAGAGATTCCAGCACCGCATCAAGTCGATAAACACGCCTGGTTGGCACGTCCGGTACAAGCATGGATTTAGCGCACGTCTCTGTAGATCTAGTAACACAAGCGGTTCAACATTTCAAGCGTTCCATGAAGTCTACCAGCCGTCGTTGGAGACCCTTTCCATCTGTCGGGCGTTGATTCAATTGTCGTACCCAGTATTCTTGTAGTGTGGCGTGGAATGTTGCCACGAAAGCAAAGATAACCCTGCAATACTTCGATTTGAATTCTATGTGACGCTACGAACGTGTTCTACTGTGCATCCTGCTGAGCTAGTTCCTGACACTCGCCACAAGCAACTAGATATCGCCACCCCTCTTGCTCCTCCAGTACTTTGACACCATAACTCTACCGACATCGTGAGCCTTTTCATATTCTCCATTGTGTTTCATGGTAAAGCTTACTGTAAGGGTCTAGCACTCCCGTCTGTACTGGCACTGGCAGTCGTAGCAATTGCAGGGCGTCCTGCAATCTGGATAATCAACATCCGTGTAATACCCTGGGCTATTACCGCAATACTCGTTTGGGTCTCAGTAGTTCGCGTTGATTGAGCACTCGCCTTCAATGCAGCTGCCTTTGAAGAAGGATCGTTTGGCCGAGGCGACGGGCACAAGAAGGGCGACGAGTCACTGGAGCAGTGTGCAGAGATCCAGAGTAGCAGGGTGGATAACATCCTTCTTCACCTTCACAGTCACATCATGGCGGAGCACAGTAGCCCCTATGTCATTCAGGCGACACACAATCATTGTCACAACTGATACAGCTCCCGGTTGGTTTTTAAGTGTTGGTTGGTAGCATCCAGCTCATGTACAATCAGCTTGTTACGCACTTGCTATCACATGCTTTCATCTACAGCAAGCATACTGACTCTTATAGGCAGCTATCATCTCATGTTAGAGCAGATTACCGAACTTTCTTACTTCCACTTACATTCGAGATCAATCCACTCGATCACGACATATGGCACCCTCAACTCCTGACACGGTAGTTTTTCCCAGGTATGTACTTTCCAGCATATTGGGACATATTAATGATTTCTACACAGTGTGGCATCGGTTGAAGAAACGATTATAGTCAAAATTGGCGAAGAAGGCAAGGAGTACATTCTAAATACCGAAGTCCTCAAGCGTCACACCGGCTACTTTCGCGGAGCACTCTCCGGTGCATTCAGGGAGACGGATGATGGTGTTATCAAGATTACCGATGTCGAGATCGATGCATTTGACACCTTCGCTGATTGGTTGAACAATGGAAACGTGGGAGCAGACGTCTACACAGACCGCGGTTGTCATCCGAGTATAGCGACTCAGAGTTATGTTCTAGCAGACAGGTTGATCGTTCCCGGGCTGAAGTCTGCACTAATGGACGGTTATTTTACTCGTGTCACGCCGCCAGTGCCATGGTTTCCCACTTCCTGTCTTATCACCTACGCTCTCTCGAATCTGCCCGATAATGATCCTTTGCTTCGGCTTTGTGTGGATGTGTGGGCCGTCGAAGATATTGTCTATACGGTGTTCAAGCATTGGAAAGCTGAGTTCTCAGCGTTGCCGGAGGAATTTCTCGTTCGTTTGATCCGAAAAATGCATGAAATAGGTCGGGGATCAAATGTTGTTTTGAAGCGCGAAGATTACAACGAGGTTACGGGGCTCGATGGATAGGTGAGCGGCTCATCCATATATCAGGAGGGCTCAAGAAGCGTTGACTTGCAGGCAGGGTTCCATCAACGGTAGTTCTACATCAACGGCCTCTCTCAAATTCGGAAACTCATTAGGTACTAGAATCGGCGCTTGCTATTTCCTACTCCACATTCTACTGACGTAGTGTGTCTCGAACGGTTAAGCTGGCGAGATCTGTTTGACCATGCTTTTCCATCATTAATCGAGTAGGTAAAATTGAAGAAGAAATGCTAATTGCAAGAAACGCAAGGGTGATAATGTACTATGTCATCTCTCGGTCAACCACCATAGTATAGCTGATGAGGGCGTGTTGCTTCTCTTTCCAGATGTATAATCTCCTCCACCATCCATCGGTATTGAGCGTGCCAGATCACCACTAGTGCTATCTACTTTCGCCAGTGCTGACAGTGACGACAGATCCCCAATACGTACAACGAAACAATGAAGAAGCTCGGTTTTAAAGCCCCTCGCCAAAGGTAAGCGGCTGAGCGTGCATTACTCAAACTTGGGCATGCTTCTTATCTCACACAGTGCCGCTGCCGCATCAGATACTATCGTCGTCGCGGTTGGAAATTAACAAAAGCGTTATACACTACACAGGCGGCTGTTGAGAGATTGAGAGAGAAAATCGGGGTACAGTCTTTATGGTGAACAGCGTTGATACTACTATAGCGGCGGAAAATGAGACAGTGTTGGTCTTTGTCTTTCGCAGCTGCAGGCGGGGCCTGTGCTTATATAAGTGAGGCTCCGCTGCCTTGTTAGCGTCGCGCTACAAGCTTCCCCAGCGCCATTCGTCATTTCGTGTGAGCAACATTACCTTCACCTGCGTCAGCTGCCTCCTAGCCTACAAAACCTTCAATAGTCACTTACACGTTGTCACGTTCAGTGCTTAGTCTAATTACACTAAAAGTGAACTACTAGCGCCCACGGTCGCAGCTTAATCACCGTTCACGGCCCGGAACATTCACGTTAGCCCGGTAAGTCAAGGGCGGTCCGCTAAGTGTTCTCATTTACTGACGTGTTTCCTAGACATACAACCATACCTGAACCATCATGTCCGACGCCGAGATTGAACAGAAGCGCGAGGAAGATGAGCGTCTCGATACCGCGGAAGATCCCAACGAAGAGGTACGATACGATCCACCCCGGCGCGCGCGAGAAACTGTTAGAAAGGACAACACTGCCAGGAGTTGCACACGGAAACAAGTTTCGATTATGAAAGGGAGCATGCTAACAGCGCAATGTAGGAGGAGATCTCAGCAATGAGGCGTCGCGTACAGGAGATGGAGGAAGAAGCCCAGAAGCTGCGCCAGATGCAAAGCGAGACCGATCTCGAACGCCACGAGATGCGCGAGAGCAAAGAAGACGTCGACGCGCGAAGTGTCTTTGTCGGCAACGTCGACTACGGCGCGAGCCCAGAAGAGATCCAGGCACACTTCCAGAGCATCGGGAGCATCAACCGTGTTACCATATTGCTGGACAAGTTCACCGGTCATCCTAAAGGGTCAGTACTAAGAGGAGGTTTCCTTTGAAGATTTGCGCATTTCCATATTTTGCTTTGACGCATTCAACAGTTTGCGCGCAACTAGTCGCGTAAGGTTGGAATCACAGTCGTCGCGAAAGTATCTTTCGCTACCTGGCAAGAGTTTGGCAGAAAGATCGGAACGCTAATGAGCGTATGCAGGTATGCGTATGTGGAGTTCACAGAACCACATCTAGTCAATGAGGCCTTGGTCCTTGACAACAGCCAGTTCCGCAGCCGGAATCTAAAGGTACGAGACACAGAACATTTCACGTCAGATGCGCGACCTAAAACTGACTTGCGTTCAGGTCGTCCCTAAGCGAACGAACCTTCCCGGTATGACACGAGGCGGACGCGGCGGCCGAGGTGGCCCTCGAGGCGGAGGATACGGCGGTCGCGGCTCACCATATGGACGCGGTGGATATGGTGGCGGCTACGGCGGCGGCGCTCCACGAGGAGGCGGCTACCGTGGTGGATACCGCGGCGGAAGAGGCGGGTCAGCATACCGCCCATACTAGGTGTGACACGAATTTGGCACGCACTATACCATGAGACTTCGGTCGCCTTTCCTATCACTTTTGGGTTTCAATGCAGGGGCTGGCGAGGGGCACAAAATTGGATGGGAATCGTGGGGAGATCTGTAAGACTGAGGCTTGTACTATTAAAGGATAATTGTCGGGCACATGTCGTGAGGGAGCAGCAAATGGGCTGCTAGACTTCTTATCACCGGATTTCTGAATGACCGGATGGTTTTAATATATTTTACATCACTTTGCTGCATGCTGTCTTTTGATCATGTAATTACCGGTGTTGCTTCAATCACATGATTCAGTGGCTTTACTTTCCCTCGAGTATCCTCACCGTCACAATCTTTTGTCTTCAGTGCCGTATGCGCAAGCAATCTTACCAGCGGCCAGTATATATGAGTGAATCATGTATGTTATTCTCTAGGCGATATGCCAGAAGACTAGGAAGAAGTTAGGTATCATAAGCCATATAAGGCTCTTCTCCCCATCTAAGCACTCGTATCATGCTCGATTGCTGCCCTAAACGCCAGGATCCGTATTGTATTCGTCAAAGACGTCAATACCAATCGTGCCGAAGCCAAGAAGTCAAAGGAAAAAAGCAGGAGCACATCGACCTTGCCTTGACGACACCTGCGGTTGAGCGGAGGATTATTTCCAAATATCAGCTCTTCTCCCATTTCACGAGACAACTGCTCCACTCTCCCGCTTAACCAATCCGGCCAAATTTCTTTGTCCGATTCTTCAATCTCTTTGGGCTGTGTATCCATCTCTTTATCGTCATACTACGGCGCTGGGTTCTCCTTGACGATCTGTTTGACCTTTCGCTCATACGCGGCCTTGTCTTTCTTGAACAGATTGAACGCGTCGGCTTGCGCTGGAGACTCTGGGTTAGGCTCGTCGAGAAGTGATTGTATGCCTAGAAGGATCTCCTTGATGTTTATCGCGGGTTTCCAGCCTTCTTCTTCGTTCAGGATGCTCAGGCAGACGGTGCCGGACGGGTAGACGTTTGGGTGGAATAGCGGGGGGACGAATTTGCCTGCTTTACGTGTTAGCGGGATTCGTGAGACTGTTGCAGGGGCTGCAAGAACGGAGGCCGCTCATCAACGGATGTGGACGTACACTTTGGAGGCTTTGTTGGGTACTCATCCGGGAATGCGACCTCGAGCTTGAAGAGACCGCCTTCCCATATAGTCTTCTCTTTACCGGGTACACCGCATTCCCACCGCTTGAGGTCCATCATGCCGTTGGCGCCGCGCATTGGCTTTGCGAAGAAGCCAAAGGGGTGGTCTCGTCGCCATGACTTTCTAGCATCTGAGTTAGCGGAGCCTAGGTGCGCTGAAGAGTAAGTGCGCGTACCTCTCTTCTGACAGTCGATTCACGCAAAGAGACATGGTGAGGGTGTAGATCTAAGGCTGTTGCGCCTCTAGCTTGTCCGGTGGGTTTATGTGATAAAGTATTGACGAAGCGAGTAGTAGAGAGAGAAGATTCTAGAGATCGCGAATTGTAGATAGCGAGCTATCGTGTGTGGCGTCGCGCTTGTATACGTCCTAAGAGTGTGGTAAAGGTGACGATGAAACACCTTCGAGGACAAGGTGAAGTTGAGTTACGGTTGCACGTGACTGACAACAATTATCGGGCGCCACAGCGTTGGGATTCGGGCTAGATCCCGTCGCGAGGTGGAAGGTGCGATGCGCGATCTGCCCCGCGCTAGGTCTTGGCTTGATGCCCCGCTTATGTGTGATTGAGTGCCTATTCGCGGGCCGAGGCTGATATGGCACATGCCTACTCCTAACAGCTACGATCTACTTCACCTGTTTCTGTTCGTATTACTCATAATCCAAGTAGCCTTTACCTCTACTTCGGAGTGATTCTACAGCAAGATGGCAGATACGGCCGTGAAGAAGGAAGAGCAGGAGCCTGCCAAACCAGCAGCCACCGCTGCCCCTCCACCCGAGGTAGCGTCAGATCCTGAGGAAGACGACCTTTCCGACCTTGACGACGTACTCGACGAATTCGCAAACACCAAGCTCGATGCCAAAGCTCCAACTGCCTCGTCGATAGAAGCAGCCTACCCCAAGTCCAGCGATGCGCCGTCATCCTCCGGGCCCGGTAGGCCACCCTCAGACATCTCGCCTGCCGAACTCATGATGGAAGACCCGGATGCTTTCCAGGAACAACTCAAGAAGGAGATGGAACAGCTCCTTGGACAGGGCGACTTCCAGAAACAGTTTGAGGATATTATGAAGGAGATGAGTGAGGAGATGGGTGGCGCGAACCCGCTTCAAGATCCTGGACATATACACGCACATGCACACGAGCATACCGGTGAGGGTGCAAGTGAAACAAAGGAGAAGGCAGCACCTAGCCAGTCTGAGAAGGAAACCGCTGCGAAAGCGGAGAAGAGCTTCCAAGAAACTATCAAGAAGACTATGGAGCGCATGCAGTCCTCCTCCGATACCGCTACCTCCGCCGCCGCATCCTCTTCCCAAGACGACATCCTTGCGCAGATGCTCGCGTCCATGGAATCCGGCGGTTTCGGTGGTGGCGAAGGAGGTGACGAAGACTTCAGCAAAGTGCTCATGGGCATGATGGAGCAGCTTACCAACAAGGACATCCTCTACGAACCGATGAAGGAGCTAGATGACAAATTTCCGGCGTGGATGGATAAGAACAAGGAAAAGACGGAGAAGGATGACCTCAAGAGGTATGAGGAACAGCAGACATTGGTCAGAGAGATCGTGGGCAGGTTTGAAAGGAAAGGGTACAGCGACGACAACCCGCAGGACAGGGAATACATCGTTGAGCGGATGCAGAAGGTATGTGATTGCTTTCTGACGCTCAATGCTATGAATGCTAATACTATATAGATGCAAGCCGCTGGCTCTCCACCGCCTGATCTGGTTGGCGATATGAACGCTGCGCAGGAAGCGCTTCAGGATATGGATCAGGGCTGCCCGACTCAGTGATCTCCTTGTGCGATAGCTTGTCTGCTTCATTCTTCCCAGATACCCAATATATACATGATGTCTTCCCCCAAACAGTCTGTTCCATTGAATTGTCAAGGTATTCTACAACATGTGTATTGCTCCTACGCCTTCATCACAGAGCCACCATCTTAAAAGCGACTTCTTGATGAAGCCGCGTACATCTCGTGTCGGAACACTCTTCAGCCATCCGTCATATCCATATCCATCACGTCTTCACCATTGAACGCGTCATGCACGCGTCGCGGCTGTTGCTGAAATTGATCATGCCCCGCCGTCGCGCACTCCATGAATATCGAATCGTAGTCGTCATCGTCGCTACCGTAATGCTGTGACCGTGCATCCGATTCTTGCTCCATTGACGCAATCAACTGTTGTAACTCGTACTCTTCTTGTGCAGCGACGTAGTCGGCTTCCGTCATCTCGGGATCGTACTGAGGCGCATAGTTTGGTAATTCAGGTAGCGTCGCGTCGTCCAGCATGTCGTCGATGATGTCATCGTTTTCTTGTGGTGCTTGACGCGCTTTCTCGGCTTCCCAGCGTTTGCGCTCGGACACGAAGTCTAGTTGTTGGATCTGCATTGTGAATTAGCATCGATACTCATGTCTGCATAGCAACATCACGTACCTGTTCACCCCGCGATTGCCACTTCTTGTCATCCCGGTCGTTCTGCACGCGCTTGAAGAACATGTCCCTCCTTCGCTTTGTAGTGGCGTCGCGCGTCTGCATCACAGGGTTGACCTTGAACGCGCGTTGTGGCATCGCGGATTTCTCTTTGAGGGGTGAGGACATGCTGAAGTCGAATGTCCGTGGGCTTGTATTTGCAGAGCGCTCAGAGAGTGGTGATGATCGCGGTGGCGTGTATGCGGAGTAGTGCGGCATTTGGTGCGAAAAGAACGATGCTGTGAGCATCATGTTTTGTCGTGACGTGGATTGATAGTGGTGGTATGAGGGTAGGATTTGTAGAGGTGTGCGATAGATGTTGAGATGTGATGGAGATTTGTGCGAATGAAATTGGGAGGGAGAGCGATGATGCAGGCGCGAAATGGACGGAAGGCGCGCTCGCGCGATGGTAGGTGCGTATCGATAAGTCACGTGACCTTTTATCAATCTCGACATATCTAGTCAACATCGATTCCTTTAACTGTGACATCTTTTCTCGGTACTAACTGCATGATGGACGCTTCAATACCCACCCAAGCAACAACACGATCAATTGCGAGCGTAAAGAAAGATCCTTCAACGTCCAGATGCTACCCACAATGACACAACTCTTGCAGGATCAGGGCGGAAGACTCTCATTCATCATTGACTTCACCCTTTAGGCTTCTGCATCTTCCACCCCTTAGTTAACAAACCGGATCGACGCGCTACGTGCCGCAGGTGCGGAGGTACCGGCGTCAGTTGGTGCATTCTCGCGACACGGACCCACTTGGAGCTTGAAGCAGTCGCACAGCATCGATGAGAATTTCCATACAAGACGAGGAGGAGTTTTAGCTCACATCCTGCCGCGGAGCTTTGGTCGACAACGTGTTGAAGATGTTCGGAGAGCCGATCGCTCCAAACGAGGTCATGTTGGTAGGCCCTTTGGAGTGCCTCTGTTTCGATTACTATGAAAGCCGTTGGTATTTTGGAAAAGAGAAGGCAGATAAGGTCGACCCATTCGCGTTCCGTATGAGCAGCGTTGATCTTCGAGAGGTTCAACTGCTCGGCACAGCTGCTGAACAGATCACTGGAGTATTGGAGTGCTTGAAAGATGATGCCTCTGAAGAGCTCCGCCATAGTATGCGCACTTGATGAAGTGCGGGTCAGCGGTAGATTCCAGAATACGCATTGGTTACTGAGCTTCAGATTCTCGATCACATTTGTTGCCAGTTCTTTCGCTTGCTTCTGCGCACGAAGGCCAACCTGCACAACCAAGAGCAACGATCCCTTTCCTAGAGCCCAATCCATAATTGTCTTTCGCATTTTCTGTTCATTAGGGCTAGGCAGCGTTGGTGTCAAGTCCCGACGCACGAAGGACTGAACTGTAAGAAGTGCCATCTCGGGCAATATCTTCGGCTTGAAGAATTGCATCACTCCATTAACTCGATGCGATATGCTGTTTTGCTTATGCTGCAAACGTCAACGCCTATCCGCTCTGTGATACTTTTGTGCGAAGTTGCAACCCGCAGTAACTGAACCACCTGGGCTTTGAATTGTTTTTGCTCTTCGAGCACTTTGAGGAGCTTCACATCGAGCTCCCGAATCTGTGCATGTTGCAGCTCTGTTAGAGTGCGGACGTCACGGGTTTTAACTCGAGCACCCGCGTTAGCGAGGTCATCCACCGCTTTCGAACATAGCTGGATCTGCTCCACCAGCTCTTGGTACTTGAGTTCAAAAGGCGACTTCAATGCAGACCAGAGCCGGCCTAGCGGACTCCTGTTGTACTATCGAACGCAGTGGCGGAAAAAGAGGATAATGTACGCCGAAAATGTTGAGAAGTATCTTGAATCAGCTCTCTACGTTGGAAGTACTTGGGACTGCGTGGTTCTACTGGATGAAGCAGACGTGTTTCTCAAAGAGAGAACAAAGATGGGTCTTCAGCGCAATGCGCTAGTCTCCGTGTTCCTGCGCGTTTTGGAATACTACGATGGCATCTTGATCTTGACGACTAATCGTATCGGCACCTTCGACGAGGCATTCAAGTCCCGCATTCAGCTCGCGCTCCACTACCCACCGCTGGATAGAGACGGTCGTTGGGAGGTCTTGAGAAATTTTGTCCAATCGTTGTCGGAAGCTGGTGAGAACATCGACAACAAAGAAATCAGCAAAAAGCTTGACATCCTCGCACGATATAAACTGAACGGCCGGCAGATTAGAAACACGATCAGCACTGCTCGGCAGCTAGCACAATACAAAAAGGAAACGTTACGCTATGCGCATGTAGACCAGGCGGTTGGAGTGGTCAACGAGTTCGAGAAGTACGTCACGGATGTACACGGTCATGATGATGAGGAATATGCGCGAGATCAAGGCTTGAGAAACGATGGGATTCCGCGTGAGGTAGACTGAGTAACGTCCTCGATTTTAACGACTTTACTTTGTAACTTTCCATGTTTTATTTTATCCCTAACCAAATCGCTCCTCGTGGGATGGATTGGTAGTATCAGCTTCCGGTTATCTGGTCGAGTTCGGGACGAACATAGACGGGATCAAACAGCTTCTTCGTAGCCATATCATTAGAAAGCTGCTAAGAAGGTTGCAATGTTTGTTGTACGACCACAATCTGGGCAACAAGCCGCAAACATTTCAATTCAGTGACTTCATTCCAATTTATTGTCTGGACACCTCAGCTTTGAATCAATTTCTCATGTTGGTGGGAACGTGCGTTCTCTTGCTCTGTGGGCTATCGGGTATTTTAGAGTTGCGACAACTTATCACTTCGTCTTTAGAACCTTGATCTTACTTCTCTGTCTTCTGTGAGGATATGATACTGAAGTCGTAAATTCTACCCCGAAGCAGTGGTGCTGATACTGTTGATGGTATTCGGAAGAAAGCCGTGACCAGCCGCAAAGAGGATAGTATTGCCAAGGCGCTAAGATCGTGACGTCAGAGCGGATCCGCGCATCCCGGGCTTTCTCAACAGACGCATATCGTCCAGTACCCGCACGCTTTGTAGTTATGTTTTTGCAGTTCAGTAACCTACTCTAGTACCGAGATAGTGGGATACCGCGCGTAGTTAGTTGCCCTCAGCATCAAATCGCTTCCATTACCTAAGCAAATCCAACTAACACGTTGCATATTCGCCGCATTTGCGACCGAACAACTCTAGACCAAACCCTAGACCTTATGCGGCCTTAATTGAAATGCACTTTGGGGGACCAAGACTAGGGAATGCCCATACGCACTTCTAGATGCTCTAGGACGATGCTAGATGCCATAGGCTGGTGGTACACAACGCCCGGCCAGTGAGGAGGTAACGCGGCTGCATTAGCCTGGTACCGTCTGAGTAGCGATAACCACACTAGCATCTTGCCGACCCGCCAGACCCATTGCCGCCTGTGTCAAGTCGGTTCGCGTCGTGTGGCGATATGCAAACTTTCACTCCGCACCCCACGATGTCTTGATCTTTAGTAGATGCAAACAGTTGCCGTCCTTCTATCACGGTCCTAATGGCGGAGTATGGAGTCTGAGGTAGCTCCTGGACGTCTTCGACCTTTTATGGCCTAGTCACCCGTGCTGCGCATCATGAGTCAACAGCCGAACAGCCGCAGGGAAACCAAGACGGACCGCCATGGGATAAGGAGAGAACGGGATGTGCTGCTTCTTTATGGCGCAGCATTTCGCAACATTCCACATGTCGGCAATTTGGAAAGCCATGTACCTCGACTATCCCTCGATTCGACTCTGACAGCCTTGTGTCAACTTACTGCCATTCGGATGGGAGCACAACGGTCCATGATATCACTCCTTGACGATGAACGCCAACACATACTTGCGGAGGCCACCTGTGACTTACCCCTACGACCAGAAGCCCCAGGTGACGCTTCGCATGCACTCTGGCTCGGGAACGTAAGCATTCCGCGGAGCTGGGGTATATGCGAAAAGGTCTTGGAATTGAATCCAAACGACGAACCAGTCCTGGTGATCAATGATCTCACCACAGATCGGAGTACATGCTTTCGAGCGGATATCCAAGGCAACTCTGATATGCGCTTTTACGCCAGCGTCGCATTGAAGTCTCCAAATGACGCGATAGTCGGAACGCTTTGCATCTTCGACACCAAGAGCCGAAATGGTCTTCTCAAAGAGGAAATAGACTTACTCAAAGACCTGGGTTCTACGGTTGTTGATTACCTGAACACGTACATGATGAGAGACCAGTACAGGCGAGGAGAGAGGTTTACACGCGGTCTTGTCTCTTTCGCTGAAGGCGCGTCTGCCCTTGTACCTTTTGATGGAGAAGCGCGGCACGATTCGTTAGTACCTTCGCAAACATCATCCGATTTATCTTCCACAACAGACAAGGAGATAGCATCTGCAGACGGTGCAAAAAATGTGCGGGATGGTGTCGCGTCAACCCAGACTACTCTGAGTCGTCCACCATCAGCGATGTCAAAGAGAACTCGTGCTAAATCTGCTCGACACCGATCAATCCGCACGCTTCGTAAGCAACATCCTCATTCAAGCCGTGTGTGAGATATACACTAACTGATATATCAAATTTAGAGGACTCTATCTTACCTACTGACTCAAAGTCCATGTTCTCACGTGCTGCAAATGTAATGATGGGCTCGAGCGATCTGGACGGTGTGCTCATACTCGATGCGAGCGTTGCCGCGAGCGGTGGACAACGTCGTAGCAATAACGCCTCGGGAAGTGGTACTGAGGCACCCTCCGAATCGTATCAGTCCAGGTCCTCTAGCGACGAGGCAAGCTCTAATAGTACTGAAGGACATCTACGCGGCGCTTCCTCGTCGAGTTCCAAGATGTGTCAGTTGCTTGGGATGGCAACTCCGAGCGATAAAGATAATCCGGACTACGGGACATTGTTGGAACCTGACCTTTCGCGCTTATTTCATGAATATCCACATGGCAAAATCTTCACATTCAACGCCGATGGTTGTTCTTTGTCGTCAACTGAGGAGGTGTCGAGCTCTAACGCCACTGAACATCTGTCACCTACCAAACCATCGAAACGCAAGACCAACGGTCGGCCACAGCGAGGATCGACTGCTATCCAGGCTATGTTTCCCAAGGCACGCAGTGTCGCTTTTATCCCCTTTTGGGATTTCGAGAGGGCCCGATGGTTCGCTGGTTGTCTATGCTGGAGCAATGATCCATATCGGTTACTGTCCGCTTCGGTGGATTTGGCATATTTCAAGATCTTCAGTCACTCAATCATGAGGGAGCTGTCAAGATTGGATGCTGTGGCTTTGAACCAGGTAAGTAGTGAGGGATGCATGGAGGTGGCAATAACTAAAGGGTTGCTATAGGCTAAGACGACGTTCGTCGCATCCATCTCACACGAGTTACGTTCGCCCTTGCACGGCATACTGGGTACACTTGAGTTTATCAAGGATACGCCGCTAGATTCATTCCAAACCAGTATGATGAACTCTTTGCACGCTTGCGGTACGACTCTTCTCGATACCATCGACCATGTTATGGACTACGCCAAGATCAGCGAGGCCAAGAAGAACGTCTCCTCCAAAAGACTGAAAAATGCAAACACGATACGACTATCCTCTAAGCCATTGAAGAACCGAAGAAGAAGAGATCCCGCATTTGATCTTAGCATCGCAACTGAAGAAGTCGTCGAAGCTGTCTTTTCTGGATCCTCATATATCCCGGTCACCTCAAAGCTCATGGAAGCGCCACTATCACCTACCGATGAATACGCAATCCCATTCCCACAACGCAAGGCACGTTTCGTCGTTCTCGATCTGGCTTGCGATGATGATTGGGTCTTCTCATTCCCGATTGGATCTTGGAGGAGAATAGTGATGAATTTATTTGGCAACGCCGTGAAGTATACGGAAACAGGATATATCCATATTTCCCTACGTTCTAGCAGCATGGGAGAGAATACCTATGCTCCTACTGCGATCACACTCACTATCACGGATACTGGCTCAGGTATGAATCCCGAGTTTCTTGCAAATCGGATCTTCCAGCCATTCTCCCAGGAGAATTCACACGCGCCCGGCACAGGCTTGGGCCTGAGCATAGTAAGACCTCCGACGTGTGAATTGCATGTAAGACATACGCTGACTTCACGCTCCAAAATCTTAGATCCGCCAGATCATCGACACGAACGGTGGCAAGGTTGAGGTCAGCAGTGACCCCCAAGTCGGCACTAAAATCATAGTCAAACTCGCTCTTACCAAACCCGAAATTCCTGGTGCACTAACGACTGAGCGAGCGCAATACTTGTCTTACCTACCGAGATTAAAAGACCGGAGGATATGCATCCTTCGCAAGAAGATAGCTGGGCCGAGCGAAAACAACAACGTCTCAAAGACGGACGAAGGCCTTTTACGCTTCACCAATGCTCTAGTCTACACCCTAGAGACACACCTTAAGATGGAGGTTGTGAAGACAACCGAGTGGGAAGGTCATCATGCCGATATCGTCATTTGTCCTGAATTGTCTTTTGACTATCTCGCTACGATTCGGGAACGGAGAGTCCATGGCCAACGCGCCCCAGTAACTATTTTTGTTGGAATGGACGCACTCGAAGCCGCGACTCTCGGTTCGGATGTCCGTGTGACAAACCGGGAATCTGTCGTTGAGATTATCACCCAACCTTGTGGACCTTACAAATTGGCTTATGTCCTCAACCGATGTCTGGATCGCTACGACCATCCGGATGAGAATCTGGAGTCCACTGGTCCGGCTAGCCCACCACCACGGCCTATGTCGCAAGAGATTCAACAGCAGACGCGTGCCTCTTCACCAATGAACTCGATGCATGAATCCATTAAGTCTCTCCACTTTGGTTCATCTAGGCCGATCGGTTCTTCTACAGCTGGGTCCACCACTGCGCAGCCTTCAATTACATCGCCTCTCGAAGAAGACCCTGATATATCGCACACGCTCATCGTTGATGACAACCTCTTGAACCGAAGGCTCCTCATTGCATTCATGAAGAAAAACGGTCTTCAGTTCGAAGAGGCATCGAACGGACAAGAAGCCTTGGACAAATACCGGGAAGGCTCGCCCAAATTCGATGTCATACTGATGGACATGTCCATGCCGGTCATGGACGGAATGAGTGCTACACGTGCCATTCGCGAATACGAACGAAATAGTAACATGCCGAAATGTTCTATAATTGCACTTACTGGCTTAGCATCGTCAAGTGCTAAGCTAGAGGCGTGGAGTTCGGGGATTGACTACTTCATGACCAAGCCGGTTAACTTCAAGGCGCTTGGAGAGCTTCTTAGAACCGATGAGACACGGAGGCACGCGAGACTGAAAAGTACAGGGGATATACGGGCTGCGGCCAACATGCCTCCTGAACGTGGTCTAGAGACGTGAGATCTTGTACAGCACATTCGTCGGCTCATTCAGAATTCAGCTCAACTCGTGTCAGAGTACTCGAGGGGCTAGCATCCACGCGGCTTTCCTTGGCCTAGGTGCACGACTGCGACTTGTCATCATTTGATACCTGCAGCATACTTCGGATCGCTGCAACCGCAAACCAACACGCCGTGCCTGCCAAAGTCAATGACGGGCCTGGAGGTTTTTCTCCAGTAGTAGGAACCACCTCCGGATCAACAGACCTGGAAAATCCAAGTACACGGTGCATTATGCACATCGCACACATACATATACAGTCGTCTATCCTAATTTCTCTCCTATACTGTTACAGTGAACTGTGGCTGTTCCAGTCCATACATCACCTTTCCATCCAACACCCAGTTGAAGAGACAAGCTCCACATCCTGATAGCGCACCAAAAGGGTTGATCTCCACTAGTTGTACGCTCCCACCCTGCTGTAATGCAACATCGAAGCTGAAACCATATTCTAGCAGCAACCCCGTCATATCCTTGCTAAGCTCTCTCCTCGTATAGGCCACAATATCCGTCAACACCGTCTTCGCACCCGCGTCAACCAGGTCCACAGTCTGTTGCAAGTTAAATCCCCATGGCGCTTCGAATACCATCGGCCACCTATACTGACTAATGGCGCTGATCGCAAATTCCGTCGCATTTGCTTCCCGCCCAGTCTTAGCAGCAGGTGGCGGCACAAAGACGCGAAACTCCTTGCCAGGATCCATAGCTTCATCCCAAGGATTCAGTACAAGCTTAATCTGCATCTCCCTATCGTCTTTCTTCGCATCCTCAAACTCCCGCGTCAGACATCCATATGCGCGCATACTGCTACAAATCCTTGTGATGACCTCTTCGACCGTTGAGCTAGGTAATTTGCCACCCATGGGGGAATCTTTTGGAGACATTTGATCAAGGCGGATAAACCATTTCCTCTTACCATCAAGTAGGGATGCTAGTTTCTTCCCAGACTTCGTACACTGCAGTGTTTCGACGACTTCGCTGAGAAGGGATGTGTGGATGCGGTTTGTTGCTACCCATGCGCTGTGACAGCGCAGTAGGTCTTCGTAGAGAAAACTGGGGAGGAGGATTTCATGGTACTCGGTTAGATTCTGGGATGCGGCGATGAGCGGATGCCAGAGTGTGTAGCCGTATGGTGTCCAGGGTGGTGTTGAGTGAGTGAAGTGTGCATTTGAGGGGACAACAGGCGTGATCTCTTCGAGGTGGTGGTGCGCGGTACTGAAGCGTTGGGAGCGGGAAGATGGGTTGGAGGAATCTTGGATGGCAGCTATGGCGGCGGAGTCGGCTGTGACGAGCGAGTAGGGGATTTTGCGGAGCTGCATTGTTGTAGATTCTCTGAATATTTGAAGGAAAGAGTTATTTGGATCGTTAAGAACAAAGTGCAGAGGTTCAAGGAGAGGTGTTACTGCAGGGTTTATAAGGTAGGTGCGGTTCTTCATGTTGGATCATAGAAGGCATGTACCGTGGTTGCAATAGAGTCCCAACATCCACATTTGGCAGGCAAAGGGCGCAACCATAACTCGACTATCTGGAAGTAGTGATCTGCCCTTTCCACAGGAGTAAAGAAGCTCGATTAAGAGCTGCAGTCTTTGGTCGCTCACTATCCATGTTATTGAGACATCTCATTCGCAGAGTATGTTGCGTTCAATGGTCACAGTATTCGGAATCTATCAGTTTAAATATCTCATGTATTCTTAGAGATAGCTGAACACATGTTCTACAAGTCACCCGCACCACCGTCTTAGTAGCAATCTCCCACTCTGCACTGTCTCTTATGCTGACCTAAGTCAGCCTGTCGTATCCTGCCATGTCGATCATCACGCACCTATTCACGGTTATTGTTCTCCAATCGCAAAGCGACACAACATACCTCAATCCACACTTTTTCCTCCTTCTCAGCTCGAACAAAATCCCATCAGATACCATTATGTAAGGATGCAGAACCACACACACACCCCTCACCGGATCATCCCCAAAAAGGATAAGGAACGACTTACCTCCTGATAAAAATGCCAATATGACCGTGAACAAGTGAAGCCGATAGTCGTCCATAGGACATGAGAAAGGAAAAAAGAAAAGAAAAGAAAAGAAAGGGAAAAAGGATACCGCACAAACACATCTGACAGCAACAAATTCCCGACTCAGAGGGCTAGGTTGAAGTCTCCTTGTTCATGTGGGTGTATGTCCACCCTTGTTTGGGTTGACGGGATAGACAAGGACAGACGATCAGTTCCTCTGCGCGAGACGAATGGGTCAAGAGGCCTGATAAGGGGGTGGTGGTGAGGGGAAATGGTGTGATTTGGACATTGTTGGTGCCTTTGGGTCACGTACATAAAGTGCTCTCGTTCGACCATCCTCTCCATCGAACGCATGATTCTAGGCTCGTTAGCATGACAGTATGAGTTTAGGAAGGTGGGATGAAAGGGGATGGATGGGTGAGTGGGTTGTGGTCGGTTGACTGCTTGATGAGAAGACAATGGGAGCGAAGGACTAGGAGCTTATAAGTATCTGGAGAGGGAGTGGTTTGCTGTCAAACGGTTGGTGTGATCAGCAGGCGTCTGTCTAGGACGCTTGTTCCTGCTCGCAAACCTGAGAACTTACCAGCGTGATCAGTTTGTTGCTTTGTCGTAACGATTGCCACTAGCAGATCTTTCCAGGCTTTTTGGAGTGATTCTTTAGAGGCACACCAGTCAGTAGTTGCCTTGTAGTATCTGGTTTAGTCACGTCTGGAAGAAGACGGAGGGTAAAAAGGAAGAAGCAAGAAGAGCACTATTCGATGACGTAGCCAAATGTACAGTAATGAGATTACATTTTCCTGCCTATCCTACTGATGAGCCCGAGTAGCTCGTGGTACTATATCTCCAAATACGCCAGTCCCCTTGAACGCTAATGCAGGAAACCAAGAAACGACAAACACCGTGATATCTTCCAATCGAGAACAGCGTTATGGGCGTGAGATGTGGGGCGTAGATCTGTTGAGTGCTGTAGATCCGTCAAGCACAGTGCTGCTTCTCTTACGCCCTGTGCTCGCCACTCGTCCGCTTCCTGAGCGCCGAAGACAAAGCCCCTACTATCGTTGCGGTAGGGCTTTCAGACATCGTTGTCAGCAAAAGCCAACATACATAGAAGAAAGAAAAAGAATCCCTAATATATCAAGGATTACCTCTTCTTGCTTCCCGGCCTCGGCTTGCACTCGTCCCCTAGAATGGGATGAAGTTTGATCTTGATGGGGTAGTTTTGGGTGTTGCCACCAAAACCCTTGCTCCAGTCGTAACTGACGGCGTAGGCGAAGATGTTGCCGTCCTTGCTAAAGCCCGTTGCGACGATGCTGCCGCCGACCTCGGGGTATCCTTTGAGGCGGTGCTTGGCGTCCTTGTCCCAGAAGTGGAAGGTGCCGTCGGAGCCTGCGGTGGAGAAGGTGCCGTGTTGTGGGTGGAAGGATATGGCGTTTACTGAGTGGACCTTGGCGATGTCACGGTTCGCGGGGTCTTGTTGGCGATGGCACTTGAAAGAGAAGTTGAGGCTGAAGACGCGTTAGATGTTGTGTGTCAAAGTACGTATGAATGAGGATGCTTACCTGGTGTCCTTCTCTTCGACGTATTGAATGGCGCATCGTCCTTCGATGGAGCCAACGGCAAAACCAGTCGCGTCTGAGAAGCAGCTGACAACCCTTGTTTGCCACTTGAGAGGGCTAGTGATGGTCTTGTAGATGGTTGTGGGGTTTGAGAGATTGACCATATGGATGTGGCGCTCGGCGGTTGCGATAACTAGCAACTGGTCCTTGATATCCATGCTGTAGACACGCTCCTGACACGTCAGTGTACCGACTGGTTCAGCGCCTTGGAGGTCCCAGAACTTGACGGTCTTGTCCCAGGAACCGGTCGCGACGTAGTCCTTACCGCCAGTCTGGAACCAGCGGACGCACTTGATGCCGTTCTCGTGGGCTTTGGCTTGTTGCGCAGGGACGGTGCCGCTGGCGGGGGCAGTGCGGAAGTCGACAATGTTGAGCATGCCTGTTGAGTCGCCGGCTGCTATACGGGTACCATCCTAGTTCATGTTAGCATGCAGTCATCATGTCCCCATCGCCTCAGTAAACGTACCTTTGACCATCCCAGACCAAGAACATGACCTGGGCATTCGAACATCCACTTTCCTTGCGCACCATTGCCGTTGACTTCGTAGATGTAGACCTTCTTGTCCCAGCTTCCCACTGCGAGGAAATCGTTCGTCGGCGAGAATTGGAGGTCAGATATGCTGTCGCTGGGTACTTGGCCGGCGGGCACCTCGACGTCCTTGCTGGTGTCACCTGTAGTGGAGCTTGTGGCGGCGGCTGCCGGCTGACCGAATAGAGCCATCTCTTGTGATTATGTCCCGTTTCTTGGGCGCGTCTAAATCGTCGAAGTTGGTAGTTGCGAAGCTTTGCGCGAGCTTGCGGCGTCGATCTCCCAAGTTGAAGAAGGGTGTATGTTTGTACGCGCTCGTCTGGGAATCTTCTGGTCGCGGGGAAGTGTTTCCAAGCTGGTGGCAGTGGGTGACAGGTTGCGCGCAAGGGAGACGGGATAGACTTTATGTTCTTCACCGACGACGCGCTCAGCAAAGAAAGAGCCGATGCACGAAGCTTCCCAGGCACCCTTGCAGGCGCCAGTCCACTTCCACCTAGCCTGCCTGACCGGTGTTATGATCCTCCGGCCTCCGCCCCATCTAAAAAAGTTTCCCCCATTCCACTTGCTCTCTCCTTCCAACGTTCCTCGCTCGAAGAATCGCAACGAAGCACACGCACAGAGCGCCTTTCGAGGTGTCTCTTCTCGCGCTTTGGGAGAAAGTCCCCGGACAACGATCTTCGCGATCGCACTTTCAGCAACGAACCGCCATAGAAGCCGCGGCTTCCATCACCGACTACGACACTTTCCGCGTCTTTTTACCCGTTCGCACTCCTTTGCGTCAGCTCTCCGGAGGCTGTGAGTGGAGGGGCTGGCACCTGGATGATGACATGAGTCCGTTGGCTACCTTGCTTACCTGCTGAGGGTCTGCTGGCTACATGGAGGAGGAGGGAGACACCGGAAAGTGCCAGGTATGGAGGGTCTTCTCGTCCAGTTTATGGTTATGCGATTGCCTTCCGGCACTTTGGTAAAACAAAGTGCTATGGATGGTAACTCAATGGGGCTTATTCTTGAGGCGAGGAACGTTCATTTCCACACACTTTTCGGATCTGAGGGTAGACGCTCTCCGACAATGGTCGGAGTTGACGGGCTACTACGTGCTTGGTCGAACAAGCCAGGTTCATCCAGCCATATACGGTTCATATGATGAGACACATGGAAATAGAGTCAAGCTCTGAGGCTGTCTGAATCCCAAAGTGGTAGGACGGCCTTTGCTGAATTTTCTACGACGGTATCTGATGAACCTTATGGCTTCGATAGTTTTCAATTATCAAAAAAAAATCTATAATATTCACTTGACGCTCTTTGCATTCTCGACTCGTTTCATGTGGTATCGTCAACGTCCTTTTCGCTATTATGCCTCAGTGCCAACGACAAACTCCTTGACTTCCTTGTATGCCTTGTCCAAGTCGTCGTTGATCACGATCTTGTCATGTGGTGCCTGTCCACTATGCGCGAACTCCATCTCGACCTTCGCTTGGTTGAGCCTCTTCAAGATAGCCTCCTCCTTGTCCGTTGCGCGACTTCTCAATCGTTCCTCCAGGATCTCCATAGACGGCGGTTGCAGGAAGAGGAACCGTGGGCGAGGGAATGTAGGATGGTTCGCGACTTGCTTAACGCCCTACAACAACACCAACACATGTCAGTCCACATGCACATAGCATAGAGTAACTAGAAGAACGTACCTCCATCTCGATGTCCAAAATACAAACCTGACCCCTCTCCGCAATATCATTCACAGCCTTGATACTCGTACCATAGTGATTGCCTCCAAACTGTGCATGCTCCACAAACCCCTTCTTCTCTATCAACTCCAAAAACTCCTCCTTGGTTACAAAGTAGTACTCCTTGCCATCTTGCTCGGTTCCCCTGGGCCCGCGCGTCGTGTGCGATATGCTGAAGCCGAATTTGCCTGGGAACTCGTCGAAAAGGCGCTTGAGGATAGTGGATTTACCGGCGCCCGAAGGACCAGAAATTACTATGGGTTGGTGGGCGGAGAGGGCATCTTTGGAGATGGGAATGGAGTCGAGGGGCGCCATGGTGGAGGTGTGGTAGGTGAAGGTGCGGAAGGAAGATGTGTTGCAGGTGTTGTTGGGATGAAGGGTAGGCAGTGAGGGGTGATTCAGGCGTAGATGAGTCGTAATCTGCAGGGTACCGCTTCGTGACTCGTTCAACAGGCTTCTGGTGATTCGCGATAGAATCAATGGCATGCCTATCGTGAATTTGGAGCTGCCGGGCGCTGCGGGGTGTGATTGGCGGTGAAGCTAAGGGGTCCCTTTGGTGTATGGTGGGGCTGCAAGTGGGATGGCGGCGGGACCTGGTGACATCGCGTTTTCGTGTTGGTACTGACCTCATCGAGCTGGGATTTAGCTTTCAACTTCAAATTCCGCTCATGTCACGATAATCACGCCCAAGGAGCAGGTCCTTAGAGTTGTGAATCAGTCGCCATGGTATGTTTCTTTCTATGCATCACATACGTCATTCTAACACCCTGTAGTCAAAACAATACCTCACTCTCCACACGGTCGACTCGGCGCATCCCAAAGCGAGCGATGTCTTCGCCGTAGCACCGACTAGCACACAATTACTCTCAGCATCCGGCTCAAGTAGCATCAACGTCTACGACACCACACAGGCAGAGTTCCCGGTAATACAAACACTCGACAAGGCGCATCCGCTCGGCATACACCACCTCGTAACTGCACGAGAAGAGAAGGCACGACGGGGTGCGAGTGCAGGCTTCGAAGGCAAGGTCAAAATATGGAGTCAGGACGAGGATGGCGTATGGAGTGAAGACGGAGAGATTGTTGGTGGGTACGCCTCATGCTTTCTTTGAGACCACAGGAAGTGTTATTGTAGTGGCCCACCAGAAGCTGACAATTTCCGCAGACCAGAACAAGCCGGGTGAGATCTGGGCGATTGCCCTTAGTGCAGACGGCCAGTACTTGGCGAGCACCAGCATCAACGGCAAGATCAACGTCTGGAGCTTGAACAAAGACGAGGGCATGCCCCGGATACGCGAGTATGAGACGAAAGGCAGCTTTGGGCTGTGCGTAGATCTGGTAAACTTCACCACCCTCTTCCTACCTTTGTCGATTACGAACACTGCTAACGTACATCTAAGAGTCGCAACGGCACCTTCACCACGTCCGGCCACGAAAATGGATCGATATATGTCTTCAACAATGAAACCGGACGCCTCGCCCACTCCTTAGCCGGCCTCGTACACCCTGTCCGCAGCGTGGCCTTCTCTCCGGCATCGAAGCTCCTAGCCGCAGGAGGTGATGCTCGAATCATCGCACTCTACGACGTCACATCCGGAGAGCAAGTAGCAAACTTCACCGGGCATGGAGGCTGGATACTCAGCCTGGACTGGAGTGATACGGGCGAATACCTGCTATCAGGGTGAGCATCGAATTCACGTTAACCAGGAATCGTACTAACGCGTCATCAGATCCCACGACTCAAAAGCAAAAGTATGGCGCATAGAAACGCGGTCATGCGTTGCGACACATTCCCATGGCGACAAACCCCTCTGGAGCGCAAAGTGGCTGCCAAAAGCACCTATGAAGAGCGAGATGTTTGCGCTAGCTGGAGGAAACAACTCGATCAGTTTCTACCGTGAGGCAGCAGGTTGAACAATGTGAACCTTGTCTCAGACGGTGAAAAGCGTCAAAACAGCCATGCATTCCTAAGAAGCTGGGACGAATGTGTGAATATGAGGAGAGGGCTGCTATGGGGTAGATTGTAGTCTCGCCAGACTGACTACCTGTATGCAAAGAGTGGGAAGTGGCCAGCTCCTTTTAATAAAATGACATTTGAACGACCATTACCTGTGCCAAAATCTGCAGATATTATCACTGAAACGTAGTTATTGCCGATGTGAACCAAGAAACCATGTTGAAAACTGGAAAATGCATACGCTCTTATCAAAATTGGGAGATATGTCAACATGGCACTCCGCAAGGTTGTACTTTTGTTAGATGTATGACAAATACAACAGTTGCAGTCTTTAGCATCAATATCTGTATTGTTTTCATCTTCTTCTACCGCCACCATTATAGTGGCAATATCGACTAATTGTGAAAGATGGTAATCGCTCATTGCCCAAAAAATAGTGACCATCAATGATAAGATCCTACTGAAGAAGTTCCCTCTCGTCGCTCTTTTCATAACGCCCGAACACCGATTCCGCACCATCAAGAGAACGCCCGGTCCGCTAAGATCAAAGTAAAAGAGCCAGTTGGATGAACGTTGAGAATGTACTCAGTAGACTGCTTTACGTACTAGCGACGCCAGTATTCTCAGCACCCGGCGGCGCATCAACTCGCTGCTTTTTAGCATCTGGACCTTCATTACCCGTCACCCCATTAGCTCCTACATTACTGACATCCTGTAGCGCCGGCCTTTCTCTCTTGACACCAGCGGGACCAGCAGCATTCATTGTAGGTGGCTTATACGCGCCGCGGTTCGCACTAGGACTCATGGCGTAGTTTGGCGCACCAGGCATGCCAATACGGCGGTTGGCGTCAAGGTGTGGGTTCACAACATTGGGACGGTTGAAGGAGCCAGTTGAAGTGACGCCTGGTCGTTGAGGAGGTGGTTGAGGTGCAGGCGGCGCACCGACTGCATCACGCTTGATAGGAATGCTGCGGGCGTGGTCGACACCGGGTGTGCGTTTTTCTTTGGGTATGGGCGAATCAGCATTAGGATTGAAAGACGGAAGATTGGCGAGGGAGGTTGCGTCTGATGCTTGGAGAAGCTCTGCAGCACGGGAGGTCACGAAGCCTACAGGGGGTCGATGATTAGGAGGAGGTGCGTTCGAAGCGGGTGTAGTCGATTCTGATGCTTGGGGTCCCGGACGTGCTTGATTTTGTGGCTGATGTGCTTGTGGTGGTGTAGGTCGGAGAGGTTGATTATTGGGAACGGGCTGTTGATTTGGTGGTTGTTGTCCTATAGGTCTTGAAGAAGCCCCGTTCTCCATTGCTGGTGGAGCCATACGACCGCCATTGGGCACAGGTCGAGGCTGTTGTTGAATCAGAGTCTGTGGCTGTCGGCTGTTCTGCACAGGAGGGTTTCCAGGTGCTTGATTCGCTTGCTGCTGTTGCATACCGGGTTGGCCGCGTCCGGCTTGTGAGGGCCTGCCGTTGGGTTGACGAGGCCCTGTATTCCGGACAGGTGATGTGCGAGCAGATGGTACACCGTTCGATTTCGCTGTTGCGACAACGCGTGGTGCTGTGGTTTCTGGGGCTGATAGTGTCTCTGAGAACGAAAATTCGTCGCCGTGGCCCTCTGTTACGTCGACTCCATCGAATAAGTTCTCATCAGCATCGTCGTCGAAGTCGGCGCCAAAAGACTCGTTGTTCAAGTGATCGGTACGTGTGCGGAGAATCTGATTGGGTCGGGATGGTGTCTGCTGCGGTTCCTGCTTGACCACGGCTTGCTCTTCAGGCTGGGGTGGTGGTTTGAAGTCGACATGTCGGTAGAGACTGTCCTCCTGGAATTTAATAGGCTTAACTTTCATGGACTGGACCTTTTTGAGATACTCTTTATCATATAAGCAGTTGCCGAGAACATTGCCAAACGTGCGTAATGAGCGCTTCAGGCCGTCTGTTGCCGCCTCTTTCTTCGCCTTCTCGAAAGATGCCGCCTTGCCTTTGCCGTTCTCTATCGAGCCGTAGCCAATGTCCTGACGGGCTGTCAGTGAGAGCAGAATGTAGGGAACGACGTCTTTACCTCGTGATATGTACCATCCTTGAGTGTGATCCTCACTACTATTGAAAGACCCAAACTGACCTTGCCGTTTTGATGCTCGTCGACCTGGCGCTGTCAGCATTGTTTTCCTAGCCAGTGGAGTGAAACACACGTAATCGATCTGTACCTGCCCCAGCGAGCTTGACCAGCCATTAAACCCAAAGACTTCGTTCGCCAGCGCTATCGCCTTGTTTCCCTCCAAGTAGGCCACTTTGCCGCCGCCATTACCCGGTCGTTGTGATATGTATTCAGGCCCCAGTTGCTTGTTCAATCTGCTCTGTAGTGTCGCGATTTCCGATGCTGTGAAGCCGTTTACGACGCGTTCTTCGAAGGGGTTCTTGACGTTGCCGCCGTTGTATTGGTCGCCTGGTCTGCATAATCGTTAGTTAACATTATTGGTGACTGCAAAAGCGTTCTTAGGGAACGCGTGAAGAGACTGGACGTACGCAGGCATTGTTGTCGTTACGATGTGTTGGGCATGGGTCGCCGCTTTGCTGAAGTTGAGGCCTCGGTGGCTGAAGATGACGCGCCTTGGGACGGCAGGAACGCGGTCACGCTAGTCCCGCACTCACGTGCTCACAAGGCAGCACCGACCCACCATGTATGGCGATGTCAGCAAGTCTCAGCCTAGGATTCCCTTTGATGGAGTGAACTGCACCCCAAGCAAATACAAATAATAGAGCCATGGGTATTAGGACGCTTATATTGTACCTGCGTGCGATGAAGGCGGAGATTCCAGCATTCTCATACACGTAAACAGTGAACCTAGTATGATCTGGCGACACGAATAGATTTCATTTCGATGCCCCGAATACGCCTGCAATGCTATATGATTCCGATCCCACAAAATCTAGCAAAGCGCCGTTACTGACATCTAACTATCTCGAAGCTTCCTTTCTCCTGCCACGATCGCTTGAACTAGCCTCCTCATCGTCGCTATCAACGCCCAAAGAGAACGTCGAGTCATTGTGCGACTCCCGCGCCTTCTCCGAATTCGCCGGCGCATAACCATTTCCTGGTTTCTTTGGCGCATCATCGAGATCATCGAGCTCGCGTTCGTCAAAGTCGGCAGCCTCAAGATCCTGCCTGCGTTCTCTCCTCCTAAAATTGTCAAGGCCCATGCCGGTGAGGAGAGACTCTCGTCCTTCGTCACTGTCAGTACCCTTGTATTCGCTGCTTGCGGCGCGCCTACTGCGCCACCACAAGAAGCCACAGAGGCAGGCAGCAATGACCACAACGACCAGCGCAACCTGGCCGGAGCGAGCGTACGCCTTCCATTCTGCTGCCTTGAGCTCCTTGGTCTTGTCTTCTTCCGCTTGAGTCGAGTTGGGGTGGTCACCGACGCTGGTCAACGGGCCCTTCTCGCCGTCGATGAGACTGTCGGCAGGGGCACCACCGATCGCTTCGATGTTGACGCCCATAAAGCGATCCAGCATATCCCGGGTGCGCCTGGGGTAGTCAAAGGGAACCATGTGGCTGGAGTTGTAGAAGACGACATATGTGAGGTTACGCGCCTCCTGCCATGTTCCAGCAGCTTCGCCCTCGAACATCCAGTCCTGCTTAGCGTTCTGCACACCAGGAGAAGCTTCGAAACCCTTCCCGCCATTCCACTGCATGTTTCCAATCATGGCCTCTGTGCCAACGTGATTGCAAATGAAGTCTTTGTCACCAGAGAACAGCAAGACCGGAATCTGCTCGATGATTTCGGGCAGGAACTTGACCGCAGGCTCGCTCTTCCTGGCACGGAAATGACCAGAGACAGCCCCGTTACACTCTTGCCAGCCGGTCTTCTTATCGGGGTTGATATGAAGTGCCTGAATGACATCGGGGCGACGGAGGTAGGGAGTGACCTGCGCAAGATCCGGAGGCCAGTTCATGCCACACGACGAATCGTCACGGAGACGGATGTCGTACATGTTGAGGCACTGGTTCATCTGGTCGGCGTTCCTGTCTTTGGTCTCTTCCAAAATCCTAACCATGATCTGCTCACACTCGCTCGTGTCGACGGTGTTCATACCACCAGCCTCGAGCTTCTTGACGCAAATTCTCTGTTGTTCCTCAACGCGCCTTGCCATGTCTGTATCAGCCCGCATGAGACCGTTCTGGTAGGCAAAGGGTATGTAGGCAAGATACTGGTCGACAGGCGAGATCCAGCCGTTTCCGATCATGAGTCCCCTGAGCGCCCATGGTGTTTTGGAGGGATTCTGCTTGTTTCGATTGAGGATAGCACGACCGATGTAGGGAATGTGTTGACCGGCGTACGATTCACCAGCAATGTATAACTACTACATGTCAGCATCTCCGCGTCTCCACTTAGTCAAGCCACTCACATCGTCATTCTCGTATTCGGGGAATAGCGCAAACCACTTCTCCAAAAAGATAATCATGTGGTCGGCCATTTGATCGAGTTCAGTTAGGTAGCTGTTGGTGTTGACATAACTGAAACCAGTTCCGACGGGTTGATCCACGAAGAGCAAGTTTGCAAACTCGTCCCATGAACCGTTGTTGTATTCAAGGTTGCCGCCTTCGCGCACTCTGTATGGGCCGACTTCCATCATAGCGCCGTCCATCGAGGAGCAGCCAGGACCGCCATTCAGCCATAATACCGTCCGTTGTCGGTCTGCAATGTGGCGATTTTCGTAATGCCAGAAGAAGAGGTTGCCATTGTTTTCTGCATCGACTTCGATGTGCCTGTTGTGATCGAGTTAGTACTGCTATAGACATGCAAACATCTCTCCCGTGTTGCGCTTACCCTGCGTGCATCTTCAGCAACGGCTTTGGCGCACCGGGCAGGTCGTGTATGAAGTAGTCGGCCTGTGTCTTCTCTTGTGCCATTATGCTTGGAAGCCATGATACTGTCGCTAGGAGACCGCCTAGGAGCGCTGTCCGCCATCGCAGCGGAAAATGTGAAGAGGCCATGGTGAGGCCGCGTGTCGGAGTTGGATGCCGCGGAGGATGCGGTGCGCGGTCGCTATATCATGGGAACTCGAGAGGTGGAAGAGACAGCAGTTGAGACCAAGGTAAAGATAGAGTGAATGCGCAGCCCGGCACAGTGTAAGGTATAGGCGTTGAGGTTGTGAGAAGTTCGGACTTTGAAGGTATAGGTTAGGTGGCTACTGCGGCGGCTGACGAGTCCGAGTTGGGATCCAGAACCAGGGGCCTGTTGATAATAGATCGTGAGACGTAAGACACGCGAGCGTTCCGCAAAGTGAATGACAGTTTCAGTGAATAGGCTGAATCTTGAACATGCAAGATGGATTAAAGAAAGTTAATTAAAATCAATGATATGTCGAAATGGTTATTGAGGTACATCTTTGAAGTGCTGTCCAAGCTTCGTTATACGACCAACCACAACGCACCTGGCTCATTCCGGCTACTGCCATCTCCGCGTCTCGAGAACGCGCATCGCGCACTGCATCTGACACGATTGAGCGTTCACTCATGCTTCAACCATGTGTCAGCTCCGTCCTTAGGCCGCAACGTTGCCGAATGTGCACTCCACACATCTTGTCCGCGCGTCCTTAGCCGCCGATGTTCGCATGCAATGGTTGATCCCACTTCCCAAGGTTCAGCCGGGCTGGCAATAACTTTTTGAACTACAGACTACTAACCACCCAGCACTAACGTCCGCATACCGTCATGATGCACCAACGCAAAAGTCGTTCTAGAGCATGATAGCGTCTGAGTCGGTCCGTCTGGTCAATACCCCGACTGAGAGCTAGAGTCCTGCCTAGTACTACACCGCGAACCCCTTTCCACTCCTCAGAATGCTTTTTTGTAATTCCCAGAAGCGGTACATGTCAATTATCGTTGACGACTGTGTGCCACAGTGGCGCATACTCATCTTCCATACTGCTGGTACGCGAAGATGGGGTGCTTGGAGTATATCGATTACTGGTATTTAGAAGAGATCGTTCAAGCTCTTCGCCGAGTCTTTGACGATCAACTCACGCATTCCCTATACATACTGTCAACACCATTTCTTCAGACATCGCATTATCGAATCTGCTCACCTTGGGCATGATTGGCTCCCCGTTTTCATCCTTGACATAGCGGAACGGCATCTGTGTGCTCTCGTTCTTGTTGATCTTGAGATCAGGGTGATCGATGTATGGAATCTTGTCGACGGGTACTGCGCCTCGTCAGCATCTTACACCAGCATCTGGATTATTTGACGTACCCTTGTCTTGCACGCAAATCCTGGTGACCCGCACTGCTGTGTCAGTCGTCATCTGTACCGGTCCCAAGCGACGTCCTTGGTATCCTTTCTTGCGCAGCTCCGAAGTACGGTCTGGAGAGTATGTTAGTCGACTGTAGCCATTTGCCATAACACTGGCAATATCACAGACCTCTTGGCGGGTCGTCTCCTGATCAAGAATTAGCACTTTTCATTGTACAACTTGGCCGGGATGAGCGCGGATGCTTACCAAGTATACCGCCGAATAAGAAGATGTCGAACGTCTCGCCGTCTTCTGGGCTCAAATCCTTGGATGCGGCAGGGTCCAGCAGACACACTTTGTCTTTTCTATCGGCATAGATCTCTTCGATACCTCTCGTTTCGACATTGAGTCCCTTGGCTCCCTGTAGGTTTGCCGGCAACTTCAACGAAGTCGGTACTGAAGACAGCAGGAACTGTGCACCAGATGCATGAGATTCGGATGCGATACTGGCATATTCTAGAGATGACCATTCCTCGAGCTCAGGGTCCAGATGTTCCACCACAAAGGTCTTGCCGGTGCCAGCCATTCTAAACGTGATTGGAGGTGGAATGCGATTCCGGTCTTGTGTATTTTTTTGGCGTGAGATTTTACGGCAGTAGTTAAGCGAATTAGCCAGCGGGGGGGGGCTTTTGTAAGATGTTCCTCAGATTCGATGCTGTGTCTTGCTTCCCGAGTTCTGGATCGATGCTGAGAACCTTGGAGGCCTGCAGTAGTATCTCGCTAATCAGAATAGGTGGTGGTGGGGAGCTTGGCTGACCGTCAGGGTTTGCTAAAGTCTAGAGCTAGCGCGTCCAAGTAGCCTATCAGGCTCAAGCAACCATTTATCATGGTAAGCGGGGAAGCATGCTTTCGTCGTTGCAAGACAAAAAAAAGTGCATCGTGATGCAGTCCAAGCAGTCTACGAGGTGTGTTCCAAATGCCAACGTTTGCGCACACAGAATATCAACAATTCAAGCCTTATCGAGACGGCCCTGGCGATCAAATAGGCTAGGAGGCCAATGATGTGTACGCGTGACGTTGTGAGGGTGCTGAGTCTGGTAAGGTCTACGGCAATCCAGCGTGCATCCGACCAACACGCGGAAGGGCTAAGGGTTACACTTCACGCGGAGACGGCTGCTTTGCCTTCAGTCCATGTGTCTGCTGCGTCAATTCACCCGTCAAGCAAGCCACGTCTTGGTGATTGTTTAAATTGGCCCACTCGCCGCCTACCTACATATCTACTGCGTCTACCCCTCCTTGGTTGACAACCCCCGAGCGAAGCAATTCACGAAAGCAGCAACGTTGGAGTCTATTACATCACTCTCACCCCTCTGCATATTCTACTTCTATTGAACACATTCAATCATCTCCTCTTCTCGCCATCACCATTTCTCGCTTTGTTGCTTGATTTTGGCATCGTGCAGCAACCCGAGCCGTTGGAACCTCGGGCGATCCAGGCTTATCGCATAGTCGACTGGATAGAGGGGCACATCTCCCACTTGCACCCAAACATCGTTGTTTCAGCAACACTAGAAACATTTACCAAACGAGTCTTAACACGTCGACGTTGTTGTGTTGTCAGGCAGCAGCAACAACAACACACGCCCGAGCTTCGTCGGCACCCAATCGTCAGCGTTGGAAGCCGGATCAATCACATCTATTCACCCTGTCCCTGTCAAATAACGGGTAACGGTACTCGCCCAAAGTGGTCAGCGCGAGCCAGCGACAACCAACTTTTAAACAGATTGCGACTTTTTGACCCTTTTCCGTGTCCGCACAACAAAGACTCGACACGACACTGTGCCTTTCGCGAGCAGCTGCCCCTCTAAGAACGTCACTTGCGATCCACAACACCACAACCCTCTACAACCGCCAATATGAACCCCAACCAGCAGAACAAGGTCGACGTTAGCGTACGTCATATCAGCCCTTGCAAAGACTCTGGGAAGTTCAACAGCTAACATGATGGTATAGAAAATGTCAGAGCAGGAGGCTAAACTCTTCCGTCTCTATGGCAAGCTTCCCAACAAGAAGGACTTGCTCCAGAACAAGCTGAAGGTATGTTAAGTCCGCGAAACACGAGTTCTCCTACTGACAGCGTCTGCAGGAGCGCAAGTACTTTGACAGCGGCGACTACGCCCTCTCCAAGGCCGGCAAAGCTGGCGACGTTGGCGTCACCCAAGTCGGTCGCGAGCACCCCAACCCCGAGAAGATCCCACACATCGCTCCAGCCATCCCGACCGGCCAGAACGGCAACGGCAATGGCAACGGCCACGGAAATGGCAGCATCAGCGGCCAGGGCGAGCTGGCCGGTAGCCCTGTCAAGGAACACACCTTCTTGCACCGCGAGACCAGTCTGAACCGTGAGACATCGGCTTCAGATTTCGAGAACAACGAGAACTCTGGAGAAGCCCAGGGCGGCGCAGTCAAGGCATAGCTGGCATACCCGCGTCACTAGACTTTTGCGCGCTTCGCTTTCTTTGCACTCGTTTGGCGCAACCTTGGATGACGGTGCCCAAAATGTATCTATACGCACCTTCGAACGGCCTGAACCTATGGTTTTTTACGGGGTCGGATGCGGCGTTCCGGAGAGCCTTTGATGGCAGCCGAGCCTTTGTATCGGCAGCACGACACCTTACGGCCAACATTTCCTGGAGTATAAAGTTGTCGAGCACAGGGGCCTTGTTCACTTCTTGTGTAGTAAACTTGACAGAGGACGGCCAAGATTGCAGAGACTGGAGCTTGTCTCGGGTTTATCTCGCAATCTGCTAAACTTGATCTTTCACAGCCATAAGCGTGTATGCGTAGTTGAGTAGAATAGATTGTAGCAATATGACTACTGAAAAACTCAGTGCTGTCTGCTTGTTGCAAAGTGACGACTTCGTCCCTTCGGAAGGATGCGCTAAATGTGGACGCTAGTCCACGTGATCGTTGGTGCCTACCTTCACCAACACATGTATATACACACCCGCGACCATCGTTCCTCGCCTTTGTATCGAGTTATCTCTATAAAAAGTATGCAAATTTGGTTTCCTGAAACAATCGAGTTTGAGCATTACTGTGTGCTTTCATTTGGCACAAGCGTGTCAAGACTTTAAGTATGGTCCAACACCACACCACGTATAGCTCTTCGAGCTCGTCTCCAATCTTCTGCCTCTTACTCTCCCTCCCCGCTGAGTTGCGCGACATTATCTACACATACCTATGGGGTTCTCAAACATTCGAAGCCTCGATCTCCCTCACTCCATCGACATCAATCCTCGCCGTACCCAAAAGCATCGTTCATGACAGGTTTTCCAAATTCTTACGTCGACATAGGGGCTTACCGATCTGGTTGGTCACATGCAGACAGATGCTAAGAGAGGGTATGAGCTTGTTTTCAAGAGAGTTCGCCTTCACCACTTCCACGTTATCCACAATGTGGGAAGTGAAGATCGTGGAAGGAACCGACGTTCTGAACCGGCTAGTCTTTGGAGCTATCGAAACAGTGGTATTAGATCGAGGCTTACCGAGTTGGATCCAAGATGTGGATTTGGAAACGCAAGCTGAAGATGAAGACACAATACTTCCTACCGGGGTAAACATCCCACGTCATTCACGCTGGTATGTTAACACGACACCAAACGAACGAGGGTCTCTCCCGGGAACTTACCGAGTGCGAGACCATCAGCTATTGCAAGTCAAGCTCTGGCCTGCTGACAGAGTAATGTTGAATATCCTGCATGAGGCCGGCACGGCTATCAAGGAGTTACACTTACACGGGATCTACGATGTTGGCGTCCTAGTTCCTGGCGACGAGCCGATTATCAGAAACAAGACTCTGGATAGATGGGTAGGAAGATTGGAACGTGTGAAGATCAGGGTAGGTAGTGAGTCTAGCGAAACTTTTGCAGGAAGGATGGCGACGGACTTGGTAGAACGGACTGTGAAGAGGCTTGTTGGTGGAGAACGCAAGGCATGTGAGCAAGGTATGAAGACTGTCCTGGATGAGGTCAGTGTGATATGGCGGGAAGAAGAGATGGAGGACGATGAGGGGTTTATGAAGGACGAATGCGGGATGCAGACGAGTTATGTTGTGGTGGAGAGGCGCCATCAATGAGTTCGGCCGCATACGACTCTTAGACGGTTAGCAACTGGATTTCATGTAGCGGTTACCCAAAACCTTGCAGAGTTTCATCCTCAACAACCGTTTCCTAGCGAAGTGCTATACAAGGAAGAGCGGTATACAGTGACTCAAGTGCTCGCAGAGGCCTGTTGGTAAGATACAAGAGGAGCAGAGTGAAGTCCTGCCGGACAGAAAAAGTTCCGGATGAGTGCACCGCGTTTCCTGAGTTCAACACTTTGGTGAAGACCCTGGTGGTTGAACGCAAGGTTTAATGGGCTTGTTGCCACAAGCTTCAGTGCCATCGATTGTAGTGTAGGTAGCACTATGCAGATGTTGGCTGTGGATTGTTATGGTTTGCAGCATGATGCCTTGAGCATGTAGTTAGTGGCTTCTTATATATACTCGACAGTCTCAGAAGTATACTAAAAATCTGCCACTGTTAAGCAACCAGGTAAAGTCTAGATACATAGTCTTTTACGTTACATTCTCTTCATGTCTTGGATGACGAGTGAGATAGCCTGGGCGGCAGTCTGAGCTAGAGCCAGAGACTCCCCTTCGTTCCTTCCTTCACTATTACAAGAAAGCCGTGCCCACTATCAAGAGTGCTCCTAGAGGCACATCCCGTATCGCATATTACATTGCTTCCAATAATCTTCATCATATGCGACCTGCCATCTCACCTTTAGTCCCCTTATCCTCGCCGTCCCCCACACCTTGCTGTTCCGGCGCCCACTCGTGATCCTCTTGACTTTTAATCAACTCATGTACATCCAGTCTCAGATCCACTATCTCTTGACCGTTTACAAGATCGTTCTCGTCGGCCCTCTTTCGCGCTTCCTCCTCGTTGTTGGCGATGCCGGCTTTGACGTGACGGTGAACCAACCTCTTCCGCGCAACGTCAAAGTCTACATCCACAAACCAGAGCTCATCCATAAGCTTCGCAGCTTCGTTCCAGGGCGCCTTATCTAAGGAACAATAGTTGCCCTCGAATATGACGATGCGAACTGATGGCGAGATGGCGATGTCATTCTCGACCGGGTCTTTGAGCGCGTGATCGAAGCTGGGTGCGTAGAGAGTCGAACTCTCTGGACATATCGGTTCTCGTAGTTGCTTCACAAGGCTATGGAAGGAATCGCCGTCAAAAGTAAATGCCGCACCTCTTCTGGCATGGGCGCTGTCTGGATCTGGCATCGCATCAAGCTGTTGGCGTGATAGGTGGAAACCATCCATTGGTATGAAGGCCGCGAGAGGATTACTGTTGGCGGTGCCTGGTGACTGTTGTGCATGTTTCTCGTTAAGTTTGGTCGAAACTATGGCTGCTAGTGTTGTTTTGCCTAATAGTGGTCAGCCTGTTGGAGAGCCAGGTTTGTGTATGTACGTACCAGACCCCGGAATACCAGATACTGCAATCAACAATCGCTTCGAAGCAGGAACATCTTGATATTTGTCTACAGTCCGTCAATACGTGTCCCATACTCTTGCATGTGAGATCATGTACCCCACACCTTGTTTACGAGGCGTTCTACTTGCTCTTCCATATTAATATGATGTTTCCAAGATAGTACAATGTCAGAATTTGTGTAGGGTTTTTGTATCTTGCTATCCTGGAGTCGATCGGGATCCCCGGTATCCAAGGCGGGATGGCTGCTTTTTAGTTCGCCCATCCGCACTTGCAGATTGTGGGGGCTCGGCATCGTGAGTGGACCCAACATCAACCGCTGACGTCGCGCGGGAGCATGACAGGTTAGAAGTGCAGGTAGCCTTTCTTCTACTACCAGCGTTTTACCATCCCTGCATCTGAAGGATAGTTATCTCTTCGCGTAGCAGGCTCTGAACAGTACTGGAAGGTAGGCCTGACATGGAAGATGACAAACGGTAGTAAGGTCAATAGTTCGTTGCCGCATCCGAATGGCTGGAGATCCAGTATCTTGCACCGGGTGAATTGTAGCTATGGTATAAAAGAGTGATATGTAAAACGAACTGTGATTCTTATCGCGTGCTACTGATTTGCGATTGGAGATTGAAGTAGAGTCCTTTTGGCCATGGCGTCACATGCTAGCATGACGTGTCATCCAATCAAAGCACAGTAAGGTCCAAGACAGCTCTGGCTGGGCATTAACGTCCGATATTGCCGGCGCATTGTTGTCGCTGTCAGCTAAGAGCTAATCCAACGTAGCAGAGATATGCCCTGAAGCCTCGCGCCACTGCTGCAAGTGTCGTACCGCCTAGTCTGGAACCAATTGGTCAACGCGCAGTGAAACGCGTCACACCCGTCAAACCTCACTATGCTCCCGTCAACCCTTCTGGCGCTCCTCTTCACGCTTCTCCCACCCGCGTCCGCCGTCGACCGCAAACTACCAACCAGCAACGAATCGCTATTATGGGGTCCCTATCGTCCGAATTTGTACTTGGGTCTCCGCCCTCGTGTGCCCAAAAGTCTCGTTGCCGGGGTCATGTGGGCGAAGCTGGAAGACGTAGAGACGAGTACGTAGCCATTTCGAGGAAACGCATGCAGCGCTAATCAGCTATGTAGCATTACGACATAACGTAAACCAGAGCGAGGGCATGGCCCGATACGGTTGGATCGCATACGACACACGGGAGGGTGGCAGACAAACCATAGAAGATGTCGGAAACAAGGTGAACCTCGTAACCGAGTTCATAAAGTACTCTGAAGGCCAGAGCCAGGGAAATTGGGGTTTGCGCATAAAAGGCCTACCAAGGCCTGACGCGCCACAAGATTTCAAGACGACTGTAGTCTTCTACATCGGCATGGAGGCTATGGAAGCCTGCACCGACTGCAAGCTCGAAGCGCGTCAGCAATTCGAGGCTGGCGAAGACAACATTGTGCAAGCTGTGAACATGAACATTGCGCATCCAGAATTGGGTACCGCTGGCATTCACATCCCAGTGCCTGTCAATGCAGAAGAGAAGCGTGAGGTAGCGTACATCAAGACGCTGAACGTGACAGAAGATAGGCTATGGCAGGGCAAATGTGAGTACAATGAATGTCAATCTTTTCCATCTCGTCTTCCCGTGATCCAAATCCTACTTGGCATTGTGAATAGCTAGCTGATGAGTCTGTGTAAGAAGCCACTTTCTTGGAGTCTTTGAAAGACCAGACCAAGGACCGCACGGAACCAGGACCAAATGACATCGTGCTGCGCAACGCCCCAGGCAATGGAAACATGCAGCTAGTTCAAATGGTGTGCCATGGAGAATTCGAGGTTAGCGTCACGATCATACGTCTCCACTAAAACTAATCTCGTGCAGTTCGATATTCTCTACTCCAGTGATACAGCGAAGCGAGCCATGACCTGTGAGTTCTTACCTCAATCATGTCCCATCGTGAAGTACGTTAAAAACCAAAAGTTACTGATACGTTCCAGCTGCTGGTCTCACTACCAGTCTAGAAAGCACCCTAAAGTCTTTTGACAAGAACTTCGCTGCAGCGTTCAGACTGAAAACTCCCTTTACCACCGACCAGCACCGCGCCTTTGCTCAAAACACATTCTCCAACCTATTGGGCGGACTGGGATACTTCACTGGAACTGCAAAGGTCGACACAGCGAAGAAAGCTATCTATGCCGAGACGACGAGAAACTTCTGGCAGAAGTCAGTCGACGCGAAGAAACATACAACACCTGAAACAAAAGGCCCATACGAGCTTCTTACACATACACCGTCTCGCGCGGCCTTCCCAAGGGGTTTCCTATGGGACGAGGGGTTTCATCTCCTACTCGTCATCGAGTGGGATGCCGATCTCGCTTTGGAGGTTATACGCGACTGGCTCTTCCTCATGGACGACGATGGCTGGATAGCAAGAGAACAGATCTTAGGCGCCGAAGCAGAGGGCGGCACGCCTGCTGAATTCGTCACCCAATTTCCGCACATTGCCAATCCACCAACTATGTTCCTGGTCATCTCGAAGTTCATCGATATGCTGAAAGGGACGACGAAATATCATGGGCATGACTCGCTTTACCTCGCCAAAGCCGAGACTGGTAAGGCTCTAGTGGCAAAGATGTATCCGTTACTCAAGAAGCACTACGATTGGTTCCGGAAGTCGCAATCTGGAGACGTGGAGGCACATTCGATTCCAGCGGCCAACCTGAATGAAGGCTATAGATGGCGGGGTCGAACGCCAGGAACGAACTTTGCCAGTGGACTGGACGATTACCCTCGGGCAGAACCCCCTGACATCACCGAGTTGCATTTGGATGCCTTGTGCTGGGTTGGCGTAATGGCGCGAACACTTGAACGGGTTGCGTTTATCACAGAGAATGCACACGACGCGCTCACATTCCAGAACCATATCCGTGGTGTCAAGACCAACATCGACATTATACACTGGGTGAAAGAGCCAAATACATACTGCGATGCTGTAGTGCGGAACGACTTGCATGCCCATGCTTGCCACAAAGGCTACGTCTCAATATTCCCGCTTCTCACCGGCTTCACCGATGCCTCACACCCACACCTACCCGCCATGCTAACCCTTCTTCGCGACCCCGAACAACTATGGACAGACTTCGGCGTCCGTAGTCTGAGTCCTGAAGATGAAGCCTACGGAACAGGGGATAATTACTGGCGCTCACCCATCTGGGTTAACATCAACTACCTCATCCTCACCAACCTGCTTGACCTCGCCCAGATACCAGGTCCTTCACAGCAACGCTGTCGCGAAATATACATCGAACTACGTCGTAACATCGTTCACACTGTCTTCAACTCTTACCTCAAGACAGGGTATGTATGGGAACAGTACGATCCTATCAAAGGAGATGGACATCGCACACAGCACTTTACCGGCTGGACAGCATTAGTGGTCAAGGTCATGGCGATGCCTGATTTAGAAAAGGATGACGGCGTAACGGAGAAGATGAAGGGGTACTATGAGGAAGCGAAGAAGCAGGCAGTGCAGAATCAGAGGACTGGGGCAGGCAGTGTGGTATTTGCGGTTGTGTTCATGGGTTTTGTCTACGTGACGAGGAGGAGGTTTGCGGGGACATTGAGGAGTTGGCGGAGAAGTAATTGATGATGGTTAAGATAGATGGCGGTTGAGGTTGTTGAGCGAATGGTTATATAGTTCTAAGTATGCCACCAAAACGCAATACCCACAACAATCTCTATGTAACCAAACTCTTGGTCTAGCAGGAACAATTACTAAGCCCCAAACATTCATGCATTTACTGTACGGGACAATCGAAGATTATGTTTACCCTGAACCAAAGTTGAACCAAAGCCCAAGACTATAGCTAGGGTTGAGAAGTTTAGATGAGGCAATAGTCATGCCGTGTGATTGTGGTGCATCGGCTACTAATACTACACAGACAATCGAACAACTTCACCTTGGTTTCTTCGTCTCGCTCATCCGGAGGGGGGTTGTGAACACTCATCTACACATACCCGCATAGCCATCCTGTTGAGCAGCAGCAAGATACCGACAGAGGCTATACGTATCCGTGTTCTTGTAATAAACCACTGCAACCGCACCACCGTTTCCTGGGGGGAACTTGCTTCCTTGCTCCCATTGCGGAATTGAGATCTGGAGGAAGAAAATGACTAGTCAGCTCCAGTCCACCACACAGGTCCGTGCAAAAACAATCCCACGCTTTAGGAAAGAAGGAACGGGTTAGAAGAAACAGCAAGACTCACCCATTTGTACGTATCATCTTCATTGGAGGGACATTTCTTTTTGTCATCAGGCGCAGTGAGAGCGCACGATGCTTCTGGCACCGCTTCCGTGGTCGGCCATTCCTGAACAACGAGATCCTGGAGCTGGGCTGCCGTAACGGGAATATACGTGCCGTCGCATTGCTGGCAGGCGGTGTCGGAGAAGCCGTTGAAGGTTGCCGCTAGAGCTGAGGCTGCGAAGAGCACGACAGGAAGGACGTGCTGGAGCTGCATGTTGAGGAATGTTTGGAGTATTGGAATTTTGAATGGAAGAGGGAATGTGGAACTGGGGAACTGGGGTTGGGAAGGCACTGGGGATACGGAGTGAAGGTATCTATGTATCCTAAACATTACCTGGGTACATAGATAGGGCCGAAATGGGTAATATTTGCTCATGCACTGGTCTGCTAAGGGCGGAGCAAGTGGCTAAAGTCAGCGACATTACGCAGTAATCCTACAACGCGCCTCGAGTTATAACGAGGTCGAACGCACGGCACGAATTTCGGTAATACACGTTTCGGTCCGGCTCTATAGTGCAGAAGGTGGCACGTGCTTGCCTTTTCCACTGGACGCCCGGAGCTCAGTATATGTGCTCTTCATTGAAGTATCTTTTTTGCAAAACTGTGCGAATAAACTTGTCCTAGGCTTTTGCCGGAACCAAAGAAAGATTACTACAGCCAGCAGCCAGCAGCCAGATATATGGATCATAAGCGCAGATAAAGTGATAGCGGAAACGACAACAACCGATATCCAAAGTAGACCCAATACCCACTCTTCTTCAGACCAGACGAATGCGGTGCATACCTGTCACCGGATCATAAGGTACGTCCCACAGCATATTCGCGTCACTGTCGTACGGCTTCAAAATCTCGTAGTCGTTTAGAGCTCTGTGGTCTCCGTATGGACTCAACTTCGTCAGACCGATTCGTTTAAACACTGGCCCAGCTTCGCGCTCTCTGTCAAGCTGCAAGATTAGGCAAGTCAAGTACTTAGATTCCCGCGGAGCCTTCCGGTCGGTGTGTGCAGCAGGAACCACAAATATCTTCGCATCGTGGCCTAAAATCCCCTCGTTATCCTTCTCGGCACCGTCTCTAGCAGGGCAATCCAGATACACATCCGTATGCTCTTCTTGGTCAAGAAACTCACGACCGATTAAACGCCAACCGAAACGATCCTGGCCTTTCTTGAAGAGGAGCGCTTTGCGCAACTTCACTTGAAGTTCGATGTAAGCATCGTCAAGCATGCCAAACTCGTCAGATCCGGATCGTGGGGTCACTGATACCTCCTCGATGGTGATGAGAAGATCCTGGTCGGTCACTTCGCCATACTTGACGCCGTTCCCCCTCTCGGCATCTATGGCGGCCCATGAGAAGGACGGTGCACGGTACCCCGGCGGTGACGTGGTGAGGTGTTCGAAGCTGCCGTCCACATGCCGGAATGTTGGCTCGATATACCAAAGGAGTTGGCTCGCAAGGTGCAATGCCCATAGGCCAGCCACGTACTGCGTTTTTTCTGGAAGCCTCTGTTGACTGATCTGAGCCGAATCAGCTTTTCGCACAATAGCTGCCTTCGAAGTCTCCTCGATTTCTTTGGACATATAACGAGCAATGCCAGACAAGGCAATGAGCTTATCTCCAGGCTGTGTGACTGCCGTCTTGGAATATACCTCAACGATACGACGCCAAAGTTCAAGCGCATATATACCTGGTTGAAGATGAGGATCCGGATCCTTCAGTCCTTGCAAGCGCATGCTGCGTACCCAGGCCCCATCTTTCAAGGCATTAAGACCTTTCAGTCTACTCCCAGCCCTTATGCCACTAAGCGTAAGCTGGTAGTTTGGAATGCCTTCTGGCTGCCCTTCAGCAGCCTCGAACTCAGAACACTCCCAGGCCACCTGATCTCGGCAGAAGTGCAGCACCCTCGGAGTCATGAGCCGCTCTTGCAGCACCCAGCCTCTTCTGTTGACTGGTGCATTATCGACCCGGTCCGCCCAGAAAGAAAGGTCCAAAATTGTGCATCGTCGTAGATCCTTGCCTTTGGTATCTTTGCCGATACCCGTATCTGACTCGTTCAGCAATTGATGAGAAGACTGAAGCATTGGGAGCTTCTTTGGAGTCAGCTTAAGGCTTGGTGCTTGATCTTCTCGGACAGGTAGAACCATTGCCATTGAATATAGGCGTCTCAGGAGGTAGCTCATCAGCCACTTTACTGGCCAGAAAGCGCCAAGTATCTGCAGCACAGACCTCCTAGTCTCTTGTGCGTGTGGCAACAAGCTTTGCGAAGTGCTCAGAGCGCCAGGAAGACCAGCGATATTGAGAACAACCTCGTCCTCAACCAGGATCTCGGGCCTACGGTCGAAGAAGAGACCCTCTTCACTACTCGCTGCTGCAGTAGCAGAGATGTTCAAAAAGGCATTGCTGTATACCTTGTCCATGCTGGCAGACTGCTCCAGCCAATCCACTTCATCGCCTTGCTTAATGCATAGGCTATCGATCCAGATGTATCCTACGTTTGGAAGCCGCGCTGCAAACTTCATGGCCTGGCGAAACGTCTTAGGCAAAGTGTTCAACTTGATGCCCCTTTTGAATTCTTCGATATTCTCTGAGGTCAATTTGGTTCGCTCTTCTTCATTTGCAACCTTTCCCCAACAGTGCGAAAGGGTGACATAGCGAACATTCTCGGCCGGCCGCTCGTCTTCCCAGTCACATTTTTCCACTAGATGAACATTGACCTCTGTAGACAGGTCGATCGATTCCAAAGTCTTGGTATATAAGAAGCGCTGCTTCTTCAGCTGCTCGAGACTAATGAGCCTCGCTGGATACAGCCTGGGTATGTCTGCTTCAAGACATTGGCATTTGGCCATCCATTGGAAAGTACGCTGTAGCACCTCATCGGAAGAGGTTCTAGCGGAGATCGGCGTCTGGAAAGGGGGTGGATCGATGGAATCTACTCAGTCTGTAAGCCCGTGATTTGAAGCAAGCCCAATGACTTACCAGTTTCTCTTAAAACAAAGGTTCTTTGACATTGGATTTGCTCGTATCGTATCTTGAACTGGAGGCAGTAAAGATGATCTTCTCTCGGGGTGGGGATGAACAGGGATGCTTTCACGCCAATAGTGCGGGGATCGGATTTCTTAACATCGCCCAATCTCGAGTCCAACTTGGATTCCAACTCTTCGAATAGAACACGACAAATCCCACAATTCATCTTCTTCGAACGATACAAATCTTTCAACATAGTATGATGGTTGAAATGCAAGTCATACGTTCCCCTCCACTGCCTCCCTTCCTGCCTTCGAAGCATACACCAACAAGTATGACAAAGCATATTGCTGTGAGTTTTGGGATGATAGATAGATGTGACGGGGAGCTCTTCCGAAGTGAAGGAGAGTAGATACTAAGAGCGCATTAGCTTTATGTCTGGTATCGTGCATGCGTGGCTTGGCCTCTCGACACGATCCCGTTCTGGCTCGGATGCCATGACGCGGGGGCATGAAGTCTAGTGAGATTCAGCAGTAACGCAATTTAGAGGAAAAGAAATGTTGCATATGTTGAAAGAGCTCAGCTCCATCGTCGTGGAGCCAATAAGAGTACCTAGTTTTGGCCCCCATCAACCTCGGGACGCGTCCCGAAAAGCTGCTGGCTTAGGAAGGTGACTGGATTAGGTAGTTCACGGCGGGGTAGCAACCATGGCGTGATGTGGATGATGACCACAAATTGGATATTGATAAGGGTTGGTATTGGATCATTGATGAAGCTGAGGTCCACTATCTGTAGGTGAGATCTGAGTAATCCACGAAAATCCGGCAGCCGCACTTCGTGGCTGTATGTGCTTTCTCACGCTCGGCAATCTTTAGCTTTTAAGCCGGGAAAGACTACGGTTGCTCTCTGATCGAGTACAGGCTCACTATTAAGCAATCTAAAATCCTGCTTTGACACACGGCACGCAGGCGATCTTGGTGTACGTTGATTGTGTGCTCGTCGGTAACAGCACAGAGTGGAACTTTGTAAGACACGAAAAGCCATAATATTGTTGTCTTTCATCCCGCTTTTCGCGTCTGGACCAAATTATCTGACTCACGGTACGATTGGTCTCCCTTTCGTGCGATCAATCATGGCGGATGAATTCACCTTGGATGGGTTTCGATCGCCTGTCACAGTGAACTTGGCCAGGAAGATTACGAAAGAGAAACTGTTGCAGTTCCCTGCATTCCGAACCTGGAAAGATACACTCCAAAAGAACTTGGACCTTCAATACACCGACAAGAATCACGCATTTTACGATGACCCATTCGATCTCAAAAGCATTGAGATACAATCAGTCGATTACTTCAGTCCAACGAAGCTCGGATTTGTGAAACTGATAGCCGAGATACGGAACCAAAGCAATGACAAAAAGCTTCCTGGGATCGCTTTCCTCCGTGGGGGAAGCGTCGCTGTGTTGATGGTACTCCGGCCTGTGGATTCGAGAGACGAACGATGGGTGGTTATGACTGAGCAGCCACGAGTCCCGGCAGGTAGTCTCCAGTTCGTCGAGATTCCGGCCGGTATGCTCGACGACGCGGGAGATTTTGGTGGGCAAGCTGCGAAGGAGATCGAGGAAGAAACTGGTTTTAAGCTTCCAAAATCCGAACTCATCGATCTCACTAAGCTAGCACTGAGCCAGTCGACATCGGAGGGAGAATGTCTACAGGATGCCATGTATCCCAGTCCCGGAGGATCGGATGAGTTCATCCCGATCTTTCTATGGGAGAAGGTACTTCCATTCATACTTGCGTTTCACATTAAATCATCTAACTGGTCACGTAGGAGCTGAATCGCCAGGAGATCATGGACCTCCGAGGAAAGTTAACAGGGAGCAGAAAACAAGGGGAGATGATTAGACTGCGAGTTTGTGACTATGAGGAGTTGTGGAAGCTATGTCCACGAGATGCAAAGACCTTGGCGGCCTGGGCGCTATACGAGGGTCTTAATAGAGAGGGCAAAATCGAAGAGGAACTGCGGAAACGCAGAGGAGTACAGAACAATTAGTTCTAGTAAGATTCGGAACGAGTATGGATATATCAGATAAGGCGCTAGTGGTGATCGGAGTAGGACCTTTTCTGGTGAACAAACATACGGCATTCAATCTGTCCAGATTTCTTATGATTTGTTCCATCAAGCAGCAAGGACTAAACAACAACTCCCACCCTGTCAACATCCGGTGCGTACGCGCTTCCAACACCAGAAATGGTGATGGTGTTAGTACCTGTAGTGCTGAAACCCGACAATTCCACACCGTAATTCTTGTAAACGTCTTTGTCCCAATTGTACCCACTCAGAGGAAAGCTGACGGTCTTTGCTACTGCTCCATTCACGCTGATCGCTGCGACGCGCTCGTTGCTACCGCCCATGTAGTCAACCTGTCCGTTGATATAGTCGAAAAGCACTGTTTGCGTAGCTTTAGATGTGCGGATGTTGGAGAGTGTTACTCGACCGTTCGAAGAACCACCCAGATTGCCGACTTTGTTGGAAGAGGTGCAGCCGGAGCAGGATTGGGCGTTCGCGCCTGAAGAAAGAGAGCCAGTTGATGCGGAGACATAGGTGTATGTGGGTTTGGCAGCAGTGGAGCGACGGATGTTGGAAAGACGGATGGCGAGAGACCCGTGAGCTTTGACTTGTTTGGAAAGAGAAGCTTCGCTGACAGTCTTACCAGTCCAGAGATCCTTTATAGATGCCGAGGCTATGTCCAGTTCAGAGAGCTGCAGGCTCAGCGCGCGGGCAGTGTTGCTGAGATCTACGACTAAGACAGCCATGTCTCCATTCGACAGATCGCCAGCCCAGAGGTCTCGATCCCCACTCCAGCGCTGGCGTAGTGTGACTGGCTTGACTGCTGAGTCTTGGTTGATAGCAATCAGGTCTTTGTTTTGTAAAACAGCGACAAGTTCATTCGATAGAGCTGGAACATCAGTTGACACCATGAGCGCCGATTTCAGCATAGCCCACGCAGCGAAATGCGTAGCTTGCTCGTCAAACGTCATACCAGAGTTGCCCACCATAAGTAGGTCAGCATCGGCAATATGTCCTGGAGCGACCAGACCCGATTTGGCGATGTGTACGGCTTGGTTATAGATGCGGAACATAGATGCCCAACCCTGCGTGATGTCATCCGATAGTCGGAAGGATGTAGAAATGCTCTTCGTCCACTGAGCAGGTCCTTGCAAGCCAGTAGAGGTGGTGAAAGGCACACCCCATTGGCAGATTAACATTCCGGGAATGCCGACTCGTTGGAGTTCTTTCCACATGACGCCGAATCGGGAGACGAAATCAGTCCTGGCGTTCTTGGGTGCGTTCTGGCTAGCTGCAGGCCCGTCCGCATAGCAGTTGTCATCTAGAACATTGTAAGCTCAGCGATCGGGGTGGTTGATTGCCTCTCAGAACATACACTTGACGTATTCGGTGTTCAACGTCTTGAAGAAGTCCGCGTCCGCAGCTTCGTGTCCCAAGGAGCCTAAGACAGGACTCGGTGCCTGCGGGTCGCACATCCGCACACCGGCATCCGAGTACATTGTCCACTTCATGCCTTTGGACCTGGCAAGGTCGCTTAAAGGCTTCAGGCCGCCTGGGAAGGCCTTTAGGTCTACCTTCAGTGCACCGCTGGTAGCGTTTCGTTGTCCATCTCTTGAGGCCCACCCACAGTCAATTTGAAAGAACTTGTAGCCCGCATCGACAAAGCCGCGGCTGGCGAGGGAGTTGATGGTCGTAGTTATCTTCTGGGTATTTGGGCTACACGACATCTGGTTGTACGAGTTCCAACCCATCACTGGCGTCTGTTGAAATGATTGCGACGCGACTTGGGTCACCCCAGCAAGGGTGACAAGAACGGAGTTGGTCCAGATCATGGCGAGAACGTGTTAGCAGGTAAACGTATCTCTAGCCGACTGTAGATTTCTTGCGTCTTTATACTTCTGCATTCTGAGTTCATCTTCGACACGAGGAACCGGCCAGCAACCTTTTACCGGTGGAAGGAATGGGTTCGTGCGAATGTCTCTCGTATATCGGAAGTATTCCTAGATATGGAAAACCTCGCGCTCGACACGTTTAGATATCGTCCGTAGAACATAGGCCTATGATGCGCTACCTGGAGCGCAGCTTATTTCTTCCGTGAGATATATTGGAGTTATGGGTGTATTGCGGGGATTCCATGGAGCCGCCTTGCTAATCAGGCAGTTGGGTGGTTGAATGTCCAGAAAGAGATTAGGCATCACAAACCAAGTTAATTGTCAACTTTGCGAAAATCACGTACAAGAGTACAGAAGTCATCTTTCGTATTTCCCCAGCTTTCGTGTCGTTGCGTGGATCTTGACATCGGGTTTCCCCACACTCGGCCTACCTTCTCTTTTACCCCGCGCTCGCTTCACCTTCCGTGCTTGACAGCCGAAGCAGCTTTCCGCCTTCCCTGAACTAGTATTCCGCGATGCATTATTCCCTTACTTGCAACCTCAACATCGCTGCAGCAGCCGCCCTATCATTGCGCTTTAGCCACTCATTGCCTCCTTGCTCGGCTAAAACGCCGCGATCACCAGTAAAAAAGCTCCAATGTGGACCGGGTGGGTCTTCGGTTTACGGGGTATGGGGAATATGATCTGAGCCTAGAGAAGCGCGGTGGATCTCGAGACCACCAAAGGCTTGTGAGGCTTGACAAGTTTCGCATGATGAGGATAATGATAAGCGGAGAAATCCCCGAGGCTGGGCTTGGGAGCCTGTATAAAAAGGTGATCGTCGCTGCGACCCCGTTGCATATGACGAAGTTAGTACAGGCCCTGTGCACTGGACTGCATATTGACATCTCCCGACTTGAGGGTTTTTCGTTCCTGGAACCTCAACGGCATCATTCAACCCGCATTCACCATCATATTCCTAGTAAGCCAGTGGTAGTTGCTCAGGTAGAACCTCGCCATGGCGCGCAAATACCTCGGAGGCTCTGGTGAGCGACTGACAGTGTGGATCTCCATCGCTGCCAGTACGGTCCTCGTGTAGGTTACAATCCGAACATCGTACAATGTACCTGTCTAACGCCCCGCAGTTTCTACGGTTACGACCAAGGTGTCTTCGGCAATGTCATCATTTCGGAGAACTTCCTCCATACATTTGGCTATCCCTCCGCCAACATGCAAGGTGTGATGACCTCCATATACAACATTGGATGCTTCATCGGAGCAATGAGTACTATCTGGACTGGCGACATTCTCGGACGCCCAAGACAGATTCTGCTCGGTTCGACGATCATCGGGATTGGCGCAATCATCCAGACATGTAGTTGGACTGTAGCTAGTATGATGGTCGGGCGTATCGTGGCTGGCCTTGGTACTGGTATGAATACGGCAACGGCTGGAGTTTGGCAAGCTGAGACGAGTAAAATGAACAGTCGAGGAAAGCTTGTCATTATCCAAATGGGTATGTGTATACCAGCACATGTTAGTGCACTTAGGCTAACTCACCACTAGCAAACTGTATTACTGGTTTCAGTATTTCAAATTGGCTTACCCTCGGCTTCTCGTTCGCACCGCGCGATATAGCATGGCGCTTCCCACTAGCATTCCAACTCTTCTTTACTCTCTGCATCTACGCCATGTGTCCCTTCCTGCCAGACTCGCCTCGTCTACTCATTCGCAAAGGCAAGTACGACGAAGCCTTGGAAGTCCTTGCTGCCCTCGAAGGCCACGGAGCGACGCCAGAATCGCCCTCGGTAATCACGCAATACAACATTATCAAGGACATCCTCGATCGCGAGCATATGAACACATACACATGGACGCAGCTTCTTACTGGCAAAGGACCAAGCGGTGTCCTGCGACGCATGCTTCTCGGTGCATGGATGCAGGCTATGAACCAGATCTCAGGAATCAACGTCACCAGTTATTATATGTCGTACATCTTCATAAACGCGTTGGGAATCTCGGAACTTCTATCGCGCATTCTCGCCGCCGCCGGCTCAGTCGACTATCTCATCTTTGCTTGCTTGGCGTACTTCGTGATTGAGCGATATGGACGTCGCAGAGTCATGATGGTCTCCGCCGGCGCGTGTTCCATCTGCTGGGTTGTCATTGCAGCGTCTCAGGGCCAGACTGAGGCAGGTGGCGACTCCTATAAGCTGGGTATCGTCGCAGTCTCATTCTTTTTCTTGTTTTTCGCTAGCTTCGGAATGGGCGTGCTAGGCGTGCCATGGCTGTATCCGACCGAGATCAACGCCCTTGAAATGAGGACCAAAGGCGCTTCGCTTGCAATGGCGACTAATTGGATCTGCAACTATGGTGTTGTGCAGGCCACCCTTCCTGGTATCCAAAACCTAGGCTACAAGTTCTGGATCATCTGGGCAGTTATCTGCTTCTCCTTCATCCCGATCACGTACTTCCTATACCCAGAGACGGCGAACCGAACCCTAGAAGATATTGACCGCTTCTTCGAGACGCAACCAGGTATCTTGATCCATCGCAACAAGCTTGCTGTGCAGCTACATCGTCCGGCTGAATTCATCGAAGCCGATGCGAGGATTGCTGCAAATGAAGAGGCAAAGTTCGAGAAGGGGATAAGCACGGAGCATGTTGAAATGAAGGAAACGGTGTAAAATGTAGCATAGATCGAGGGAAAACACTCTTTGGCATGTAGTAGCGTACTTGTAAGCACACCACACAATGCCATGATAACAGCCCATTGATTACTTCGGGCGAACTGCCTCTTCCATCGCCAATGACCGGAACTCCGCCGCGATGATACGCGGCTTCACGGCTGTAAGACCGCTTGATCTCTCATCCGTCTGATCATCTAGCTACAAGCCTTGGCATAGCTAAGAGCTCTGAAAAGCATCTGCTACAACGCTTGTTTGGATAAAGACTCTTCCAAGCTTGGGCCCTCCGGAACGCTAACCGAGAACGCGTAACTTGAGCTCACGTCTGCTACCAGCAAACTGTTTCCCAATGACGCGGCGCAATAATTGATACAGCCGGCGTACTGTTATTTTTCTCTCTTTGCATTACTGCACACGTATTGTGATAGTGCGCTAGACGGGAGATGCCGTCACTACAAGGCTGGATACCGCCGACCTAGACTTCTGATAGGGCACGCATGGACAATAATAGAGTCAAAGTTTTAGCGACAGTGAACTGAGAGATTGCTAAGGGATTACTCTGAGCATGGATAGAGTCTGCGGTCATAGATCTGGGTCCCTTACAGCGATTGCCATGGCGAAGCAGACAGTCCGAGTCAGGGCTGGTAGAGTACATAATGCTCAAGAATCCGCGACGAACGTCTTGATTACCACCCAGCTAATCAAGCTTCTCTACAGTTATTCAAACCTACACTCTCGTTTGCTTGTTTACTCTCATCATTTATACTTTTGCCATGCGCCACTCATCTCGCGCCACAGCTGCTGCCATGGCAGTAACCGCCAACGCAGCCTCGCTGACCGACCTCTGCACAGTATCAAATGTGCAAGCCTCTCTCCCTTCCAATGGCACTCTCCTCGGTCTCGATTTACTACCTGGGACTGTGACTGCCAGTGCTGTCTACAATGCTACCCTTGGAGGTGGTGGCATGGCATCGTCAACGAGTACTGATGGTACTACCTATAACTACTGTAACGTCACCGTTAGCTACGCCCATACCGGAAAGGGCGATGCCGTTCCCCTCATGTTTGCCTTCCCCGAGCCTTCAAACTTTGCCAATCGTTTTTACCTTTCTGGTGGTGGAGGCTATGCACTGTCTAGCGATGCTACTGGAGGTCTGCCATATGGCGCTGCCTCTGGAGCCACATCGGCAGGCTACGATGCTTTCAATCAGAACTTTGATGCGGCGGTATTATACGGTAACGGAACCATCAACTGGGATGCCACCTACGCCTTCGCCTACACCGCCCTTGGAGAGTTGACGAAAATCGGAAAACCGGTCACACAGGCCTTCTATGGGCTGAATGATACCAAGGTCTACACTTATTTTGAGGGGTGCTCTGACGGTGGTCGCGAAGCTATGAGCCAAGTTCAGCGCTGGGGTGAGGAGTACGACGGCGTTGTGGCTGGTGCACCCGCATTTCGCTTTGCCCAGCAGCAGGTTTTGCATGTCTACCCTGCCTCCATCAACGCTATCAACGACTACTACCCCCCACCATGCGCATTGGATAAGATCGTCAACGCAACGATTGCTGCTTGTGATCCTCTTGACGGACGTACTGATGGTAAGTGATCTGAACGATTGCATGGAAAATGTGCGCTAATACACGTCGCTCTAGGTGTCATCTCCCGTACCGACCTTTGCAAACTCAACTTCAACCTTAGCTCTTTGATCGGTGAAAGCTACTACTGCGCTGCCCAGACCAGTACCTCCCTCGGCTTCGGCTTCAGCAAGCGCGGTCTCAACAAGCGTCAGATGCCAGGAAGCCAGACCAGCGCTCAGCCCGAACAGAACGGCACTATTACTGCTGATGACATTGCGTTAGCGCAGGGTGTCTACGATGGTCTACACAACTCCAAGGGTGAGCGCGCATACCTATCTTGGCAGATCGGCTCGGAGCTTAGCGACGCTGAGCCGACGTACAACAATGCGACCGGCGAGTGGGACCTCAGCATCCCTTCCACTGGTGGCGAGTATGTGACCAAGTTCGTCCAGCTGCTCGATTTGGACAACCTTGCCAACCTTGACAACGTTACCTACGATACACTTGTAGAATGGATGAACATTGGCATGGTCCGCTACCTCGACAGCCTGCAAACCACGCTCCCCGACCTCACTCCTTTCCAATCTTCCGGTGCCAAGATGATCCATTACCACGGCGAATCTGATCCTTCCATCCCCGCTGCTTCCTCGGTCCACTACTGGCAGTCTGTCCGGTCAATCATGTACCCCAACATGACCGATGCTGAAGCTCAGGAAGCCATGGCTGACTGGTACCAATTCTACCTCGTTCCCGGCGCGGCGCACTGCAATGCCAATGCCCTTCAGCCTGGCCCTTACCCGCAAGATAACATGGCTACCATCATCGACTGGGTTGAGAACGGAGTGAAACCCAGCCGCCTCAACGCAACGGTGGCGTCAGGTACAAACGCTGGCGAGATGCAACAGCTTTGCCAGTGGCCTAGCCGGCCGCTTTGGTCTGGAAACAGCTCCGATTTCGAGTGTGTGGAGGACAAGGCGTCCATCGAGAGTTGGACTTACACTTTTGATGCTTTCAAGGTTCCGGTGTACTAGGTGAGATACACCTAGGATGGTCAGGATTCATCGTTTGGACACGTGGCTTCCGCGCAGAGGAAGTGGCTCTCTTGACGATGGTGCGATGCTCTTTGTGAGCTCGTCGTGGTGAATTGTGGCTTTTCGCATGGTATTGTGTTGTATTTTTGTGCATTTCCCTCGTTTCTTGTACCATATTAAATTCCTCTTGACTGTCATAGAATAACTATCAATTTTGATTGTGGTCATTATGGCTCGTTGCAATACCCATCGATGAAGTTCACTGTCAGCTTGTTCCGGTTTTCCTTCAGTAGTATTTCTCGTCCGATGTCCAGGAGCTTCGTCACGTCTTGCCTGCAATCTATATGATGTCAGCCTCAAGGTTTTAACCCCTAGAACATAATTTTCCTACCTATAAACAGCCCTCTTAGCTCTTTTCCCTGCCCACTAGCCAGCCATGCACATGTCTGCCCACAAAGAGATGGCCCATCCTTGAACAAGTCCTTGAAGAAGTCTTCATCCGTAATATCACCATACTTCTTCTTTACATCGTCTGCTGCTGGAGCTGCATTGCATTAGCATGGACACAACACCAACTTCTAATGAGGTGACTTTACCTCCGCCCATGTTACCCCTGACACCACCTGGGTGTAGCGCATACATGTGAATAGCTGGATCCAGCCCATCAAGTTCCATCTCAGTCTGCAGTGTGTGTGTAGCACGGATGAGCGCTGCTTTGGATGTTACATATCCTAGTGTCATGGGTACGTCGACAGTACCGGAGCGAGAGGCGATGTTGATGATGCAGCCGTGGCCGTGTTCGCGCATTCGTGGAAGGATGGCGTGGATAAGCATTAGAGGCTGAGAACACGTTTAGTGAAAGTAATTGGCCTGCTGGGAGGTGAGCTTACGGCCTTGAAGTTGACTTCAATTTGTTTCCAAAACGTATCGAAATCACCCATGATGAATGGTCGCTGAGTAAATATCCCTGCATTGTTCACCAATATGTCGATCGGCCCTAACTGTTTCTCAACTTGCGCAAACACCTCCTTTACTCGTTCCATATCTGTCACATCGCAGCCATATGCCTCGATCTTTACTCCAAATGCTGAACATATCTTCTTGGTTTGGGTGAGCTTGTCAGTGTTTAGGTCAAGGATGGCTACGTTAGCCCCGGATCTCGCTAGCGATTCTGCGATGGCGGCGCCAATACCTTGACCGGCACCTGTTACTAGAGCTACCTTCCCAGCATTGGAGCCTTCTAGGGCGGACGGTACGATGGGACCGTAAGGGGCGTGGTTGAGAGGAATGGTGCTGTAACCGAATTGTGCTGGGTCCATGGCTGTGTTGTGTTGGTATTCGACCCTAGGATATTGTTGACTTCTTGACCCAGGCTAGGGTCTGTCTTGAAGATATGGAAGTATGACATTCTGTATGTATGTGGACGGCATAGTTCCGATCCGGTACATGTCTGATGCGGGGTGCTGTTGGGGTAACTGATGCCCCACACGAAGTATGTGGGGTAGTCCAAAGCCGACTCGGTATTTCAGCATGAGCTTGATGAGAGGATAGAGATGTCACTGAGCCTGGGGAGAACAACTACGCGTGGAGCTTCAGAAAGCTTTCTGGCACATCGCGAAACTGACGCGTGGTGACGTATTCGGGTGCACCGAAAGAGGTGTAGTGTACCCACCACCCTTCCTAGACATTTCGTCGCACATTGAGATTGCTCTAGACTCCGTCTACAACAACGTGCTCATGGATGATATTGTTACGACCATTTTCAGGCAGAAACTAGCAATCAGAACGTGGAGTCAAACGAAACCGGTTGAATAGGAGATGCAGGAAAGATGGAAAGCGGTGCGCGGCGCGAAAAGAATCCGAAGACCCGACCAATTCTCCATCCACTTCATCTACGGACGTTGATAAAAAAAAGCTTTTGAAGCAAGAAAACAAATCCCAAGAGATACAGTATATTAAAGGATGCAAAACACCGTGCCATCAAAAAGGCCTCAAACTACCTCAAACCGCCACTACAAGGGTTTAGATTGCGCGCCCTTTGTCGCAAAAGCTTAAGGCGTTCCCTAAGTCATCAGCACATGACTCAAGTGTTGTTCGCCAATCTATGTACACTTATTGCGAGATATACTAGCACCGATCATGGCATTGTGGCGTCACCAGAGTTGATCCAAATTCGGCACGACTTGATGACATAAAAGCGCTTTACGACACCTGATACTTCTTCAAATTAAAAGGACGTCAATCATTGTTGCAAACTCACCAATCTGGACACCCCTGTGGATATATCATTGGAACCCATCGGTTGCGGGTGAATGTGTAAATGCGGTCTATTTGCATTTGCTATAAGTAGAGGTAGAGGCAGCAATGCTTTCAAGGTAAGTAGCTTCGAATCCAAGCTATCTCGATCATTGCCTGTAGGCACTCTCGATTCCGAAAATGTTGTCATGGCAAAGACAAAGCCTTGCTTCCTTCCTACCTATATTGGGGTGCCTAACGTACCCAGCCTTCGGAGAGCCAGTGTGCGAAGCGTCTTCATTCCAAGAGTTGGAGCTTCACGGCGGTCAGATTCTCAACATCACAACACAAATACACACGAACCTATCGTTCGAAGCTCCAGCTGAGCAGAACCATTATGCTAGTGCTGTGACCGACCTAAACGCTTGTGAAGTAACCATTACATACACGCATCCTGGCTACAATGACACCATCAATACCGTCATTTGGTTGCCTTCCGCTGAGAATTGGACTGGACGACTTCTAGGCGCTGGTGGTGGGGGGTGGTCTACAGGACCCGAAACCAACACCACGCTTCCATGGGTGGCTAGCGAGGGATTCGTTGCTATCGCAACGGATGGAGGCCACATCGGCCAAGACATAAGCTGGTCGCTCGTCAGTCCTGGCAACGTCAACTGGGTATTGTTGGAAGATCTCGCCTCGGTTGCTCTAGATGACCTTGCGACGTTGGGAAAGGCGGTCGCGCATTCTTACTACGGTAAAGCACCAAGCTACAGCTATTGGAACGGTTGTTCTCAGGGCGGCAGACAAGGTTATATGATGGCGCAGAGGTATCCAGATCAATATGATGGTATCTTGGCGACTGCTCCAGCCATATATTGGAACGAGTTGATGATGCAACTCTTATGGCCGCAGGTTGTCATGAATGAAAATGGTATGTCCCCTTGCGGAGATTGAGGACAGGGACTAATATGAAATAGGATTCCCGTCCCCGCAGGAATTTGAGGCTATCAATGTTGCTGCCACCGAAGCCTGCGATGGTCTCGATGGACTAAAGGATGGCATTATCTCGTTACCCCAAGACTGCACTTTTGACCCAATGACCGTCGTTGGCAAACAATACATTTGTCCATCTACGAACCAGAGCATGACAGTCACGACCACTTTAGCCACGGTAGCCAAGATGATATGGCAGGGTGCTACGACCACCGAAGGCGATTTCCTCTGGTACGCCGGCAACATCGGTGCTTCTTTCGCTGGCCTCGCATCAACAACGTGCAAGAACAATAACACATGCGTCGGTGTACCGTTTGCCGTACCCCAGACCTGGGTCACCGACTTTGTTCTGCTCGATCGCGAATACGACACCGCACGTCTTAACATCACGTATTTCGAGCAGCTCTTCCACGAAGCTGTGGACCGCTATGACGCTGTTATCGGTACGGGAAACCCTAACCTCGACGGATTTCGCAAAGCGGGTGGCAAACTTCTCTCATGGCATGGGCTTGCTGATCAGGCTATCGCGCCTGATGCGACTGCTCACTACGCGCAACAGGTACACAAGCGGGATTCGAATGCTAGCGATTACTATCGTTACTTCGAGGCGCCGGGCATCGATCATTGCGGCGGTGGGCTGGGTTGGTATCCCGGAGATGGTCTTGAAGCCCTCGTTGACTGGGTAGAGAAGGGTGTTGCACCCGAGACACTCAAAGCAGAGACCACAACGGGTAGGAAGGCGGAACTTTGCTTATGGCCAAAGCATCTGGTGTATGTTGCAGGAAATCTTGACGAGGCAGTGTCTTTCGAGTGTCGATAAGCTGCAGTTATAGTCACTCTGAGGTTATACTATGAACAGACAGTAGCTTGGTTGGCACCCACATATTCCTGCTGTTCTAATCAGTTCGTTTCCATTTGAAAGCCACCCTTAGGCAGATGACCGCATGCTTTCAGCGGCGACAACCGGACGAATCAAACTCTCATGAGACTGACCGTGATAGGCGCAGCGCGGGGCTGAGTGCTGGAGCTGAAGCTCTGCGCCCCCAACTCTCTATACTCTTAGTATACTGTCTTTGGGCCTCCCCTAGTATCCTCGTTCTCCACGTATTTTGTTTGTTACACTTGAGCTCATGCAACTGCACAAAACACCCCAAATTAATGTTGAAAGCGTCATTCCCTAAGAAAGAAGTGATCAGGCATGTCACAAGGCTGAAGAACGCAGAACCATGGCAGAAGCCCTTGCAGTCCTTGGTGGATTAGGCTCAATCTTCAGTATTGTGGACGGTATTAGTAAGGTTATCGGCATTATCAGCGATCTCCGAGCCAAATGGGACGATGCAGATCTCACTCTGCTCAGCTTGGCGTCTCAACTCACAGCCTTACGGGCCGCCTCAGCCAAGATCCAAGAGTGGATTGACCAGGACCTCCAGGACGCTCATCATCAGCTTATCATGGATCTAGACGTTTCAGTTTCTTGCTACAGATTGTTGATAAGTAGAATTGAAAGCTTTTTCACCGATCTTGCGCAACTGACGGAGAAGCCACTGGATCTTCGCAACAAGTTCAAGGTCGTCTTTGGTAGTGCCGGTCCAGAGAGCGTACAACGACTCCTTGAGCGTCAGGCGAGTGCGTTGACCCTTTTACTGGCTGCGTGCAATTGGTAAGTCTTACAGCGTTCCACAGATGCATAAATCTAACTAAAAGTCCTAGTAAAACACTCTCTGAGCAGCAGAGACATTTGGAAACGACGAAAAGCCGAAAGGTACTCAACCGAGCTAAAGCAGACTCGATGTCTCTTTGCGTTCAACGAGATACTGCTTCTCTTACCAGCAGGATCACCGACAACCTGTCGAAGATCTCTCGTGTCTTCGACTTCGATTCGAACGTGTTCGCCACAAGAGTCTATGAGCGCGCATTCCGAGGTTCAATTAAAGACATCTTGAGGCGGCAACAACAACAACTTCCAAGTGAGAAAGTAGTTATGTCGTCAGGGCTCTCTGGAGATTTATATCTATACGGGGAGGATCAACTTGGCATGGAAAAGCTCATCAACATCGTAGAGGACCATACGCACTATCCTAACCTCGATCGGATTCGGCGTCGGGCGAGTATACAAAACGTCGCATTGGACCTTATCGTCAGTATCGCCAAGCTTATCACTGTTGACTGGAAACAAGAAGAGACCGCTATTTTATTTGCCTACTCTGGCCTACCTCCTCGCGCCGAAGGACGTCCGGCACGCGATAAAGCTTTGGAAGCTTGCGCGCTAATCTGGTGGAGTGCTTTACTAGTAACCCACGAGCCAGAAGCAGAAAACCCAGCATACCCCAGATATAATGTGTCTAATCATGAAATGTTATTCCATGTTGAAATCATACTTGCCGGTGGATTGAACATATATTGCGGCAACGCTAAGGCAAGAGTGTACGTGCTGCCTAACACATTCGCTCAGAACGCGACTTGCTAACTGTGTTTTAGATTCATGGATCATATGGAACGAATACTACCTGTACATCAAACAGAACCCCAATACGCCACACCCCTACTTTCAGACCGTCTTGCAGCAAGTTTGGGCACAGGCTTTCATGGGAGGGTAGCCTATCAGCTCCAGTTTTCACACTCAGCTTCGCCTAGGATTGTTTCGGCTGTCGAGCTGGATCAATTGGCCTACAAAACTCTAGACAGCAAAACCACACTAGCTTTCGTGTTTGACCTCCAGGATCATAGCCACCGAGCTTTTACGCCATTCCATGATCTCCTTGCCAGGATCGAGTTAACTGAATTGATGTTGACCAAGGCCTCCATCGATCTACCTTTTCTCTTAGTCTTCAACAACTTGAACAAGTTCAAAGAGAAGATAGCTACGCTAGCCTTTCCTATAGCATATAGGCATACCACCAATAACGCAGATGAAGTATTAGCGTACATCACGAAACGCATCAAGAACACTCTGCAAGCGAACAGATCCTACTTCTCGGTTCTGAACGAAGAGGGGGAACTAGATCCGATTGAGATCTTCGCTCGTATCTACCGAGCGGTAAATGAGGTAGATGAGTTGATAGGACCGTCAGTTATTACACGCAGAAGTGAAGATGGTCAGATTTAACCATTGTTCAATGAAACGCCAAACATATCTCAAGCGTGTAACGAGCTCTGGAATTGTAAACGATTCGCTCAATATCGCTCCGGCTGTGACCGAGTCTGGGTTGGGAGCGGTAATGGAACCACAACAACAAACTTCTGCATCTCAGAACATAACAGACAACGTACCCACATATATTGTACAGAAACCCAGTGGGTAAACAAGTATACGGTGTGTACATGGGTTGAGGCAGCTGGTTTGGTTCGTGGTACCGAGTTCAAGGATGAACTTTGGGTACATCAGTAGAGCCTCCATTGTGAAGGTACAAGGAATCGTCCTCTTCAACGTCTTTCCAGTTTGGCTTTCTCTTTCACATCGTATTCTAGCCAGGATATCCACATTTCGTACAACTATACATGATCATTGACAGAGTAAACGGTTCCGACAACGAAATCAGCTATGTGGGAACACGATGTGTTTCGCTCTAATTCCATAGCAATGACGGTACAATTCATGCTCTACTAAAGCACATAAAGGTCTAGGCATCGACTTCGGCTCTGCTGGCGTAGAGTGGCACTGCAAACTTCTTGGGAGGTTTCTTCGCTACCATATCGGCGCACGCAACTAAGATATCGTCGCTGATCCTGCGCGGTCACGAAGAGTTGATTTTGGGTGCGGATAGACGCGTCGTCCCCTCGAGTCGACTGGTAGCTAATGATGTGGATGGTGAACTGATACCGGAATGACTAGCTGTCTGGGCAAGTCATGTGACAAACATTTCGGTCTCAGCTTCATACTCTCGGTACCTGTTGGCGATATTATTCGGAAGCATTTTGGATGGTGCTTTCGTCAGTGTATTGGCGTTGCCTCGCCTCACTTTGCACAGGTATTTTATCGTTATCTTCACGTGACCGTTCCCCTCGCCACCATTGTACCATCTCCAATCTAGCAATTCTCATCTCATCATTCAATTCTATCCAGCAGTTGCTATGGCAGAACTCCTTTCACTTCCCAACGAGTTGATACAACATATCGCATCTTTTCTGCCCTGCTCCTCAGCTCTCAGCCTTCTCAGAGTCGACCGACAACTACGCAACATCTGCAATGATAAAGTGGTATTCCAAAGCATTACAAAATACAACCTGGAGCGACCCCTTCTCTTGGAAAATGGAATAGAACTGTCAGGAATGTTCTGGGCGGGAAGCGACGCTGTCTTGGCCAACATTTCTCTCCAAGAGACGATCCGCATAGCATACGCAGCCGAAAGATGTATGCAAGCTTTGATCAAGAAAGACGATATATGGACATTACACAAATATAAACGGCTCAGGGCATACGAACTGGGTGATTGGCTACCGCAGATGATGGCTCTACATCACCCCGCAGCTTTACACCTCAAGCCCGAAAACTTCCTGCAGCTCCAAGGCCAACTATTTCGGGATGAGATCTCGTTAACAATGTCACTTGAATGGTATAAATTCGACATTCTCAACGTGAACTTCATACTGAGCTACACCATCCTGGCGCAGCTGCACATGACCGGAAATGGGAAGCAAGTCAAAGAACCTTTCGACCGCTTCTTCTCCGTGAACCATGCAACAGATCCACCAATCACCCTCCGCAACGGCGTACGAACCGACGGAGATGCTATCAAAAGCCTTCGACAGCGAGTGCGAGACTACGGCAGTATTGACGATGCACTCTACATGGAACAAGCTACAGCCTTGCTCCCCACATTACTTTTGGAGTTGGCTGTACATCACTTGACCCCAATCCAGATGAGCGAGCTCCCTTCACCTACCAGGATACCTTTTAACGCCCTGATGCACATGCCGCCTGTCTTCGAGATGGATAAATCTCCACCCTTCACAGATGGAAAGATACCGTTCGGCTTATGTCACCTTCATAAAATGGTGTCACCCAACTTCCTTTCTTCCGGGCGATGGATGGGTTATTACTCTGACCAGCGGCGCGCCTTGGGTCGACGACGTTTCGATCCGCCTATGCATGACATTCAAATCGTTGCTCGGAACTCCACCAAAGAAGAATCGGGGGATGAATCTCCTTTCAGCGAATTCACAGTGATCGATCCCCGGAGCCGAGGAACCGATACAGTCGGAGAGTTTTCGTTAGAGGGCTCTGTGCGAAGGGACGGATCTGTCTACATCATGAAGAGATATCTCTCACGCGACTTATCATGGATCTGGAAAGCCACGATAACACCTTTCGGGATTGTGGGTGTCTGGGGAGGCGAAGATAGATTTGGAGGTTACTTCTGGATCTGGAAAGAGGAGTGGCGTTGAATGAACTAGAAATATCACCACCACCATGATAGCAACCACCCTCCTTCGCATACTGCACTTGCCCAGACGACTCAATACTGTTTTGTGAGCTGCGCACATCAGCCTGAGTACCCTAAAACCCTTGAGATTTATCGCAAAGTGCGCTAGTTGACATCCTAGATTATGAGCCTGCTGCAGTGGTGCGATTTGGGACTCTATGTCTCGCACCGCCACTACTCTATCAAACGATTAGAACACTTCCTATTCCGCCCGAAGCCGCCATCCAACTCTTCAATCCCGTTCCAGTGAAACTGCAATTCATTTACATACCCACTTACTCAGTCGTCATGCATCTCCATAACGAGAGAATGCTTACATCGACAACATACAGCCAAACAGCATTTTTCTAGTAGTGGCTGACCAGGACTAAGCTAGGTCAATGAACGACCTAAATCACAATGATGACGCCGTAGCAAACACGGCGCTCGCAACTCATACTTTTCTTTGAAAGTGGTGAACTACACTAGCTATACTTAAAACTCGTGTTGAGACAGCGAACATGTATTTAATCACCTGAATACTTATCCAAAAACATACCACTGTCTGATCTGTCATTTCAAGGTATTGAGAGAAAGACTAGGCCTTGGCAGCAAGGCGACTTCGCTGTACAAGCGATTGAGCGGTCATTTCACTTCCAAAACAACACCGATAGCGATAAAGGTAACATCACAAGGACTGGGAATACAAGTAGGCAGCCAAGAAGTGTGAGAATGTCTTTTCATTGACCGGGAGAAAACCATCCCGCCTAATGCGGCAACATTCATACCTCATCGATGCATACATAATGGCAAGGCGTAACGCTATCATGCATCATTTTGTTATGCATCGCAAACTCATCGATACACCCAAATACCATGCTCTCAGGACCCATAATCTAGCAAATGCGCCACCACAAACGCCTTAATAACCATGACTACGTGCTTGCCCTCTTCCAGCTAGACAGCCAAACCAATAACTCTACGAAGTGTCCATGGCATCACCAGCTGGTGCGGTAGCAGCGGCGTTACGTTCAGCCATCTTCTGGGCGAGCAGATTCGCCTTCCAGCTCTGAATCTCCTCTCGGAGTTCATCATTGGGGATGACGTCCTCGATCTTGAGTGGCGTACGGTTGAACGGATCGTGTGGGTCGCTGAGGAGATGCGCTTGGATGGTGCCGCGATCGACTATCTGTTTACTAATAGGTAGGGTGACTGGGTCTTCCATGAGGGAAGCAAGAATAGGATCCAAGTATTCGTCTGGGATCTCTCCAAGATCCGCCTCTACCATGTCGGCCTGAGCCTTTGCCTCCTTGATACGGTCAGACATGGTCTGCCATTGCTCCATCTGCTCGGGCGTTTTCAGCTTGAAGCGCTGCAGAATCTTGTAGGCTTCAGTCATGTACTCCTCTCGATAAGAGCGTCCGTCTGTCGCCACAGCATCAATGAACGACTGTTTGCTCTCCAGGTTGAGGTAGACGTCGGTAACCTCTGCCAGCATGTTCCTAGGATTCCAGCCATACTCTTCAGGATTCTCGACCTTGAGTTGCGACTTCTTGGGGCCCACAAGCGCCTCCAAGTTGTAGTCCAGCATATGCGCTAGTCGCACGACGACCTCTTTCTTGGTGAACGAATCCGCCAGCGCCTCGGTGAACAGCTTCAACATGGCAACGGTCTCGTTGGTGAGCTGCATGTAGCTTTTGGCCTTACCCTGGGCTGACGACAGCTTCTCTTCCTGCTCTTGACGTGCAGTCTGCTCCATATTTGCTGGTGCGTTCTTCAACTCTCTCGAAAGATCGTGAATCTCCTTGAAAGCAGTAAATGACTCATCCAGAACGAATGTTACATCGTTCAGAAGCAGGTTGACGAATTGAACGAAGAAGTCCAGGTTGACGCGCGCCTCAGTCGCAAGATGCTCTCGGTAGATCGGGTTCGGCCAAATGCACTTGATGACCTGGAAGATCTCGTATCGAATGTTGAACTTGTCGAAGAACTGCGTATGTGTTCCGGTGCTCTCGCATTCTATGTAGAACTTCATCAATGCGTGCAGTAGGTGCTTCATTGCGAAGTCATGAGCGAAGAGCGTGTCGCCAAGCACGCCCTTAGGCCTACCATGGATCGCCCATACTCCGTGGAACAGAATTGTCACCAGACCAGACTTCAAGTACGGATTCTTGATGTACTCTGAGCTTCGCAAGAAAGCAATGCAGATCTTAACCAGTTCCTCGCACTGTGTGGTTGTGATAATATGCGGCATGTAGCGAGTGATGAACTTGAAGTTTCCGACAATGTCTTCAACGAAATACTCAGGAAGACACTTGAACTGTACTGGCTGTTCTTTGGGAAGAGGTAGCTGGAGCTCTGACTTGGGGAAAGAGGTCCCAGGCGAAGCGAGCCGTAATAGCCATACGATGACATATCGCATCAGTTGCATAGATCGAGCCTGCATGGTCTCGTCAAGCAAGACACCCTGGATAGCCAGAATGCTACATTTGCCCCGCTCGATCTGGTCCTTGATCTTCTTGATATGATTATCAAAAATAGCAAGCTGCGCCTGGCTAGTCATGTACTTCGGCCGCTCAGGTTCAAGCTTAACAAGCTCCTTTTCAAGCCACTTCACGTCCTTTTGAAGGGTGCTCAGCTTGGTGTTCGCGGCCTCCAGACCATAATGATGAGCAGCGACAGTGAGGAAAAAGACCTCACTGATGAAGTTGTTGGTACCCGAGGCTTTAGTGCTGTAGAAGTCATCCGACGTCTTTTGATCAGCATTAATCTTGGTTTCGTCTTGGATGTCGACGCGAGGCGACCGGCGCAGGTAGTCGATGTCGATTCGATCAATCTTGGAGAATGTGGCGTCCATAAACGGCTCACATAAACGATCTAATATAACCGTCACGTTGACCATGAAGCCGTCTGACGAGACTGCCTTCCTATCCACTTGCATCGCACGCCTTTTGTGGTTCTTGTTGACTGTCAGCGCCAACCAGTCTAGCATCTTCTCGCGAGATTCCTTGTTCTTGATGAAGGTATTTGTGATGTCGAGTAGTTCTTCCTGATGCGTCTGAAGAGTCATGCGGACAGCGCGTTGTGCGTTTGCGATCAGTCCCTTGTCAACAGCCGATGAGCCGGAGAAGTAGTTCATGGCCACTTCCGCCTGCATAGGGGATAACCGGAAAAAGGGTCCTAGGAAGCTGTGTGTCTCGATATGCTGGGCCTCGATGTTGGCGGGCAAGAACGTCTCGGACTGCGCCAAGGCAGCTACGAGCGGCGGAAATCGGACGAATATCCTCAAAATTAGCATGTGTGGCTTGTAGTCTCCGTTCATTGAGACTTTGGAGAGGCGTCGGCTGACGTCCTCCATGGCACCCACCAGTGCCTCCCTGATAGTATCGTCTTCGCCTATTCGCTGGCTGGCTTCGGTGAGGAACTCATAGCAGATGCCGCGCTCGTCGTCCGGTCCGAGAAGCAAACGATCAGCTAATGCATTCTCTGCGGGCGCCTCTTCGCCAAACATGTCTGGCATGGTAACAGCGAAAATGCAATAACTGAAGCATAACCGCCGGGCCTCCTTGACGACCTCAAACCGTGGACCTGTCTTGTTTGCGAGGTTCTTGAGCACCTTGGATACACGCTTCCAGCAGCTCATCAGATATTCTAGTGCTGGGCCTTGTGTTTGGCTCGACGCCGCCTCCAGAATGACGGAATCCAGCAAATCTGTTGACAGGCGAACTGGCCTGCCATCATCTACAAGGTCGCTCTTAGCGCCAGACGCAAAGAACAGCTTGTGCCCATGTGCATCTTGCGTATGGTTCTCATCCAGGGTTATCCTAAAAATATTGCTGAGCGTCCGATCCTCCCACGCTTCTATGCTCAACTCCGGCGCCTTCTGAGTGGGCTGCGGCGTTGGGCCATTGCTCGGTGGCTGTGCGGGTTTGATCGTGATGCGCTTCTTAGGCGGCTCGTCGGTCTTGACGCCTAGTTGAGAGAAGGGGTTCGGGGACGAAGTGGGCTCAGGTTGAGGCTTCGGTGGTGGTGCCTGTGATTTGGTAGGCTTCGGCGATGAAGTGCCCGATGATGCAGCTTCGGGGGCTGTTGAAGGCGGCCGTGAGAGACCGCTTGGAGTCGCAGGACCGCCGAGCTTTGCAAGGCGCTTTGCGCGGATCTGAGATATATCGTCATCAGCGTGTCTCTTTGACGGATGACTAGCAGGTGAGCTCACCTTGTCAGCGTCGGACATGGCATCGGGCGCGGCGGCGGGCGCAGTCGCAGGCGTATGCGCAGCATCAGGCATTGCGCTGTCTTGTTGGTCGGGCATGGCGTTGTCTGGTTGCTCGGGTCGCTCTGGTTGGAGAGGTTGCTCGGGCGGTTGGTCTGCCATGATGGCGTTGTACTGCCAGGCTGCAGTAGAGCTTCGGCGATGGTGGCAGTTGGGGTGAAGTAAGAGGGTGGTGAGTTGGGGAGCAGATTTGGCGGTAGTTACGACAGAGAAAACAAGGTAGAGAAAGAAATACGCCGTGGCCGTGTTGTTTGAAAGACGTCGAGTGAAAGAGGCGCGAACCGTGGAAGTGCGTCAGTGCTGGCTGTGGTTACGGGACCCGGAGCTTCTAGTCTGCCCCGCCACTTAGCCTGCAGCCTCGCTCGCCAACTCACGTGTACCTTGGAATCTGGACGAAACGCGACGAAGTAGGCAATAGTCATTCGGCGGGTATTTCCGACCTTATCTCCGTGTCATCTAGATCTAATTCAAACATGATCCTCACAACTGAGATCCTCCGTTGCAGTGCTGTGGAGCAACAGCTGAACGACTGTCTCAAAAGCAGCTCCAATTCGTCTGATAATCATCGGCATTCTCTTCTGTGTCCGCTTCTTTCCATATATCTTCCCCACCGACGACCCCATCCTCATCAACGTGCCATACCTCGTTCTCAACCAGTTCCCACCAGTTGGCGAGGACAGCAGCCAACGGCGTCCCATGAGCAGACAAAAAAGGAAAACACATCCCGTGCTGATACAAAACAGCTTGACCTTGGCAGTCTCGCGCCACCGTAGTTCCATCATTTTTGCGAACGTGACCATGAGCTCCGAGTGGAAAAGGGAGGATTAGAGAGACGGAGTGTGCATGTGTCCCATCGGGAGTCAGATATAGACCGGCGCGGTTGTCAAGGGTGTAGGTACGTCCTGGTTTGTTCTGCCATCGGTCACGATCAGACTGAAAAACGAATTGAAAGCCTCGTGTACGCCATGGGAACAAGAGAAAGTTGGGCAGATGGTCAATTTCATGTTGCCGGGTGGTGAGAGAAGCGTTGGGATGCAGTTCCTGTAATTTGGCCCCTATACGGTGGATAAAAGCTTCGTTCGGAACGTCTAGTTGCGGAGCGATGGAAGTAAAGGTCGGTTTTTTTGCTCGGGAGAGGAATGCGCGTGCGAAAGGTGGGATGGCAGGATGTTGCTCCAGGATCTCGGAAGGGATCAGACACGCATCCGCCTCTTCTTCCCTCCCATTCTGTTGAGACTCTCCGTCGTCCTCTGTCCCTTTTGTTCCCGGCAGCCTTTTAGTGATAGTGTCCACTAAACTATGCCACGCCTCCAGCGCGCCCTCCAGTTCTAGGTTCGTCCACTCCTCTATCCTCCATCCCTGCGTAGTAAGGTTATCTCTCTCACCAAAGCCCGGGCATTCTACATCGATGACGAATTTGCCCGACTCAACACAGTTCCAGTAAATTTCCAGCACATTGTGAAGATCGCCCCAATAGAGGTCACTTGGTTCGAGATATGGGGTATCCAGGTAGCATACTTGCTGCGTCGAATGACTGTACACAAGACCACCTGGATCATATCCAGTACCCATGTAGAGCAAGATGTAATCCTCGTGTTCTTCTAACATGTCAAGCCACATGTCGGGGATCAGGCGGGAAGGCGGTGGGATACCGACAAGCAAGGGGTTAAAGGCCAGGTGCTGATGCTCTTCGGGCACGACAATGTCGATGCCTGATAGGAAGGCTGTGAGTTCATCATCGGCTTCAAAACCCAAACCTGGAGATGAAGGGTCTAGTGAGTGTGCGGCGAACCAGCTGCGTTGGATTTTTGGTTGGTGGTTAGGAAGGTGCGAGCGGGCGTGGGCGACGATGCGGTTGTGCAGCTCTATGCACCTGTCCACATCGAAGCCCATGCTATGCTGTTAGTGTACGCTATACATGCGTGGTTGTCGATGTGTTCAGGTAACAGATGTTGGGTGAGTGGGACCCACACACTAGGTCGCTCCTGCTGTTCAAGCATGGTCGTCGCTGCATTGGGAAGAGTGGTCGCTGCCGTCTAGAGCGGCGTGGGTGGTCGCGCCCGTTGGAAGATAGGAGCACGCGCACTCGCTCGGCAGGAACAATGCTGGGGAAAGGGCAGGCGAGCTGTCACATCAAACCTGAAACCCTTGTTGGTACCAGGTCCTCGCCAGGGCAACCGACAGCGAATACCCGGGCATTGCAACGAACTGGCCATGGTTGCGATTGCTGGCCAGAGGGACGGCAGGCTAATAGGATATTGTTGGCCATGACCCGTCATTATTATAGACATGTCAAACCATGCTGGAGACAAGCTATGGTGCGGTTGCCATGTGACGGCTCCGGGGGCGTGTGCATGGGTAGTTTACCATGTCGGTTAGTAGCAAGGCGCTTGATGCAGATAGCTAATCGCACCTTCTCCTCTTCTCTCGGCCAACCTACATCCCATCGCGACGACGCTTCACCAACCCTTTACGTGATTTTCCAACAGTGCAGCTGTCCAGGTACGTCACATTCACTCGCATTTCCTGCCCGCTAGGCCGCAATCGCCGAAGCGCTGCGTGGCGCAAGCAGAACTCAGCCGCAGTTGTTGCAGCACGACCCCCGTTGCGGCCATGGTGCCTAGAGCCATAACACCCTGAAGCCGCTGTTCTCCAACTTCAATCACCGCCAGTCCTCCATCCAAATACTCACCACCTCCCAAACAGATCTTGCTGCCCCCACCGACGACCTCAATAACCCATCACACACGACACCATGGCCGAGATTCGACGAAAGCTCGTTATTGTCGGTGACGGCGCCTGTGGAAAGACCTGTCTGCTCATGTACGTCCCCAAGCAAGCGCCCATCCACGCAGCGCTGCTATTCCCACTGCAACGACACTTGCTAACGGTGCTCTCTACAGCGTCTTCTCCAAGGGCACCTTCCCCGAGGTCAGTACTCGCCGCTCGCCTCGCCTGCATCCCTGAGCCGCGTCAGCCTAGCTGGTCTGCATCCACATCGCAGCCATCTCTGCTCCCACTGACTCCACAACCCACCTACTAACTCCCTCTTCCACAGGTCTACGTCCCCACCGTTTTCGAGAACTATGTCGCCGACGTCGAGGTTGACGGCAAGCACGTCGAGCTCGCCCTCTGGGATACCGCTGGCCAGGAAGATTACGACCGTCTCCGCCCTCTCTCCTACCCCGATTCGCACGTTATCTTGATTTGCTTCGCCATCGACTCGCCCGATTCGCTTGACAATGTCCAGGAGAAGGTACGAGACATGCGGCACGCCCATGCAACTAGCGACTGACAAAGAACAGTGGATCTCCGAGGTTCTGCACTTCTGCCAGGGCCTTCCCATCATCCTCGTTGGATGCAAGAAGGATCTGCGCTTCGACCAGAAGACTATTGAGGAGCTACACAAGACCTCGCAGAAGCCCGTGACACCCGAGCAGGTTAGTAACCACAACAAAGTCCATTCAAACTTCAATTCACTAACATGACCAGGCCGAGGATGTGCGCAAGAAGATTGGTGCTCAGAAGTACCTCGAGTGCTCGGCCAAGACGAACGAGGGCGTCCGAGAAGTATTCGAGCACGCCACCCGGGCTGCTCTGTTGACCCGGAAAGAGAAGAAGACCAAGAAGTGCTTGATCTTGTAAGCTTGGACAAGACTTTGCGACGATATAGGTCCAAAGCCGCCGCAACCGCGCGATGTTGGGCCTGGACAAGAACAACACTGTGGCGGCTATCGGGTGTCTAATAGTGGTCTATTTGAGAAGGAGGGCAAACATGTCATGGGCCGGTAGGGGTAGCAGACGAGTCGACTCCTCCAGTCTGCTTGCTGTCCATCTCTGACGGCACCTATACGAGGCGTTATTGTGCTGGATCTTTTGTGTGTTTGGACCGTACATCATCTTGGGGTAGTTCATGATGGGGTTATCTTCTCCGAGCGTGTGGATCGAGATTGAGCAAATGGTAGGATCTTTCTAATAACGGGTGCTTTGTTTTGCTCTTATCGTGTCTACCCATACCAATCGTTGAGTGGGTTTATCAAGATATTCCTTTGTGACTACATGCTACGACCCGATGCTCCACTGCCTTGCTGACGTAGAATGCTACCGGACAAACTAAACTGATATCATAGAGCCATGGGCAATATCACGGCTGAAACACGTCCCCCCCCATCTCACCCTTATCTTGCATCAAACAAGGCGTATCTCTTCCTACTGACTCGTTCCCACATCTTGGCCTCCACAATAACAAGTCCATGTTATGCAAAGCATGTACCAAGATGGTTACCCAATCTTCATGAACCGGATACCTCGTTCCGAGGTACCGCCCCGCTTTCTCGCCTCTCGCCTCGCATCCTCCTGCATCTTGCTTGATTTGAGTTGGGCTGGTGGATAAGGCGGAAAGTGGAGATGTTATGGGGGCGAGCAGAGGATCAGGCCACCACTTCGGATGGAAGCCGAGGAGGGGGTGAGAATGGATAGTGTGTTGTATGTGATGCCATGTGCAACATGTGTGCAATATGCAATGGATGTGAATAGATATGTATGCAGTTTTGGTAAGTGTGAATCCATGTCCACATTGTGCGCGTATGCCGCTTCCTGAATCCCTGAAGCATATCTAGGTAGTGGTGCCAATCCGTTGATGTCATGTCCTCCTTGACGCCGTGCTAGAAATGCTGTCCGTACCCATGTGCCAGATACTATATGAACATTGAAATCGAAGTAAATACTCCAATGACTGTGAAGAGAGACATTGAAGACTGAGCAACAGCCCCACCCTGCTGATCCTGAGACTGCCCATGACCCACAGACGTCGAAGTCGCTCCTCCAGTCTCCGTTGCTGTCCTCGATGCCGAAGGAGATGCCGTACCTATTGAAAAATTCAAGTCAGCTAAATGTCACTAACGCAGAGAAAGGAAAAAAAAAAGACTCAAACATACCTGTAGAACTAGCACTCTCCGTCCCCACAACCACTTGTTCCTCGCCCAAAACACCCAGCCCCACCCTACTCTTCTCAAAATCAAAGACACTATACACATTCTTCAAGAACACATCACCCACCAGCCACTGCGCCTCTCCAAACGTCTTCCTACCGACGATATTGCTCCTACACAAAGCAGAATCATCATCCTTGTCGCCAATCCAATCCGCCGTAGAAATATTATAAATCCGGTTGTTAAACGTAAACTGCACCACAGACTTGGTTTCGCAGGGAACGAAGAAGATCTCGCCGTCCTGTTCAAAGCCCTCGATCTTGCCATGAATAGCCAGCGCATCCGGTTCCGGTATGAGGATGAAAGACGTTCCCGTATCCATAATTGCCGTTCGGTTGGTGCTCCCACTTGTGAGATTGACGTTGATGCCATCGACTCCAGCGTCCTGTAAAGGAACTTCCCAGAACCCAGATTCATTGTCCACGCAATCTAGGTAATTCAACTCACCGCTAAACCTCTCCTTGTTCACCTCGCCGAGGTTTAACTCGCCGTCTAGTTTACCGTCCGAGTCGCGGGAGAGGTGGATTCCGTAGAGTTTGGCGCCGATGAGGTTCTGCGAGGAGAGTATGTCCATGATTTGTGGGGTGTCGATTTCATCCGTGGTGCTGGCGCCTTGTGTGCCGCGGCCGATGCCTAGGATGCCGTCCATGGGGTATGCGCGGAATTCATCGGAGACGTTTGTTGCGAGGCCGAAGGTGAGAGTGGGGGAAAGGGACTGGCCTAGATGCAGTGTATCTGTTGCTAGGTGGCCCGAAGAAGTACCTGTGCCGTAGGTCATGCTGAACGGGCTGGTCTCGTCTGTCTTTTGGGTTATATGTTAGCATTCGCAACTACAACTTTGACAGGACATCTGGGACAACTCACTTTGAGTGTACTTGAATCCCCCTTCCCAAACGTAGCATGCGTTTTACACGCTTCACTCTCACAATCTTGTCCCATGACCCAGGTATTGCTCGCTGCTGAATCGAGCAACATGTGGTACTCATCTGAGCTGTCACCGATTGTTACAGCGACCATGTAACTGAGATCGCTGCCATCTTGATCTATGGCTACGCTGTTTTCTTGGCTCGGGTTGTTCGAGTTGACAATGTTGTATACGTTTTGGCGGGCGCGAAGAGGCGTGCGTGCGCGACGAAGGGGGAGCGTTACAGAGCGTGTGTTCCCAGCGTGGGAGGGTGGTGGGGCGGTTCGGTGCGAGCGGCTCGAGGTGGAGGTCTTGCTTACGGAGTAGTGGTAGGGGTAGAAGGCTGTTGCTGTGGGTAGAATTGCTGCCGAGAGCGCGAGCCAGGTTGGTAGTGAGGTATGCATGGTGTTGGTGACGTGGGTATTCAAGGTCTGAGCTCCTCAGTTTTTTTTTGCTTCTGAACTCTTGAGTCTTCCCACTGGTTCCTCTTGAGGAATTGAGGTATAAACGTCGACTACCAGCAATCCAGATGCGTTGGTGTTTAACGTGTCCCGTTGGAACTCAGCCTTGAGCGCTTCCAAGGATGCAATACGATTGCCAGATCCCAATGTAACAAGGCGCAATAAACGTATAGACGAGAAAGAAGAAATGAAAGAATATACAAAATACACCTCAACGAAGGATACCAAGGTAAGACCTGCGGCTGAAAAGATAGTCAGAAGCGTAAATCCGGGTGATCGTCCAAGGGTAAACGTGTTGACCTTCCAACGCCACAAATCCCGAGTTATCGTAACAAGAAGAACGACGACGACGACGAAAGGAAAGAGAATGTAAGATAGATGAAAGAGCACAAGAACTAAAAAGCCACCAACCCATACTCCTCCAGCATGACGTCCTTGGCTCTATCACAAAGGGTAACAATATCGATGCGGACGCGCATCACGGAGTTCAATGTGGGGCGCTACCGTGTTTACCCCTGGAACGAACGTCGTTTGAAACAGCGAGCTCATGTCAGACGGGACCAATGACCGCTGCATGATGTTGCAATCTTATCGAATCTGGCATTTTCCGAATCGGGTGATGCTGGCTTCGCAATGTTTGATTTGTTGATGGAAGTAGACGGTGGGTCTGCAATGGGAGCTGGGCTGGCCTGGCTCATGCGATGTGCACCTGAACATGTGGAGCCGACGCGTCTTGTTAGCGAACATTTGCATTCAACATTATGGTGATGTATTTGTCTGCGTAATAACACATGCAGATCTTAGAGCACTGGCAATTGAAGATACAGGATAGAATATTGATGCTTTGTCAGGTTCATTCGTATATTCTTACAGATCGGGATTCTAGAGAACTGACAATTACTGTTTGGCAGCCGCCTGAATCATCTCTGGTGCCTTCTTAACACCCACAATCTTCTTTGCCTCCATGATCTCCAGCCTGCTAAGGCCCATGCCGCTCAGGTATTCATTGAAGCTACCCAGAATCTTCTCAAGACCTTCTCTGAGACATTCCCTGACTTCGTCTACTTCAGACACCTTTCTCCTCTCCGCCTCCGGCTTGTTGAGCGTCTCTATGTCACTCGAGTGAATAGGAGCTACTTCCATATACTCATCGATCTTCTTGAGCGCAATAGTGAATATGCGCACTATGCTTGGGATACCTTGGTGGAAGCGTCCTAAACTATCCTCAGCCAGGGAAAAGACTGCAAGATTCGCCAGGGCAGTTGCTGCATTGCAAACTCGAGAGAGTTGAGAGTAAGGTGCGCCGAGAACGACAATGTTCGCTGTCCGTCGAAAGGAGTGTTGGAATAATACGCCGACCGGGGAAGAGACAAGCTTGTTGTAGTACGTCGTGAAAAACGATTCGGCCTCCTTTGCACCCTCTTGAGCCTTCTTCACTCCTCTGTTTATAGCTTCGCGACTGTACGCTTGCTGTGCGTTGCCAGGGGCGCTATGTGACTTCGCAATGTTGGCTGTTGCTGCCTCGACGTGTTCCCATCTAGTATTTGGTTTTGGTGGTGCAGCAGAGATTGGCTTATCATCCTTGAGTGGTTGTGCGATACGAGGTACCAAGCTGACAGGTCCTGCTGGCTGGTCTTTGCCAGATCCATCGTTGGGCTGGTAGGCGGGATCAAGACCAACGCTAACGCGGTCGATAAGGAACTTGAGCTCCCCTAAGCAAAGGTCCGTGACTTGCTGGTGTGTCGGCGCCTTCTTACGATCCATTTCGCTGTAAATAGTCTTGCGGCGATTGGGGAAGGCGTCAGTAACGAGGGCTAGCTCCCAGAAAGCAATGGCCTAAATCAGTTAGCAATGAATGTAGTGGCTGGATTGCTTCGTCTTACCCTGACAGTATCCTTCTTCGACTTGAGGCCGTTTAGGAGAGATCCATTGGGGTCTGTGGAATCATTCGTGATCGGCAGGTCGTTCTTCAATGGTTCTTGCGCAATATACACGTCGAAGGTCTTGTTGACAAACTCCCAGAGCACGACTAGCAGCGTCCCTTCTGTGATGAACATGAAGCACAGCGGAAGAAATGGGGCAAGTCCCGTTGGCGTGGAAGTTTTGGACAGGCTCCAGAGATATCGACCGAAGCTGTAGTAGTAGCTCCAGATCAGGTTCCGGGTGCCGATGAAGTAGACGCCGAAACCAGCAAGAGCGATGATCGAAGCCAGTGAGCTTGACTGTGTCGCAATGCCCTTTAGCTGTCTGATGAGGACATTTCTGGGCTTGGGTGCCCGTCGCGCCAGTGCTGCAGTCGTTGCGTCTCCCCGCTCCTTCTTAGGCTTCATAGCCTGCACTTCAATCTTGTCGTAGTCCTTCCACAAATGTACTCCAGATTGCGCCGCTGCCAGGAGGTAGAAGAGGTAGCGCAGGTAAAGCGGCCTCTCGTTCAGTCGGAATCGCTCGTGCATGCGGCCCGCCTCGATAAAGTTGAGCCTGTCCTTGGTACCCCGCGACCAAATGTATGTCTCTACAAACATCATGGCGGAGAAAGCATAGGCAACAAGTGTGACCAGCGTTGCAGGACGGAAGAAGTACTTGGTGAATGTTTCGGCTTTTGTTTGTGTTTGGCGCTGGCCAACATGCCACTGGGCGACGCGAAGGACGTAGATGGTAAGAGCAGAGAGGAAGATTAGGAGGGTTCGAATGCCAGTGAGACCTAGTGGGAACCATAGCCATAGTACTGTATGGAGTCAGTAAATGTGTTTGTATTTCTGTCAGGATCTCTCACGGTTATCCCATTCCCCCATCCAACACGCGATCCCATAGCATAGCAAAAGCGTATATCGACTGGCCTTGTTGAATCTTCGGTGTAGAGCTGGCGTCAGGTAGTCTCTGTATGGGCGCACTTGGGTTCCAAGCGGTGCGAGCGCCATGCTTGGGAGCGGTTTGGGGTAGAGAGAGCGTATGAGTGAGGAACTGGCTATATCATAGCAAAAGAAGCAAAAAGATGGCGTCGCGCCAATAACAGATCGAACGCGTTGGTACTGTAGTGTGGAGTACCTTCGCAGCAGTGAAAGCGCCCGACTTTGTTCAAACAAACATTGTTGATCGGCGGAGCTACCACTTCGTCGCCGACAGCTGCATGCTTACCTAAGGGGTCCACTTGTGCCTTGTGCCATGTGCCCTTAGCCGCGGTCCTTCGTCATCGCCGCAGGAACCACCGAGCAACCAACCTCCAGGTAGCCACGATTGGACCACAGCACTAGGCTACAGCAACTATACACACAATCGCACCGCTCCAGACATCCTTCTGATACATTTGTCGGAGGACAGCCAGTGCCCTCTCCCTTATCCGACAACATGTCGTTCCAACGCTCCAGCGCCCTCGAATCGCAGCCCACAACATGGCGAAGGGACGACGATCCGTCATACGCCGATGACCCAGAGTTCCGCGACTTCGCTGATAAACTCTCCGATGATCTTTTCGCATTGACTCGCAACGTTGCCCGTCTGTCGCAAGAGACCGCCAAGCTAGGAACCAAGCACGAGACAGCTCGTGTGCGCGAGCGCGTGAAGACGACTGTCGAAGAGACATCAGACAAATTCAAGGAGCTTGGAGAAGGGCTGAAGAAGATCACAACCTGGCCTGATGTTGGCGTATGGGCACACCGTCCTTGAGATGAAAGACAGCAGCTAACAGGAGACAGCCCTCGCAAAAGTTTACGCAATCGAAGCTTCAGCGCGAATTCAAAGCATCGCTCACCGAGTTCCAACACCTACAGAAGCAAGCGCTAGAGAAAGAGAAGCAATCGGCACAAGCGGCACGCACCGCCCTCCAAGACGTATCATCGCCAAGCGAAGAGCGGGGAGGAGAGTTCGGGCAACAACAGGAGCAGGAGCAGCTGCGCTTGGCAAACCAGGATGAGGTCGACTTCCAGGAATCGATGATTATCGAGCGCGAATCTGAGATCCGCAATATCGAGCAATCAGTCGGCGAGCTCAACGAGCTGTTCCGTGATGTTGCGCACATGGTACATGAGCAGGGAGCTCAACTCGACATCATCGAAGAGAACGTCGAGACCACGCACGACGCATCGCGAGGCGCACATGTGAACCTTAAGCAGGCGAGCAACTACCAGAAGAGCGCAAGGAGTAAGGCATGCATTCTACTGCTCATTCTCGCCATCGTTCTTGTCATCATCATTCTTGCTGTCGTCTTGGATTAGATGATACGTGCATACTCTCTGTAATGGTTGTTTCTGTTTGTCTTGGGCGTTGCATTGTATATCTTGGGAGGGGTCTTATACCATGACGTGAAGCGCTTTAGTGCATTCCATTGCAAATTTCCTGTCGTTTTCGGATCTTGTCTTTGTCAACTATGCAGTTTGGCTCTCTATGGTATGGCTCTTATATTAGCCAGCTCAGATCTAATCTATATTCATCATGTCTTATTTCACTATCAAGTGTCCTTTCCGTGTTTGATCGCTCGTTCCTTCCTCCACGTGCCTCATTCACCAACCTACCACCAACGGATCCGCTCTTGAATCTTTTTGTAGGTCGATACTTTATGCATTGGGCTGGAGACTTGAAAACAGGGTATCTTTAGTACCTGAGTGTAGCACCCTAGAACACAGGTTGAAGCAACCAAAAATGCTCTACGAATTCATGTAGTAGGCAGGAGTATCGTGCTATCAAAGATACTCTCGTCTATGACTTTGTATCCGGCATTCGCAACAACACTAGAGGTAGGGCATGGGGGATCAAACACATTCATTGCCTCTGCTCATCGACTCGGTTGGCACTGCTCTATATACGGGTATCTACTCAACATTCGGCGACTTAGCTAGCCATAGATGCTTATGCGCTGTTAACAGGTTCACCCTTCTCATCAATTAAGCTCTCCTCGGTCTTTACTGGACCCTCACCAACACCGGTCAAGATGACTCTGCTAACACCCTCCTCCAGGAATGTAATAGCAGGGCCTGCCTCGAACTTGACCTTCTCGAGCGCGTCGGCGTTGGCCTGGATAGCTTGTCCTCTCTCGCCCTGCCATCCGTCCTTCTCGTTCAGAATCTGCTTGAACAGACCTGCAACTTCCTTCTCGTTCTCCTCAAGGTAGTATATGACCGCGTTTGGGCCTGCGTCGAAGGTGTACGCAGCAATGATCTTGCCTGCCGCAGCGTTGATGCTCTCGACAACCTTGATGGCCGCTCGAGAGATGTCGTTGAGGTAGAAGATGGGAGGGAAGGTGTCGAGACATGTGGCGTGGAAAGAGTTGCTGTCCATCATGGTGACCTTGCCAAATGCCTCGAAGTCCTTGTTCTGGATAGCATCCTGCATCTCCTTCATGCGTCGTGGCACAGTCTCTGTGGCTCTTGACTGGAAGAGGCTGGAGGTAGCAACTGTGGTTTGCATGCCAGTAGTACTCGACACGCCCTTCTTGGCTGCGCTGACAACCAGGATAACGGCGCGCATGTTGGGCCAGTGGCTTGCAGGGGCAACCTGGAAAGCAACACTGTCACTGCCATCCGAAGCAGAACCTTGCTCCCAGCCTACGTATCCGCCGAAGAGAGATCGGCATGCTGAGCCGGAGCCCTGCCTTGCGATACGGGAAAGGTCGGTAGGCGAAGAGGGGAGCTCGTAGAGGTTTGCAATTGCGCGGACAAGAGCAGCGAAACCGGCAGCCGAGCTAGCCAATCCGGCAGCGGTGGGGAAGTTGTTCTCGGAGACGATGCGCAGGGGAAGGTCGGCGAGTTTGGCGAGGCTTGAGTCCTTCTCCTCGAGTTGCTTCCTCAATGCCCTAAGCTCCCTAAAGCATGCTTGCGTCCTTGCACCAGAAACATCTTGCGATTGGCCATTGAGAAGAAGAGTGTCTTCTTTCGGGTAGGTAGATGAACACGAAGCAGTGGTGTGGGTGCGGAGATCGGACTGCGCGAGGGTGACGCTGAGGGAGGAGTTGGTAGGGAGGTTGAGCTTAGGGTCGCGCTTTCCCCAGTATTTGATTACGGCGATGTTTACGGGAGCAGTAGTGCTGGCACGGTGGATGTCGGACATGTTGACGTTTGCTATACAAGAAGAAGGGAAAGAAGCAAATTACAAAGGGTAGCGGTGAACGTCGGGGGGTTTTGGTGGCAGGTGGGGTTTTGTTTATATGCAGGGTCTAGTTGGGATGCGGTCTAGAAAGCGCGGATCCAAGACAGTGACTTGAGAAAGCGGAATTATCCGTCTCAAGGACAGTTCTGACAGGTTCAATCTTGGGGATCGACTGCCTACTACAGAGCCTACTCCGCCTGAAGAAGGATAAGCGTTAGGGAAATCGTCCGCAGTGGTGAAATGCAATAGTCTAGGGTCAGCCAATCAGCATCGATTGGTTTCCGCAAAGGCCCGTGCCCAGGATTTCTCGAACTGCTTCCGTCACCATCCCGAGTCTCTCGGAATCTCCAATCCACACATCTCCACCACAATGTCTTCACAAGACGACCCAGCAGCAGCCTGCCCAGTCGATCACAAGACTCGCGAAGCATGGCTCGCCCAAGCTCGCGCCCAAAATGCCAATGCACCACCAAATCCACATAACACCCCCATACCAACACCCGCCGCCCCGCCAGCACCCTCACAATCCGCCGTCCAGCAATCATGCGATTCCTCCTCGCTAGACCAAAGCACAACATCTCCGCCTCCTACGCATGCAAGCATCCTCTCCCAGATACGCCTCGGCACCGACCGTGAAGTCAGCACAATACCACGGGCCCTACCCGACAACTTCGCTGCGCCATCCACACCAGACGCCCGGCCAGCAAACAACGAGCGCGATACAGGTTCCGACAAGAAAACCGGAAACTGGATCTACCCCTCTGAGCAAATGTTCTTCGACGCCATGCGCCGCAAATCCTACGACCCCTCCGCCCCAGACATGCGCACCATAGTCCCCATCCACAACGCCGTCAACGAGCGCGCCTGGCACGAGATCAAATCCTGGGAAGCGAATCGCGGCGCTGAGAAATGTGGAGGACCTAAGCTAGCTTCCTTTTCCGGGTTGAGCACGAGTTTGACACCTAGGGCACGGTGGAAGAGTCTGATGGGGTATCAGCCGCCGTTTGATAGACATGACTGGGTTGTGGATCGCTGTGGAACCAAGGTTGAGTATGTGATTGATTTTTATGCGGGAAGGGATGAGGGAAAGGTGGGGAAGGCACTGAACTTTTATTTGGACGTTCGGCCCAAGCTGAATAGTTGGGAGGGGGTTAAGATGAGGATTGCTAGGTTCTGGGGGTTCTAGACATCAAGGACTGATTGTAGGATATGTACAGTTGTAAGATTAGTGAATCTGGGTTGAAAATGCACCGGACGAATGTCTTGATGAGTATGAATAGATGTATATAGGAGAGCAGAAAGGGAATAGAGTAACTTTGCTCATGAAGGGAATATCCTGCGCCATTGACGCGCGGTTGATGCTGTCAAACGCCTCTATACGCCATGCGTGCATCTGAGACTAATTATATCTCCAAGGCAACTCCCTTAAAAGACCGCTCAAGCCGACAACTCACCAGCAAGAAAGATACGTACAGTCAACCCTACAACAAAGTCTACCCAACCCAATCGTTTCAAGGATCCTGGCTTAGTAAACTTCCAGCCCCAACTTCCTGAGCTTATTACAATTCTTCAACTCCATGTTCCGCGCCTTGTTCATAGCTTCTTGGTCCACACTGAACCAACCCTGCGCTTCCTCCATAGCTCTCCTCTGTTTAACCCGCTCATTCTGACACCGCGTGTTGGTAACATGGACATACTGGTTCTCAGCCTGCTCATCCAATTTCCGCCACTTCTTCGGCGTGTAGTCGTGAACGTCCTTGGGATCGACAAAGTAGTCTATCTTTATCCGTGTGGAGACGCGCTTCATTGTGTTAGGGGAGCGGGGTGTTTCGAAGACGAGGCTGGGGCCTGCGGATGTGGTACTTGAGCCGGAGAAGAGGGAGGAGAGGAGGGGTAGGACGAAGAGGAAGAGGAGGGGCAGGAGATTGGCAAAGGCTGAGGAGACGTTTTGTTGGCCTTCAGAGCCGGGGGGTACAGCGGTTCCGGGGCGTCTGCGTGGTCGACCGCCGCCGAATTGGTGGACACGTACACCTGGGCCGCCGCCTAGGTTGAAGACGAAGCCTGGTCCTGTGTCCATGCCGCCTGTGAAGTGTTAGTCTTTCGTTACACGGTATAACTTATGACCAGCACCGGGCTCTGATTGAATGAGTGAGTACGTACCAAAAGGCCCTCCGAAAGCACCACCAAAGAACTGTCTAAACAACTCTTCAGGCGTCATCTCCTCCTCAAACCCTCCTCTCCTCGCGAACCCATTTCCAAACGGACTCGCACCGCCCCCACCATTCGCGCTTGCATGCGCCCTAGGATCAAACCTCGCATCAGGATCCCCGCCAAACTGGTCGTACTTCTTCTTCTTATCCGGATCACTCAGCACCTGGAATGCCTTGCTGACCAGCTTGAACGCATCATCCGCGCCATCATAGCCATTCTTATCCGGATGCGTCAGCAGCGAGAGCTTGCGGTACGCCTTCTTGATGTCCGAGTCTGAACAGGTGGTTTTGACTTCTTCGAGGCCGAGGATCTTGTAGTAGGCGGTTGGCGCACACGATTTGATGCGTATTACGGCTGCTTTTTGCTCCACGGTAAAGGCTCGGCCTGCGCTGCCGTCGTGGTGGTCGCGCGATTTGGCATCAGAGCCAGAGGTTTTGCCGGACATTGTTCGACGGACGAGTTTATGTGTGTGGGGTATTGGTGTTTATGTGGAAGGAGATTATGCTGCCGGGCGGGCAGCGGTGTCGAAGGGAGGCCGATGCGCAAGGACAGACGGCTGGTGGTGTTGTGGCGGCGAACTTGATGTGTGGGCGTTGGAGTTGTTGTCGTTCAGGGGACTGGGGGGTGGTTGTATTAATCGTGATAGGCGTGTTATCTGCTTCTGTTGAAGTTCGCGAGTTCCGGAGGCCAGTTTCCAGGTGCTGGGTTGGCACGGGCTGGCGGTCCACTTCCCGGACTAACGTCATTCAACTTCACCAATCTCAACCCATGTACCCTCCAGCGACTGTTCCTTGAGCACCGAGTCCCTTCACGTACCCGTTAATTCTCTTACAAATATCAAAAGGACACACGAGCTTCACGATGACTGCGCAACCAAAGCAGTCTATGCTCCAATCGCTGAGGAATTGGGGAGGTACGTTCACATGTCACTTCCTGATCATCTAGTCACTCACGTGTCTCACTTTGGCCATGATATTCGGGTTCAAGACGACTAACTCAATCGCTTTCTTGTAGAAAACTCTGTACCTCCAACACTCCTCGCGACCTTAATCACAGCCCAACATGCTCGTCCCTTCCAGTTTTTCCCCATGACGTTTACACCCGTCCTGCTCTTTTCCTCCTACTTAAATTTGAACAACTACAAGACCGATGCTGCTGGTATTACGGCTGCATGGAGTGGCCTCTACGCGTTGCTCGCTATGCGGAGAAGTCAGGTATGCTTGGATCGTTTTACCAAAAACTGTACGTAGACAGTGGCAAAAGCTAATTGAACACTAGGGTATCAAGAACAAATTTAGTGCTCGCGGCATAGTAAGAGGAGGATCACTTGCTCTCTGTGCAATCAATGTCGCGGGTTGCGGATTAGCCTATACATTTGGCAAGCGAGAAAAGGAAGAGAAGAAAGCGTAGAAGTCGACGACGCTATCATGTGTAACACTATGTATCCCTAAGATTGTATGCTCTAAAATTCGCCATTTGGTCTTGGAATGAAATCTCTCAGGTGTAACCGACCGCAAGGACGCCGTCGCTATGCTGAACAATCGACATCATTTGCAAGACACCTCACCACTACCAGGCGTCACCCCATCCTTCTTCTTCGTCTTCATTGGCTTTCGGTTCTTCTTTCTTGATCTCTTTCTTGGGCGGCACGACAACTTTCCTCGTTGTCGTTCCTGTACTCGACCTGCTCCCAACTACAGGCCTAGCTGCCTTTGCTACTGGCGCTGCTGATTTAGTGAGACCCTTTGGAAGAGCGCTCTTCGTTGTCTTTTTCGCACTCGATTGCGCTGCTAACCAACCCGCAAAGTCTGGCTCACCCTTGTCGTCGTATGATGTAGTAGATGATGGCTTCGACACAGCTGGCGTGCCCCATGGATCCTCTTCCACTTGTGGTTTATCCCCTTCGTCAGCGAAGCCACCCCAGTCGTTATTGAAGTCCTCTGCCTCATCATCAAAAGCCGCTGCTGGATCTGGTGATTTTATAGTAGGAATCGATGCGGTGCTCTTGGCGCTATGCAGAGGCATTCCTGGCTTTGTTGATAGTGGAACTGGCGGTTTGCTGGTTGTCGTGGTAGCTGGTGGTACCGAAGACGATCTTTGATCCGCTGCTCCATTGGTAGTTGAGCTGGCCTGTATATCTCCACTTGTAGATGCTAGCTTGTTGGTAAAGCTTGATATGGCCCAGCCGGCCCACGACGTATCGTTGGCGGGCGTTCCTATGCGTGGAGTGGGTCCCCCGCCAGACGCGAGACCTGGCGATGGGAGTACGGTATCCGGCATCGTGGCAGCAAACTTGCGGATACGTGCAATATAGATGTCGACACTCTTCTGCGCTTGATCACGAATAAGCTTCTCTTTGTCCACCAGTGAAGGACACATGATGGGGAGGAGCTTGGTCGCACAGTCATCCTCAGTAAAGAGATCGGCTGTTGCGGCCAGTGCGAGAAGGGCAGCATTCCGAGCGTGCACAAACGGATCGCGAAGCGAGCGAGAGAAAGCGGCAGCAAGAACTTTGGCTCGGCTCTGTCAATATGTCAGTATCTGCTTTGTATTTTGAACACATTGGGACGTACGCTAGCTCCTAAATTCCGCGCGATCTTTCCTAGACAGATTGTGGTGTTCGTTCGAATGCCGGGTTGCTCATCATTCGCCGTCTTTGCTAAATGACGAAGAAGCTCGCCATTGATTGTTCGCTCTGACAGCTTGGGTACTACAGTGAGAATAGCTTTTACAGTCTGCTCTCTCACTACCGGTGCGATATCTGAGAAGCCAGTTACCTGGTAGAGTTAGCATGTGCACGATATCATTGGACAAATGCTTACCATTTGCGGGAAGATCTTATCGTTGACAAGCTTTTGGGGTAGATGGTCAATCATGAGCGGCAGGTTGTCCAACAAACAGACCCGTATTGCTCGATCTGGGTTTCCGAAAAGTCGTACCACAACCGGCGTAATTTGTGTCTCGTACTCGTCGTCTGACAACTTCTGCCCTATCTGCATAACAGTACCGAACACTTTAGCGCCTCCGCCTCCAAACTCAACTGATTTGAGTAGCTCGGGAAGCACCTTCATCTTGAAGAAGTCCGTGGGAAAGTCGTCTGCGACCGCGTCAAGCTTTCTATGGACGGTCAGTATGCTCATCTCGACTCAATCCTGGGACCACTCACCCAAGTAACTCGTTTCGCTCATCCTCGGCTTTCAGTCCCAAGTTCTCTATGTCGTCCGTGACTTGGATCAAAGGCGTTTGGAAGAAACCTCCTATACGTTTCCCCTGATCCAAGAACTGGCCCACGCTCATTCGCGACTTTGGGTTGGGGTTGAGGAGGCGTTTGTATGACTGGTGCATGCTTGGAGGAATGCTCTTCATTTGCCCTAACTGGTCGCTGCTGTTGTAGCTGCCACTGAAGACCTCGAAGATAAGAATACCAAAGTTATATGCATCTACCGCGTGTGTCGGATTCTGCTTGACGACTTCCCACCCTCCCTTCGAAACCTCGGGCGCCATGTATCGTCCCGCGTCTGGTATAAGACCGCCATAGGTTGGTAATACTGAATCATCTTCTTTCACGGAGCTCAGCGCATCGAAGCCGCCAAGTTTCCACTCGCCACTTTCGCTAAAGAATATCGAGGCTGGGCGGATGCAGCCATGTATAGACGCTGCGTCGGCATTGACGAACTTGAGCGTCTTCGCGATGTTGTGCAGCCCCCATTTCGTGGTTTCTTCTGTCAGACTCTTCCTCTTGACATGCCAGCTAAGTGGGCTTAGTCGCTCGGTCGCGATATAAATGTACGTCTCCGTCTCTACTGTATCTAGGACCTTCACGACCCCTGGATGACGCAGCGTTCGTAGCTTGCGGAGCGCATTGCGAGCGAGGGGTAATCGCGACTTATTAGTGGTTATGTCGAAGGAGAAAATGCTGCATTTAGAGCCATCTTCCTAGCAAATGAATGTTAGCAAACGCTCATGCACATGCAGATCTCCGGGCCATACTCGCTTTGTGCCGTTGTGCAGTGTCCAGATGGAGTCGTTCAAGTCGACCCGATCGCCAAATGTGTAACCAAATGCAGGGCCTTTGGATATCGCAGACGCAACCGCTGATTTAAGAAAATCCATTACAGCAGCTTGTAGTTATGCGCCGCAGTAAAGTTGGTGGATCTCAACAGCGAGCACATGCAGGTGCACTTAGAGGCCAGATGCGCCTGCCCCACCGGATCATCGGCACGTGATAGCGCGATCAGCCTCGAAGCCTTACCCTTGATTCTTCTCGTCCCCGGTACCACACCACACGACAACCGGTGCGTTCCCGGCTCTACTATCAGCCTCGCCTCTTTCTCTCACTCAGACGCATGGTATATCACAAATTCCGCATGGCCGGACTCAGGCCACCCTCACGTCGACTTTTTCCTTATGTTACACGGAAGCGGCACCTCGTCGTAAACGCGTCTTGTTAGACCAAGCTCACTCTCTTCGGTGTCGTGTTAACGGACTGAACCACATACCAAGTAAGCAACAATGCACTGACACTTGACGCGTATCCTTTCTTTCATGATGACTACTGGTAAAAGGTTAGATCGCAGAACATTGTGATGGTTCTCCTTTGATCCTGCTGCGTTGACCTGGTACGTCGCAGGAGTCACTGCCTGCACGTGCCTGCTCGTTGAAGAAGCAAAGCGGAAGCCTCCAGTGATGCGAAATGCTGCTGTATAACAACAAACTGAAAAGAGCTGATTCATCTTGTCCACCACCACTTTACTCCCTCAACGATGATCATAAAGCATGCGCTAACATGCATGTATTATCCTAGGCGTCACCTCTTGCTCCTATATAACGTTCCAGATGAACGACCATGACGGCGAACGACAGGCATCCTCTGAAATTCGGATCAAGTTACCACATCATAGCCGATCTGGCGTGGGTACCGAAGGGAAATCCAGGAAACGTTCTACTGTGAGCCAAAGCCATGTGCGACCACGCCAAAAGGGTGCGATATCACCGCCCCCACTGAAGCGTCAACGCACAACCTACGAGGATTCCAGCGCAGAGACATATCATTCACGCTCGACGAGTCGACAGGCGTGTCCGCCAACTAGTCCCAGCGCGCTTAGGCACAGGTATGGCACATTCCGAGGCAACACATAGCTGGGCTAATACGTATTTCTAGCTTCAGTGGACGCCCTGAAAATGCCTTCACTGTACAAAGTGAGCAAAGGCCTGAGCTGATCTCTGTATCAAAGTCATTTCCAGTACCATCTGATCCTCATCGGCATGACAACCGGAACACCCACTCTACTTCAGGACGCCGCCATGTATCTTATCCAAGACAGCCTTTGAAGCCCGCCTCGTTGCACAAACCTAAATGTCGTATTTGTGATAAGTCTAGTGCCACGAGTTACAATCCGATCGTTCTGTGCTCGAAATGCTCCAGATCATACCATGATAGCTGCCGAAAGCCTCCACTCGCCCCTGGCATTGATCCGTAAGACACCAGGACAGTTGTACTGTGCCGAAGACTAACTGCAACAGACAACGCTGGAGATGCTCATTATGTTTAAGCGATGGTGGAACACGTACGAATGCTAGGCTGTCCTCGACACCAGCGCCTACTAGCCACTCCGTAGTGAGGGAGATATTTAAGCCAAGATTTGCTCCTCCAGCTCCAGGTGTCACGTTGTCAGACCATCTCCCCAAGACGAATTCTGACACACATTTTAAGCCTGAGCCTGCTCGACTTACTACAAGCGCTACCAACTCTGTCAAGCTCATTAAACTCAAAAAAGCCTCTGCTTCATCTCAGCCACCCGAACCGAAGCTGCTCGAGCGCACAGAGATTCCCAACACACCATCACAGGGTTCAAGTCAGCTTGAGAATCATATGCCAAAAGAGTCGTTCGAACACCTTCGCGACGACCATGTCTCTCAACAGACCCACCATATGCAAGATGATGGCGATGCCTTAGCCCTGGACGCTTCAACCTACGTCCAAAAGCCCACTCCTTCAAACACTCTTTGTTCAACTTGTCAAAAGCAGGATGTATTGGCCAAGCCTGGAGAGAAGGGTATTCATTGTTCTAGCTGTCGCACCAGACCACATGTCGCCGAGATAGGAAGGCTAGAGATACCCGAAACTCCCAATGTTGACAGTAGTCATAACACACCAACCTTACCAACAAGCTCGGCCAGTTTGGTTGCAAATTGCTCAGTTCCGAGACTGGATGATCACGAGCCGGTGGTGGTCTCTTCAACACAAGAAGTGCCCATGTCAGAGGCCAAGCCTGACTCAGTAACGAGCCGGTTGTCCTGGTTTGATCTAGAGCGGACAAAAATTTCACCAGAAATCAGGAAGGTTCGTGATGATGAACTGTCCTGCATATCTACCGCAAACATCCAAGCTAAAGATGCCGCAACCACATTACACGAGACTTCCCTTGGGCAAAGCACGTCGATGGAAGTGGACCCAATTGCTGACATTAGCGAACAGAAGGCTGTTCTAAAAGCGAGGCAGGTACGGCAGGAAACCCCGACTTGCGACAACGCTTCAGTACCGCAAGTCGATACGCAGCGCAAGAGATGTGTTCAATCTGTTAAGAATCCGAGCCCTGTTGAACCTTGGAAGGCCTCTGAACCTCGCCGTACTCATGTTGTTTCACCCAGCAAACTAGATACGCCGGGAGAGAGCGAGCCTCCGAGACTTGTAATCGCCGTCCCTGAACCCGTTGAATCGAGCACAGGTATTCTGTCCAAGCAAGCCTCTGCTGAATGTACGACTGATCGAGCTGTTCTTACATCATCTGCTGAAGAACAGACGCCAAAAGTTTCGGAATCGAAAGGGACGGCTGAAGGTATCCGCTTTCTTCTAGACCTGAACGTCTCTATGTGCCCGACTCTAGCAAGCACAGGTTCGCCAGAACCTAAAAAACGTCTAAACAACCGCGATTTAGCCAGGATAGCACTAGTTTGTGCTAAAGGCACAAGGTTGACTGCGATGCAGGTTATTGACTGGTTGGCTTCAAGATTCTCTTACTTGGAAAAGGGTCAGGGCGCCTGGGAGAAGAGTCTAAAGTCGGTCCTCTCTTGTCTACCAGAAATCCATGGCGTGAAGGCTCCGCATGAGTCACGAATTGTGTACAGCTTCGCCAGCCCAGCCCTCAGAGCGAAATACGAGCAACGATATCAAAGCTACCTTCCACCAGTATCAGTACCAATACCAGTACCTCAGGGTGATGGTCAGAAGGCTGGGAAGAGTGCACGACAACGGCACGGAGCAGACGTTATTTGGCAACATGATGGTGGCCAAAGTGAGCCATTGACTCAGATCGAGAGAAGTGTTACAAAAGCTATTTGGAGTGCTCGAAGCCGAACTGTTACACCCCACGACTCCCTTCCACCGCCTAAAGTCTTTGAGCAAACATTTTCCAAGCCTGTTCCAACGCCCGTGACTGAGCTTGCCGAAATCGACACGTCAGCAGCTATTCCGGACGGCGAAACAATACCATCAACCCCGTCGAGCCCGTCGGACTCCGGACCCAGTTTTCAGCATGCCAAATCAAACAAAGTTAAAATCACTTCAGAAGATGACGCAATGTTCAATCCGTTCGAGCGTAACAGTGCGCCCCGTCCGAACATTACGCTTTCTGATGATTTGGAGATCAAATGCGAAACGAGCTTACGCAGTGTCTATCCGCGCACTGGAGCGCCTACGATTGAGACCATGTCGCTAGACGAGAAGACTGCAAGAATTGCAGAAATCAGAACGAGGCCGAAACGGAAAGAGTTTTTTGGTTCAGTCTATCGTCTGGCACATGTGCGAAGATATGGACGGCAGGATATTCACAACGAGAGTGACGGTGCATGGAAACTCGACTCCACAACGAGGCCGGTGCTGAGGCATGATCCTGCCATAAATGACTGCGATGAGAACCGATCTCTACTAGATGTATTCAATTTGCCGAATAACGCCATCCCTATGAACGACGGCAAGGAGCTGGCTTTCCGAGATGGCACGTTGGTAAGTAATCCAATATCTGGACTTCCAAGATATGACACAGTCAGCTAACGGTCTCAACAGGTTAATGGCCGATTACCTCGGCCACGGCACATATATCGAGTGGGCAAAGTCTTTGGAGGCGAGCTCACCATTCGCTAAGCGGAGATCTTTGGACTTGCTTTTCGATCTTTGATAGCACTATACCCTACTATACTTGAATTACGATATGACAATGTCACAACGTTTGTTGACTGGATATACGTGATGCATTGGCACTTTGGAGTGATTAATAGTCAAATGACCGAGCCTTCTCAAGGACTCTAGAAGCCGATCATGGTTTGATCAAGATTGAATAGGTGGATCAATCTTCGATTAAAGTTCCGTTGCTGACAGACCCTCGCTTGGCGCCATGTGTACCCGCCAGTTTCGCGCCTCCCATCTCCACTGCAAGCACCCCAAAACAACGACTTCCAGACTGTGGCGCCTCGCATTGGAGGGTTGGAGTGCTAACGATTGAAGGCCCGCTCATGTCTTGCCGCCCGCAGGTTGTGCGGCCCACGCTGTGCGGATGTTTCTAGACCTGAAACATGACCCTTGCGGCTACGCGGGCGCGTTTCAAGGCCTTAACACCAATCATTACGCGACTGCCATACCTCGACCAAACCGAGCCTCGTCGGCTGGATGCCAAAACCCCACGTCGACCCTGTACCTTGCCTTGCAACAATTTCGCTGCCGAACTCACCAGCTGAGAGATGATTGACTGGACCGCTCTGGCTCTGCACTTCCCGCCGGATCTAGCGGGGAGCGTTTCACATGCGCCGGTAGTACTGGCGCGACTATGGTTACTGGAGTCATTTGGACCACTCGAAGGTGAGGCGACGAGAACACCCAGCGCGATGGGCCTTTATTTGAGCTATTGTAAGGTTCGCGACAGCGGTAAGTTAGGCTAGCGGCGAATTTTGTCCTGAGGTTTCCTCCTTCACTTCGGGTCTTGCCTTCCATTCTTCATCTTCAGTCTCTATTGTTCGTTATTGTCGCTATTGTTGAAGGTGTGTTGCCTTGACGGCGTGGGACCCTCCCCTCTACCTTATCTTTGTAAACTTAACTTCTTCAATCTATACGCTCTCTCTTTCACCATCCTACGCTCGACGCGCTTCTCTCGACTGCTGGACAGACCAATTGCATCTTTCTACAAACTCGAACTCTTCAGTATTCTACGACTCTCTCTACACAACCAAAATGGCGCTTCTATCAGCCGAACACCTGGCTGGTCCAGGCTACATTATCCTTAACATCTTGCGAGGGCTGAACATCGTCGCTCTTGCTTCCGTGGTTGCCAGCAGCGTAGTCATGCTGGTGAAGACTTTCATCATTTCCAAGGTTTGTCCAAAAAGCCGACTCTAGTGACTTGCAGAAGCTTACGGTTTACAGTTCTTCTTTTTCGATGCTACGAGTCACGTTATCACCGCCATTGCTGGACTGTTCTTCATCGTCTCAGAATGCTCGCTGTTCCGCAACTTCTACGCTCGTAACTGGCCGCTCTTGAGTCCTTCGCATGGTTTCGTCACGTTGGGTTGCGCAATGATGGTGGTTGGACTCAACATGCTCGGTAACATGAACAAGGAGGCCACGAGCCAGAAGTCGCTCATTCTGCCTCTCTGGCGCCTGCTCGTCGCTTCGGGTATCTTGGCCATTGTCATTGGCTTCTTCAACATCGTCGCCAGCTTCGTCTTCCGCGACAAGTCTCGTAAGATCACTGCTCGCATGGTACGCTCCAGAGGAGCCATGACACTCCACGAGGATCTTGAGACACAATCTCAGTACGACCCCAAACACAAGGCCTTCACTATCAGTACCCACCACACTGGGAGCACTTCCTCTCGCACCAACGTTCACGGTGGTACGCCACCCATGCGAATGGGTACACCGCCAGTTGACTGCGGCTCACCTCAAGTCGCTTCCCCTAACAAGGAAAACGACCCCAACCGCCTCTCCCAATTCGATTTCAGCCCCCTTCGCGCTTTCCGAACAGCCCGCCAATCCTTCCTACCATCCTACCACAGTCAATCCCCTGCCAAACCAAGTTTCTTCTCGCACCGCCCCTCAAGCTCAATCTACTCGCGTACCACATCTGGTGAGCCAGCCAGGAAGAAGTTCTGGCAGCGACAGCGCGAGGAGCAGGAGGATGAGACTGCGCGCATGCCTGAAATTAGCTATCCATTGAACGTCAACCCACAGTTTGCGCACCTTGTTAAGCCAAACCTCGCGCATCACCCTAGCGTTAGGAGGCCTGAGGCGGACTACGACAAGATCTAGATGGACTTGTAGAGCCATGAGGGTCGAGGGGAACAGTTGATGGCGGAGAAGTACGATTACTATGATACCACTTTCTTTTTTTTTTTTTTGGTCTGTTGCATCAGCATACTGCTATACACGGCATTGGCGTTCACATTGGGATTACAATCATTGACGCTCCAGAGAGACTACTATCTGTCGAGCGAGCTGTCCTTCACTGGAAGCACGACTTTCTTTTCGGTTTTGTTTTCTTACTAGTACATACACATCTTTAGCAATGTCTAGTGTTACCATTCATGACTTGGTTCTCGTTGCATCCTGGTGGCATATGATGCGAGCATATATTTACATATGTTACACAGCGATAGGAACCGCTGACTCTTCCTCACTCGGTACTCTGTTAAGGTGCTCGCCAACAGCCAGAAGGTGCCGGGCCGTAAACTTTTGCATCCTCGGCCCCTCGAATATCCTCACACTTCCTAGACCAGTTCTGCCGCCCTCTCCAAAACAGCCAAGGTATCCTCCCCCCCAGTTCACTCGTCACTCTACTCCTCGATAGCAATTGCCTGGAACGGATCAATGGCATTCCCCTGTGGATCATAGAGTTCCATCCTCGTCCCATCCTCCATCGTCAAACTATACTCCTGTGTATAATACAGCCCACCTCTCCCCCTCCTCCTACACTTGAGCTTGACCTCCCCCGCCCTCTTCGTCCCCTTGACCCAAAAGCTAACATCAATGCGCCCGTGCAGCTGGTTGATCTCACCCCTGATCCAAGGGTATTTGCTCGCGAAATAGATTTCGTCGCCGAGCTGTTCGCGGACGAGGGGGTTGGTGCGCAGGGCGTAGAGGGTTGCGGTTACGACGGAGGATTCTTGCTTTTGGTAGTTGAAGAAGGCGAAGAGGGAGATTGTCATGGCGATGATGAAGATGGGGAGGGTTTTTAGTACTTGGGGGGATATCAGGGGTGGTACTCTAAAGGAGGATGTTAGTGGTTGGTTGCTACGAGGAAGTGGAGATGGAGGGTTGATGAAAGTAGGATGTTCTTGTGTGTGGGTGGACGTACGGTGGTAATGCACGGTTTGGTCGGCGCTCCAATAGTACCTCGCCATCTTTAGGTGGGGGAATGAGGTTCTCGGGTGACCAGACACTTGTTGGTGTTTTCCAGGGTACGACGGGTTTTATGTCGTTGTGTGGTGGTGTGGTTGATGCGCGGCGGAAGGGTGCTATGCGGCGGAGACATTGGTAATTCGCTTGCGGTCGCGCTCGAAGTAACGCTGGAGAGAGCCGTGGAGGAGGCATTGTGTGGTTGTGGAATCGCAATTCGGCGGCTTTGGAAATAGGTGTATGAGATCAGTCGATAAGTTGGTGATGATGTTTGCATGGTTTGCATATCGGCGCTAGCGGGAATGGCTCGGCTGGACTTGCTGTCCTTCAACTTCATCTCCATCACCATTTTCGTCGATATGAGTTAGTCTTTAGAAAAAGAGCGTCATGATTGGAATGTTCTCCAGAATTAACGATCGTGTTCTGCGCACATTCGAGCAGGCTTTCTGCCTACGCAAGCGCGTCTGCTACGAACATCTTGATTGTTCGCGAGCTCAGTTTCTATGCTGGACTGGATAGATGCTTAGTCTTTTACATCATCAATCCAGCAGTATCAAACGTTTCAGAGGCGTCTATAGTAAGCCTTTCTTTGCTTGAAACTAGGAGATACAAGCTGCTTTGTAGACAAAAAGCGCGAGGTAAGCTACACACTAGTCCCTTGTAGTATTGCCTTTTGCAAGACCCAAGATTGTTTACATATGGGTGCGGACGTATGCTTTGCTGTACATTTTTCCAGCTTCACCTTCTCAATGAGAGCCTTTCTATAAGAATAGTATTTCGCATTGTCCATAAACTCTCAGATGTTTCTTGTTGTCTTTTGCTATAGTCCTCTTAGAGTGGTCGTCTGTGGCAGCCTCCACCTTCTTCGGTCACCCGTCACCGTGATGTGAGCTTCTCAGCTGAGCGGTGTCGGCGTCGCTGCCCTTTGCTGTATGCAGTCACATGAGATCGCGTCGCTAGCGGCAACGCCAAGTGTTGCTCTTTCCACCTACAGTGTTTACAAGCTTCTCTTCTTCCAGCTACAGTCTCTGCAACAGCAAATTGCCCACCATGCCAGGCTTGACTGTCCGCAAAGGACCAGCTGTATCCCTAGTCCAAGACCAAGACATTGTGCTCACGACCGAGCCTGGCTTGGTATGTGACTTCTACCTGCGGTATCTCGTCAATAACTGACCTTGCGCGCAGTCTGATCTAACCATTACCATCATCGGTACCGTCGAAAACGATAGTGTCAAGCATGTCACGGACTTACTCGTCACTTCATAGATCTGCAAGAAGTCGCCGTACTTGAAGGCGCTCCTTGACGCTACCAACGATAAGACGGAGCTGACCTTCGGCGGAGATGCCGAATCCAAGAACGATGGTGAAAACAAGGAGGGTACCCTCATTTGGCTTACCCAACTTCATGAGCTCTCTGAGCAGCGCTCGGACGAGTTGGGTCTATTCGACATTTCGCTTGTGGGAGTCTGGCATGCAATTTCGATGTGGAATGCTCACCAAGACGGCAATATCAAGGAGAAGTTGGTGGAGTGGTTCAACAAATGGTACGAGAAGAACATGGCCAAGGCCAACCTGACCGTTCCGATAGCTCAAGCTCTCGCGTACCCATGCTACATCTTCGACCATGCTGTTGGCTATGCACGCGTCACCAGGTACCTCGCCTATGAGCATGTTGGACACGTCAAGGAGCGCCCGCCTAAGGGCTTCAAGGGTCCTAAGCACCGTCATATCAATGAGCGAATGTTTGTTGGTAAGTCTCTCTTTCTCTTTTTCGTAGTACACACATGTGCCGGGGACCGTCGGATATCAATATTAACGAACAGGCCCTTTGAACCATGCCCGCGGGGGTCTGCGTAACTCTCTACACAAATCGCTCTACTCCCGCGTCGGTAGAGTCCTTCGTTCGGAATCTTCGCTATGTTCCTGCTGGGACGCTACAATCGGTCGCTACCAGCTCGCCCTCACCAAGTGCGATGCTTGACCAGTCGATGACGTTCTCAACTACTCCAGTATCGGCCAGGTCGTGCGCCGCCTCAAGACCTTTGACTACGCGTATACCCCAAAGTGCAATCGCTGTCGTAGCATCGACTGGGAGACCATCGTCTTGAAGGCGCTTTCCAATACGCTGGGATACTTCAATGGCATGTGCCTTGACTGTATGGATCGCAGCAAGCCTCGCGGAGACAATCTGGACGATGAGTACGCGAAGCACAACCAGTCTGTGGGAGGCCGCTGGGATACGCAGTGCCGCATCAAGCATGGACAGCCTACGTGGTACATCTCCTGGCTCGGTCGACCGGATATGCGCGAGAAGATCCTTCGCGGTCCTGACGGCTACCGCCGCCCTGAGGAAGAGTGAACGCCTCGAGATGGACGGATGTGGTTGGCAGCACGTCCATACAACATCATCTAGCTGACGTCACAGTCTGAGCTTGCTCGGATTAGATCTGTGGGACAACGGTAGAGAAAGACCGAGCAGTCTACTCGACATGCATGAAGCCGATTGAGGAGTCGTCATACATGCCTGTCGATCACAGTTGAAGTATACAGTATCTAGCACAGAGAATGGCACTCAAAGCGAACAAGTTGAACTCCATGTGATTTACTAAGTGCTAAACGCTCACAACATCGGGTATCTCCAGGCTTATCGTACACTAACCGTAGCGCTCATAACAAAGGAAACTCTCTCATTACTCTGACCTGATTGACTTAATACACACGGCGGGCATTGCGGCCATCAGTGCCATGCATGCGACGAGTGCCAGCAGCCTAAATATTGTTAGTAAAGTATAGTTTGTTATGAATGGCGATTGCTTACCTTGAGACCTGGCCTGCGAGTCAAAGAACCCCGTAGCTTCATCAAGGCTCCGCTAACCTTGTCACCCATGCTAGCATGCCTCTTATGGTGATGGACTGGAGCCGCAGTGGTAGCGTGACCATGGTGACCACCACTTGTGCGAGTCGTCCTAGTGGTTGTCGTAGTAGTAACGGTAGTGCCGGGTGTGCGCTTAGTGTGTGTTCGCTTTCCACCTAGAAGGCGCGTCTTAAGGGAAGGACGCGCAGCACGTGTAGTGCGTGGTGAAACGCGTGTCGCAGTGGTGCGGGGAGCGTGACGGCGGGCGAGAGGCATGGTTGCTGAACTTGGTGTTGGTAGGTTTGGGTTGATTGAGGTAGAGATGAGTTGTATTGTAGAGTTGGAAGCTATTAGGATTGGTTGCTTGTAATTGATAGTGTTGATGTGTGAATCTACAAAGCGTGCTATAACCCCCCATCTTATACCACAGTTCACAATGCCCAGTACTTCACGTCTCACCCTCCCCAAGTCCCTGAAATCAAGTTCTACCGTGCCCAGCTGCCTGCATAGAGCTGCGATCGTCTATCTCACGTCATGCAGGGACCCGTCCAAGCTTGTGCCCTTGTTCACGAGTCGTGGCGCATGACGTGCCCTACCATCCACTTCCCTTGTTTGAACGGTTTTGGTGTGGCTTGTTCGTTATAAGAGCGAGTGACGATGGCCGTTGGTGCTAGGGTCTCGGGATCAGGGTGAAAGGGCGAGGCTGGATGCGGTCATAGCGCGTCGTGTCTGGACCCTGATTTTAGTGCAGGGGATACGTCATACCTCTGAATAGCTTCATGAGCGTCATCGCAGGATTGTGAGAATTGCAACAACGGCGCCAAGGGGCTGGTGGAAATAGGATTTGACAATAATGGAACATCGAAGCCATTGACATTGGTTCTGGCCCTTCTGGGCAAGGTGAAGTAGGTGGGAGTGTTGTAGGTCCGATCAACTCGATGACGTCGCGATTGAGAAGCTTGGTGGAGTTGCTTCAGAAGGTGCCCCGAATAGGTTTCTCGTAAGTAATCCGAGCTGCAGCCTTCATGTTCTCCCAGCTCGAGGTACTCGCATGCTCAGAAGAATATATGTCGATCATAAGGCCGTGCGAAAGAGCGTGTCGAAGCTACGGGTAAGGCTGAGGTGACGTTAGCCGTTCCCACCAGTTCGTGCCAATATCGATACATCGACCGATGCCATTCTATCGTCGATGGACAACTTAGTCCATTATTCTCTGATGTTCCGCCTAACTCTACCACACCAGGCTCCACTCTTGCATATGAGCGTGCCGTGACAGCCTTGTGATGTCACAAGAAATCATGAACGTCAATAAAAGTTCCACTCCCAACCACGATAACCTCGACAACTACACCAACTTCACTTTGAACAAAAAAAGAAAACTGCACTCAATCTCCGTTCTTTGAACACTCTTTACTAATTCTTAGATACCCATACCACGACCACACAACATGTCTTCTGACAAGGGCCAATTCGAGCAGGGTAATTATTCACGAAGCTTCTTTGCATGTCATTCGTTCTAACACAATATCACAGGCTTCCAACCCGAAGTTCAGCATCAACAGGCTCCTGGTCTCGAGTCCAAGCTCGACCCTTTGCCCAAGGTCGATGAGCTCCCCACACCCGAGGGAGGTGCTGAGAAGTACAAGGCCGCTGGCAAGCTCAAGGGCAAGCGTGCTATCATCACGGGTGGAGACTCCGGCATTGGTCGCTCAATCGCCGTTCTGTTCGCCATGGAGGGCGCCGACAGCTTTATTGCATACCTCCCCGAAGAGGAGAAGGATGCACAAGATACCAAGAAGATGGTTGAGGAGAGGGGACAGAAGTGCTACACCCTGGCAGTCGACCTGAAGAAGAAGGAGAACTGCCAGAAGGTCATTGACGAGGCCATCAAGCAGATGGGTGGTATCGACATCCTCATCAACAACCACGCTTACCAGATGATGGTCAACGACATCAACGACCTGTCTGAGTACGTACCAGTCCCTCACTTGATTCAGGAAAAATACTAACAGTGCATAGGGACCAATGGCTGTTCACCTTCGACACCAACATCCACCCCTTCTTTTACCTCTCCAAGTACGCTCTGCCACACATGAAGCGCGGTGCCACCATCATCAACAACGCCTCCATCAACGCCTACGTCGGCCGTCCGGATCTCCTCGACTACACCTCAACAAAGGGAGCCATTGTCGCTTTCACCCGTGGTCTCTCAAACCAGTACGTCGGGCGGGGTATCCGTGTAAACGCCGTGGCCCCTGGCCCTGTCTGGACTCCTCTCATTCCTGCTACCATGAACGACGAGGCCATCAAGCAGTTCACAGCACCCATTGGCAGGCCATCGCAGCCTAGCGAGATTGCTACTTGCTTCGTCTTCTTGGCTAGCAATGACAGCAGCTCCATTAGCGGTCAGACTATCCACGCCAATGGCGGTACTATTGTCAACGGTTAAGCGTGTGATCCTACTACAGGGCCGCTACCTTGACTTGGTGTGAGTGATGCATCTTATGAGTTTACGACTATGTAATAAATACTCAATGAATGAGATATAATATCAACATCTCTGTTCTCCATGATGTGATAACTGGTGATATTGTCGCCTGTCTTCGCGTGTTGAATTGAACCCGATTCGAGCGTTCAAAAACTTTATACTGGCCGTTTCCATGTTTCCATGCCACGAATGTTCATCGCACTTGACGTAATGATGCATTCACTATGGTATATTCATTTCTCGTACACTAAAGACTATACACATCCGTGCTTTCTCTTCTTGTCATCCAAACTTCCGATTATAATATACTCCCTTACGAGATCTAAACATGGCCTCACGAATGATGCGCAGTCCCATCTTGACGTGGAGTCGGCCCCTCCTTCATCTTCTTCATAATGTTACTCAATTTCCCGCCTCCACCACTCCTCCCCTCAAGTTGTGATCCAGATACCGGCGGTCCTTGGTACGCGGTCTTTCCTGGCGCCCCAAGTGGCCCTGTACTTGGCTGAGAAGAAGGGGGCGGCGCAGGTCCGATTATAGGTGCATGTTGTTGCTGGTTTGGCATTGGCGTTTGGTTTGCCATGTGCGGCTGTTGCTGTTGGTTTGCGTATTGACGGGCGCGTGCGGTCTCGATTTCCGAACGGCCTTTATCGATGACGGCTTGGTTTTTCGCGTGGGCGGTTGGGTTTCGGCGATCGAACGTGTCGTTGAATGTTCCGCGGAGGGTTTCTCCTGCGCCCTGTAGAATTATATTAGTATGCATTATTTAAAGAGCCATATGATGTGAGGGACTTACGTGAATACCCGCTGCTGCTGCTTTGAGGTTTGCCATTGTGCTCTGCTTGTTCAGGTCGTGACCGGCTCGGTATGGGACTGGACGATTTGGGTCATTGTTGTTGGGGTTGATGTTGATGCCAGACTGTAGGCTAGGAGGTATGCTCGACTGCTGCTGGTTGGGTATGGGCGGTGGCATACCGGACTGTTGTTGCTGGTGTGCCGGCAATTGAGGAATGCTTGATCGCCGCTGTTGCTGCTGTCCCGGCACTGGAGGTACAGGTGGGACGCCTGTTTGATGCTGCTGCGGGTCCATCTGCTGCTGCTGTGGTGGTATACCATCAACAGGCACTTGGCGTGGAACTCCTTGAGGAGGTGCTCTGGCAGGGTAAGAGAAGTTCGCACGGTTTGGACTGCTAGGAGTAACCGGGCTGACAACTTCCTCCATCGGGTTTGGCCGCTGGACACCGGGCGATACTGAATCTAGTTCTACTCTGTGCCGTATGTTGTTCTTTGCTGGGATGGGTGGAGACGAAGAACTCTCGATGTTGGAGACTTGTGGAGAGATTCTGTTACCTTGCTGGTTGTTGTTCATAGGTACTGGCGGGGTTATGTTTTGAGGTATGGCAGACTGAGCTGAAAGACCTGGCCCTTGATGGTAGTGGTTGTCAGGCTGAGGAGGGGCCGGCTGTGGTGGGCTGGGACCAGAAGTGTGTACGCTTTGCGCAGACCCGGTAACGCTATCGCGGGGCTGCTCTACGGTGGTAGAACCGCCTGGGCCGGTTGTAGTGGTAGTCGTCGTTGTCGTTGTCGTCGTAACTGTGACAATGTTCCCAGTACCGGCATCGCGATACGTCTCTCTGCCCACATCCTCATGGCTCGAACGACTTTGGAGAGTTTGTTGAGTTTGTTGAGGGGGCGCAAGGGTATTTTGGTTCTGTCCGTTCTGTGGTGTGATATGGGTGGGAGGTGCTTGGTTGTTCGTAGGCGGATGGTGGTACTGTTCACCGGAGACCGGACGAGCTTGGTTCGCGAGGCTTGGATCTGCGCTGCTGCGCTCGCTACTGAAATACGCCGAGTCGGCATCCTTACGAGCCCTTTCCTTTTCTTCTTCCTTCTGAGTGTGGTTAAGACTGTCTTTCGATGCCTTCTCTTTGGAAGAGAATGGATTGGACATGCGCCATTTCGATCGCTTTTCCTTCTCGGCGGACGTCATGTTCTCTGAACCGGACATAGGTTGGGAGGAATTGGCTGCTGGTTGACCACTCAAGCCTCCAGTTATCTGCTCAAGCTCTTGTCGTTCACGACTCTTTCGCTTTTGGAGTTTGGCAGGCTGTCGGAAACCGTCATCCATTGCCAGTGGTGCTCCCAGATTCGGTTGACAGGTCGGATACGATGAGCACGCGGGGAATCGGTCTAAGAAGAACGACGATCGGAGCTTTTGACCCTGAAATAAGAAGTAAGGGAGGAATCTCAGATAATATGTGAATATGTCCAAAGGCGCATTAATTCAGTAGTGGGGAAGCCTTTGTATCGAGGACGAAACCCGAAGCAAGGCTTCTCTGCCCGCCGAAGACCTCATGATATCATACCGTAGTTCTGTGGCGCAGGGGAGGTGTGGCACCCAATTGGGGATAGCCATGGTGTGGCGATCAGTGGAAAGACGGCTGACAGGCATGGGTGTTGACGCTCAATGATGATTGAGGGAACCCTGCCAGCGAACTATCCAAGTTTTCGGTTTGCGCTATGCTTCGTGCGGCTAGCCATCTGGACCTATTTGGATCGTGTGAGGACCTAAGAATTACCACAACGGAAGCGCTTAATTTATGCTTGCTTCCAGCTTGCGAAACACAAGGCTTCTTCAGAGTAGAGGATGTATGCGCGGCCTTCGGTGAGTTACCCCGCGCACTCAGCCTCAATTTCAGCCGCCCGCTTAGCTCAAGATACAGCGGGTACAACATTATAATCTCGTTATGATCACTGAGTTCCGGGAAACATCTCAACGCTCTTAGAACCTGCTCTTGGCTTCATATATGCTTGAAGACGACATCAATCCATAGCTGAATGCGGCCCGGCCATGGCAGAGGTACTAGGCTTGGTCGCCAGTGTCGTGCAGTTGGCCGGTGCAGGTTTGAAGCTGTCACAGGCGCTGTACCAGTATGCTGATGGAGTGGCTACTGCCGATCGCAGAATCAAGAATATCGCAAACGAGGTTAAACTTACAAGCTTCGTCATCCAAGAGCTAGCGGATATTTTTAAACAAGATGAGACGGCAAACCTGATTTCGGAAAATGCAGTCAAGACGGCGAATGAGACTATCAAAGAGTGCTCTGTAGTGTTTACGGAGCTCGAGGTGATAATCAACAAGAACAAGACAGGGAAGATGGGCCGGTTGATGCTACCTTTTCGGGACAACAAGATCGAACTCCTGCGAAGCCAGATCGATAAGCTCAAGAGTACATTGGAGTTGCTGATGCAGGTACTCATTTTTGCCCAACAAAGCTCGTCAAACAAGCTGAGCCGCGAGGCCGAAGCAAAGCAACGGGAAGATATAAAGCAACTGCTTGAGATCAAGAAACAATCTACCAAGAAGTACAAGGAGTCGCTGAGAAAATCCAGTGTCAGCGATGACGGTACTGCTGTAGATGACGGGGAACGATCGCTATGGGAAGAAGACGGATCGGTCTCGTCTTCTAACCTCTTCAAGGCTGCTTCAGCTATCAGCTCCACGATCAACCCGGAGACGCTTGCGACATGTGTAAATCACGTCCGAAGCCTGTTGGAAGATATCGAGACCTTACAGCTCGCTCTGGCTAACAAAATAGAGGGAGACGATCATTCGGATCATCATCAAAGGGCTGTTGGGTCTTACTTCCTCGCTCGCTCCCATCTCGATAACGTCCTACTTGGGAATTCGAAGGCCAGCATACCTCAAGCGCGATCTCAACAACATGCCAGTATTCAAGAGACCAGGAGTTTTGCGTCCGAGAAGGAACAATCTATCCTGATTCGAGATCGCGAGAGGAGTCTTCCTCCCCCAACACGCGACCACGGCGACCTGACCGCTAGAGAACGCGACATGTTCGTCATCCGCCGTCCACGCGCCGAATCTCCCCCTCAGAGCAACCAAGAGATCATACGAGACGAAATCATCATCAGACGCAAGGGGGAGCGAGCACTCACTCCTTCTCCCTCTCCATCCCCGCCTCCTCCTCCTCCTCCTCCTCCTCCTCCTCCTCCTCCTCCTCCTCCTCCACCACCACCGCCGCCGCCAGCCCCTAAGCCAGAGATCCGTCTTCCCATCATCCAGGAGATCACCACACGTCACGGACACATTGGCCATTGGCAAGAAGACTTTCGACGAAGAGAGGGACTTAGTGCTTCTCCAAGCGGTGACGAATCTTCCAACCGGCATCGAAGTCCATCGCTTCAGCCATCACAATCAAACCGTAATAGATCTCGTACACCATCAAGTTCATACCTGGTAGAAGAGCGCCGACCATCTACGTCTAGTATAGTCACTCATCAGATTACTCCACGTCTTGAAAAGCAAAGCGCTGAGATGTATCTAGCGGATCCATTGAAATCAGATCAGAGGCATCAGAGTCCACCTGGAATGCGCGGATATCGTCAGAGGGTATCGTCACAGCCTCCCGTTACACTTACCGCCGAACGCTATGAGCAGCTGCCAAGTACACGCTTCGAGCTAGGGAGAGCGGAAGCAAGGGCGAAAGAAAGAGGGGAGACCGAAGTGAGTGAAAAAGAGAAAGTGAGAGCGGAAGAGAGAGAGAAGCGGAGGAGAGAAAAGGAAAAACAACAGCAAGAAGAGAAAGGGAAGATGTCGAAAAGGAGATCGTCATCGAGATTGAGAACAGCACAGGATCAGGACCAGGGAAGAAAAGAGCTACTAAGAGCAGAGAAAGAGCGAATAATACGAGAAAATGAAAGTAAGTGTGCTCTTTAATTGGAACCGTGTGGTATCCAGAGATGCAGGTTATCTATGTTCTCCTGCGCCACAACACTGAGAACATGTTGCTAATGTCACTCCCGCCAGTCGCCTCAAGAAGAGACTGGAGTACTCGACCTACCCCAGTGACCATAGAACGTTCACCTCGGTTGTCAGTTCAGACAGGGCCTCCAGCTGTGTACCGTACTAGCAGAACTAGTTCTCCGTGCGATATCGTCACTCCGTCGCTCAAAGCACAGCAGGCGACATATAGCAAAACCAACAGCCATGCTTCAAGCACAACCTTCGAGGATCCAGCCGGTGGTAACGTTGATGCAGACGTAAGTATCACTTGTCACCTACATTTGTTTTCTTACGCTCATATAACTTTAGCCCAACGTCTTCGATTTTGACCTCAATTTTGGCGACGACGCAGGCGTTCTCGAAAACTTCGACTTCGACTCATTTCTGCATACAAGCAACGACAACGGGAACGTGGACGAAGTGGACAAGTTGCTAAGGGAATGGACTACCGTGCTCGGATAAACATTCAGTAATTTAGTATCGCAATAATTCCACACTCCTCAACTAAACTTATTACACACTGGAAATACACTTCAGCCACTCAAGTAAAAAGACCATGAATGTCTTATTACAATGATCATCAATTTGCCATCTCAAGACAACACATCTCCGATATCGACTTTCTCCGACCCTCGTACAAAGTCCAACCCTACATCTCCCGACATCGCATCGCGCTCCGATATCGAAAACCCAAGCCAGGTAACGCGTCCGCGCGACATGTCTTTTCCGCTGCCATTTTCCGAATCGGCAGCCCAACACGGCTGCTGTGCGACGCGACACTCACGCGCGCCCGCACCGGCCAAATCCCGCCCGCCGGTACGTGTGTTTTGCCGCCTTAGTAGTTGTCTAGACATCAGTGTACCACCCGTCCGCCCACCTGCCCACCCGTCTTGGCCCTCTCTGACAAGAAAAATTCATGTCATGTCGGCACGTGGGCGGAACTAGCTGGATACGGTAATGAGCTATGCTGTCTTCTGCTTATGGGCTTTTTTGCTTTTTTCCCTCATGGGGGTCGGGACTTTTGACTTTGTTTTGGCGGGGCAGAAGCAGGGGCATAGGGCATGGGGCGTGGAGGGGCAGGCTGAACGCCACGTTTTCTTCGAGTATGTTTGCTTTTGTGAAGGCTTGGTGATGTGTGGAATTTTTGACTCGCGTTCTTGATTGTGTCTTGTTTATTTTGGGTCCGCCTGAACGTTTCGCGGGTACACGTTCCGGTGTTGGCTGGAAAAGAGCCAACGTGAGTACTGTATATTAGGAAGATGTGGTTGTAAAGTAAACATCAGGCTCACGGAAGCGGAGGAGAAATTGGTGAAATGTTATCATGATTGCATTCATGAGAGGTATCTATATACAAGTAGAAGCATCCAGCTTCCAAACGCCAAGTCCAATGGGAAGGTATCGTAAGGTATCATATACAAAAGGCAATCCGCTCAGCAGCGAACCGTTCACCACCAGTCACCCTGGTCGTGCATGGCAGCAGCGACCTTGCGGAAACCGGCGACGTTGGCACCACCAACGAGCGATGGGAACTCGCCCTCGGCGGGGGTGAAGTACTCCTTGGCGGTACCTAGGCAGTTCTCGAAGCAGTCCTTCATGATGCCCTTGAGCTTCTCGTCGACCTCCTCGGCAGTCCATGACAGGCGCTGGGAGTTCTGAGCCATCTCGAGACCAGAGACGGCAACACCACCAGCGTTGGCAGCCTTTCCGGGTGCGTACCAGATGGCATCACCCTTCTTCTCGCGACGGTGAGCCTCAAAGACCTCGATGGCCTCTTGTGTGCAGCCCATGTTGGAACCCTCAGCGATGAACTTGGCACCAGACTCGATGAGAGCCTTAGCCTCGTCCTCGGAGACTTCGTTCTGGGTCGCTGAAGGAAGGGCAACGTCGACCTTCTTGACCTCCTTCCATGGGCGGGCACCCTCAATGTACTTGAAGTTGTGGTTCTCCAGGGCAGTAAGAGCCTTGCGCTCCAACTTGAGGGCAGCGATCTGGTTGATGACCTCGGGAGTGAAGCCTTTGTCGTCTTCAGCGATCAGAGCACCCTTGCTGTCACTGAGGGAGATGACGGTCGCGCCAAGCTCGATGAGCTTGAGCGCAGCGTACTGAGCGACGTTTCCGGAACCAGAGAGGGCGACGCGCTTGCCGGCGAACGACTCCTTTCCTCCCGACGCGTAGTTGATCATGTGCTCAACATAGTATACGAGACCGTAACCGGTGGCCTCGGGGCGGATCAAGCTACCTCCCCATGAGCCACCCTTGCCAGTGAGGACGCCCTCCCAGCGGTTGCGCTCCGCTCGGTATGCGCCAAAGAGGTAACCGATCTCGCGACCACCAACGCCGATGTCGCCCGCAGGTACGTCTGTGTCAGCACCTATAATTTACGTAAGTGAAATGTTCCAAGTGGAGTACTAAGAAAGCAGCGCGAACGTCGCCGACGGGGCAGTGCCAGACAGACGGGAAGATAAGGCAAGATAGACCCGCCACATCTCGTTGGTCTGCTGTCGGAAGAGCATGCGAACCCGTTGAAGAGTGCATGCCCCACCGAGGCTGGAAGTGACGCGCAGGAACGCGCTAGGGTCAAGACATACCAATGTGCTTGTTGAGCTCCCTCATGAAGGCAACGCAAAACTTGCGGATCTCGTTGTCAGACTTGCCCTTGGGGTCGAAGTCGCATCCTCCCTTGCCACCGCCCATGTTGACTGTTTGTGTTAGCCTGATGTTGTTATGTGATCGACTGGGTATGACGTACGGCCAGTGAGGGCATTCTTGAAGATCTGCTCGAAACCCAAGAACTTGAGGATGGACAGGTTGACGGTAGGGTGGAAGCGGAGACCGCCCTTGTAGGGACCGAGAGCAGAGTTGAACTGCACACGGTATCCCTTCTGGACCTGGCACTCGCCCTTGTCGTTCTCCCAGACAACACGGAACTGGATGATGCGCTCGGGGACGGAGACGACCTCAAGGGCCTTCTTGTATTCGGGGTTCTTGGAGAAGAGGGAGGAGGCCTCAAGGGTGGAGACGAGCTCTGCGAAGTGTTAGATGGGGTCGCAGATGGGAGAGAGCATAGAGTTCAAGTAAGAACTCCATGGATTCGCAGCGACATGTCGCGTGAGGTGGAAACGTACCCTTCCTGGCTTGCTCAAACTCAGGCTCAGACATGGTGATTTGATGGGTATCTTAGTGACTGAAGAAGTAAGGTAATAGAAATCGACACGGATGAAGAGTCGCAAATTGATGGAGAGAAGACACAGGAGAGACAGTCTGGTATATATAATTACAGTCGACGGAAGCTAGATAGTTCGTCGGGACTCAGGGTGACGGTGCGGAAGAAAGTCGCACTCGATTTGAGTACGTCACAGAGGCCGGAAGATTGGGGTCATGGACCCTTCTCAGTGGTCAATGGGCTCTACTGCACGCCATGTTGATGCAAACCATGGTGTGCACTTTTTCTACTGATAAGGATCTGGCCAATGGGCGAGCGAGGACAAGTATCGCGGGGTGTTTGCACGTGAAGTAGCGGGGGCTCCGGCCATCTCAGACTCGTGGCGGCCGTGTAATTGTCGGGGGTCAAACCATGGGAGGCGATGACAAGCCGACGTCGGCGGGCGAGCTTGTTACGTTGAGCATTCGCTAGTGTCTTGTCAGGGTAAAGGGAAAAGGCAGGGAGAGTGGGAGAAGCCGGCATGTGGGCAGGCGCTTTGGCCAAACAAGATTGTCTTGGCGATGTGGCGGCCTCCGCGGGTATACCTTTTGACTTCTTACAGCGGAGATGCCGCGACATCATTGCTCTGTATATGCAACGTCAACTCTACGACCTCAACAATCCTACATGATACTGACATAGCCTTGATGCGACATGGCACTGCCTGGTTAGCTATTGAAACGTCCTCTGTCATTGCGCAGATGTGTCTACTGTAGTCATTGAGCTGCAAGATTACGGCTAAAGACTCACAGTGGCAGTATTGTATTATTGACATAGTCGTGCATCGAAAGTACGCATAGAGTATCATAATTGTTTTGTACTGTCACCCGCACGTGAAGAGAGCGATACTCCCACCCTCCACGAGCTAGCACCCCCACGCGCGACTTGTCCGCCTCCACACTCAAGGGCAATCGGTAGGATCCCAATCTGGAGAAGAAGAGATTTTGTCAGCAAAGGTAGCGGGATGATAATATTGGCATGGCTGTGTATGTCAGACAACCAAAGGAACTCACCAGTCACCAAGTACTCATCCAGTCCGTCCATCGTCTCCATATCGCCGTCTTCAATTTCGAAGCCTCCAATTTCCGAGTTCTCGACAATTCGATCCTTCTTTACACTCTTGGGTAGCGGCACGTAGCCATGTTGCAGACTCCAGCGGACTAACAGTTGGCCCGGAGTGCAGTTGTATTTCTTGGACAGGGATACAATCTTTGGGTGCTTCATTCGCAAGGCTCGGACGAGCGGCGCGTATGCCTCTACAACGATGTTGTGCTGCTGGCAAAAGGAAGTAATGTCCTTTCGCCTAGTGTTCTAAATTAGTATAGTCATACACATAGTTCACATAGGGAGCCTACGTGTTGAACGGGTGAACTTCGATCTGGTTGACCGCGGGAGGAATGCGCGGGTTGGAGTCCAACAATTCTTGCAGCTACACTATTGTCAGCAGTTGACTTCGGCGACGTTGGATGTCTTGTGACGGTCATGACTATACTACAGAGTCCAATGAGGGGGACTACAACGACTTCCCTATCTTGGATGTATGTTCGCACTAAAGGTAGGATACGGGGCTACCCGAGACAACTAAAGCAAAAAGACAGGAACCAGGGTTTACTCACATGTTTGACTCCATAATTGGAGACGCCTCCAATCTTGACTTCGCCGTCGTGGATTGCGTCTTCTACCGCTCTCCAGCTGTCAAGACGCGCTTGCTTGCCTCCATATGGCGAATGCAATAGAAATAAGTCAATGTAACCAAGACCAGCTTCCTTGACAGATTTCTTGATAGCTTTGCGGGCCGTTTCGTATGCGGAGTTGGACGCTAGCTTGGAAGTGAAGTGGATATCCTCGCGCTTGAGAGACTCTGTGTTTGCATCACTTGAAAGAAAGTCTGAGATGGCTTTCCCGGATTCTTTCTCGTTATGGTACATCTGAGCTGAGTCGACTCTGTGTATGCGTCATTCATCCGCTGTCCCACAAAGCTTGTGTTCCGTGAGGCTACTCACGCTCGATAGCCGGCCTGCCGTTGTGAGCATCATGGTTACTGATCATCAGGAACAACAAAAGCATACCTCCAACGCCCACCGGACGGCTTGATAAGTCTCCTTCCCGGACGTCAGGTAGACACCGAGATGAATCGTCGGCATGGATAAGCCATTAGAAAGCTGCCATGGTCAGACACGGGCGGCCGCTTGTACGGCGATCGTCAACGTACCTTGGTCCGCGACGCCAATGAGAAGGAAGATTGTGCCATGTTCACTGCTAGGGGCTATGTTGTGCATATACCAAAGTAGATTTGCGATGCTGCGAGAGGCAAGCCACGATAGCGGCAGAGGTGAATGGATATCCTCGGCGAAATGGTTACATCATGGCCCGCTTGCGACCAGGGCCTTGGATTTATTGTGGATGCGTCACGATCGCGACTCTGAGATCTCACATGCAACGGCTATGGCTGTGCAGCGTCCCTGTTCAGTTGCAGTCGGAGTAAAGATGCGTTACACTCATAAAAGCAAAAAAAGGCTATATGTGCATGAGCAGCCTATAGCGCTCGCCAACTGTGTCGTGAGGGCGGTGCCTGCCGAATGGGGCGCCTCTCCCCACCTCCCGATGTCCTTCAGCCTTTGCACCTAGCGACTAGCTCTCGCCGCAATAGACCCGAGTATCCAGTGCCCTGTCGTACAGTGTCTCGTTAACAAGTATGACAGCCTCATGGAGGGCTTGGAGGCTTGAATGATCGGCGACGAACTGCGCTACCGTGGTGCTGGAAGGGACAAGCAGCGCATTGGTGGGCGCCCTTGTACTGTGGCTCTCCGGACACACGAACTTCCGTTTTACATCCCATGGCTGTGGATCCCCTACCGCGATTGACGAGATCTATAGCCAGGGTGTTTGATGGCGCCTGTCATTCAAAGTCATCCTCGCTAACTTAAATGATGACAAAAACAAACCGACGCGCTCGGAGAGTCTCAGTCGCAAGTCTGGATCGATGCGCCTGGATCTCGGCGTCGCCGTCGGTGTCTGCCAACTGCCTGGGGTCATAGAAAGACCACCATTGCGCAGCAAAATCTACAGGGAACAGGAAAAGGGGGGGTAGTAGTCGGCTGAAGCACACGCAAGCAACCAACGGCAGCACAGGCAGCGCAGTCTTGACCACACTTGGTTTACAGCGTTTTGGAATAGACTGACTTTGAAGCCGCCGACCATCCCGCCAACCCGCGAACTGCGAAGCCACCATCTAAGGCCCCACCAGGCTTTGTGCCGCCGCTAATTGGCCCGGCACGTGAACCTACTTGTAAAGGATCAATGGAGCCGGTGTGGCTCGACTTGATCATCGCCAGGATTATTCTCAAATCGCTTCCATCTCAAGGAGGCTTCAATAATTCTTTGCAAGGTTAGCAGGGCGGCGTCGATCGAAGCCACACCATATAAGCAAGTTATGAAGCCTCACCATCTGTATGCTCAACCTCTTGCATGTATAAAGCATCTTATCGCGCCCGCTATAGATGCTGCCATGACCCCAAGCAACAGACACACTGCAGCAGCCTTAAACTAGCCGCCCACTGGGTCGTTTCGTCATTGATCCTTTTCCTCGTCACATCTTACCAGGACCCTGAGACCCTGGCTTCCTTGGGCTTCGTTAGCTAAACCCGACATTCTGCACCGGCACGTTTATTTGACATTGGTTGCACCCAGCTCGGTAAGTTGCGAGCTGCGAGTACACAAACTGGTGTTCTCCTCAACCAGCCAACCAGCAACGCTGACTTTTGCCGTTCCTGCAGTAGCCTCTGCTGCCCTCATCATGGCGAATTTACCCGGATTCACCACCAACTTCCCCACGGGATATCCAACCTTTCAGACAGGCGGTGGAACTTTCGCGCGCGGCAGCACTTCCTCTGGAGGCTCGCCGTCTGCTCCAAACGCATCGTCTGAACCACACTTCGACATTTTCGACTGGCACCCCGCGTACCAGAGCTGCCAGCGCTATTTCCTCGACCATGCTCAACACGACAACGGCGTGCAGGCTGTTTGCGCCCTCATCAATATCTGCTTGCCTTTCCAATGGACGCAAAATCCCCTCATGAACGCATCAGGACCGCTGCCTCACTCGTCGGGCGCCGCTGCATACAACATGCCCTGGCCCCGCCAAGGTCCCGTCACCAATTCGCGAGGCCAGCCGGCCCCGGCATGGGTATCCCTTGTGCCCTTTATTCGACGTCTTGTCGTCACAGGAATGGACAGCCCAGGAATTATGCACGGATTCTTTGGTGAGGACTGGAGAAAAGGAGTCGGTCCAATGCACGAGTGTGAGCGTCGCAACTACCTCTTCACAGCCAAGAGTGTGGGTTGGGCCAAGGTCAAGTGCCAGTACGACATGTCACCGCACGAGTCAGTGCCTTTCTTGAAGCCATTGCAAGAGGTTCAGCTGGCCGAGATTGAGGGGGCCGAGAAGACGTGGAGTCAGTGGCTAGCCATGGAGGACTGGATGGTAGGCCCACGGGCACCGGATGCGGACGACCAGCTACAGGATGCTCGTCGCCGTCCATCTTGAAGCCTGGCTTGGAGTATGGCGTTGTTTAGTGCACGATGATCGTCAAGCATCACGATCGTAGTTCGCGTCGCACCAAGACGTATGTAGGTTTATTTGGATTCGCAAGGGCTGGGGTTAGCGCCCAGTGTTCAGCGATCAACACTACTCGCCATCGCTGCGCAGTGGTTGTACATGTCTTAAAACACGAGCGGAACGGTGTTCATAGTAATGTAAACATTCAATACACTTAATGTTACCATGTTAACCTTAAACGATCTGTGTTGTTTGCGCATTCACCTCCCTATGATTTCAATCTCGAATACAAATTCTGATTCGCAGATGGAAATGCAGCGAGCTCGACAAATGATTTTTCTGTTGTTAGCAAAAGACGTTGGAGAATTCCCAGGTTCTGTGCGGTTTCCACACCCGTGGATCGTGCCTGCCAAGAAGCTTCGGCCAGCCTCAGCTACCTACCACCGTCTTTGTTCCTCGTCAGCACACTTCATATTCTTTTTTTTCTTATCAACAATCAGCCTAACCTTCAAGGCGTATTCTTAAAAGCACATGGACCATGGAGTCTATGGTCAAGGAATGGACGGCCTTTTTGGATAGGTGCCTCGAACGGCGTATCGCACCTGATTTGTTCGCTGCAGCCGTCGCGCAGCTCCACGCGAAGTCTCCACTGCCCGGCCGGAAGCTTGCTGCTCTGGTTCTTCGACCACGCGTTGCAGGATCCAATAACGTCGACCCACGCTCCATCGTCTTTCTCGAGCAGCTACTGGCCGTAAAGAAGGTCGATGCCTCTGACGTTCTGACGTTGACCTTCCTGTACTCCAAGGATCGCCTCCCGGTCAAGACAGGTGACGAGAAACCAGCCAAGGAGGCGCAATGGGACAATCCGCCAGAACTCGAGGAAATTGTGTTTCATCGCTTGCACAAAGCTTTTGCCGCAGAGGAGCGCCCTATCAACAACACCGAAGGTCTGCGCACGCTTACTGTCTTGACAAGATGGATGCAGGCAATGGTGACATCGCAAACCAGTGATAGCATGATCCAGGCCATGGCTGGCATTCAACAACCCCAGCAGCACTCTATCAATGTTCGGGAAGGTCTTGCAATGCTTGTTATTGGCGTAATAGAGAACTCAAAGATTCTACGAATTTTGAACAACCCCAAGGGCAAAGGTAAGCGTTTCTGTTTACGTTCGAACGGTCGTTGTATGAAAAGCTCAAGATGACTCCTTCGATCCTTTGCAACCACATCACTCACATGGCTCAGATATACGCAAGAGTTTTGTTCAATCCTTCTCTTCATTTATCCCGTTTCTCTCCAACAATTCGGGTGGATCGCATCAATCGTTGCAACTAGCAGAACGACTGGAACTCTCACAGAAACGGCATGATTTCTACGAAAAGCTACCTAACGTAAACGGCGAGGAAAATGCAAATGCCGGTCTTGAAGTCGCGGCACTTCAGCTCGATGCCGTAATGGAGCTCCCGCAAGTAAATACGCGAGCTGGTCTCTATGTCTTCTTGAACGCCTTGGTAGGTAGTTCAGCCGTTGAATTAGGCTGTTGCTAACATTTTAAGCTTGTCGCACGGCCACTTACTGATGATTTCATTATCATCAACCATCTTCATTCGCGATACAAAGTAAGACGACATTCATTGGTTCTTGGAAAAATGCTGACTTGTCAAAGCTGGAAGCCCAGAACATGGCCACAGACTTGATCACCGCCGCTTTTGATGTCCTTGCCAACGGTATGTATCGCAGTGAACCGCCGCAGACGATGTTCTACCTGAAATCATTCTTGATCAACAAGGTGCCCTTACTTCTCGCACAGATAACCGGGTCAATATTTCCCATGACAGTCGAGATGTGTATCACACAAGCACTCAGCCATGTGGATCCCAATGCTTTCCCATCATTCTCACAGGGATTCGACGACATCATGGGAAGTAATAACTCCCTCTCTGATGTTAGGCAAGACTTCCTTAACGCATGCGCGCTTCATGCTCTCATCCCAGCGGGTACTGTAGAGCGTTTACTTGGCGAAGCCCCCATGCAGGGCCCACCAGCGAAGAGACACGAGAGGAAGGAATTGCTAAACCAGTGCAAGTCAAACTTCGACAAAATCAGCACATACATTGACGAGCTTGAGAGCCTTGACGGAAACGCCGGTGCCATTGTTGCTGCTGTTACGGATGTATGATTTGATCTCATGGCTTCCAGAAGAGACTTGCTGACATGAATACAGTTTATAGCACACCTCTGTGAAACTCAAACGACCATGTACTTGAAGCAACTATCCTCGTTGATCTTCAAGAAACCGCAGGCAATGGATGTGATGCTCCAATTCACTTCGCCGGCTAGCATTCTGCGACCACTATGCCAGTTTCTCGATGACTGGCACTACGACAGCGATCAAGGTAAGCTTCCAAGCAATACCGGTGCTGTTCCTCGCTAACAGACATAGGTGAATATCAACCGGTATATGACGAGTTCGGTGCGATACTTGTTCTCATCATGGCCTTTGTATACCGCTATGATCTTACGTACCACGACATCGGCATCGGCCATGATACATTCATTGCCAAGCTTATGAAACGTGGTCATCATAGCATGCTGCCTGACGAATTGAGCGAAGAGCAGGGCAAGTATCTTGGTAACTGGCTGAAAGGACTTTATGACGCCGACAAGGAAGGGCTAAGCAACGAGGTTTTTGCATCTTGCCGTCCACAAGATTTTTATCTCATAGTTCCCACATTGTTCAGGCAGACAGTCGTGGCATGCTCGACGGGCGTCCTGTCATTTGAGTCGGTCAAGGGTGGTTTGGAATGTAAGCTCACTTCAATGTCTTTCACTAAATCTAGATCACTGACTCGACTCCAGATCTTGGAGAGACTTTCTTATTGCCGTCCTTGATCGAAGGTCTTACCTGGATGGCCTCGTATGCGCTCCTTCAAACGCACAACGATCTTGATTCAATGATCCGCATCTTTAACGAAGTCATATTAACGACTCCCTCTTCTGGGGACGCACAAGCTATGCATTCGACTATAATAGCGATGGTGTCTAGTCGTCTGGAGAAGTGCTTCCGCACGCTACAGCGGCGCGAACCAAACCGTACGACACTTGAGCCTTTCATTCAGGCGATCAAAGTTCACGCATACTATGAGCGTTCCATATACGCTAGCTTGAAAGAAGTAGACCAGTGGACGAATGCGCCGAATAGCACTCTGAACACGTCTTTACGACACACCGTGCAGCAACTATCGCAGTGGGCTTCCACTTCGTCACTGCAGCCTAACCCACCTAGCTATACCCATCGCCAAATCTATGCATCACTGAAGATGCTTGGTGCTACCAGGACGCTGCGCGCCATTGTGGATGAGGTGAAAGCGCAAACAGATGCTGGCAACGGTGCGGCTGCGCTAGATATTGGGGTGTCCATCATCTGCGCTCCTACTGTTGAGGATAGCCCCATAACAGTAGACTGGGTAGGAAGCTCAATACCAGCGCCGCCACCACAGAGGAATCGCATGAACCTCCGCGAGATGCTTAAGCAAGAGTTTGAGAGCGCTGCAAATCTGGTGGCAACAGATCCCCTGACGGCGGAGACGATAGTACGCCTGCACCGCCGCGTAGAAGCGCACTTTGTCTCCCTCAGCGAAGCTGGTCTACAAGCACCGCCTATCAACATCCCCAGTGTCAACATAGCGGACATGCAATCACAAACCATATCCGACGATCTGAACCGAGCTATCGATGATGCGGCTGCTGCGACGGTTGTCGATGATATTTCCAACATGGACAACAAAGCGCTCCAGCGCAGTATGGACGAACTTACCGGTCCTGAAGGCTTGGATCTGTCGAGCATCGGCATGGGTAATGGTGATGCAGGTGCAGGCGATATGAGCACAGATCTGGGTAATCTACCTGACTTGAATCTCGGTGATATGGGTAGCATGGGCATGGATATGGATATGGATATGGACATGAACATGGGTGGCGGCGGAGGAGATGATGACTGGGGCTTGGATTTCGATAACATGTAGTAAGTGTTGTAAGAAGTGCTCGCTGTCGAGTGCATACGTGGGACATTGTTCTCAAGCTCAACAGCGATGGGGGGATAAGGACACGAGTTAATTGGATAAGGGCTTGTATCGGACTGGACTTGGCTGGGTATTGGAAACTATCTATATCGCATTTATGCAGGCGCTCTTCGATCCGAATACAACACTATAACCGGAAGCAAATACTGATTTCGGTGTAACCCATGTACAGTTGTACCGAGGTAACGAATACTAATTCGGAAACGGCAAGAAGTAAGATGGATAGGGCGGGGGTGTACCTGCATAGCTCCGGAAGCTCTTGCCCCACCTCCACCCCGACAGTCGGTCAGATTGTAAACAACTCCCTTCCGGACGTTCGATACTAATTTCTAAGCTTTGAATTCCTCACAAGGCTGCTACACTTCCGTACTCCCAACTTTCGACGAGAACTTGTTGACCAGATTCTGTATCTACTCCACACGGCCGAATCAGCGAGCAAAGATGCCGTACGATCTCAAAGGCAGAAATGTGCTCATTACCGGTGGATCAGCGTACGTATAAAAGATCTTCCAAGATATGTTCTGATATATACTGTGATGTAACATCACGTCTAAAATCAGTTACTGACAAGCCTGTAGTGGTCTCGGAGAACTCCTCAGCACAACGTTTGCCAGTGAAGGCGCGAATGTCGCTATCAACTACTTCAACCGTATTGAGCCGGCACAGAAAGTGCAGAAGGCATGCCAAGCACATGGTGTCAAAGCTATCATTATCAAAGCGGTATGGACTGTTGTCAAGGTCTGGGAGAAGAGAGCTAAGTTTCTCATCAGGATATGACCTCAACGGCAGAAGCGAAGAGAGCGGTTAGAGAAACGATCGAGCAGCTGGGTGGACTGGATATTGTGCTTGCTAACGCGGTGTGTATAGACAACTCAATTCTATTAGAGATGTCGCTAATACAGATATAGGGTTGGACACGCTTTGCTGAATGGAAAGATCTCGACTCCATGAGCGAGGAAGAGTGGGATAAATGCTGGAACGCCAATGTCAAAGTACCAAAGGCCATACTGTCTGAGGCGAGAGCTACATTCGATGCTAATCCTGATGGTGGGCTTATGATTACTACAGGTAGTATTGCGGTAAGTCTTCATTATCCCTGGTCTCGACAGGCTTATATATTATTGACTTGATGGCTACGTGCTAATCGCAAACTACAGGGTGTCAGCCAGGGCGGCTCAAGTATGCCTTACTCTGTTACCAAGGCAGCACAGCTCCAGCTCGTCAAATGCCTTGCTGTCACTGTTGGACCCAAAATCCGTGTCAATACGGTCCTCCCAGGCTTACTGTTGACTGAATGGGTAAGACGCAGAACCTTGGAGCCCCTCTTATCACCTCATACTGACAATGTCTTAGGGCCTTAAGTATTCCGAGGAAAGGATTGAACAGCTCAAGAATGCTGCAGCGTTGAAGCACGACACCTTCTTGGATGATTGCGTGGCCGCGTTTGTCATGTTGGCAAAGAACACAAGTATGACTGGTATGCGTGTCCAGGTCGATGCTGGACTCAACATCCAGGGCGCGTAAGATGCAGTAGTTGAGAAGTAGTTATCATTGTCAAACGAGACTTTTATTAGCATTGAACTCGATCATCGTGGTATTTCGTAAATATGTCTGCGTCTGCCTCGGTGATGATTCGCGGAAAAGGAAGACCTCGGCCGTGGGCATGCTGTCACCCCACGGCACTAATCCAAGCTGCAGGGCACCTCACGTCAATTCCCCGCGTCCCGAACCTCCGCATCTCCGCAGAGCGTCCAGAGATCAACACCATGACTCCCCGAAACTCATAGTCAGAAACCCACCATGTCTGCTTCTTTCAGTACCGTTTCCAGAGCAGCTCCGCGTCTAACGCGACGGTGCATGCGATGCGGCGAGCGCAGCGACAATTGTCAGCCGACACGACGGCGCTGGATGAGCAGCGTACGAGATGCGCCTGCTAAGAGACCGAAGACTGCCATCTTCTTTCCTGGTACTTTCTTCTAGCTTCTATACAACTCGCGATTTCAATATGCTAAGCAATATCAGGTCAGGGCGTACAGCGAGTGGGAATGTGCACACCGTGGCTGGAAGCCTTCCCCCACACAGCGAAACCCATCCTCGAAGAGATTGACGAAACACTCAAAATCCCCCTGACAAGGACGATAGAGTCTGGTACCAATGCCGAACTCACACGAACTGAGAATGCGCAACCGGCCATTATGGCAACCTCAATTCTCATACTACGGATATTGGAGCAGGAGTTTGGCTTCAAGACCGACGAGCGCGTAGACATTACACTGGGACATTCACTCGGGGAATTCGCGGCCCTGGTAGCAGGGGGCTACCTCAAGTTTCAGGATGCACTGAAAATGGTACGGAGACGAGCCGAGGTCATGAGCAAATGCAGTCAAGAAGCAGTCGAACAAGAAGGCGGCGAGTTTGGCATGGTCGCCCTAGTCTGCGAATCTGAGGAGCACATGCAGTCCCTCATCAACGGCATACACGAGTTCCTCGCACTAGGCTCCAAAGCAGACTCCCACGACCACCTTCCAGCCGTCCAACAGGTATCAATCGCAAACCTCAATTCGAAGAACCAAATCGTCCTCAGCGGCAGCATCACCCGTATCAATACCTTGCTTACGAATCTACGCCAGTTTGGCGGCCACGATCCCCGACACGTACGCTTGAAATCTGATGCCCCCTTCCACAGCCTCCTCATGAAGCCCGCGCAAGAAACCATGAAACGCATACTCCACAAGGAAAATGAGGACGGACGCGACATCGTCACATGGCCGGGTATCATGCCGTGCATATCAAACGTCTCGGGCAAGCCCTTCCAGGACAAGGAGCAGCTGAAAGATCTCCTAGCACGAAGCTGCGTCGAGACGGTGCAGTGGTGGAAGAGCGTAAAGTATCTACATGAGCAAGAGAAGATTATGCGTTACGTGGGTATTGGGCCAGGGAAAGTAGGCAGGAATCTTGTGGGCAAAGAGGTGGGTATGAAGGGCTCGGTCAAAGGGGGTGGGGTTTGGGGCATTACAAGTCCAAAGGAGATGGAGGAGGTGGTTAGGGCCTTGGATGATACTGAAAATGTTGAGGTGGAGTGATTGTGAGAGGCGACGTGAAGAGGTTGATTCTTGAGGATGAAAAGCGTACATATATACCCCAGTAAAGCGAGTTTCTTCATTAATAGACAAACTTGATCAAGACCCACAAGGTATCTTAAATTGCTTCTCGGGTATGTAATCGAATGCGAAGATTGGATTATAAGATATGTTCAGAAGCACCCGCTGCCTGGCACAACACGCAAGAGGGGAGAATCAGGTGAAGTAACCTGATAGATACGACGGAGATCGGTCGTTGTATATAACTCTCTTGATTGTTGTTCAAACTCCCAACTACCTACCACTCTACCTATTCAAGCTCAACAACTCCTCAACATACCTCCTAGCATCAATCCCGATCCCCTCTGCCAACCCTTTCGGTCCCCACCCCGCAGCCGCACCGCCCATCCTTTGATTTTGCCCCCTGCCACCTCCCATACCGAGGCCACTCCACATACCACTCGCAAAGCGACTCGAGCTCTTCGCACTACCAGCCTGACTATCTCTCGCGCGGCGAACAAGAAACGCTTCTCGAAGTTCATTGGTGTTGAATTGCGCGGAGTCAGACCCTTCACTAGAGTTGTTCTGCGAGTTTTGAACCGCGTCTTCGGAGCTGACTCGTGAAGGCGGGAGACGCATCCAGACGACCCACCATCCGCGGGACGTCTTGCACGTACGTTCGATTTCAGAGAGGTTGCGGCGCGTACCTGCTACTGTAGCTAGTATCTGTGAGTGTACATTTAGAGCTTCGACTCTGCTCCAGCCGAGGGAGCTAGTACTACTGCTGCTCAGGCCTTCGGCTAACAGTGTCCCTGGGTCTGGGATGTTGGGGAGACTAGAATGTACGGTGTATGTGCGGGGATCGAAGACGAGGTCGTAGATGATTTGTGTGTTGGGGCCGGAGTTCGGGCCTGAACCGCCGGCGGAGGCTTCAGTTGTGTAGTGGTTCGAGGCGGCGTGGAGACGTGCGGCGACGTTTGCTGGGGATGTGTTTTTGTCTAGGGAGCGGTGGAGGGGTGAGAAGAAGTTGTGGATATCGCGGTAGAAGGATGCGACGCCTAGAGAATGCGTGCGGTGTTCGAAAAGGAAGGTATAAACGAACGGACGGTGCTGTGATACATGTCAGTATGGTCCGAGATTCTATCGACAATGCCCAAGCTTACCACGTAGACAACAGGTCTTAACCGTGACAGGTTACTTGACGGTGTCGACTGCACGTTCATATCCTTCTCGTACTGCGGAGTCTCATCCGAGTCGCCGTCTCCTGTTTTCAGAGAAGCATCTCGCCTGTCGACCTCCACATGTATAGTCCGCAACGGTATACGATTGTTCCAATCACCCTCGCCGTTCTCATCATCGACTTCCAAGTCTTGCAGATCGCCTTTTAGCCCTACGAGGAAGTAACCGTCGTTCTCCAGGCGTATTTGTTGCTTTATCTTCTCTTCCGCTGGGTCCACATCGGGTGTAGGATCTACGTAGCGCATCGCTGCAGGGGAAGGTGTTCGTTCGCGTGCCGGTTGTGGTGCTGGTGCTGGTGCTGGCGCTGGAGCAGCAGATTCCGAGGCCTCATCGCTCTTCTTTCCGCCCCATGCTGTCCCGTAGCCAAGGGTCATGTATTTCATCCATGTCTCGGTGTCACCCAGAGACGATAGTATTGGTTTAGACTCAGGCGCAGTAGAATCGGCCTGAGATTTATTGTTTTCGACGGCGGCGGCTGCCTTGTCAAGGGAGTTTTGAGCTGCTTTGACAATAGGTGGAGGGATACCCGGTGGCAAGGCTGAGCCATTGCTCGACGTAGCAAGATGCGGCCTTTCATCTCGTATTGGGGGCGATGGTTCTTCTAGTTCTGGTTCGGGCTCTGGCTTCAGATTTCTCCTTCGCCGTCTCCTGCGATCAGAGGTTGGGTTATCTCGTACGCCATAAGCATACTCGCCGTGAGCGTAGATGGTCTCTACCCAGTGGGACAAGTCCCGCAGTGACTTTCGGCTCACCGCTCCTAGACCTGAAAAGACAACGCCATCGGCGGCATGAGCGTTCTTCCCAGCCCCTATCCAGGGTTCCAACTCAGACACTTCGAGTGTCTTGGGGTCTGTGGAGGTCTTGGCTTGTTGCAGAGGCGATGCTTCGCCAAAGCGGGATACCATGACGTCCACCAGACCGTGTGTTCTGCGAGCGAAGTCCTCTAGCACATCGCGCTCGCTGCTTCCCCACTCCTCTTCGCCAACGCCCATGCCCAACTCTCCGCCTGCTGCCAGCTTCATGCCACCGTATATGTCCACTGCAGGACTTCCGTGTAGTAGCACATCCCAGTTGCTCGCAAATCGCGACCAGTACTTGTCCAGTATGCTGCAAAACTTTGAACGGCCGTGTTTGGCGAACATGGCCTCCATTGTCGAACCATGATGAAGCAGGAAGATGGACTGGGCGCGTGCGAGCTGTTGGATAAGGAGTGCGGGCGGGCTAACTTCGCGTGACGAGTATTCGATGACAGGCTCGGTAGTGTCGGTGCTCGAGTCGGTTCGTGTGAGGCCGCCGGCAGCTGGTAGTTGGGTGAGGTCAATGGACTACCGTGGTGTCAGTTGTGGTTTGCTACGCACGTGGGCTATGCATACTGCCAATATCCACCAGCCATGCTCCATTTCACGTAGAACAATGCGCGTCTTCTGTGTTTCCACAGAGTCAACGGCTTCGCCATCAGAGAAGCTCCTACACGTAATCAGCTTCAATATACGGAAAATACTCGCCTGCATGCGTCCTACTTCGCAAAGCCTACCATGCCCTGAGCTAGCCCAACCTGACGGAGCTTTTCATTCTCCTGCTCACGTAACTCCTCCTCTCTCTCTGTATCGCCATCCTTCAGCTTAGATCGCGTCTTGGCGGCCTTGGAGTAATAGAAGACGATCTGCTGGTCAAATGTCTCATCTGATATTCCGAGCGAGGGGTTGTAAATGGCTAGGAAAGAGAGTTGCGCCGGAACGACCTTGGGGACCGCGGTGGACGACATTCGAGCATTCTTCGAAGTACCTGGTCGCGAGGCGCTTCGAGTGGTCTTGGATGAGGAATCAATGGCGTCACACGTGCGGAGGAGACGCGGAGGAGAAGACAGCCGGCCACCGTACCAACGACAACAACAAGCGGTCGCTGTGGATTATTTGTAGCCCATGGTCAAAGATTGCAGTCCATCGCGATGCCGCGCCCGGTGGCAAGGATGCACCCGATTGTCGTGGTCGAGATGCCCCACGAGATCGCGATCGCGACGTCTACATTCTGCGGAACGGCATTTGTCGCCGAGCTTCCTCAACTCTGAACCATGTTCTGCAGGCTACGAGGCCGCGTCCGCTCTTTGGCCTTCGCTCCACACCGCCGATATAGCTCTACGACCGTTCCCGCTCGGACGTCGGAGCCATTGCGGATATTATTCTGTGGTTCTGACGCCTTCAGCATTACATCGCTACGCGCCATAGCAGACGCGAAGCGGCATGTGCCGAAACTTATAGAGAGCATCGATGTAGTCCATCGACCAGCGAAGCCTACCGGACGAGGATTGAAAAAATTGAGAGAGGGTAGGAACCTCTTTTAATCCTCGTACAGCATCAGTTGACGACATTCAGTACCTATCAAGCAGGTAGCTACCGAAGAGCTCGATTTACCCACTCATGTGATCGATACCTTCACAGGCTGGACGCCGCCTACACCCATAGATATCGTCATCGCTGTGTCATTCGGTCTCCTTGTTCCACCACGGATCCTTAACTATGCGCAATACGGCGGCTTGAACGTGCATCCTTCTCTGCTTCCCGATCTGCGTGGTCCAGCGCCCATCGAACATGCCATATTGAAGCGGCGGCAGTACACCGGTGTCTCTGTGCAAACACTGCATCCAAGGCACTTCGACCAGGGTACTATCCTTGCCCAAACGCCCATGCCTGGCCACGAGATTTGCCTTCCTACTGAAACTCCTGGGATGGCTCAGGTTGTAGAGCAACAGCTTGCCACGGCCGGGGCAGAAATGCTCGTAGATGTCCTGAAGCAACGCAGATTCGTGCCTCCGCGTGAGGATGTCGGATGGTACGCCCATTCCGACGGTCCTATCGACCATGCACCAAAAGTCACCAAGCAAGACCGCTATGTTGATTTCGAAAAACACACCGTGGCAGACGTCATTGCCAAATGGAACGCCCTTGGCGACTTGTGGTGTCTACTACCCACCGGCGAACGTCTGATCTTACACAACGTGTTACATCTACCGCCAGACGATAACGATATTGTTAGGTCTAAACCAGGGCTTTTCGTGAACCCAGAGGTGAAGGCCGTGCTCTGGTTCAAAGGAGCATGCGGTCAGATGGGAGTTGTTCTACAGAGCACATTAGAAGGGAACAAGAAAGGCCAGGGAAACGCGAAGTTGCTGCAATTGTTTGGCCCCTCAGGAAATAAAAGCGTGGGAAATATACCTGCAACGCGCCCTCTACATAGGGTTATCTGACAGTGTTGTCTCGCCCGAATACTCAACTATTCAACTCTCCGATCAACGGCTTCGCTCACATTCTTCCCATTCTTCTTTGGCGTCCTCGAACTCTTCAATTCCTTTCATCACCCTCACACTCATCGCTACAGTCTGTGCCTGATCCAACGCAGCTGCGAAGCCCGAAGAATCCGAAGCCTCATAGAACAGCTCTCGCATCCTTCCAGAGCTGCCGTCCACTGCCTCGTTCAGCGTTCCCAACAAAGTCAAGACACATCCGTCCCTATCTGTTTGAGTTGCTTCCTTGTCGTTAACAAAGCGAGAGAACTCATGTGTCCATCCACTTATCTCGTTCATCAGCTCTTGCGTCTGCTGCTTACCCTCCGCCGTCGACTGAAAGATATATGGTATGTAAACTTGCAGCTCCCAGCTGGTGAGCTTGATAGTTGTTAGGAAAGACGGCTTCGGGACTTTCTTCGGCTGTGCATATCGCTGTTTGAAAGCTTCGTACTCTTTTGCTCAGAAAGCACGGCGTTCGTTGTTGGGCTTGATGGTAGCGTCTATTAGCTCGCTATGGTTGTCTAGACTCGTCGATGATGAAATTGGAGAAGGAACTGCCGTTCATGCCTGGGACATCCGGTACGGTAAGTCTGATGTTGCATACAAAATCACTGAAGGTGATTTCTTTCCGTATTCTGCAACCAGCACAGATAATTCGCCAAGTAATGAGGCACGCAACGAGTACGCAGCGATACCAAGCGTCTATATGGCAATCCAGCACCTTGCATCATTCTCACCTGGACTTTCTCAGCTCTAGGGGTCAGTTTGATAAATATGGCATGCATCTCCTGCACCATGGCTCGAAACTCCGCGTCTGCAGCTGGGTTGCGCAACACGTTCCCTAGCAAAGACTGCGTTGTTTCATGGTTCTTCTGGTTGTTTTCTTTTGCGAATGCAATATTCGCCCTGCAGGGCGATTAGCTTACATCCACTCGGGACTCAAGTGATGACACCTACCAGATCACCGAGGCCAACAAAAGGTTTATTGCATCGATACACGACTTTAGCTTCTCTCGATACTGTTGCAACGACCGTTTTTCATGATCCCATCGCACTCTTTGCTAGTTGACCTGGATACTTTTCTTCACGTCATCCAGCGTGCGCAGTTTCATCGTTCCCTTGTTGGCTTGACTCCCAACAACACGGTACTTATTCATCATTGTGTTTAGCTCTTGTAACGTGGAAGCGCACGAGTTGATCATTACATCGAGCTTCTTTTTCAACCCTGATCCTCCATGTCGAAAAACGGGTCGTGCGAGTACATCATTGGAGACCTCTCTAGGGTGATCTGGAGCACATTTTAGACTAAAAAGGACTTCCTCGAGCTCTTCCAAGTCCCGCGATGCTGCTTTTCTCCTAGAGCTGCCGCTTTCATAAAGGGTGTACGCTAACTGGCTGATGAGGACTAGATGCAATTAATGCCCTTTCACAATAACATATTTTCGTACACATAATGTTATCTCCTATCGAGAAACCAAACGACGTCTTTCCTCACCTTCACCGTGATGTGAGGGGACGACAGAATTTGGACCGGGTTATATGCCGCGAAAGCAGGCGCACGTGTGTGTGGCCGAGTCGACCCCGTTTGGCAGGGTCATTGGGCAGCCTTTTGAGCTGACTTGAATCTCAGCCAGACCAGCATGTCATCTCACTTCTACAGTTCAGCGAAGATATCTTACTCTCTGCTCGCAACGCAGACATTTCGATTGCCATAAGCTCCACCATGCCTCTAGCTGTTCCCTTGGACTCACATCGAATCGTCACTGAAGCCCTCGAGAAGTCACAGAATGTCGAGCAGGTCGGGTGGAAAAGAAAATACGACGAACAGCTCAATCTGTCGACGCTTCCTATGGTCATGAACGAAGTCGAGCTAGCATCTAACCTTTGGAATCGAATTGAAGGTTGCCACTGCACGTTCATAGTATTTGAAAACCATGCTGAAGCTGAGCCGATTGCGGGTTCCGGAAGCCTGCCATACTGAATACATACAACTCCTTCCTTAGCAAAGGTGTCCACGACTGGGTAGTGACGGATCATGACGAAGTTGTTGTGGTCGCATCCGACCAACTTTCCACCAAGAACACGATCAGGATTATAGAACTGCTTATTTCACATGCGAACATTCAGTATGGTCAACAAATCAACTTTGATGTCCACTCCGTGGCTTCCTCACAGCGTAAGATTGAAAGTAATTGTGGATTCCACGTATCTTTTGAAGGGACTCCGAGGATTTCAGACGATGGCAAGCTCCACCCTTTCCCAGGTTCGTTGGGAAACAATGATATATTCAGCGTAGGGGCGTACACGAACCGCTTGTCAGTCGATATTAGAGAGGCTGGTGGTGTGTTTCGACAATGTGAAGAGTGTCAGCCAGATGGATCAATATGTCGGTGTCAACGCTGAACCCGACTTCGAACCAAAGAAAAGCCGAAGATGTGCGCGACCTGCGAACTGCGACTGTGCGATTGCATGTAAGTGGCTCTCTTCCCTTCTAGCTCGTTCTTACTTACGCAACCAGTATCCGTCCCTGCGACCGCCAATTCTGCAACGTGTGCATCAAGAGAATCGAGTAGAATAGCAATGAGGATTCTGCCTCAGCACGCAGGAACTGAAAGTGCTCGACAGGTGATAGTGCCGCTTCGCATGTAGCATCAGGCTTTTCTGCGCCGATAAACTTGCCAGGCGACGAGCCGTCGCGGATCAAGGTTCCAGTTAATGTGCTGAGGATCGAAGATGGCAGGTTGAGGTTCAGGAGTATGCAGAAGACCAGAATTTAGGGCTGATGACATATGAGCACGGGTAGACAGCAATCATGTATTGCAGAATGAATATTATGCAACAGACTGCATCTTTTCATCAGATGGCGGACCCCCCAGCAAATAATCTGTACCTGAATGCAACCATGTTTAGTTTAACAGAATGCGCAACAAAAAAGGGATGTCTTGCAGGACACCGAGCGAATATGCTATCGCTGTAGCATGTTGCATATAGATGTTGATCAGACAACAAAAAAGAATCCTCCTCCGGGAAGGCTCGAACTTCCAACCTCCTGATAGCCACTGGTGTAACAGTCAGACGCGCTAGCCAATTGCGCCACAGAGGATTGTTTGATGAGAAGCGACCCAAAAAATTCAAATATATCCAGAGTCGTATTTGCAGAGTAATCCAGTGACGGACTTCTGTCGAGTTAATGTGGGGTAGCGCAACACAGAGCTCAAGTGGGGTAATAACTTCGTACTTCCGAGGTGTTCGTCGAGCCCCCATCCCCAAATTCAACGGAACAACGATAACAGTAAGAATGGAGCAAGGGACAGTTTGTACCATAATCATGATAAGTTGAGCATATAACAACGCCAAATAACGAGATGAAAAGGTTTCGCTGAGCGTCTATGTTCTATGTTCTCCTCTATACTCATGTAAAGAAATCTAGCAATCTATTCCTCGAAGTGCATCGACGCGCCACTGTAGCAAACGCCAAACGCAAACATCATGCTATCATCTCAGCGGTCTCATTGGTATAGCGTCATCCTCGTCATTTGTTCGTTCGCCTTCAAAGGCTGGCGATATTAGACCCCTCTCTTCTTCACCATCTCTCTCTGGTGATTCAACTTTCGTATTCGGTTGTTCCTTGTTCATCGCAACATATATGGCCGAACCAAGGATGAGCGACGATCCGATGATGGACAAGGCACCAGGTGTCGTGCCCCAGACCAGCTTATCGAATGTGAGCGCGAAGAGCATCTGCATGTAGACCATGTTCGTTGCGCGAGAAGACTTTTCGTATTGCAGCCCAGCGGCTAAGAGAAATTGCTAGGCGATGTCAGTCAAGAGGCGCAACGTGGCGAAACTGCCTAATAGACGTACCATGACGAATCCGCAGATACCCAGAAAGATTAGGTAACACCAGTCTCTCAGGCTATTCGGGAGAAGAAAGCCAACGCCAGGCATAGCAAACATAGCAACGACACTGACAATCGTGCACCACGTTGCGAAGTAGTTGACACTTATGAGCGGATGAGCGCGCTTGCCGATCCATCGAATGGTGGTATATGCGCCGGCTGCTCCTATCACACCCAGCATTGCAATCCCTACTGCTGTTGCTCGTTGCGTGGGCGTCACTGAATCATAGTCGGCAGCGAGACGATCGGATGGAGTCGTAGTCGTGTTCGACGGAAGAGCATCTAGGTCGCCGGTACCAGGAGGAACTGACCCATTAGAATGCGACAACGCAGAGAACAGTGAGACGGGTCTCGCGATAAGAACGACGCCGAACAGCGAGACATATGCAGCTATCTGCTCCATCCGGGTGAATGGCTCGTGGATGAAGTATGAACATGCCCAACAAGCAAGCGATGGTGCAAGAAACGTAATAACGGTAGCATCGGCCAGGGGCAGGTACAACAAGGAGTCTGCAATAGTCAGTATTATGATACATAGAAAGGGCCCATGTGATGTACTGTCGAGTTCATCACAGCAACGAGAGTGCAAGGACGTACAAACGCTAGCCAGCATGTGACGAACTGAGACAAGTTACCGTACCCATGTGGTCCCATGAGCAAGGTTGTATGACTTACAGTACATTCCAAAAACACCGAAGAAGCCAAAAAGTCCTCTGGCGACTAGTAACGAGCGAACTTCCTTCATTCCGAAGGGAAAGTGTTCTGTCTTCTTATACCACATGTAGAAACAACAACACGCCGTGGTGATACTCATTCTAGCGAATAAGATCTGGAATGGATGATAGCCGTTGCCTGAGACAGTTAGTAAGTACGTAGGATTGTCGTCACTAGAAGATCTACCTACCACTGTTTCCTTCCATTTCCAGTATTCTCGTAGTGACGTTCATCAAGGTTCCAAACAGCTGAGCGAGTAGAACGAGCGCTAGTCCCTTATTTGACGTCCAGGATGCTTGAACTTTGCCTTTGAGAGTTCGCGGAGGAACGGGTAAGCGTGAAGCATAACCTTCATGGTACAAAGGAACAAAGTCTGGATTTTGACCAAATCGTATATTGTTGGAATCATCTATTGATATGAGGGATGGATCTGGGGAAGGAACACGAATAGCCCCGCGATGAACACTTAGCGTATCATCGGTTTTATCGCCGGGTTTAAGAGAAGATTCAGCCTCAAGTTCGCGTTCGTTGAGCTGCTGCGAGAGTTTATCATCGTTTTGAAGAAATTTCGAAAGCGATGGCTGTACCATGGTGCTTCACAGAGGGTTGACAGAGGCTTGGAGGTCGGTGACGATGACGTGAAGACATGATGGAAGGCGAACGAAACGCCAGCCATAGGCGCCAACCGTGAATGAGGAAGGCGGCAATCAAGTCGACGAGTCACAGGCACGCGACACTGCCCCAGATCCACACACTCGCCCCTCCTTCAGGTAGTTTTCCCCAGACCCCACTGGTTCATGGAAAAGTATCCATCTTTGACGCGACCACTTCTCTAGTTTTCAAAAGACTCAAATATGTGTTAGAGTGATTTCAGAAGACGTTTTCTCACGATGACGTTGACTTACCCCGCGTGTAGTCGTTCACACAGATACCTCGGTCCAATCTGAAGCAGCCACTCCACAAGTAAGCTGGCGCATGTAGACCACTTCTTAAGAAGCACGAGTGCATCGGGTATAGAGAACGAGTGAGTATTGCCTGACTTGCATGTCTAATGATATCTAGGTACGCATTCTATCTGTAGTTCTCGCTCAACTCCACTAATCTCATAACCTCCGCCCACGCAGCTTCGTCTCTTTTCGTTGCACACAAATACTAGAGAAATATGATGTACGTCAAAATGAAGTTACCTCATAGTGGAGCAGGGCTATCCGGGCCTTTTCTAATCCATCAGTTCATGCGACCCATGCTTTGCACAAGGCAACCTCGATCGCGATTGACGTTAGTACACAGGCGCTTTTAGTGACCAACACTATCCTTGGGACCACGGAGAACCAACCCATTCCTTCCCCGATCGCTGTCTCGTCTCATTAACCCAATTGATGACAACTCCTCTGACACACCATCGCTGTGCATGGGTCGTCACGACAAAGTTAGAGGCGCTCTTTTGGGCGCGTCGCGCACATATAAGGTTTAGCACACCGATCAACGGCACGAGATGTCGAATGTCGGACAGGACCAGCCACGCTTGCAGACATGTGGCTCAAACAAACTTCGCATCTGCATGTCGACGGGCCAACGGCTCGCAGCCACAAGATGATGGCTTGTGAGCGTTGCTGCAGGTCTGGACGATAAGTTATCATGGGGGGAGATTTGCAGGGTGTACTACTTCTCGGATCAAGGCCTCCCACATAGTCTTCAAATCAGGTGCGACGTGCAGATCTCACCACCAAACTTGCGGTTCAGGGCATTTCTCCGTTTGCGAGCATGTGTCAATAATGCTTAACAGCTCACAACACACTATTGCTAGAATCAGTAGCGCTAGTCAGCCGTGTTCGAAGGCGGATTGCGGTATCTCCCAGCCCGTGAAACGGCGTCCAGCCGCTGCTCTAGTCCACAACAGCATCGTCTGCCACATAGCTTGATCATCACCAACGCTACTGCTTGTCACACAACTTATGCAAGCGAAACACTCACCCTGGCCTGTTAGTCACACGTCTGCATACGGGGACCTCGGAAGGCAAAGCTGGGATCCCCATTGTGTGTGACAGGTAAATGAGAACGACAACACCACGGCTGTCAGCAATAATCTATGAACTTTCTTTATGAACTTCGGGAAAAAGGTACACACCATTCTTGCGTCATGTGTGGATCCATGGTCGCGGCCAGTCGAAGCCCAGTAAGCTGGATCGAAAAAGGAAGTCAATGGTGGAGCGTTTCATAACGACTATCATGACTCGCAGCTATGGGCCGTATAGGGCTGGAACACACGGCAGCATGCGCTACACTCGACGTGATATTGGTGTGATGGATTGCTTCTCTTTGTAGCGCTCATACGCGGCATCCAATCACTAACGGTTCCCATGAAGGAAACGCAATTTTCCAGCAGAGTGGATCTACCGCCAGGGGGTCGGAAGGTCAAAGAGCAAGACGGTGTCTGCGGCAGATGACCTCAAACCCCCGACTGCAGAAGGGCATTCCTTTTCCAACCCCTAAATGGAAGACGAATTTCTCGCTTTCGCAAATCTTTAATTAGTAAGGCAGCTTTAGCCGTAGTACTGGGTAGTCACGAATAGGCCTCCCTTCCAACGCATCGCGTAAGCTACTCTCTACCCAAGTAGACAATCCCCGATGAACACCACAGTTCATCATGCATTACCGACGTTTCAGGCTTGCCACGAGGGGACGCAGCGTACGCACAGATCGACTGCAAATCTCCCGCTCAAGGCGTCCCGCGGGAGCGCGCGTAAGGGCAGCCTGTCGGCTAAAAAGGAATCAAGAACGTGACCTAAGCGCGCTGTATCACCAACAGGTTGGCTTGATGCTCAAACCCATGAACTATCGTGAACTCCTGTTTGAAGAATGGAAAAGAAAAGTAGTGAGACAAATGTGTATCTTGATGATTCGCTTGGGTAGGCTCGCCGACCAGTTGCTCGCCTACTCGACGTCGCAATTAGGTTTTAGGTCGCCGTTAAGGAAAGCTAAGACATATATAATCGAGACTATGACGGCGCGCCTTGGGCGTAACTGACAATATCCGGTACTGGTGACCTTTTTTGGCCCTCTCCACATGACGACGGCAGTACAAACACGTCGGAGATGGCGACGTTGGCGCCCAAGGAATACCCATGTTGAGGAAAAACCAAGGGAAAAAGACCCTAGTTCCTGGCCCATGTTCGACATAGATCTGCGTGGGGTACTGGTAATACCGGTAAGGATGTGAAAAGGGTATATAAGCGAAGACAATATAGGTAGGGTGGGGCGGGGACGGCATGAATGCGAACTATCGAACGGCCACATGGATAGTGGTAAGCGAGATTTTCTTTCCTAAAGATGCTATAAGCACCATGAGACGACTAGTCTCATCACCTTGTGACTGCTTGAAAAGTTTATGCTGTGGGACTTGGTGGCTAAGCTAAGACATTAATGAAGAAAATGAGTATCGTCGCGCGACTCGTGCTGGGACTACCATCCCGCTGAGAACAAGGACATTATTCCCAGCGCCTAGGTATTTAGACGGGTTATGGGATAGCGTGAGAACACTGCGTTCAAGTTGATCGAACAGAATGAGAGTGCATTGCCGTAAGACCTGATTATGCTTCCTCGCCAGAAAGTATTGAAAGAAGACTGACAACGCATATGTCGTGAGCTCCGTTGATGTCGAGAAACCATGCAGTGCGACAACAAAGAACAAATGCCGTGAAACGAGCATGACAACCAGAAAGCATTCACCCCTCAACTTCGCTCGAGTTGACCTAAAAGCAACATGACAGCTAACCAGCACAAATCAAAGCACCACAGGCTGTCAAGATGCCCATGTCTGTAGTGACACACCGCTTGCTCGTCAAGTGTAGTACAGATACCGGTAAACCTTCCTTCATCCACGCAGATCCTACTCCACCTGCCCGATTTTTACTTCTCGTTCGCCTATGCCGGCCCCCTACCTAGCATCGCTCTAACGCCTGTAATCGCAAAGTCAAGCGCTCCGTCTCGGGAGCCCTGCAGGCTGGGTGCGGCGAATTTGCTCTGGCCATGCACCTGACCACCGAAGCTCTGGTCGTCATACACAATCGAGTCGTTGGCAGCCACAATGTGCCTTTGGTACAGTTCCTGCCCTTGTTGTGCATCCTGTGGCCCAGTAGCAGGATGTCCACTGCCGACTCCGCTGAGCGTAAGGCGCTGCTCTGTGCTGCCTGATCCAAATGACTTCTTCAGTGCGGGGACGGACAGATAAGACGCTGTGCCATTCTGCCAGTTGTTCACGTCCGAGCCAAGGAATTTCTGGTTGCTGTAAGGCATCGAGCGTAGGCGAGTGTAATCAAATATCTTCCAGTCGTTTGGAAAGGCCAGATCACCTCGCTGCTGCACGTTTTTGCTTCGCTCCATGCTTGCGCCAATGGTGACATTGCCGCCTGATGGTGCATTGTAGGACGATTGAACCCAGAGAGGATAGCCGAAGCTTCTAACATAGTTCGAGGATGTTGTATGTGTGCCTATTGTCGACTGACGTACGATCTGGTCGTTGCCACTGTTGCTGAGAGTCCCGAAATTGGAGAAAGTAAGCTTCTGCGTCCACATCACCGTTTTCGGTCCTGTCGGTGTGTCGAAGACCGACCTGATGTCTACGCTACGGGTGACCTGTATAGAGTAGTCCAAAGAGATGCCTTCACTGCCGTTCAAATTTCCATGTGTTGCCGACCGCAGTGTGATAGTAGAAGTGGATTTGGAGGTAGCAATGGTGCCTGTAGTAGGGTTGCTACTGGAGTCAAGCCAAAGGAAAATTTTCCCGGTAACGACCCAATTCGATTCGATTGCTGTCGTGAAGTTCCCATTCCCGTTACTATCGTCATCGATGCCGACAACCTGAATTTCGAAGCTATGGGGTTGACCGTCGTTGAGCAATGGTATGAACGGAGTGATGTCTATCTCATCATCCCGCAGTTCGAATGCATCGATGCCTACAATCGGTCTCCAGAATCCTGGCACAATGCCTCCAGTAAAGATGACAGGAAAGGGCCAGGCAACTCCAGCCAAAGTTCCGTCGATTAAAAGGCGAAGCTCTCGGAAGGGTGAGTGGCCGTACAGTGTAGTGTCATTGCCGAATGCGCTGGTGTCGGACGAAAGTACGTTGCTCCACCAGAACTCCTCAGCAGCCTGACCACAAGCAGAGATTGTGAACACAGCCTTCTTAGCGTTTTGCGGGAGTGCAACACTGTTGACTGCTCTTACTTCCGGTACGACGAATGCACTTGACGCATCATCACCAGACTTCCGTGCTGAGATTGGAATAATTACATCGGCAGGCTCGATTGCATCGTTGGCGGTGAAGAAGGTCGCGGTCAGCGTAGTGTTCCAGGAACTCGTGTATGTGTCGTCGACAATGTTGCCGAGATCGAATATGATTTTCTGTGGCGTCTTGAATAGAGCAAGGTAGCTGGTCATGTCCTTGACGTAGCTCCATATGATACCGGTCTGCGTTGGCTCGGCGGTGGAAGTACGGAATATCTCGGTGTCATCAAGGAACATCAAACCGAGCCGGTCAAATTGTCGGCCAGCAGAGGTGACTGTAAAATTGAATGTGACTCTGTTGAAGCTGCAGTCTGGTGGGCTGTATTGACCCACGAAGGGTTGCCCGTACGAATAGGCAAACGTATGTACCATCAATGTTTGCTGGCATGCATCAGTTGGACTCAGGACCGGTGGCGCAACCTGTAGGCACTCTAGAAGAGATGATTCGTTCGTAGCACGGGTTCTCAACGATACGGTCTGGGGATGGGACTGCGCAAACGGGGATGTCGTAAGTAAAGCGGAAGTAGATTGAGATAGCGTCATTAGTATTAAGAGCAGTGCTACGAGACGTGACCGTCCGTGGTTGGGTGCTGCTCGTAAAGGTAATGCCAATTCTAATAATTCGCCATTGCGCCTTGCAGAAACTCCATCGCTCTTGTGCTTCCATTCACACATGCCGAACGCCATTTTAGCAACCGGCCAGTAGTGGTTTGCTGTGTATAACGCCGTTACTCCGTTATCAGAGGTATCTTGGGAAAAGTCCAGGTATCTTGGTACACCGATGAACGCCAAATAAGAAAGTCGATGTCGATATGTGATAGCCAGCTGATTTGGGTCAGTACGTCATGGATTAGTAACGGTGTAACATGACTCACATCATCAATTCAAAAGTGCAGCAGGTGCCTCATTCAGTATGCGGCAGAAGCTTGCGGGAAGTAGGTGTTGTGGACGAAGGCTTCGTGCAAGTAGTTCAGAGGCGGACAGTGGTATGCTTGCCGTTCCGATGTCTGCTACTTCCTTGTGGATCCCCGTCGTATGTGAATGATTGCAGTGTACTCCGGCGAGCTATTATTGGCCGCCTTTGTGGTTGTCCCAAAAGCGTTTAGTAGCGTTGCGGACTATTTCGTTGTCTCCGAATCGTGTGCGATAATAGTTCATAAGAGCGAACTCGTCTGGAGGCAGAATGTAGGATTGTGGTTGAGCGTTGAGTTTTGACCAGACCACGGCGAGACGCTTTTCGAGGAATTGAGCAAGTTGCTGGTCAACGCCTCCTTCGCTGTTTTGAGCAACGTGGACAGCCTGACCGAGAGAGAGGTAGCCGTGACCTGCTATATATTCCGTGTTACCACCCATGTTGCTGTCTAATGCAGAGTATATTGGTTGGTGATGAGGCTAAACGAGAGAGGAAGGAGCGATGGTTGATAGTAGTGTTGACAAGATAAGGAGCGTGGGAGTCGAAGGGTATGTCAAGAGAGTGGTGACGGGTAGTGAGACACGGTGCAGAACAGGTGAGGAAGTAGTGCGGACAGGTAGTCTATATACGAAGGCATATTAATAGGCAGCTTGAGAATGAGACGAACCCACGTGGAGAAACAGGTAGATCCTGAACAGCAACTCATGCAGCTGCGCAGGGTAGGAGCTTAGTCGAAGCCTCAAACAGTTGGCTCCGGGAGCGTGCCGTTTTGGGCGCTGTCAAGTTGTGAAGCGAAGGAATGGGTGTAACACCAAAGTACAGTATCATCCCGCCGAATAATATGAGAGCAAGGGCCCTTGTCCGCCAGGAAGTCACAAACGGCGCCGAGCTTTGCAAGGGCAGGGCGATCAACTCCAGAGTCCAGCCGAGCTAGCAGGGGCGGACAGACGACGCTGGCGCCGTTCGAAGAGGAGCCCTTGTCCGGTGCTTTGGAACGTCAGAGGGCATAGGAACGCTCGTGACCACGGGCCAATCAAGGGGGTAACGCGGCGGCAAAAGGACGATGTTAAGGCCAGGTAGATGAATAGTGGTCTCCATCACTCGTCAGCTCAGTACCCAAAGCTCAAAGTTTGAGACTGGTGCGGTTGCAGGGTTGTGGGAACGCCGAAAACTCTAAAGGATCAACTCGCAAACCTTCCCAGGCCCTCGTTGCCAGGCGCCGAGCCGTGCTGCAGGAATTTTGCCAACAAAGTTAGGGGAAATGGGAGGGCGAGCCAGTTCATGGCAGGAGAACGCTCACTAAAACACACAATGATACTGGACAGTCGTCGTTTGCGATGTCGTGATGCAGTTCGGCAGTGGGAGTGGCGCCGGGAATTACAGACGCGTCGCCAGGCATCAGGACGAGTCGCCGACTGCAGCACAGCGGAACCATGTGTGGAACCTTGTCAGATCGAATCAGGCTAATGTAAAACGTTGAAAGACTGTTAGAGGCCGGATGCGTCCGCACGATGCCAACGCCTTTGACCACGCACTCCACCATATAGACACAGGCAATTGTCGTACCCAAGGTTGATGTGCCCCACCACTTACCCAAAGTCATCCCATGCGTAGCGAGGCGGCCGGATAATGACATGCGGTCCAAAGGAGTGTGGATAGTGGGTTGTGAAACGGTCGTGTTGGATGGATTTCAGTAACGGAGGGCTCTCCTGTTCCACCACTGCGCTATCGGTACCAGCGAACAGGTTCGCATACAGAGAGAGCTGGACCCGCACGGTCGATAACAAAGCTACGCGTGGTGCCCCCGCAATTTAGAATTCAAGATGCAGAGTAAAATACGGCCTGTGAAATGCAATACGGCACACCATGGTCAATGCTGCATGTCGAGCGTGCAACAGGCTATCACCCAGTAACGCCACACCTCGGGCGTGCTTGACGGGCTTTTGGAATTGCAAATGACCGCAGCGCTTGCGAGACATCACAATGATGTGCCTAGCCACGCGAGGGCGAAGGAGTTGAGCGTGCATCGCTGCATGTGCTGCCCATGTTCCGCCCGCAAGGAGGCGTGCAGCTAGCCTGACTAGTCATGGGCTGCAACAGATGTTTGCAGGAAACACGCTTCGAGACTCCCCGAGGAAGCTCTTGGCCACGGTTGGGCTAATGCAAGCTGACGCTTCTGTCAGGCAACTCTGAGAAATGTGCTCGAGACGCTACCCCCGGTCTGCCCTGTCTTGGATCATGGCGGTCATGTCGCAGCTAGCCAGGAACGCGGTCGAAGAGAGCTATGAACCGCAACAAGACTTCCCTATGTAGAAACTGAAGGCGTTCAGGAAATGAGACAGTTCTGGCAAAGACAGGCGAAACACTGTTGAAGCCCCACTCGACCGTCTTCGCCTCAAGCCATCAGTGCGCCTTGACATATCACTCTGGCAGGATCCGTCATGCGACACGGCGATGACAATGATACGAAGCCTGAGGCAATGACTTTGCGGTCAGTGAGTGACTCAGTAAACTCTGGGTCCATTCTAGCGTTGGTCGATGACGGGACATGTTGTGCGTCTTCAAAGTCTTCGAAACGAAGACCATGGTGTATGGATGATGCCCGTTTGCAGTACGGCATCCTCCGCGCGAAAAGTACCCAACGACGCGTGCGACGCCTACGGATAAATCAGAGTCGGCAATCGCGTTAGGAAGTCTGCATGCGCGAGCGGTCGATGGTGCCACGGGCATTGGTGTGGCGACGGTGAATGTTCGGGAAGCGGAGTTACGTTGACCCGCGCGCGGACCCTGGGTAAATTGTAGGGCAATGGTGACGCTGCAATAACGTTAGGTAGCTTTGGCGAGGACTTTTGGAACCACAGCGCTGCGACAGTGAGCCTGAGTCGAACATTGCCCCACGTGAATACCGATTCACCTGCCGCTGTAATCTTCGCCCGCCCATGCCATGAAGCCACGAGTTGCTCGCCTCTGGACTGCCCAGCTGCCGTTTGCGCGTGCCGCCAGAAGCGCCGCATCACGACCATCAGCGCCCTTCCTTCGCAACTTCTTCACTTCTACCCAACCGGGCGCCACGTCCAGACTAGCAAATAACTCGCTCGAGCAAAGCGCCCTTCTCTTCTTCCGCTACCAACGCTCAGCTCTCGGCCGCCGCTTCCGGTCCCTGCGCTTCAAGAGTGACAAGCCTACTGTTCAGTCGCACAACCCCACGCCACACCTTGGCAGTCCTGAGCCTGCGCTCTCGGTATCACAGCGGCTCAAGAAGCTCTCTCGCGAATATGGGTGGACGGCGGTAGGAGTATACCTAGGACTATCGCTCATCGACTTTCCCCTCTGCTTCATAGCAGTACGCTGGCTGGGAACCGACAGGATAGGCCACTATGAAGAAGTGCTGAAGAATGCGCTTTGGAGTGTCGTCCGCCTGGTTGTTCCAGATGCGGGCAAAAAGCCAGCAGAAGCAGGCGTCGAGGAATCCACTGCCGAGGCCACTGCGAGAGAAGGTTATGTTGAGGCTGGAAAGAGTGTAGGACACAACGGTGGGTCAAACGCATGTATGGAAACCCTTTTACTCTGGGGCCGTCAACAACGCTGACAACAACCACAGCAATCTGGTCGCAGCTCGGCCTAGCCTACCTCGTGCACAAATCCCTCATCTTCTTCCGCGTACCACTTACCGCAGCCGTCCTTCCCAAGGTTGTGAAAACCCTGAGAAGTTGGGGCTACAACATTGGCAAGAGAAAGCCAAAAAGTCCACCCGTCTAGTTTCGAACAGACTTTCACACCCAACCGCTACACGGCCCGTCGAAACCACTCCTTGTACACTCATGCATTCACGACTCTGTAATAACATACACATGTAAGATACGAATGTAAGACGAGTAGCTCTGTTACATTCTATTACTAGCGCTCCAGCACATCTAACGTCCTCTGACGTGGCCATGATGTACATTCTTGGTCCTTGCCCTAGAATGTCTTCACTATAGACAGCAATTACCGATATACTAAAATCAGCTCTTCTCCACCTGTTTCCCCTTCTCGTACCAAGTCATGTCAACTTTCCAATCTTCAAGAGGTACTCGCGCCATCGTATTCCTACTTTCCATTGAAGAGCATTCAATTCCGACAGTTAAACCCGGCATCTTACAACGAGGATCGTTTCAGGCCTCCCCCACCATCGCTCGCCAAACCTTGTCGGTCTAGACGTGCCGCGGAGTGCTCTCCGCACACTGTCTTCAAACCTAGCGCAACGACCCCGCTGCTGGGAATGTTGTTAGGAGAACCTCAATTGTCGACAAACCCGCGATTACACAGGGAGCACCTTGTGCGAAGTAAAATACCAGCCGTGCAGATAGAAGCGGTAATATTATGCACAACATATAAGGCGTGCAGGGGAACATAACCTAATCTTCGACTGTACCGACCATATTGCCTTTGCCGGACATGTATCTTGGGGTTTGTGGTGTAAACATACTGAGCCCAAGCCATCGGCATCGGAAATACGCAAGCGCCCACCTGTTCTTCGTATTGTGAGCTGACCTGGAACACGGTATCGCGATCCCGCCAATCTTCGCCCCAGTTGTGGATTTTTGTCGCGACGCGCATGGTGTGCTCACCCGAGCTTTACCCAGACACCCAGTTCACCCTTTCACGCATCGGGCCTTTTCGTGTCGAAACTTTCCTCACGCTCGGGATTCTTCCTACACTGTGAATCTCCATGCTTACCCAATTCGTACCCTGAAGCCGTTCACACCGATGTATATGTTAGCCTCGGAGGCATATTTTCGAAACCTTGCACACTTCTAATCGATAAAGTATGTGCTGCCAGAGCAGTTGATTGGTATCTCCACACTCCGTCTCCGTCACCCTCGTGCCGTCGGCTTCGGCGCTTGCCGATAGATTACTGTATACCCTACTCGTACTTCTCCTGGAGCCCAACCTGTCGGATCCGAGCTGAAAGGCTTCCGAGATGGCCAGAACATGTATCCTGGTACAATTACCACAAAAGCGCCAGTTCTCGCCACATCCACTTGGAAATCCTTGATCGTGATGTGATAGTAACACAGACACTGCGGTAACTTGTTTCCGATGAAACGCGTTACAAGCATTCATGGTTTTTTTTTTCTTGACAACGATGCCAGCTTCGCTTCGTGCCGTGGACAAGGCATCAGCCGCAAACCTGCAATTGTGACGAACTGCCGAAGTCGGGTGCCAGGGAAATGATATGTCTCAACGGGACAACAGCATTGACGGGAGCTAAAAGTTTATAGCTTTAGCGAAGACGTCACATCACGATATACGCGGAGAGTCCAAAAAAGGTAAGCAATGCCTCACTTCTCGAGGATCGCATCTAGACCTCCATATGCGGATTGAGACAATGCTATTGACTATTCAAAAGATTGGTAATATGCTGAAATGAGTTCGGTTATATCGGATCAATACGGGAAGCTAAGGTGATGTGAGTTACGGTTGTATGTCCCAGGAAATCCTTTCGAGGAATGAAGAACGCAATATGTGTGGAGTGGCTGTGCCTGCAATTCCCCCCCTACGGTCATCCACAACCAGAACCAAGGCTCCCCTATCAGTACAACGGCAGCGGATAAGCTGTATACGTGCTATCGTGTCATCAGACTTGAACAATGATGGACATGTGTGGTAATCGGTCACCGGATCTACCAGTAGCCGTGCCGTCCTAGGAAAATAACATTGCAGAAACTGCCAGATAATTTAAAAGCGATTCCTCACGATATCATACCAAAAAAGCAAAGAGCTCGTACACATGGAATGTATGAACGCAATGAGACCCGAGTAGCCACAAAAGAAAAGGCAGCCAGGTCAATTAAACGCTCACGTGGTCTTTCTTGGAACATTCTTAGAGGGCTTATATCGAAGTTGAGACTGTTCGAATAAGCGTGACAAATTGGTTCCTGGTTCTATAGGAGATAGAGATGCTGATTGTTGTACAGGCGAGGTTATTGCGCGTAGTTCGTTTCGAACATAGAAAACGACGTAAGCACATAGTCGTAGGCCGTAAAACATGCGCATGTCATCTGAGGAGTTACAGATGCATACATGTCAGTGCAATGCGACGCGCTGGCGAGGATAGTACGTATACAGTTTGTATAGCGAGAGAGCTGTACAGAAGAGAAGAAACTTCGCGCGCTGCGAATTTCGCCCAAACCACGCTTGCACGTGTCCACGCTAGACTCAATGGCTCATCCCTGCAAATGCCCCTAACCCCTTTGATCCACTACAACCACCAGCAAGCCTCACCTAGACTTCCATCCTCACCCGCACTATGCCAACCCACACTATGACTGCCAATCTTGTATTGCACATGCTACAATGAAATTTGCCGACCCTGAATCACCATTACACACAGGCATACCATGCCCCGCCTCCCGTTTCGCATTTTCCGCCTACCTACTACCCGAGCTGCGCGTCGAAGACGCATGTACACCATGTTCTTCATCGTCTTCGTAGTGGTAGCCTTCATCTTGCCTTTTTACATCATCTACAAACCGCCAAATGTCCTCATCCGGTATTTCCAGCGCAGGTGGCCTGACGTACTATGGCACGTGCCCCTACCCAGTCGATCAACGACAGCAAAAGGAGGAGAGAAAGTCATTGCGTTGACCATTGACGATGCGCCGTCGGAGTATACGCGCGAGATTATGAAAGTCCTAGAGGAATATGAGGCGCACGCGACGTTTTTTGTCATTGGCGGGCAGGTGCGTGGAAGAGAAGATGCACTCCAGAGTCTTGTAAAAAGTGGCATGGAATTGGGAAACCACGCCATGCACGATGAGCCGTCTCGGTCTCTGAGCCCTGAAACCCTTTTCGCAGAGGTCACGCAGGTAGAAGGCTATATCAACGGCACGTACGATGCCGTGGGGAAACCGCATCCGCCGCGGTACTTTAGACCTGGGTCTGGGTTCTTTAGCACGAGGATGAGGGCGCAGATTAAAGAGATGGAGTATCAGATGGTGCTGGGTAGTGTGTATCCTCATGATCCGCAGATTGCTTATCCAAGTGTTAATGCGAGGCATATACTTAGTATGGTGCGTCCAGGCAGCATCATTATTTGTCATGATCGGAGGGAGCGGACGGCGCCCATGTTGAGGAAGGTCTTGCCGGAGTTGAAGAGGAGGGGATATAAAATTACGACTGTGTCGGGGCTGCTTGAGGCGGCGGGGAGGATAGGGTGATACAAGGCTAGGCAACGAAGTTCGCACTACCGGAAAACGCAGTACTGAAAGATGAGTAATCAGGGAGCACACCACCGTATCGAGACAGAGACCAGACTTCAGGAAGGTATGCTTTGTGGTATCATGGATGCATATAAAGCTCGTCTCATACAAGGGCTTCCTACCGATGCCATACATACCTTACGCTGAATCCACAGCGCGCGATGCCACAAGATCACTTCCTGATGCCACGACCAGAAGTAGCTTACGAACACGTAATGATAGATGTTCATAATACAGGAGTACACCTGAGGTCTACAATATTGAGACAGCAAGCCTTGGGGTCGCAATCACCTGTAGTATTACAGGCAGCAAAGCGATGCAATCAATACCAGATTCCCAATAAATGTAAACTGTACACAAACCACTTACTTCATGTTCGTATTCGTGTATTGGCTGCGGGTTCTGCGTTCAGATGTCGTCTTTTCTAGCTAGAAATAGAGCCAGTGATTCCTTGGTACTCATTGAGTAAATCGTATCCAAATGTTGGCCCAAGAGTTCATCAATAGCCATCGTTCCAAGCATCAAGAGTGTATAGCAGCGGCTTATAAAATAGAGGTTATCCAGACATGCACCTGCAAAACAGCAAACACGGTGTTTACGAAAGACAAATACACTGACACTGTTATACCGAAATACTTGACAGGAATGCTACCCTGTTTTCGCATTAACACTTACTATATTGCAACAAGACTCAAGCGAAGTTCTTCTTCATCGCTGGTAAGCAGTAATGAAAAATATGAGAAGGACGTAGTTTGTCTTCAACGGCTTTGAACTATGTGAGTGGCTGTCACACAATTTGCAGCAAGCCGTAAACAGAAAACCAACCACCTCGGTTGCGTAACACCCATGGTAATATTACGTAGTAAAGGATTGTAATAAATACATATAGCTATAGCTCTTAGCGAAGGCCACAAACATTGTACAAGAGTAATTGTTGCGAGGAGAGGGAACACCGAGTGGTGGTTTGAGTTTTTTAGGCAACTGCCCAAGCACATCTAGATACATCGTTCTGGTAAGCATGACTGCAAACAGAATAGACAAGACAACATCACAGTCATATCATGGAAAGATAGTAGTGTGAATTATTTACTTCGTATTCATTGAGGTATATTACATCATAATGGAAGCAAGCCCTTTATCAAGCTTCTTGCTAGCTCTTGTCATCTGCATCATTCATTGATTAAGCAATCAATCTAAACCGCCATAGATGAGAATCCCTAAACTCCTCTGCCGTTATGGGGCGAGACGCTTAGTCGAAGGGGTTGGTGCGGGTTCCCCAGTAGGTGAGGAACAAGCTGAGACCGACGGTCTCAAGGACGCGGGCAAGAGCGCCGACGGCGATGGTGTCCATGGGGCGCTTCTCGGTGACGACCTGGGAGACGATCTGTTTAGGGTTATGTTAGTGTATGTTTGGTAAGTTTGGTTGACATGTAGGATGACGTACTGAGGGAGCGGCGGAAGCGAAGAAGATCAGGGAACCGAGGTAAGCAGCACCCTTGTAGGTGAGAGTTCCGGTAGCGTTGATCAGAGCACCAACACCGTAGGCCTGGATACCAGAGCCGAGGATGGAGCTACCCCACGATGCGGCAGCGGTAGCGGCCTCCTTGGTGTGGAAGTACTCCTCCTTGGAGTTAGCCTGCTGCGCACGGCGGTAGGCGTCACCGAAGACGGGTCCGAGGACGGCGAGGGAGACAGCGTGGTTGAAGGCCGTGCCGAGAGCGATGGCAGAGGGCTTGACGGGAGGAAGGTCTGAGATGAACTATTAGTAAGACTCTTATATTCTGATGGCAAAGCTGCCGAATACTGCGCAATTGCTTGTGCGAGTGCGGGCAAGAGATTGAAGACAGATAGAGGGTATATTTACAGTGTAGAGAAGCCATTGTGATGGTAATGTGTGGTTGGAGATGAGGTTATGGAGTGGGAGAGAGTAAAGTAGAGTTTGCTTGTGGTGATGGTTTGCAGGAGACAAGGAATGCGAGCTCTTTTGTACTCGTAGCCGCAGCGTTGGCCTGCACCTGACATTCGTATGACGTAGATGCCAAGACCCCACCCATCGTGGGCAATCGAGCCAGAACCTGGCTTCAGCCGTCCCAATTGACGCAAGACTATCCACTTGCCCTGGAGCGGGTCTGGACTGTACGCCATAGTAACTTTAGCATGCCCACAATACGGTCAAAGACTGGCTTTTCGTCTTTCGACGTGCTTCCTTCGCGCATCTTTCATTCAGGTACGTCACTTTTGAGGTGGAGGGAGCAGGGAGCTTGGGCCCACTATCCCGTCTGCCAGTAATTTGCGGCTACAGGCTATTCGCTCCCAAGGATTTAGCGCTCGCATCCCCCTCGGTTGCCTCGACAGGTACACCTTGCCTTTGCGTCGGGGAGGAGATGATGTTCCCTCTATCCTTGTCGCGCCGCTGCCAATGCGCTTTCGGTGGTGTTTTGCAGCACAGTGAGCGCATATCTTTGCTTTTGAACCAATTGCCCACTCTACGCGCTCAACGGAGCTATCTCCTAGCGGCATGATGATACCAAAGAGGGCCTTTGGGCTCGTCATGTGCCTGCTCCTGGCAACAAGCCTCTTACTTTTCTCTCGAACTGTTGGACATTCGCTCGCTGAGTACTTCTTTGGGCCCTACGGACCGGTTATTCCATACACCACACACATCGTGTTGTTCCAATTCAAAGATGGCACAAGCAAATTCGCTGTCAAAGAGGTTAGATGCTCGCAAGACTAACGCCGATGAGCGACGCTGAGACCACTTCTTAGGTGATTGCGCAATTTTTCGGTTTGAAGAAAGCATGCATACATCCAACTATGCTGAGGCCATACATTGTGTCAATTTCGGGTGGGAAGGATATCTCGACTGAGAATCTACAGGTATTCAGCACCATAAAGTATGGACATTGTTAACATTCTGACCTCGTTCACCAGAATGGCATCAGCCATGCTTTCGTTTTGCAATTCCATTCCATAGAAGATCGTGACTACTACGTTAATGATGATCCGGTCCACAAAGCCTTCAAAGAGGCGGCAAGTACAGCGCTAGAAAAGGCAATTGTGGTCGATTATCAGAATGGGGTGTTCACGAGTGTGTGATAACATCATCAGTAGGCCAAGAATCGGTCTCCTTTGCATTGGGAAGTGATAGCGGGCAGCAACGAGTTTCGACGTGCTAGGGTCTTGGACGAGACCTTTTGACGTTGTTATCACCCGGTGCATATGGAAAGTACTGGAAACCGAGGAAACAAAAGACAAATGCATAGTCAAAGCTCATATCAAGATATCGAATTCTCCAGATTGAAGTACAGTCCAATGAACCTAATTCACCGTCCAGACTTGTTCCTGTTACCAGATCCAGTCCCTGATGCTGGAGCACGCCTTGGAAACAAACACCACCCGAGGTCCATGTCCAGAAATGCAGCCAGCATTCTGAGTAAGCTCAATCCTTGGATGTCTCATTGCCTAGTCACTCTCGTCTTCGTCCTCATCCTCATCCTCCCCCCTCTTCTTTTTACACTCCTTCCTCTCCTGACTTGTTGCATGATCATGGTAGTTACACAACTCGGGCGAACCAACCAGATCACGTCCACCATGTGTATACTCCGTGTATCGAGTCAAGACTTTTGTCAAGAATCTGTGTGGTAGCTCTTGGACATCATCGAGCGACCAGCAATCGGCCCCACTCCAGTAGCAAAACGTATCGACCAAGAAGTGACAGAGCGGGTCATTCTCCCCCAAGTTGGCGAAAGCATAGCCAATGTACGCAAAACTGGGGAGTTCGGATTTGTCGGTGATGTTTTGAAAGAGAGTATTCAAGCAAAGCCGCTTCAACCTGGATATATCGTATTTGTCGCAGAAGACGTAGAGACAGACAAGTACTTTACACTGAAAATACTCATTGTCGTCGTCACAGTATAGCGCAAGTAGTTCGGGCGAGTCGACTTCTGTGGGAAGTCTGTCGAAGTAGAGCCAATGCACGAATAGCTCAAAGATATTCCATGCGGTATCGGAGAGAGTGACGAGATTTTCGTCGGCTTCTTTGAAAGACCCGGTTAGGGCAGCTCGGAAGAAGGGCGAATGGTAGACCAGTAGGTCGAGATGCACAGTGAAGCACCTTTCCTTGCTGCCGACGATGATCTTAGCGAAACTGGTGTCATAGGTACTGTGTAAGGTTAGTACGATGATTGAAACGAGTTTACAACGACTTACGATATACGTGGTCGTGTCTGTTCTCGCTGTTGCTGGCTGCTGGGCGTCATATTGGCTACCAAAAGGATTGTGGGAAGTGGATGGAGGAAGGAGGTAAACGAGCTCACAAAGGTTGTCTTTTATATGCTACTGGTCTGCGTTATCTTGAAGTTGCCGCCGTGCTCACATGAGTGTTTTGCCAGGTGAGAGAGTACTTCACCACTGCGTACTACACTTCGACATCCGGGTGACCTCGACAACTCAAGCGCATAGATGAGCAAACACCCAACTCAGGTGAGATGAACGGAGTGATATTCCGAGCAGACCCATGAATGACTTCTCAATTTTACAAGAAATACGGTACATATCATATAGTATGGTTAAAAGTCAACCCTTCGCCTCGTGTTGGTGCAGTATTGGACATGGGTATGTTGTACATTTACACATTTACTACAGAGGCCTCATAATAGCCGATTCCTTATCTCCTGGCTGCATTTTACTCCTTGACCAAGTAATCTTCCTTCTTGTTCTCCTCTGCTGGCTTCACTCTTGGCTTCGCTCTTGGCTTTGCTCTTGACTTCACGTTCGTTGTCTTTCCTACTCGTACGATCTTGTTCGGGAACTTGCCACTATCAACCTCCTCAAAGTAATGCATGTCCCTCTTCATCTGAGGCTCGGGATATACCTTCCTAGGCGCGGGTAATATCCTGTCATCCATACCCTTGGCATGTTGTTTCCGTAGTATCTGTACCATTTTCCGCAAGCCGTTGACACCATCCTTGCGGAACTGTGTGACCTTCTTAACGTGTGTTGCGATTCCTGGGCTCAAGCCTAACTTTGCCGGTCTTCGTGCTAGTGTCTTTGCGGTCATGGCGAAGCGCATGTCTTTTGGACCGTCTACGAGTTCGAGGATGGCGGATTCGGCCTGGTCTTCTTTCATGGGCTCAATGCGGAGGACTCGAGTATAGCCGCCGGGTCTCGCTTCGTAGCGCTTCCTTATGGGGCCAAATAGCTTGGGTACCATTTCATTTGGTTCCTGACATTGTCAGTTTGCGCTCTTCGTAGATGTTCTTAGGCGTGTCATACGAAGAATATTTGAGTCGCTCTCTGCCGTGTCGCCTCCGTATTCTTCTTTCCAAGAGTAATCAGCTTCTCCGCTAACCGCTGGGCTTCCTTCGCCTTGTGCCATGTTGTCGCTATCGTTTCGTGCTTGAAGAGCGATGTGACGAGGTTTCGCAGGAGCGCTTGGCGATGCGACGACGACCGACTAAGGTGGCGATATTTCATGTGACCGCCTGCCATGACGGGCAATTGGTTCTATATAGGCCGGGAAGGGTGTGGAGGGCGTCCTGGTGATGCTGCGACACCTCAGCCTCTTGCACTCCGCGATACCATGGCCCGCGAAAAGTTCGGGCATCGGCGGTCGTTTCCCCGACCCCACATCCCTGCACGGCTTACACAAGCAGCAAGCACTTTAGCACTAATCCGATCCGTGACCCAAGCAACGCGACGGGACGCGTTTCTTCTCTTTACGCGTTATAAGTGTGCCTGCACCCACCCACCCCTCACTCCTGCACACTCTTCTCATACACCCATTCTTCACGATACCCTGACCCAGATACCCCTACTACTTTTCTAATTCAACATGTTCGTTCTCAAGCGTGGTATGTACTGCCTGTCCTTCACCGCTGCAAATCTTCACCGCTAATAGTTGACTTCAGATGGACGCAAGGAACGCGTGCAGTTTGACAAGATCACAGCACGAGTGTCGAGGCTATGTTATGGCCTCGACCCAGACCATGTTGACCCGGCCGCCATCACAATGAAGGTCATTTCTGGTGTCTACCAGGGTGTCAACACCGTCCAGCTCGACGACTTGGTACGCTCTTGAACGTGACTATTCCTACTCCAACGTCTAACAGACGACAGGCCGCTGAGACAGCCGCCTACATGACCACCACACATCCCGACTACGCCATCCTCGCTGCGCGTATCGCCGTGTCAAATCTTCACAAGCAGACAAAGAAGCAATTTTCTCTTGTTGTAGATGATCTGTACAACTATGTCAACCCCAAGAACGGCAAGAGCCAACCCATGATCTCCGATCACATCTACAAGGTCATAATGGATCACGCCGACGAGCTCAACTCGGCTATCGTGTACGACCGCGACTTCAACTACCAGTTCTTCGGTTTCAAGACGCTCGAGCGTTCATATCTCCTCCGCATAAATGGCAAGGTTGCCGAGCGCCCACAACACATGCTCATGCGTGTTGCTGTTGGCATTCACGGCGAGGACATCGAGAAGGCCATCGAAACCTACGACTACATGTCGCAAAAGTACTTTACACACGCCTCACCCACGCTGTTCAACGCGGGCACACCCTCACCACAAATGTCGTCATGCTTCCTCATCGACATGAAGGAGGACAGCATCGACGGTATCTACGACACACTCAAGACCTGTGCATTAATTTCCAAGACCGCTGGCGGTATTGGTCTTAACGTGCACCGCATTCGTGCTACTGGCTCATACATCGGTGGCACCAACGGAACATCCAACGGTCTCATTCCTATGCTCCGTGTATACAACAACACTGCTCGCTATGTCGACCAAGGTGGCAACAAGCGTCCAGGTGCCTTTGCTATCTACCTTGAGCCATGGCACGCTGACGTCTTTGGCTTCCTCGACCTACGCAAGAACCACGGCAAAGAGGAAGTCCGCGCTCGCGATCTCTTCTACGCTCTGTGGATTCCTGACCTCTTCATGAAGCGTGTCCAAGACAATGGCAACTGGACACTCATGTGCCCCAATGAGTGCCCCGGTCTCGCCGATGTCTACGGTGACGAGTTCGAAGCTCTGTACGAGAGCTACGAGAAGCAGAACAAGGGTCGCGAGACTGTCCGTGCCCAGAAGCTTTGGTATGCCATCCTCGAGGCTCAAACCGAGACTGGTAACCCCTTCATGCTCTACAAGGACGCTTGCAACCGCAAGAGCAACCAGAAGAACCTTGGTACCATCCGCAGCTCTAACCTGTGCACTGAGATTGTCGAGTACACCGCTCCCGATGAGGTCGCCGTTTGCAACTTGGCTTCTCTTGCCCTGCCTTCTTTCGTTGACTACAAGCGTGGCGAGTTTGACTTCAAGAAGCTCCATGAAGTCACACAGGTCGTCACCCGCAACCTGAACAAGATCATTGAGGTCAACCACTACCCTGTTGAAGAGGCACGCCGCAGCAACTTCCGCCACCGACCCATTGGTATGGGTGTTCAGGGTCTTGCTGATGCCTTCCTTGCGCTCCGCCTTCCTTTCGAGTCAAACGAAGCAAAGAAGCTCAACATCCAGATCTTTGAGACCATCTACCACGCTGCTCTCACTTCCTCATGCGACATCGCAAAGGAACTTGGTCCCTACAAGACCTACGAGGGATCTCCCGTATCTCAGGGTATCCTCCAATACGATATGTGGGATGTCACACCTACTGACCTTTGGGACTGGGCGTCTCTGAAGGAGAAGATTGCTGAGCACGGTGTTCGCAACTCATTGCTCATCGCGCCCATGCCTACTGCCTCCACCTCACAAATTCTGGGCAATAACGAGTGCTTCGAGCCATACACCTCCAACATCTACTCTCGCCGTGTCCTCGCTGGTGAGTTCCAGGTCGTAAACCCATGGTTGCTCAAGGACCTGGTCGACATGGGTCTGTGGTCTGAGAACATGAAGAACCGCATCATCGCCGACGGCGGTTCAATCGCCAGAATTCCCAACATCCCTGAGGAGACAAAGACCCTCTACAAGACCGTGTGGGAGATCTCACAGCGAAGGATCATTGAGATGGCTGCCGATCGTGGTGCTTTCATTGACCAGTCCCAGTCACTCAACATCCACATGAAGGAGCCTACCATGGGCAAGATCACCTCTATGCACTTTGCTGGCTGGAAGGCTGGTCTCAAGACTGGCATGTACTATCTCCGTACTATGGCTGCCTCGGCTCCTATTCAATTCACTGTCGACCAGGAGGCCCTCAAGGTTGCAGACACCAACATCGCCAAAGCCCTACCCAAGGTACGAAAGCAACCGGGATTCCAGCCTGAGGCTATTCGACACTCACCTGTTACCGCTTCGCAAACCCCGTCATCAGCGCCCCGCCCAATGTACGCCATCAAGCCCACCAACGGCGAGACTAACGGCGAGACTGAGCAAAACGGTGTTTCTACACCAATTGCTATCCCACCAGTAACTTCAGAGAACCGCAACGCTCTCGCAAGCAAGCCGTTCAAGGCTGATGTGGAGGAGGGCGACAGCCCGAAGATGGTTGCTGCCGATGCTGTCTCCAAGCCAGATGAGGAGGTGACCAAGAAGGACAAGCAGGAAGAGGACTCAAAGGATGACAGCGAGGCACGAGATGGCGATATCTACGCCGATGCCGTCCTTGCTTGCTCGATAGAAAACCCCGAGTCTTGCGTCATGTGCAGTGGTTAGGTACAGCGATTTACATGTCTTAAGTGGGTCGTAGAAAGAGCAGCGCTCTTACGGGATTATTATGGCTTGCCCGAGCGTGGGTTTTTGCCACGGGGTCTTTATGAATGCGAAATGGCGTTGGTGGTCTCCACGGGTAGGAAGCTTGAATTAACGCAAGGAGGCATGAGTTTATGAGTTTGGACATGTTTATCGTCAAGCAATATGTAGCGAACATGTTTCTTCGTATGCACACCTGAATCTTCCTGTACGTCTGTGATGTCCTCAGCAACTTTCCTACGCTGCAACTCTAGCGTGATTTGTTCCGAAAGCCGCGGCTCAATTCCGACCGAAAGCTACATCTTCCCCACATTGCGCCCTACAACTATCACACGCCCTGGGAAGTACATACTGCTCCGCCTACTTTACCAACACTCACTGCTTTAAATCCAGTGAAGCTTCCCCGTACGTATTCCTCATAAAGCGAGCTCTCTAGACAAGAAGCTAACATACCATCGCTCCACAGCTCACCCAAGCTCCGACTACCGCAGCCCCACACGCCCTCCTCTTGCCTACTAGCTACAACATATATGCTCGCCCTCCGCTCCCTCCGTCCATTTACAACCCCATTACGAATACCATTAAACTCCGTCTCGAAGTTCCAACCACGCACAATGGCATCGTCTACCAGTGCTCCATTGCAAGAATGGCTCGTCATTGTACCTGACCATGCGGGTGCGCTGCAGAAGCGTCTGGGGAGCAGGCCAAAACATCTCGAGGGGTTGCAAGCTGATAGGGATGACATGTGGTTGTGGGGTGGTACGTTTCTTCTCCATCCATTGTTTCGTCCATTCCTCTTCGAAGCTAATATTGTATCTGTCGCAGGAGCCATGCTCGAAGAACCCATCAAAGAAGGCGACACAAACCCTCCTAAGATGAAAGGCTCAGCGTGCCTAATTGGTGCCAAGACGAGAGAGGAGGTTGTGGAGAGGTTGAAGCAGGACGTTTATGTCAAGGACGGTGTGTGGAACTTGGAGGAAGTGCAGATTATTCCGTTCAAGAGTGCGATTAGGAAGGCTTTGTAAATGTCATAGCACCCTTTCTCTTCCATCCTCCATGGCCCTAGTAGCAATATGCGATATGTCTTGGATAGGACTAAAAGCTAGAAGACTACATACATCAAGCGCATGTACCAACAGTGAACGGCTTCATACTGAGTGTTTGCAGGCTTCCACACAACTCACTTGGACTATCTCCGTACTTCCTCTTGTATGGGTCAACTGCAGGATGCGATATTCACTCTTTCCCTATATAACGCATCATCTTTACTGTTTTGCCGACTATACTCATCTCGAGCTACCCTAGTACAACATTTCCAGTCCAACTTCCTCCAAGTCAGTATTGTGTATGTCCCAGAAATTTCTTCAACTGACAATCTCCATAGCAAGCTCGTCCAAGGCCCAATAGCGACCATCACTATCAAGCCATCCGGCGCCGTCTACCGCATCCACAAGGGCCTCGTCTGCTTCTACTCAGCCTACATCGAGCGCGCACTAGATATCCAGGGTGCTGACGAGTCAACTATCGATGAAGACGTCAGTGAATCCACCATGAAACTCTTCGTCGACTGGCTTTAGGTAGGCAAGCTAGGTGTGGATAGTCCCACTGTCCAAGCCATGCTGGATTGCCGCGGTCTTCGGGTACGATTGTATGGCGCCCTCGTTCCACGCAGATATCCACAACGTCACAATTGATCATCTGGTTAACAAGAAGATGGTGCCTAGCTCTTGGTGCGTCAAGTTCGTCTTCTAGAGTTCATCCAAGGATGACGTGTTGAGAGAGCTGTTCGTTGAGCTGGAGTGTAGCTATGGGACTGGGGTGCTTGATGCCTTCAAAGTTCCGGCAGAGTTTGTGAATATGGTGGAGGGTAAGATAGAGGAGTGGGAATTTGAGGAGATTAGAGAGTTTGAGGCTTGTGAATGGCATATTCGCCGTTCGAAGGAGGAGAGATTGGGGGTGTGATAGGATGGCGAGAGATCGGGCTTGAGTGATTGGACTCGAGGCATTATAGTCGGTTGAGATGTCTCGCTGCTTGTTAACATACGATGTCGTGGTCTGTCACAAGAATTGGTTGTGGGAAGTTCATCGTTAAGGTACGAATAGGTTGTAAGGTCTTACTTCACTTCATGTGGCTCATGTATCGATGTTTCTCTTTGGCCAACGCAATACGTTTCTGGTACTATTTCATCGGTGAGTGGCGGGGGTACTATGACAAGATTGCTGAATTGGTTGGGCTTGTGTGTTCTACTCTCAAATTCACTTTTGAGCTAGCTACCTATATAGTTCTTCTCGTGGTAGAACCTTTCCTCACCTTTACACCACCACAAGTACGCAGATTCATTTCAACCCGTGGACATGGAGAATAACACACAACTATCTCAGGTCACGCCTGTGCTCGGGTACGTATTCATTCGCTAAGATGGATTTATCGCAGTTACTGACGGAATGAAAAGTGTAGCTACCAGGGGCGAAGTCGTTACGATCCTCATCGGTCCCAAGAAGAAACGTTATATAATCCACAAAGACATCATCTGCCACCACTCGGAGTACTTTCGAACCGCATATAACGGGCGCTGGAAAGAGTCGGATGAGGGTGTCAGCCTCGAGGACGTCGAAGTCGAAGTGTTCAACGTCTTCGTGCACTGGTTGTACACGCAGCAACTTCCAGAAGACAAAGACTTCCGCGATATCGCCAATATCAACAACAAAGGACAGATCGACAACGAAGATCATGAATGTGACACTGTGCTGCTTAAGGCGTTCGTCTTTGGAAATCGATTCCTCGTCGCGGATTTCGAGCGCATTACTCACAACCGTCTGGCCGACTGGCTGACAGATTACATTTTCGGCGTACCGTACGAGCTTGTCATCTTGGCCTATGAGGTTTTACCAAGCGACAGCCGAATCTTAGGCGCAATGGTCGAGATGCAATGCCTGAATTGGTCACCGCGCGAGGACGGGAATGAAAAAAAGCAGATACGCGTTAACCTTCCGAAAGACTTCCTCATTCAAGTAATGATCAGGCAATCGGAGCTTCGAGACAAGATCAGCCGAATGTACAGACATGTAGAAAGAACGGATTTCTACATGCAGGAAAAGATTGAGGGGCTGGGCAAATAATGCATCCTCCCGACGTGCAAGACATGCAAGACGTGCAAGACCCATTCAGGCTATCTGGAGCTGCGCGAGTTACTTTCTTCGTAGCTTGATCTCGTCAAAGGCTCATAGAAGACTTGTACAAGTCAGGAGCGAGCATGTAGTTTGAATACCATATCCACGCCTCTCACAACATTGGCTTGAATTGTAAAGTAGAATCTCAAGACAAGAAAGTGACACTTGGTATAGAAGACACAGCACTCACCATTGCAAGAAAGAAGCTCCATTCGATACTAGGGTATAAGATGAAGAAGCAAAATACCGTATGCCTGTCCCGCCCGCCCAACCCCGTACTAACGCCTCCATCGAAGTCTCCAGTAATCCCCTTCCCGTGCTATTAATCCGAATATCGTGACACAGCCCAACCCACAACGCCTATGTTGGTATCTCGGTTTCGTAACTTCAGCATTCGTGCGCCTTGTCCAATGGGACTCACTCAGGTTTGAGCGTTCGGCGCCGGCTTATCTTCATGCTCCTCAACAATGGGGCTCGCTGGCGCCTCATCCTCGTCACTCGCTTCCCTCGCATCTTTCCACTCTGAGCTCTTCCGGCTGATCCTGACAGGGCCCATGGGGTCGCGTGGGCTTGCGAGTGGGCTGGTCGGGGTGGCTCGCATGCTGCTGATACTATCAGTGCGGCCGTGGCCAAGGAGCCCGCTGCGAACACTGAGACCGTCCGCTTGTTTGGTCGCGTAGTAGCTGTTGCGCTCGCTGGGCAGTACCGGCGCGGTAACACCAGATGCTGAGTAGACACTCGCACGTTCGGCATTTACGAAAGCACCGACGTTGCTTGGCCTGCTGGAGGGCGAGTATATGGTGTCTGGGTTGGCTGAGAGTACGCTGAGCGGCAGCGACTCGCGACTGCCTCCGTAATGCGATGAAGGGGCTAATGCTCGCATCGAGGCATTGGTATCCACGGAGTTGCGACGGCGGCGTTTCGAGGATGAGGCGAGTGTGAGGATGGACGCGTTGTCGGTAAGGATGTTGTTCGCGGTCGCGCCTTGGTATGAATTGGGCTGTTGCTGCTGGGGCGCCAGATGCGGCGGTATAGCTGAAGGCGGAGGGGATGCGGGGAATTGGTGCGAAAAGTGGACGGGCGTGGTACTTGAGCCTGTCGCATTGTTTTGGTTCTGCGCCTGGCCAAGGTTAAGGATATTCGAGGGCGCGGTTGATTGTATCGTCGTCAGGGTTGTGGTGAGGGAGTGCTCGGAGCCATTGGGCGACGAGAAAGTGCTGCCACCGTTGACGAAGTTGCTGCCGCCTGTCTCTGCCTTTGACCTTGACGAGTGTACTGTCTCGGGGACAGTCGCTACTGTAGGTGCCGTAGACTTGTTGCTTTTCTCTACTCCCTGGCGCTGTCCCGCTGCTGGTTCCTCTATGGACGTATAGCTGTCATGCGATCGCTGCGTTGCGGGTGTTGATGCGGAGGAGTTGTCGGCTGGCGCTACATTGGTGTTGATGTAGCCAGACTCGGGATAGGGGTTGTTCTTCGCGGCGCCTTTCTTGGTCGTGTTGCCCTTTTTGCCTAGAGAGTCGGAGGACGAGGGCTTGAGGTTCGCGAGACGCTTCATCCAACCCGCGAAGGGTCGTTTGCGCGGATGTCGGTCTTTATATCGCGTTAGCATACCGAGCATAATTTGTCGACGGGACAGTGCAAGTGGTGGAGGGGAATGTAGTTTTTTGGGTAGTGGTCTGAAACAATGGCTGTGCTGGACTAGTTGGCCGTACCATGGGGTCTCGATGCAGCTTCGGCCGTGGCCATTATGCCGGCTGCCAAATATAGAGTGCCGGTGGTGAGTGAAGGAGGTCGTTGGTCGATGGGCTAGTTAGGCGCGGGATGCCACGTTCGGTCTCGGAATATTCCACGTCGAAACTACTGGAGTAATGGGGACGCGCCTGTTGGTTGCTAACTTAGTGTGTGCGCGTGAAGGCCAGCGCAGACAGTCGGAGCGCGATTGTCGCAATAGTGTGACGGCACGTCGAATCGCAGTTATCTATGAGACGCGGCGATTGAAGCAGTGTGGATTATGTGGATTACGCGGTTGGGGCCGGGGAGAGTGGTCTGATGTGGAAAGGGCGAGGAGATGCTTGGTCACTCATATCTTGGGTTGGACCCTGACCCTTTTCCCCAGCGCACCTGCCGCCCGCCGCGCTAAGCTGCGAGGTTCCTTTCACGACACCCTGATTGCGTATGTTCTGTAGATCTCCATGTTACCACCCGCCCCAGCCTCCCCATTGATCACCGAGTGACCCCCTAAACATGCTCGAATGCGGGTTATCAAACAACGAGGGGGCGCCCACCAAAGTTAACACTACGTCATGACCCGAAACACCGCAACTGGCGCCAAACAGACTATCCCCAATGCTCCAAGCCGAAGTATACTGCCCCTGCCCGAGCATGTCATCGCCCAGATCAAGTCGTCGACGGCAATTGTTTCGCTCACTGGAGTGGTGCTGGAGCTGCTGAAGAATTCTCTGGATGCGAAAGCAGCCAAAATAGAAGCCGCCGTCGACTTTGCGCGCGGCGCATGCTCGGTGGAAGATGATGGCCTCGGCATATCACCCCTCGAGTTTCGGGACGAAGGCGGCTTGGGCAAGCTCTACTGTATGTACATGCATCAGGAGCTCTGTAGATAGGTAATTGACAGGTGCAGGCACGTCCAAATACCATGCAACCGAACCTCTTCTTGGCCGCAATGGCACCTTCCTCGCCTCCCTCGCTGCAATGTCCCTCCTGACCATCTCCTCGCACCACTACCAACATCGCTCACATAACGTGATAATCCTTCACCAATCAAAAGTCGTGGAAAGGCAACTTCCGGCGGCGGCGCATCACGAGATACAGGGCAAACATGGCACCCGCGTCACCGTGCGGAATCTCTTCGGAAACCTGCCTGTGCGCGTCAAGCAGCGGTCGATCATATCTGAGCAAAGGGCTGAGCATGACAGACTCTGGGATGGGCTGAAGAAGGACGTAACAAGTCTTTTGCTCAGTTGGCAGAATCCGGTTTCCATCCGACTTCGGGACACCGACAACAGGGTGGTTCTCAGTCTCAGCATATCCGGCTCAGACATACTCACAAAGAGTCGTGAGAGTGAGGCTTCGAAGCCACGCTCTGCGCAGCTTTCTTTACTGCTCAACATTCTGACCCAGGCCAACTATATCACCATTGATAAGCGGGCGTCATGGGTACCAGTGTCAGCTGCCACATCTGCCATCTCCATCAAAGGCGCCATATCACTAAACCCGGCACCTACCAAGCATGTCCAGTTCATCTCGCTCGGCATGCGACCGTTGTCTGCGGACGCCGGCCACAATGAACTATTCGATACTGTCAACCGCCTCTTCGCTCTATCCAACTTTGGTACTATCGAAGACGATACCGACATCGATGAGAAAGAGAAGATCAGGCGACAGTCAGATAAGCGCTTCAAACATGACGGCTATACCAACAGACAGCTTAAAGCCCGCAAAGACGTCAATAGATATCCCATGTTCTATCTTCGCATCTCATTGAAGGATGCTCGTAGAAGAAGCGTCTCCGAAGATCAGTTCATTGGGGATGAAGCGAACCTCCAAAACGTGATGGAGGTCTTGGGTGCATTGATAACTCAATGGCTGTCTATTCATCATTTCAGACCGCGGCAACCTCGCAAGAGGCATGAACGGCCTGGCACGGCTTCCAGCGCTGCTGAGGACCTGGTCGTAAGCAACTCGCCATCCATGGAGGGTCAAACTACGCCCATGGCTTTGAGAGGGCAATCTATCGGAAGCCGCCCGGCAACTCCAAAGCAAAGCTCTGTTTCAGCGCAGTCGCTTAAAAGGAAGCGTTCGGACAAGGTCGCATCACGTGAAACATCCGAGAGGTTACGCCCTGGAGCTTTTGCGGAATGGTCACGCATCAAAAGTGGAAAGCCTGAGTTTTTCAGCAGCGTTTCGACCATACCGAAATCGAAGGCCGAGGTGGATTCCGGGAAGCAAACCGATATGAACACTTCATGCAACACGAAGACCGAAGCCTTTGCAAGCCTTGACATAGCGCCGCTACCCCAAGGTGCTTTGAGTGGACAGCAGTTGCGTGCCGAAGTCTCGTCGCCTACAGAGACTCTGGTTACTGATAACAAAGAGAACGACGATACCATTCTGTGGACGGATCCAACGACCAAGCAAGTTCATCTACTAAACGCTCGAACAGGTTGCGTGGTACCCGATGCTCGGCCACGACTAAATACTGACTCAACTTCGCTCTCAAATTCCATCACTCAAAACCCCATGAATAGGTCGATGCGATTACCGACAAGAGCTTCGACAGCTGTACCTGGCAAGACGCCTTGGCTTGATGATGTGCTAGACACATGGGAGAACCCAATCTTCAAGCTGGGTGAGCAGCGCATACAACAGGCCGCACTGCACGAAGACGATTTTGATCGAGGGCATCATCACTCTAGACATGGCTGCTCTCGCATTAATATCGACAAGGCCTTCAACCAGGTTTCAACAGGTGGCTGTTGTAGACTGTCGAAAGAAGGGCTGCAAGACGCTCAGGTGATTACGCAGGTGGACAAGAAGTTCATCTTAGTCAAGATGCAAGGTTTGACACAGGTGCAAGATGCGCGCGTGGGCCTCCTCGTGCTGATCGACCAGCATGCGGCAGATGAGCGCGTACAGGTTGAGTCGCTACTGAGACAGCTTTGCAGCCCGTTGCAACATGAAACAGGATATCAGTCACAGCTCGGCCACAAGGCGCAAGTAGCCTCTGTCGTGCTCGAGAAGCCTACGCAGTTTGCGGTCTCGTCCCAGGAACGAATACATTTCACAACACATGCCGCAAGATTCGCAGCGTGGGGTTTCCTCTACGACGTCGTCAAAACGACGGCATCTGCAGCTGTTCCCAGCACTACCGATAGTGAAAAGTATGTCTTGTCCGTCACGGCTCTTCCGACTGGTATATCAGAACGATGCAAGGCCGATCCCAAAGTGCTCATCTCCTTCCTCCGCTCAACAGTCTGGAAGTACGCAGAAGATTCGCATCTACCTCCCATACCCGCACCATACAGCTCATCAACAAACAACCCCACCGACTGGGTCAGACGTTTGGCAACCTGCCCTCCAGGTCTCGTTGATCTCATCAACTCACGTGCATGTCGCTCGGCCATTATGTTCAACGACGAGCTTAGTAATGATGATTGCAACGCCTTGGTGAGGAACCTAGCGGGGTGTGTCTTCCCGTTCATGTGCGCCCATGGACGGCCTAGTATGGTACCGCTCGTTGATCTAGGGGATCTGGGCGAAGTAGCAGGTGGTTTGGGTGGTCACTGTGAGGTTAGCGATCACGACAACTTTGTACAAGCTTGGAAGAAGTGGAGGGAATGAATACTTAACGCACACCTTCCTCTCGAATTCTACAAAGAATTACTTGTGACAAGACTGAAGATCGTAAAGACGAGACGGCATTTCACTTGCGAACGTGGAGATATGCTGTGACATGCTGGCTGTGGCCGCGGTGTGCGCGGCTGATGAAAGACGAACAAAGTCACGACGCTTTACGAAGTATACGCATATTTGAGGTAATCATCGAACTTACGGGGGAAGTATAGGATCGGTCCTCATGCTCCTCCAACTAGACGCGTCCAGTACGCATGTGAAGCTGAACAATGGAAGTGGAGAATGTGGCATGAGGTCAGGACACGATATGAAGCTTAGCGCGAGAGTTTCGCGAGAGGCTAGTCTTAATTAAGTATGATAACAGCAGGCGCTCTCATCGCTCCGTCTGCAACCGCCGAGATCGCATTGCTGTTTGCAATTATTGCGTGCATCATCCATTGTTTTTGGTTTCGATACATGAGGCATATTCATAATCTCCATGTTCCAATGGACGGTACACGTGCAGATGAAACCCTTTCCTGATCATAAAATGCCTACTTATTGTACAGACAGTCGCCCTGGATCACTATGCGCAAAAATGTGGCTACGATAGAAAGAGACACTACCTAGGCGACCCAGACAAAAATGCGAATAGAATTCACGCTCAACAATGTGTCGTCACAGTTGCCGACGCTGACATTGTAAAGTCGAGTCAATATACGTCATGCGCAAACTTCCCTGACATGCATATTTCAACAGCCAAGCCTCCACTCCGCTGCTGAAGATCCATTCCGCGGATATAAGCGCATGAAGCTAGTCTCGTGACTTGAACTCGAAGCGAGCTGTCACCTCAATGAGTGGCTCTTTATAGCCGAATTGAGTAACGATTCGCATGACACCCCGCGATTCGGTAGACGTTATGCGGGGATCTATTGTTGGGGAACTGGAGGAGATGCAGTGATAAGAAGGTTTGCAATGTGCTTGATATGTGATGTATCAGTTGCTCTCCCATGATAAAGATGTCGTTCAAAGAAAAGGACCTTGAAGCCGAGCGAAAGGAGCATGTTAGTATCTGTCTGAGCTCTTTTAGACTTACCTGCTGACGACAAAAGGTCTCGTTTGATGAGAAGAGCCATGGTGTTAAAGAAGGCCGCATCGACATCGAGAATGTTGTAGACCACACGCATGATTCCTCAGGACAAGCATCTTCACCTTTCGAAAGGGACGACAAGGAAACACGTCGCATCATTCGAAAGATAGATCTCAGACTCCTACCAACACTCGCCGTCATCTATGCTTTCGCCCTCATCGACCGCGTTAACCTTCCAAATGTACAGCGTACCTCTAGTCGTTGGTACAAATCGCATACTGACCCGAAATCCAGGCGCGTATAGCAGGCATGGATGAGGACCTAGGTCTCTCTATCGGCTCACGTTACTCGATCCTCACAATGATCTTCTTCATTCCTTATATCATCTTCCAGTTCCCAGCCAATATCAGTAAGAGTCCCTACACGAATTGTATGTGAGACATGCACTGACTTTGCACACCCACGTTTAGTCATCCGAAAACTTGGTCCCGCCGTATGGCTACCTTCTTTGGTCGTCTGCTGGGGCGCTGTGACAATCGGCATGGGTTTCACGAACGATTGGACGCAAGCACTGGGTTGTAGGATCATCCTCGGCGTGTTGGAAGCAGGATATTACCCCGGATGTTCGTAATGTCCCTGCACGAACTGCGTGTGATATCTGTACTGATCCCATACACCAACATCTAGGCGTCTTCCTACTCAGTTGTTGGTATGTCAGGTTTGAAGTTCAGAAGAGGTTCAGCGGATTTTATCTGCTAGCACTTCTTGCGAGTGGTTTCTCCAACATCCTTGCTTGGGGACTAAGTGAGATGAGAGGACTTGGAGGACTAAATGGATGGCAATGGATCTTTGCAATCGTAAGTCAGGCTCTTTCCTAGTTCCATCGAATGCTAACCTGTTCTCAGGAAGGCGCCATCACCGTTTTACTCGGCTTCATGGGCTACGTAACCATAATCGACTTCCCCGACAAAGCCAGCCAACCCAGTCCTATAACAAAACGCCCTTTCTTGACCCACTCGGAAGCCAACATAATCCTGTCCCGCATCCAACGCGATCGTGGTGATGCTGTCGCTGATAAACTTAACTGGTCAACCATTGCTACACATCTCCGCGACTGGAAGATTTGGGAGTTTGCATGGCTCTACTTCCTCAACAACGTCGTTGCATACAGTTGGGGATATTTCCTACCCATCATCCTACGCAACGATATGAAATACTCCGTCGCCATGAGTCAGATCATGTCGTTCCCGCCATACGTGTTGGCCGCAGCTTGGATGTTTGCTACAGCATGGGTCGCCGATCGGTACAGGATGCGTGGTGCGATCATTGTGTTCAACTGCGCGTGGGCTGTTTTGGGAGTATGCATGATGGCCTTCCTCAGCAATGCTCGTGCGCGGTATGCCGGAGTCTTCCTGGGTGTCAGTGGAGCGAATGCGAATGTGCCCAGCATATTGAGTTACATGCATAACAACATTGTGGGCCAGATGAAGCGGAGTGTTGCGAGTGCGTTGTTGATTGGAGGTGGAGCCTGTGGAGGCATTGCAGCATCGAACATCTTCCGACAACAAGATGCGCCGAAGTACACGTAAGTTTCGTGAACCAGAGATGTGCCAAAACGCGACGCTGACCGAAGCAGGCCTGCCATGGCGGTCGTCATCGCGACTCAAGTTCTGAGCATACTGCATGTGCTAAAGAACTTTTGGGTGTACTCACGAGCAAATCGCCAGGCCGATCGGGGTGAGAGGATTTTGGAGGGCCAAGAGGGCTTCCGACAAACGTTGTAGATGTTGGTGCTGTACTGGCAGTCGCTCTGACGACGCACTATGAATACTATGAAAATATGCCGCTACGCTATGCTATGCCATGCTATCAAACTCAACAAAGGGTACGCGATGCGACAGGCTTTTCCCCCTAAACCATCCCACTTCTGGCATGCGAACTAACACTATCCCATCAGCCTCCGCCGCCTCCCACTGTCAACACTTACAGTGTTGTCTGGCCCGATACTGATACTCAAACTGCTGGTATCATCTTCGCTTCCTGCCCTCCTCCTATCCCGGTCTCTGCCACTCACAGCCTGACTCTTGCTTCTCTCGGGTTGTATAACCAGCCAAGTTGAGCCTCCACCTTCGTGCTCTTGTTCCATAAGCTGAAGTTGTGGGCCTCCGCCTCTTTCGTCCCCTCTTCGCATCTCCCTATCGCCTCGTCTCACATCAGTCTCGCTCAGTCCTCGGTCGTTGCGGCCGCGTTCTCGGCTGGATTTCGGGTTCTTGGAGGGGGGTGGAGGAGGGAAGAGGGTGTGAAACTTGGCGGTCTTGATGGGTAGTGTAGTGATCGACGTAGGTAGCGGTAGGGATTCGATGAGGGTTAGCTTCTCGAGTGGTATGGTCGTGAGAAGAGAAGCGGGTAGGTCGACGGGTGAGCATGCGACTATCGTGTGCCGTAGATGCGTGTTGGACGCGAAGAATGACAGGTTTTCTGTGCCCCGTTAGCCACCCCATTCTCTTTCCTTTTCAGCAACCACAAGTACATACCTCGTACTTTTCGTCCCGCTCCACCTTCCTTGCCCACTCCAGTGTCGATCCAGTCGAAGCTGGTTATCCTTCCACAGAAGCCAGTAGAGAAAGCCCGCAGCTGACCCAAGTTTCGCACCTTGTCTAGTCGTACGAGATAGTTCGCCATGCCTTCTAAATTGGCATACACGCGCACAATGATATCCAGTGAGTCGGCATCTTCAAACTGTTCCCGCAGATATTCCCGTATCCGTATGTTGAGTTCGTCTGCTAATGCCTCACCACCTTGGGCTTTGCGTGTTATATACTTGTCTTGGAACTAGAATCGTCAGCTAGGATACATGGCAGGCAACGACACTGTTGTACGTACCAGAAACCCCTCTGCATCGGCGTCTATGAGCACCAGCACGAAGGGTCGTTTGGCCTGTGACTGCACTAGAGCCTCCTCTTTTGCTTTGGACTCTGCCAGCTGACCTTGCATCGTCCGCGTGACATCTGCTATTTCCGCTTGCAATGTCCTCCTGACATTTTGTTCAGAGCCAAGGTCGAGTTCACATTGTGCGAGGCGTGCTTCTGTCTTCTCGAGCTTGTCTAGGAGTTCCTAATACATTGTTAAAAACCCCGCCACCATTATCTTCAAGCAACTGTTAGTAGCATACCTCGATAAGCTCACATCTCTTCTCCTCAAGAATCTTAAACTGCGACAACCGATCGCGAAACGTCATCGGTGGTGGGGCAGGCGGGCCCGCAACAACTAATTCCGACATCTTCAAAGCTGGCAAACGTCACACAGTCACCAAAAACAGGAAGCTACCAAACGAAAGAAAACCTGGGGATCCCAAGATTTAAGAAGACGCGTTGTTTTGGGCTCCCGCGCAGCGCTAGCTAGTTGTTTTGCATGTGCATGGCCCAAAGTACGGTGACGCCGCCGGTGCGAAAGATGGCAAGCGCTAATTGGCTGTGTATGTGGGGAGAGTTGGGCTGATACGCTGCCTTGGGATTAGAAGACACCGGAATCAAAGAGAAAGTCGTGAGCTGGCGGGCTGTGTTCTGGTCACGGATGCCTTCAGTGCAGCATGCATTATGCGGCGCGAGCCGCAATGGGTCGCGTGAGAGGCGGAGGTGGAGGGGTGATGGGGGCTCTGGAGGGGGTGAGGGGCATGTTCTTCGCCTTGTTAGCCCCTCGTTTTTCGAAACACACATCACATTACTTCTTTGTCTGATTATACCAAGGTGTTGCTATCTCTAGAAACCATCTTGTTACCCATCTACAGGATTGCAGCCCTCTTCGACGCTTCCCAGACATCTGCACAGGAATCCAAAGTTCCCGATAACTCACGACCTAGGCTATCGAGGGGTTCGCCGGTCGCATGACCTGGATGATTTCAGCACCTGATATGGAAACTACCATCAACGCGCGACGACCAACTATCCTTCCAGATGTGCGCGGTAGCTTTCTCCAGATCCCAGCATGTGTCGGAAGCATGTAGGCTAGATTGAGACCAAGAAGCAACGGTTGTAGATGCCGGTGCGATTCAGAGTTGGTTGCCTGGTTGATGACAACAAAAGCCTGGACTTGTGGCCCGTCCTCTTCATTATCGCTCTTGGAGACCGCGACCGCCTCCGCTACTCTGACGTTTGCCTGGTCGATGATAGTCAGTGAGATGTCTGCTAGCTCAACGTGAAAACCGTGGATTTGCGCGGCCGACTCGTCTAAATGTAGAGAGATCACGAAGAACTCTCCTGTATCGTTGGAAAATCCCTAGTCATCAATCCGAAAGCATCTCGGCACAGTCTCTGATTGCCCCTGGAAAGAATGTTTTCCATCTTCAGAACCGGAGTAGCTAACCCCAATACCCGGGCCGGCAACCGATATATCGCTGTTGAAAGAGACCTCGAGCACAAATCCGGTGCCGAACTTCATACTTAGCTTACGTTCTACTGATTCGATAGGGTCCATGTCGATGATGCTACGCGTACCCTGGGCAACTAGCTGCTCCATTGCTCGAACGTACACATTCGCCACCACTTTCCCGTGCCCTTTTTCGTAAGTCTTCTCCCCCAAGCCAACAAAGATGACTAGGTTGCGGTCACAGTCTTCGCGAAAGGTTAAGATCAGGTCTTGCGCATACTCAAACTACATGTCGATAGTCTGAGGGATTGTATACATAGGCAATCCAGCCGAAGGTGACCTGGTAAAGTAGTGTTTGCCTCGAGATGCTCAACTCAGTTGACTGGCTCTTGACTGGCTTATGCAGATATCACCTAGACAACTCCATGGTTACCTTGGTCTGCTCTAGGAGTTGGTCGGAAGCGTGGTGTGAATCGCTCTTGAATCGCACTGGCGTAATATCGAGACCAGATAGCGAGAAGCTCTTTGACGAGTGAATTTGGAGCGCACGGTCCGGGTTCTCTGCAGCGGTTTTGACGTCCAGGCAGCAAAATTTCATCAGGGTTTTCCTTCAGTAGCCCTAACAGATACGGGAACTATAGTGACTGTATGACGTACTGTTCTTATACGTCAGAAAACTCCAGAGTCTTCATATAGAATACTACAACCCAGCTGAATCTACTCTCGAAACCCCACGAAACCAAGGATATGGGGCTCACTTGAAGTTTGGCGGGAGCAAAGCACTACAAAAGCTGGGGGAGTGGCTGAAGGAAGAGTTTGAGAAGAGGAAGATGAGCGTTAATGTCCGACTTGTGGGGACTTGGACCACTCGGTATGGCGCGCGCCATGATAAGAATGTATGATGTAATGGACATTGATATGAGTGATTACGGAGAGCGCCTTTGAAGGATCGGCCGGACAACAGTGAAGACTAAGGAAGTGACTGATCACTGAAAGAGCTCAGGTTATGTGTCTCTGGTCTGTATATGATGGGGGGAAGAGTAAATAATAAATGCCAGACACATTCTAAAAGATAGCTTCTACTTGACCAGAAATCCTCCAAGCTACCGAACCTGACGGCAATGACTGACTAAAACCTGTGCTGAATACGGGAAGTCTTGGTTGGTATATGTCAAGAGAGTCCAGCGAACAGCGTAAGAGTCTATATCACATGTTGAGCCTTAGCATACCGTTCGTGAAGAGCCATGGTTGAGCTCCGAGCACTCTCATCCCTGACCCGAGATTGTGCGAGCATACGGCAAATGTTACGATTCAAGCTTCGACGTTTAACGCATCGGTTCGGGTCTCTGAGACACTATCGTGTCGTTCCGGCATGTCCAACCTACGATCGTTAGTAAGTGTTGAGACAACAGTGGGACCCTTCGGTTTTACTAGCCTTTCGCACTCAAGCTGTTCAACTATGAATATAGACGCAATGAAATCCAAATCATTTCTGCGCATAACTGGGTCAGCTTTTACCGGTGGCTGAAACTGCCTGACGTGTTCCGATCGTGCTTGTGTTGTTTGTTGCTTAGTGTTCGTTTTACGCCGTCGCGTCGGGATGCCTTTCGCAAGTCGAGTTGGGTTATAAACTGGCAGAGGCTGACTCAAAGTCGAAATCGAGAAGTGTCGCATGTTGGTGGTCATATCGTTGGATGCTACACCTGGTCAGCTTAAATCAAGCTGATCAAACAGGGTCGTCTGCTGCTGCGCCGTACAGTAAGGTCGCAAAAGTCGCAAACTTCATATAGGACTTCTAGATTCTGAACACGTTCGAATGTTGTACTACCCAATTTGAGGCTTGGAAGAAATTGTTGTCATGCTCCGCCACCATGCGCTTTGCGGACCCATACTATTTATTCTTATTCTAGATGAAGCTGATTTGACAGGTGCCGCTCCACGGATGCTTCATGATATTATCCAAGAATTCAACCCAGCATGGATATGTGTTGGTGCCGAGACATTGAGCGACACCAGAGATCTTGTCGAGTGTTGAGCCTCGCACGTGCTGTCAGCTCCATATTAGCCGACATCGATTGTGACCACTTCTGCGTCCCAACAAACGATTAGAAGGCGTCGTTCACCCTCTTACGTATCAAAACACACTCTTGTTGGGCTGGTGCTGATATCCATGGATGTGGTTCTATGTCAGCAAGCGGACCGTGCCGTTGGTCTGGACGTTGGAGTCGACAGTTGGATTTAACGGGATGAATGATTCGTGCGGTGCGCTGAGGTCTGTGTGGCTGCAGCGATGGGGCACATCCTTTTCACTGAGCTTGACCTGTAAAGATCAAGAGCAGTCGCATCATCTCGATCTAAGACTTGCACCAAGTGTGGCGCAGGAAGGCTAAAAATACTTAAGAACCAAGACGGAATCAGAAATACCGAGTAACATATATCAACTTAAAGGTCCATGTTTCACTTGAAGTGATAACGAGAAAACTCACGAAGCAAACCATGTGCAAAAAAGAGATGATCAAAGTGAAAAGATGTCGAAGGGACGTTCGTGAGGCTGCGAGACATATATGTATCGGGGTACAAAAATTACGAATATAATTTGAGACCTGGAAATAGGGGCGAACGATATCGTGCTTGATGTGAAAAGGGTGTAAGGATTAGCCGTGAAGGCAGCGAGATATGTGGGGAAGTGCCAAGGTAATGCCAAGTCGCGGAACGCGTCGGCTGGCACTCTTCACTTCCATCCCACATGCACCGTGTTCCTGCTTCTCGCCCTTGCCCTTGCGTGAAAACGCGATGATATAAAGACATGCTCCGATGCCCTAATGTACGCCAGAATAGAAGAAATACCACGATGCCCCTTACCAGAATCCAGGAAAGCCAAGATAATCTGACAAATCAACACGCGTCGCCCTACCGGCCTCCAAAACTCGCCCATCAACGTCATGATATAGTGGCGCGCCTGCTCACCAAACCTAGGCCTTGACCTTTTCTGTCTGTTCTTCGACAATAAATCTCCACATCACCTCTGCCGCCGTTTTCGCGCCATCCATCGAATTCAATGTATCCGCTAGCATCCTCGCCTTCGCGGCATATGACGGGTCATTCAGCACCTTCAAAACCGTATTGCGAATGTTCTTGGCCTTCCAGAACTGTTTCTGCACACGTATACCTGCTCCAGCATTCATGGCATTGTCCAGGTTCGTTTGCTGCTCGACTTGTAGCGCAACCCCGACCAGAGGCTTTCCCGCAGCCAAGGCGCATTGTACAGTACCTTGACCTCCGTGTGTGACAATCAAATCGGCAAGCGCATTGGCGGCGGGCGCCGGAATGAACCGATCAGTCACCAGAAGTCGTACATCTCCGCCCGCAATCTCGTTAGCTTTGTCAATGTCGCAGATTGACTTTGAAGCCAGGACGACTGCGTTCCAGTTGTCTCCCGGGTTCATTCTCAGAGCCTTGATCGCCTCGAACAAGAACTCTTCTGTTCCTGAACTTCCCATGGTAACTAGGATGGACGGGCCCGGCCCCTTCGTGAGATGTGTTGAGATATCTTCATCCAGCTTCGAGTCGTTTCGCGCATACAAGGGACCTGTGAGGACTATGTTCTTTGGGATACGGTGTAAATACTCTTGATGGAATATGGGATGGTCGTTGACCAAGTTGAGGTCGGCCATGTTCATATCGAAGAGCGAGATGGGACCTTTGATTGGCCACCCACAGGCAGCGGCCGCAGCTCCCAGGCGCTTCTGTTGGAAGATGGGAGCGTTGATCATCAAACCACTGGCCCACCATGCCATACGCTGCCGGAACGGTCGGGGAAGTCGTGTGAACAAGGGCATCATATCCGGAAGATCGCGAATCAAGCCGTGTGCGAAGGCTCCAGGATGCAATGGCACTGGGAGGAAGTTGATCGTC